ACTGGTTCAGGAGTTTTAACAGATGACGAGTCCTCGGCTCGGGTTGCAGAACGGGTGGCGTGCTTCTTGGTCAGTATGGGAATGTGGGATCGTTTTGGAGCCAGGTTATGAGGTGGGGTGGTGCACTCGAGACGAATCTTGCGCGTTGAGGTGGTAGTACTTTGAAATGGTTGGGTATGAAGGTCAAAATAGACTAAATATCTAAAGAATAATCAGAGGATCAAGGAAGATCGACGGATTACTCAGAGGGTGCAAGAGGTATCGATATTGATTCCCCTTGCGGTGGGCTCCAAATATGTAAGGCTGAGATGAGTTCTAAGGGGAATTGAAAGGATTGATCGAGGAAGGTAGGAAATTGTGAGAGAGGATGGTAGCAAGTTGACTAGAGATCAAACGATGATGCAGACAGAGACGTCTTTGACTTTGACAGAATGTTCGGATGGCTGCGAGAATACGGATCACTGAGGGAGTTGATTCACTAATAAAACGAGAATTACATGTAACTTTTTATATGGCGGGAGAATGGACAAAGCGCTATCAAAGCGCAAGTAGCGAGAAGAAAGGCAAAGCGAGACATGAAAGGTGTGGCGTAGGTACAAAGAATAATTGGGAACATGTGGTGATGGCGATAAGGACAAAGGCTAAATGTGAATTGATGTAAATATGGACAGAAAAGGAAATAGAAGAGAAGGCAGTGCATGATATGTCACAGTCATTGAAGGGTTGATTGAAGCGAGCTTTCATCGTTAAAGGTGCAGCCTTTCTTACAACCCTTTGCCGTAAATACAAGCAGGTGAAGAATGGCATCGCCGAAAGTGAAAAGGCTTTCGACAGACTCGATGAAGCAGCACCCAGCGATTCAAAGACGGAATGGTTAGCCAGCGAGAGGATCACTCAGTCCAGCAGAATAAATGATCCTGCGGCTATGGATGTATATGAGATTAATATCAAGAAGGGTAAGTTGACTTTGTCTCCATCCAAAGTCTGAATTAATTTTGCACCCAGCACCAAGCAAAAAGGAGATTGAGCTTAGACTACTAGAGGAGGGTAATGCCCGAAATGCAGCACCTGCTCGCAGATCTGTGGCGACATGGATATCAATTGGGTTGGTGATTGAAGAGGCTCAAATCGCATTGCTCATTGAGGTCCGAAGAATTGGTAGAAGAACTACTGAGACACAGAGGTTAGACATAGCCCGGCAACGCGATTGTCTCCAAGGCCAGATAGATGGATTCACTCGGTCTGCTATTACTCATCTCGGAGAGGGATTTGATGCAGATGACGATCCTGATGACTTGAACGTAGACATTCTTGATGATCTCGATGATGACTTGGCAGACTTCACCGAGACATCTGACACATGGGCGAACTCCCCTGAGCTCACTGTCATCCCATTGCCATCAAACCTCGGAGTAGATCGATGCAGACGCTGCATGGCAGAGGATCTCATTACGCTGGAGATGTCTCTTCGTGAAGGGCAGGCCAATGACTCCCTTCACAACCTCCGAATTCACTTGTGCAACAAGGCGATTCTGTTCCAAACAACAGTTAGGCAAGCCAAATTCCAGGCCCTGAAAACTCGAGCTTGGTCCCAGGTGACATCCATGCAGCAGGCAGTGTCCCTCCATGCCAGTATATATATGAAGACGAGGAAGCAAATGATGCAACTTGAGCCGGGGGAAGACCAGCTTCAGAAATACAAACCCCTGCTTTGGGAGCAGCTCAAAATCAGCACTGCCGTCGGCGATCCAAATGCCCGAGGTCAGCGAAATGAGTCCCTCGCTTGGTTCTGGTCAGTTGAAGTCGACCTGGAGGGTCCTGATCAGTCATGGAATGAGGAATGTGAGTTCGGGCATGCTTGACATATCCTGTGCTCAGCTGACGGACCCATCCGAAGTTTACCGAGTGCATTGGCTTCGGGCAAAGGCCCTACAGGATCGATGGAAGGAAGAAATGATGTTGGTCCAATTGGAGATGGATTGGACATGTAACTTTTTCTTGTAGAAAGCAACCCAATGGGGTGACAGGATGCGCAAATCATTGGTGAAAAACCTTCCGGGTCATGCATGCTACTCGGGAAGGCAATCCCAAATGTATTCATTGCTGGCACAGGATGCCCAGGCAGCATTTCAAGACCAGAAAAGCGGGTTTATAAAGGCTCGGGATGAATGAATTTTGTTTGCCGAAGATATGAAACAGCTACATCGACCCAAACATTTTAGTCCCGGGAATTGGCCGGGTCGACCGATGATGGAGTTTGCCCGGATCCAAAAATGTCGGAGTTTGAAAATTTTTATCCATCAACCTGTGGCTCATATCTTCACCTCCAAACCAACTGCCATTGTGATTGTCATTTCCAGGTTCATAATACTGCATTAACCATGTCTGTATCACATACTCCTCCTACATCCCCTTCTGATTCTCAGAATTCTGGCAATGGGTTCCGACCCCTCACACTCACTCTGGCAGATCTTGCAGCTACAATGTCAATGACTGCATCTTGCATCCGAGCATCCATCTCTCAATATCAGATGGAGGCTACCCACACCGAGGAGCCTTCTGCTGCTCGGACCATGCACTTTAAAGCCGGGCTGCAATGGGAGATAGCTGTAAGAGACTGATGACTGTGGTGGTCAATGCTGACATTTCCAACAGACTTTTGTGACTCCCCTCCTGCAGTACTCAGCTGCAAGGAACATCATTTTGGTTGTTCCAAGCCCAGTCACTCATATTCTTCGGTTGATTCCCGAGCTCACCTGGAACATGGTTCCAGACGACGTCTTTTCATCCCACCTGTGCAAGTTCCATGATGTTGCAGATCTGGGGGATCCCTCCTGGATTGTATCAACCTATGGAACTCAATGGTGGACTGGACCAACTGCAATCCCGAAGGAATTATGGGCATGGGATCAGGTATTCGCCAATTGTGTCTGTCACTACCAGCATTGGCTAGTAAGACTTTTACCGAATTTCCTTGAATGGTTACTGATCCTTTCTAGTCTGGCGTTGAGGACGAATGTCTTGTTGTTCCCGAGCAGGTGGCTGAAAGCTCAGTTGCATCACTGAAGGCACTGAGGTGGATGAGAGAACACCTCCTGACAGTGATTGAGGATCAACAAGATGGCATCCGTGAAAAGATGGCTGAGATTCAGATGTACACAGCCGTCCTAACCAAATTGAAGCCAAGGGGACCGGAGTAGTTCTAGTCCTTCAGTTCAGAATGTTGAAGTCTAAATTCTGTACATGATGTAATAAGTACTGAAAATTAAACACTGACTTCCAAATATATGACCTATTGCTATATGCCGAGTCCCACATACCCAATGTCAAGTATCGAGAGCCAGATATCTTGAGTCCCGAATGTCGAGTCCCAAACATCGAGTCCCAAATATCAAGACCGGAATATCGAGACCCAAAGCCCGAAGGCCAAGATTCAAGACTTGACACAAATCTCAATACTCAATGCTCAAAACTCGACGCAAACATTTTTACGAGTTTCGAGTTTCGAGTCCCCACTATCGAGTATCGAGTGCCGACTACCGAGTCTTGAAACCCGAGTCCCGACTATCGAGTCCCGAAGCCCGAAACCTGATGCCCGTGTATGGAGTCCTGACCATTGAGTATCGAGTCCCAAACATCAAGTCCCAAACATCAAGTCCCAACCGGTACTCGGTACTCGGGTGTCGGGTGTTGGGTGTTGGTACTCAGATTTATGCGAGTTTTGGGTTTCGAGATTCGAGTCGAGTACCGACACCTGACACCTGACACCCGAGATTCAGTACTTGGTACTCGGTACTCGGGTGTTGGGTGTTGGGTGTCGGTACTCAGATTTATGCGAGTTTTGAGTTTCTTGATTTGAGTTTCTTGATTTGAGTTTCTTGATTTGAGTTTCTTGATTTGAGTTTTGAGTTTTGAGTTTTGAGTTTTGAATCGAGTACCGACACCCAACACCCAACACCCAACACCCAACACCCAACACCTGACACCCGAGTACCGAGTACCGACACCCGAGATTCGGTACTCGGTACTCGGTACTTGGTGATTCGTGTGTTCGAGTTTCGAGCTTCAAGTCGAGTACCGACACCCGACACCCGAGATTCGGTACTTGGTACTCGGTGATTCATGTGTATCATCAGTACTCGGGTGTCGGTACTCGATTTGAAACTCGAAACTCGAAACTCAAATCAAGAAACTCAAATCAAGAAACTCAAAACTCGCATAAATCTGAGTACCGACACCCAACACCCGACACCCAAGTACCAAGTACCGAGTACCGAATCTCGGGTGTCGGTACTTAATGAAATACAATTTTGGGAGTTGTCTTCTTGAATCACCGAGTACCGACTACCAAGTACCGGGTTTCAGGTTGCGGTACTCGGCACTCGGTACTCGGTGATTCAAGAAGACAAATCCCAAAATTGTATTTCATTAAATGTGTATTTTCTTGACTCAAAAATCAAAACTCGAAACTCGTTAAAATGCATGAGTGTCATTGTTTTGAATTTGGAGTATTGAGTTGTTTTGAGTCTCAAATGTCGTCCTTCGGGTTTCGGGTCTCGATATTCGGGACTCGATGGTCGGGATTCGGGCTTCAGGACTCGATGTTCGGGTTTTGATATTCGGGACTCGATGGTCGGGCTTCAGGTCTTGGGTCTCGATATTCGGGACTCAATGGTCGGGACTTGATGGTCGGGCTTCGGGTCTCGGGTCTCGATATTTGGGACTCGATGGTCAGGCTTTGGGCTTTGGGTCTCGATATTCAGGACTCGATCGTCGGGACTTGTTGGTTGGGCCGAGTACCGCAACCCGAAACCCGGTAGTCGGTAGTCGGTGAAATGTGTACAATAACACTTTCGAGTATCCTGCAATATTGAGTCCTGACTATCGAGACCCGAAACCCGAATTACGAGTATGGAGTGCCTGATATCTAATATCATGTATTTGAAGGTGGGTACTAACACATGTAACTACCTTTTCTACTTCTTCCAATCCAACCTTGCCCATCCACACGATGGAATCCCAGCATAAATATGAACAGCATCCCTCATATACCATGCCCAGGAAATCCGATCCCCTTCCACTGCATGAACCCCATGTCTGACAATCCTTCCCGAAAAAGCAATCATACACCCCAGATCGTACCTGAACTCCAGCTGAAGGCTTGGCATACTCATCCGAGCATTAGAATAACTCCCCATGCTAGTGAGAATATCGAAGCATTCGGGAATCGATGAATGGTCTCGATGATTTGGGGTTTCCCGATTGCAAATCACGGAGAGGCTGTTAAACACAGTTGCCCAGTACTGGAGAGTCTCTGACATCTTCGGCAGTTGCTTGCTTCGTGCTTTTTCTTCGAGGCTCGCAAAGGCTCGCAACCCTGCCTAGTACTGCTCAGGATGCATAACCCTGAGTGCCGCTGTTGCAATGGCTGCTGACCTTGCAATGGCCTTCAGGATATCCTCTGAGGATGCTCCATTCAATGATGCAGACCTCGTGCCCCTGCTGAAACCATGCCGGAGATAAATTAATGCATCTGGGAGTTAGGACATCATTTTGTGACCTTGGTGTGAACCACTTTTGATTAGTACGCCAATTCCCATCAAGCTTTACACTTTTTTTGAGTATCGGAGCGAGCAAATCCAAGGCCGCCCAAATTTCCTTCTGTAGGAACCATTTGATGTTCAATATCCATCCAGTAACAATATATATAACACACCTGGGTGGCATCGGTCAGGGCGTCCGGGAGGTACCATGCGATGATGGCACCGGATGCATCAAGAATTGTCGCAGGTATGTCGATCAACTTTGTGCCCTCATGGCCAGGAGGACACCTCTCGAGCAACCTCACCACTCTCTCTTCATTATGCCCTGTGTCCTTCGGGGAGATCAATTTGCTATATCTTGCAATATCGATCGGCATCTGAACTGTGATGAAGCAATTTGACTGATCAAACAAATTTTCCGAATCTGCAGGAAGACTCACTGGGATTTTTATATGCCTTTATGAGCCGATCAACCAATCGATCACAAGCCATCACCAGATCAGTGTCTAGGTTCGGAGAAGGTATAACTGGGTCTCCTCCTGTCTTCTCTGCATTGAATTTCTGTTTGGTATATTCACATGCCACATGAGTGACAGTCAGGGCCCAAGTGCACAAGAGGGTTATTTCATCATTGGAAGTGGAAGAAACATCCATGATTGAATTGATCTTGTGAGATCAGAAGCTGAATCCTGGATGTCCGCACTTTGGTGTTAAAGGGGTGGAGATAGAGAGGATCAGATAAGAGAGCCTTGGATGATCTTAGCTTTCAAAGTTCTATTATCTATTATCAATTGCTCAATGAAATACCAGATGATTGGAAGTCTGTTGGATATCTGATATTCGTTTGTCGAGACCTGGGCCTTGGATCTTGGTACACTTCACTCGATTTTCGATACCCAGGAGTCCATGGTCGGAACTTGAGTCTTGAATCTTGGGCTTCAGGTTTCGGGTCTCGATGGTCGGGACTTGATGTTCAGGACTCGTGTTTTGGGACTCCATAGTTGGGACTCCATAGTTGGAACTCGATGTTCGGGACCTGAAACTCGCAAAAATATATGAGTTCCAAGTTTTGAGTTTTGAGTTTTGTTTTGTTTTGAGTCTCGATGTTCGGGACTCAATAGTCGGGACTCAATACTCGATAATCGGGATTCAATAGTCGGGGCTCGGATCTCGGGTACACCACTCGATTTTCGGTAGTCGGAACTTGGCATTTGGCATTTGGTAGGCTTGGATGATGTTGGCTTTCAAAGATCTATTATCATCCATTGCTCGATGAAATACCAGATGATTGGAAGTGTGATGGATATCACATATTCGTTTGTCAAGACCTGGGTCTCGGAACTCGGTACACTTCGCTTGAGTTTCCACTTCACCCCTTTGCAAAGCTCCGTGCCATCCTGCAAGACCTTCCTCTTCTATCTAAAAGCTTTGATGAACAGGGCCTGGAACATGAGTTTCCACTTCACCCCTTTGCAAATCTCCATGCCATACGACATCATTAGATGACTTTGAATTATTACCTCCTTTGATTTGGATGATATACAACTACCTGAGCTCCATCATGTCTACAATTATCATTCTCCTGGGCCCACCCATCTATATTATATACCCCCACGTCGGCCTACCCGTCTATACAATATACAACTACCTTCGGCCCACCCGTATATATAATAAATATTTTACCGCTCCCTTGGCCCACCCGTCTACAAAATAATCTTAATTCGTTGGCCCACCCGTCTAACATGATATATATCTGGGCCCACCCGTCTATGTGATAACAAGCACCCTTGACATACCCGGCTATTTGATACACATCTACCTTGGTAAACCCATCTACATAATATCCAACTACCTCGGCCCATCCATCTATTGAATATTCATGTCCATTGGCCCACTCATCTACTCTACATATTCCCTACATGGGCCCACCCGTCTCCATCAGGAATAATAACACTCCTGGCCCATCCGTCATAGTCGAGGATATATCTACCTTCGGCCCATGGTTCGCTGGCCTGTATCATACGGGATATTATGCACGTCCGTTCACTCGTATAATACGGAGATATGTTACTGCAATATGTGAGAGGTGGATGTCCTCCACAAGGGTTTTCCTTATCCATGTGGCTTTCTTTGATAAACTTGGCCACAGTAGACTTGAATACTCCAGTTCTAGAGGAAATTTGATGAGCAGAGAGGCCAGCATGGGACAGAGAGAGGATATTATCCCTTTGAGCAGAGGAGATGGCTTTCATGGTGATTATGACTATGACACATGAGACATTCTGGTTTATATAGTTAGATATAGTTTCAAGAGTATGCCCAGAAGGATAGAGGTAGTAATCAAAGCCAAGGGAGGTCACACAAAGTACTAGAATACCTGATTATCACTATGAAATACTTGAGTCAAAAAACTGTTCACATGAGTCATTATTTTGTAAGCCTCATATCTCCACCATATCTTGCCTGATTCCCATGCCATAGTGCTTTATTGAAAGCCCTGAAGTAGTACTACAATATGGTACCAGCATGTCCTTGAGGTGTTTGTATATTCTCACACAACATCATAGATAGTGAAAAATGTGAAAACATGTGGACAGTTTTTTGAGCCACTGTAAGTTGAATAAGGACATAAATAAGGAAGTCAAAGGGTAATATTAAGGAGTGATGCAAGACAGTCCAAAGCTCAAAACTAAGACAAAATAAGGAGGTTAAGAGAGTATTGTGTCAGTAGTATTAAATGGCAAAAAATGAGTGACAGGTATACTAGCAGGTGGTGTCTAAGTTCCACCACGCCAATGTTAACTCGACTCTGTAGCAGTGGCAGTTGTGGCACTGAGATGTTGTGAGTGAGAGGTATGCTGAGATTCTGTTAAATTAAAATAAGTGGTGGGGAACAAGGGGAAGGAAAAATTAACAGTACAGATACGGATGCAGGAGCATGGGTTAGTGGGGGCAGTTGTAGCATCACCAGTAGAGACCTTGGAGGATGTATGAACTCTGCAGCGGGGATGCTTCATGAAGGGTTCTGCACACAGAATGATCTCCTGGATATGTGAGTATGGTAATTCCCTGTCATATACCTGATCCGACCACTCTAATATCAATATCCGCTCTGCTTTCCGACCACCTCCACTCCATCCATTCTCCGCTCCGTCCAATCATCGTCTGCATCTGCCCCTACACTTCCACTCAACCGCCCAACCGGTCCCCTTCCATAAAACACCTCCATTCAACTGGAACCGCTTTCCCCTTTTAGATATATACTTTCCTCTTTGGTACATAGACCCTTACTCCCGGATCACTGGTAATTCCTTTTACCACTCGATCACTGATCTGATGCGTACATATTGATATCTGCTCCAACTTATGTCTTCACCTGTGTAAGTACTTACAAATTATATCCTTGGTACATAGCTTTACAACATAGTTATCCTGATCACTGCCTCATACATAGAAGTATATAACATATCATGTACTTAGATATCTTTCCTCAGTCTTAATATTACTTGTCTTCTTGCAGTTACTACTTGTGAGAATTCTCAGTAGGACCTTGCCTCCTCTGGACACAAGTCTCAACTTGTTGTCACCTCCGACCCTCCACTCTGACTTAGAGCTGTGCTCTAAGTCTCCCCCTTATTTCTCTGCCCCTTTCAATATTCCCCTCTGACCCTTTTCCATCCCCCGCATTATCCTCCACCTTCCCTGCTCCTACCAAACATTCCCCCTGCTCCTATCCACCCTCCGCATCACTCCCTGCCTTCTCCGCTCCGCTTCTAGTCGGCCCGCCACTAGTAGCTCTTACCTCCTGACCCTCAAAGCAGACCTAAGTGGTCCACTTGTCCTATCGTTGGACAACGTCGGACCCGCTCCAAATTCAGGGCACGTACTCGGCTAAGGGCGCAGTGCAAGAGCTGAAGCCAAGCCCAGACCCCTCTGCTTCCTGAGCCAGCACAGTACCTAACATTCCCCCACACTTATCATGTATGCAAGCATATCAGTCTCCCAGTTTCCAGAGGAGAAATGTGTTCCTATGTTGCTCATCTTGTTGGTTGCCTCATTGAGTGTTAGGATGATTTTATGGCTTTTCTTGCTGTTCTCGGAGTCGTTGTCGAGCAAGAGTCCATCTCAAACCAAGGTCAGTGTGCATTCAGCCTGCTAACTTATAGTTACTAGTGCAACAGAAAAAAAATGGGGGGACTCATGGCTGCAGCAGTCAGTGCCAGTACAGTTTGATACCCTGGTGCTCCAATCTTGCCTAGTGCATCCACCCTCACCATCCCAACAATTGCACTCACATGCACAGCAAAAATACGCAAAATGTACTCCAACAAAAATGCACCTGGTTGGTCATCATTGTTGGCATCTTTGTAGATGAAGTGTGCATCCTGCAGTTGATATTCTGCATATTCTGCACATGCTGCCTGGGTGTCGTACTGAGGCACTGAAGCGAAAAATGCCATCAAAACACTGATGGCGGTTGAACCAAATATTGTGCGCCACTCATGGATTCTTTGAATTGCCTGGTAACACATAAATGAGCTGCTGTTAAGACTGTGCTCAAGGGTAAAGCGGAGTCTGAGGGGCTTGGCTTCAGCTCATACGCTGCGCCCCTTACCCGAGTATGTGCCCCTAATTTCGGAATGTAGTCCAACATGAATTCTATGGGTTCTGACAGGACGTCAGAATGGGGGTCCTCTGAAGGAGGACCGACAGACTACTAGGTGAGCGCGGGAAAGTTGGGCAGGGGTTGTTCCGCCCAACAGGAGGGAAGTGGGAGGCTACTGCGGTCGGAACCAACAGTAGAAGCGGAGTGGAAGGAACTGCTTGGATGAAGTCCGAAGCAGAGCGGAACAGAGGGGACGTATGCGAGAGTGCAGGGTCTAGTTCCGACACATGGGAAGTTGGAGGAGCGGAGGGACGGAGGAACAGGGGAATGGGGGAACGGGGGAATGGGGGAATGGGGGAACGGGGGAACGGGGGAACAGAGGAATGGGGGAACGGGGGAACGGAGGGTCGGAGGGTCGGAGGATCGGTGGGATCGGAGGGTGGCTGACCTAGGGAGTCAATCCCTAGGCCAGCTAACAGGGGTTGACTAGGATCAGGCCCAAGTCAAAGAACAGAAGAGCAGGGCTTAGAAAAGGTAATATTCAGACTGAGTATCTACAGACAAATATACATATGTTTGTATACTCTAAGTGATGAGCATAGCATAGCAGAAGGCTATGTGCTGAGTGTACAGGATTACAATAGAATGACTGAGACATACGAGAATAAGGCTCAGGGAACAGTATGTACACAACGGATCAGAATCGCTAGGGTATAGGGATTACCAGTGATCTGAAAAGCGGAACTATGATACTAAATGGGGATAGGACCAGTTGAGTGGTTCCTAGTCTAGGAGTGGACCAGTGAGGCGGTCAGACGGACTAATAGTTGGGTGGGACAAGACGAGTGGAACCGAGTGGGTCAGAAAAGTGGAGGGAGTAGGAGTAGGATCGGGCAGACCAATAGGGCAGAGGAGCGGAACCCCAGATAGGGTCAGATGGAAGGGGTATGGGGTCGGGGGACATAGGGGTAGTGTCAGAAAAGCGGAACGGGGTCGGGTGGAGGTAGCAGGGCTAATCCTGCTGAGATGCACTTCATGCATTGTCAGGGAAGGAGGAATGGAGCGGACAGGGAAGCAGGGGGTCGGACCAGGGGTGGGGATGTTCACAGGTGGTATTGGAGGTGCTCGGATCCGGTATATGACAGCTGCTTTCAGTGGAATTCAAAGGAATGCAGACCACATTATAGCCAAGACTGTCAGTACCAAATTCACCATTTTTACATTGTATACTGTGTGTAATATGGGACTTCACATTCTTCTTCAACCATGACAGACTTGGAGTATGCACACTTCTTGCCTTTTGAGGTGCACTGAGGTTTTGTGACAAAATGCACAACATCCTGCCAGTGGCTAGAATGAGTGGATCCAGGCTCAAATTTGAATAGGCACTCACCCTTTTTGCCTGTGTTCCTAGTGGCACATCATACTACTACTACTACTACTACTACTACTACTACTACTACTACTACTACTACTACTACTACTACTACTACTACTACTCCTCAGGTGCATCATCAAAATCTAAGTCTGCTGGGCCTGGATGAGGTGCGCTGATGAGGCTTTGGGCACTAGGTGGTGCAGAAGGCTTGAGCTGTGGCTTAGATGCAACTTTGTCCACCCAGTTCGAAATGATGCCTTCATGGTTGGAGTTGGAATGCTTGGGATTTGAACTGGTTTTCAATGGCCATACAAAGTCATAGTAATACAAGGTAAGTTCCAATAGAAGCAACATAGTAATGGTCAAAAATAGGAACAAACTTACAACAGCAACACCTGTTCTATTTTCCCATCCCTGAATTTGGTACTTCCAACATGTGTGTCACTTGTCTTGGTGCCCATCCCTCCACTGTTAGGAGTTTTGTGACTTGCAGCAACACTGTCTCAAAAGGTGAGCTTCAAGTTTGGATGCTTCTTCTGTGCTGGCTGAGTAGCTATCATTGTGAGTCAAAGTGACAATCAGTGGTGAGTACTTCAAGCACCTGCTGAAAAATGCAGCAATGACTGACCTTTGTTCATTGTAGCAGGTTCTGCTCCTGTGGTTGGAGTAGGCCATGTGCTCTTACTAGTCACCATGCACAGCTTTGGTCAAACAAGCTTTGGAGGGCCAAGTAGCAGAGCATTTTGCTGAACAGCCATATTGTCCTCCTTGGCTGCAACTTTTGTATGTGCTCTATTCACTGCAGCAGCTTGTGCATCTTTCTCACCCTGCTTTCGGTTTTTTCCAGCGGCTACTTCATCCTTGGAGTGCTGCACTCTGTTAGCATCAAGAACAATTTGTCCAGGGTGCTTGTTCACATTTCCAGGATGAGTTGTTAGGTGAGACATGAGAAATAAAGATAAATGAGCAACAGGTATGAATGAAACAAGTCCAACCAGGGTCATCAAGTGCTCAGTCATTCCTTTTAGCTTTACTTCAATTCAATCTGACCCAAAAAAAACACCGAGTTCACACAGTTTGTACAAAGGTAAATTTCATTTACAGAATCATTGCTACTAGAACATTGATATTGAATAAAATGCCCAGCAGCCCACGCTCATCATCCACTCCTCATCCCTTAAATGCAAGAGCACTTCAGCTGTTTTGTCAGTTTCCAAGCTGCAACCAGAGGTTCAAAAACAAGTCGGGCCATACAAAGCATATGCACACAAAGTACCCAGAGCCTTTGCGCAGTCATAGGCCCTTTCATCAAGCAGCACTTGAACCAACACGCTCTGAGTCAGCAAGTCCTGATGTTGGTGATATCAATGATCCACATCACAACCCCCTGGACACATGCCATGCAGGAGAAGAAGGTTTCACACCAGAAGCAGGCACCTGGGTGCAGTTAGGGCCTCTGTTCCAGGTGTTCCATCCTCATCTTACAGGTAAGTACATGCGCTGCACAAGAACATATTAATTTAATTTTGTGATTCAGTGCTCAAGTGTGATGCTAATGGCAAGAATGCATGCCTGCCACCCCAAACAGATGTGATACCCACCAACTGGACTCCCTATCAAAACCAGGTTGCATTTGAGACAGCCAAATTTCTCTTTATGTGCAACCAAATGTCTGCAGGCCAGATTGACACTCTACTTGATCACTGGGCAGCAACACTGATCAAACACAATGATTCCCCTCCATTTGTCAGCCACCACGACCTATATGATACAATTGATGCAACACCTCTTGGTAATGTTGCATGGGAGAGTTTTTCAATGTCCTTCAATGGAGTCAAGCCAGCTGAAAATGTACCCCTGTGGATGGACGCAACACATGATGTATGGTTCCATGATCCACATCTACTCATTCACAACATGCTTGCAAACCCAGACTTTGATGGTGAGATAGAGTATACCCCATATCAGGACTATAACAAGTGCTGTTTCAAGATTTTTTTTTTCAGGTAATTGGGCATGGAATCAAGCAGTACGTTTCTTCATGTCTGAACATTCTAGTTTAAGACTAATCATTCATTGCTATACAGGACATTATTGCTCAAAATCAAGAGGCCCATGGATCAATTTTTATTCCTCTGATCATTGGGAGTGACAAGATGACCATCTCAGTTGCCATAGGGCACACCGAGTATCATCCACTCTATTTATCAATCAGTAACATTTTCAACGGTGTCCGGTATGCACATTGCAATGGGGTTGTACTAGTGGGATTCCTCGCCATTCCAAAGAGTGAGTTAATTTATGCTGTATTGGTTCAATCACTCATTTATACTGTAGCTACTAAGGAACATGCCAATAATGTAGAGTATCGCAACTTCCACCGACAGTTATTTCAGTGCTTGCTTGCAAAGATATTCAAGTCGGTGAAACCTTATATGACAACTCATGACATCGCTCGCTGCTCTGATGGCCACTACCAGTAAGTTATATATGGATTAGGGTCATATATCACTGATTATCCGGAGCAAGTCCTACTGTCTGGAGTTGTCCAAGGGTGGTGTCCAAAGTACGTGTCCACTGTCTGAGTCAAGCAGCACTTCATGTATCTATTTCTGACACTATCAAAGATGTCTGGCCAATCGCAAAAATCTCGATGGTGATAGGCTGTGTTTGCTTCAGTGCAGAGAGCATAGTGATCTTCTGGTCAATGAACTTGAGTATGTAAAGCTGTGGACTGAGTATGGCATTGCAGGAGATCTTGTGGTGCATTTTTCTTTAATGCAATCTCCGGTCATGTCATTTCTTACTTGAATTTTTTCCAGCCATTCACCAATGATTTTCCTTGTGCAGACATACACAAAATTCTTACCCCAGACCTCCTACACCAAATCATTAAAGGCGCTTTCAAGGATCATCTTGTTGAGTGGGTAGATGCATTCTTGAAGCTTACCCATGGCACTGCACATGCAACTGAAATCTTGGAAGACATTGATCAAAGGTGAGCTGCCACAGCCTTGGCTTTATAAATCATTTCTCACTCACAGAACTTTTCCAGAATAGCTGTGGATGCCCCATTTGCAGGTTTGCAGTGCTTTCCTGAAGGCCATGGCTTCAAACAATGGACAGGCAATGACTCTAAAGCACTAATGAAGGTGCATCACTGAAGTTTTCTCAGTGGGTGCTCAAGCTAACACAATACTATTCAGGTCTATTTACCTGCCATCAAGGGACATGTCCCTCTTGATGTAGTATGCACATTTAGCACATTCTTGGACTTCTGCTACATTGTTCACAGGGAGGCACTTATGAATGACAATCTCATACAGCTTCAAGATGCACTTGACTGCTTCCATAGATACTGCAAAATATTCAAAACAACAGGAGTTGCTCCATCCTTCTCCCTTCCTTGTCAGCACTCCTTAATGCACTACTCACAAATGATCTGTCTCTTTGGAGCCCCCAATGGACTTTGTTTGTCAATAATGAAATCAAAACATATCAAGGCCATCAAAGAGCCCTGGTGCCGTTCGAGTAGATATGAAGCACTAGGCCAAATGCTGCTTACAAACCAACACCTTGACAAATAGCTGCTGCATGCACCAACTTTGAGGCTCATGGTACAGTAATCCACTATCAGTTGCATTTCAACCGTCAGTTGCATCAATGCACAACAACATTGTCAAATCATATTATTTAGACACAATTCTTGCTGATGTGTTTTCATGGCATATAGAGCTATGTATGGCTGGTATAATATCTCAAATCTGCCAGTAGGAAAGGTCACGATGTTGCAATTTGTAGCTGAAATTTCACTTTTCTGTACATAGCACCTTTGAATGATTTTTGTGGTGCACTTGGACATCATATATCAATAAAGAATACCTTCACCAACATCTGACATATGTTGTTGGTAAAGATCACAGCATTCCTGATGTGCCAGTTCAATGCCAGTGAAGGGCTACACAAAACTTCACAGTCAATGAGTTATCAGATCTAAGTACATCATGCATGACAGATATTAGCTAAACAAGGCTGGGCATATTATGATCTGGCATGTCGCGTACTAACAAAAATCTTTCCTACAAAATGCCTGGCATTGCCCACTCCATAGTGAAGAAGAAACAGATGACTTGTGTTGAGCAAGAAAAGGGTTATGCAGAGGCAATGAAGGAATACCATGATGAGCAGAAGAAGCCTGAAAGTGAGTGTTAAGGTCGTGCTCAAGGGGAAGACAACTCAAAGGGCTTTGGCTTCAGCTCATGCGCTGCACCCCTTACCCGAGTACATGCCCTTAATTTCCAAGGGGCAGAGAGGAAGTCCGGAGGTCAGAGGTCAGGGGAGTTTGGCGGAACTCTGGAAGACTATGAGAGAATGGAGTAGGGCTACTACGGACAAGTCCAGAGTAGAAACAGAACAGAGTTTAGACTACCCTAAGGCAGAGCCGGAGATTTAGTCCTGAGGTTTAACCCTAAGACTTGGAGGTAGACAAGAGATGAGACTCAAGTCTGGAGAAGCAGGAATGAGCAGAACTAAGATGATATTCAAACTGAGGAGTTCTGGAGTATTACAGGAGTTTATATACTGTAGGTATCATGTAAGTAAATCAGTCAGCAAAGTAAGGGCTATGTACGAAGCATGTGGAAAGTCTATTAGTAAGTGTATAACAGATCAAAGCAGTGAGGTCGGAAATGAAGTACAAACAGACAGATCAGTAAGCATAGCGGAAAGGATATAACCAGTAGCTGGAGCAATAGCTATTCTAAAAGGAGCTAGGGGTGAGTACAGAGATGAAGGTGGAGCGCCAGGCAGAATAACAGGATGGAGAACCGGACTTTAGTGGGGGAGATCCGGAGGTATGGGATATGACAGTGAGAGGAAGAGCAGAAAGGCCATATGCAGAGATGTTGTGGAGAAGTGAAAAGCAATGAGAAAACCAGTTACTGTCAGTGCTGATACACTTTGACAAAGGCTCGAGGGAGGATGGACCTATAGTCAGTTCAATGCAGAACAAAATGCATGGCTTTCACCTGAAGAGGAGGAGAATGTTGTCGCATACTGTATCAAGCTTGGAAACCAAGGATTCCCTTTTAATCACTCTTGACTCAAGTTTCACATTGACACACTCCTACAAGCTCGCCTTCAGTCCAACTTCCCAGAAGGTGGGGTGGGAAAGAACTGGACTGAGTGATTCATTCTGTGCCATTCCGCACATCTTAGTCAGTACTGGAGCAAACCTTTGGATACTGCTCGTGGACGGGCAGTTAATCCATCTACCAACAAAGCATGGTATGACATTTTGGGCAGTACCATCGAAACTGAAGGTATCAAAGATGACTGCCTTTGGGCAGCTGACGAGACAGGCTTTCAGCCAGGTGGAGGGCTCAAGGAGCGGGTATTCAGAGCTGCAAATAGGAAGACTCAGCATTAGCAGTGAGATAGAAACTGAGAAAATATCACAGTAATGGTTACCATCTGTGCAGATGGCGAAGAGATTCCTCCAACCATTATCTACAAGGGTCAGAGTTTAATGACAAACTGTCACCAGGATAATACTTTGAATGCATCGTGAGTAATCCAACATACAAATGAAAGTGTTTGCTTACCTCCATCAAGTGTTGCACATTCCCCAAAAGGATGGACTGATGGGGTCATTGGCCATCTGTGGATTGAGGATTTTGATGAGAAGACTTGTGAGAAAGCAAATGGGCAAGCACAGCTTCTCATCGTAGATGGTCACAACTCCCACTACACAAAGGAATTCCTTGACTATGCAAGAGAGAATAACATTCATGTCCTATGTTATCCAGCACATGTAACTCACGTGTACCAAGGTCTTGATGTTGTTGTTTTCAGACCACTGAAACAGGTACTGGACACAGAAGAGAGACACATTCAAGACTGAAAAAAGGCAGAAGGTTACCAAGGCCAACTTTGTGTCCATCTACAAAAGAGCTCACTGTAAAGCACTCACCCCCAAAACAATTCAAGCTGCCTTTTGCAAGACAGGTGTCTGGCCACTTGACCATACTGTTGTCACCAGTGACATGATGGCACCAAGCCTTGAAACTTCCTCAGTTGGGCTGTTACCACTGCCACAACCAAGTCCTGTACATGTTGTTGCCAATGTCATGCATCAGTACCAACAAGATTTGGTTTCTGTTAATGAGAGCCTGCCTACCAATAAGGACCCATTGGACCCATTCTTACAACCAATTTGGGTGTTCACAGACCCTCTGAGATTGTTAAGTGCAGCTCACGAAGCTGTGACTGAATTGTCAGCAACATCAGCAGCATTCTTGGTTGCAGAGACACCCATACACTCATCACACAGACTCCCAGCATTCATTCCCACTCCTCTGACACCGACACATAAAAGGAAACATGATCTGTTGGACCACTATCCTGAGTCAGACAAGGAACAAATGTACCAAGCGGCACTACAGGATGCATATAAATGTGAGTCCAAATACAAAAGTGCACTCCTTGGGATGCAGTCAACAGTAGTCCTGCAATCGATTTTCTGTGACTGCTTGTCTAATCAGCTTGCGGCACAAGAGGAGAAGAAAAACGGCAAGAAAAATGCACCATTGGTGGGTGATGGGATGCCAAGGTTACTCACTGGCGATGTGTTCTACAATCAAGTATCTGAGCATCAAAGAGCAGCAGAGAAAGAAGCAGCAGCAAAGGAAGTTTGTCAGATCAAAAGGGAGGGGAGAGCAGCAGCTATGGCAGTATGGAAAGAAGCGGAGGCAGCATGGCTGAAGAGAAACAAGGAATGTCAAGCCACATACAAAGATGAAATGAGGCTGTGGGAGGAGGAGAGAGATTGCGCCAAGCTCAAGAAGTGTTGGCCAAGGTGGAAAAAACCGAAACAGGGCAAATTAGAGTCGCTGATACCCAAACCAACTCTCAGTGATGCTGAAGAAGATGACGAAAATGGTGCAAACAAAGACGAGGAGATTGATTGTGACAATGATTCTGATGGTGGGAGCTCTGAGGTTTGATCAGCTTATCACTTGTCAGTAACATACAATCAGCTCTTATCATTGAGTAATACCATTTTTGGGACTGACACAACTGATGGTGGAGTGCTGGTAAGAGCCATATTTTTGATTCACTCACCACTCTACAACACATCCTCTGATGCTCTCAAGATTTCATTATATACAATAGAACATGTATTAGAAAGTAATGGTCAATCATGATTATGATTTTTTTTAAAATGTGCTGTTGTGTTGTGAGACATGCTTGAAGTTTTGCCGACGCAACTGACGGTGGATTACTGTATGCTCTGAGGCTCATGCATATCCGATGCTTTGCAAGAACTTGAGACTCATACATTTTTTTGACAAAATCTACTTGCTGAGTCTTTTAATCATTTATATAGGCTATTCTGACTCAGAGTCTCATGACAGAGAAGACAACAAGTCAAATGATGATCAGGCACCGCCTCCGAGGTATTTGCGCATCAATGAACTGCAGAGTCAGTCTATTGAGGGGGAGACAGTCGAAGTAATTGATGGACCTACTGTCCAAGCTCATATAGATCTGGCTACCACAGCGAGTAGGTCCTGTCTATTCTCATCCAAGTCACAGCCATTCAGTTCATTTACTAGTATCAGGAGGTGCATGCAACATCCCAGCTCTTGCAGCCAATCTCAGGCTTCTAAACATTCCAATGATGATTCAACAGTTTCTCCATGACCAGCATCATGTTTCCAATGCCAATCCCCCAGAGGTTGACCCTGCCACAGTACCAATATTCATGGGGAGAGTTTCTACTTTCAGCTCTGCATCAGCATCATTCTATGCACCAAGTGACCTTAGTGGCACTGGAGGCATGCGATGTGAGCACATTCTGGCAACACCAACCTGGTGAGGGGGGCCCATTAGGAACAACTGCGTCTTTGTTAATATGGACTTAGATACTGACCTCAATGGCATGGATGGGCTCACAATAGCACGTGTTGTGCTTTTTCTCTTTCAGGGACTGAACATCTTGTTTTAAATGTGCAGTGGTGCATTGGTTCTCATACATCCTCAATGGCCATGATCCTGATACAGGAATGTACATCATTGCACCCTCAATGAACAACAATGATGCACCTTGTTACGGGAAAGCCCGGCTTTCCCAACAGTGCACTTGATAGGGTCAATCCCGTGTCCGCTTCATGGAGCATCAGGACGATGGAAGACTAAATGGAGGCTGTCCATCCAGAATGACTGACTAAAGGTTCAAAGAAGAAGCTAGAGTCGTATATCACAGGTGAAGATCAAGTTAGAGAAATACATGGTCTAACTACAGTGGTATATATAGGTATCATCCTATGAGTTCAGGGTAGGCTTGGATAGCCAGAAAGTGTCCCAACTAGGTAAGTGTCTATGTGAGTCATAAGGACTCAGAGATAAGAGTACCAGTTCAATGGTAAGGGTCCAGGGTATGGTACCGGCATAGCGGTAGGTGTCCAAGTCAGATAACGCTATCTGTCATGATAAGCGATAGGATAAATGATAGTCAGTACCGGTGTATCGGTAGGGGCGATAAGGGAGAAGCGCGCAGCTTCTATTGATCCCAGTCTAGGTCGGTTCTAGAGCTGTCTTGCTCCAACAGCTGTCATGCTGTGCGCTGCAGTTTAGTCACGTGCCGGTGATGTCATCTGTCATGTGTTGTGACATGGTTGTGATGGTGACATTTGGTGGAGATGATAGGGGTCTGAGGGTCCCTGTAACATACCTGATGTCTCTGTTATCCATATTGATAGTATCTTCCGTGCAGCCCATCTTATCCCTGTTTATGGCACAAGTTTGTTGCCTCATGAAATCACTGCCCACCATTCCTACAATATATTCTGTGCTTACTATGTTAATAAGTACACTGATAATCATGCATTTGAAATAGCATGATGCATCCTGTATGAGGAGCATGGAATACACCCCTGATGAGCCTATGATTAGCATAGTGAGTGTCTCATAGTTCACTGTGAGTCTTGATCTGACATCAGACAGCAGCAGTTCAAACCTACAATGCAATGTGACTTTCCTAAACCAATCAAGGTCCAATATTTCCATGCAATGGAGTACACGCATCCAAGGAAGCTGATCAACTCAGAATACCTTTCCAACTCCACCTTCCATCTTCCCTCAGTCAAGGGACTGGAAAGCACGTGTTCATAGGAAGCAAAACAGAGATGGCATTATTGGATTTTGCCAAAGAACTTGGATGGCCAAACTACAAGGAGACAAGACACGCTGCTGGTGTTATTCAAATGGTGTCATTTTCTAGTGACCAGAAGGCTATGGGTGCCATAGTCAGGCATGCACATGGCTATCATCTCTTCCATGCATCCGTGACAAAGTTCAATTCACCATTGTAAGTCTGTAGCATCTGTGCAATATGCTTTCTGATGTTAACAAACACAAGCTTGACATCATGAGACACTGTCAATGGCAAGGGGAGAACGAAGCAAGTATGTCTAAAGCAAGCAGATGGGAAACTTTAAAGTAGTGATGACGAATTACTCATCAGGGAAGCCCATGAGCAGGAAAGTACACCAAGGCCAGCACTGGTGTTCAAAGGGAAGCCTGTAATAACCTATGTTTTGTACATCTCCTCAGCTCTAATCACCATGTCATCACCAAAATTACCAAATCCAGACATCACATGACATGTTGACATTTCTGACGCCACCAATTATATATACCCGTCATATTCGACATTTGAAATGATGTCACGATATGATGACATTGAACATACTGTCTGTCAGACACAGGTCATCTAGTAGAGTAGCTGTCAGCCAGATATCAGATACATCCAATGTATTGTATGGAGTAATACTAGTGATATATGATGAAACTGGGTGGAACCCAAGTAAAGTACCTAAAGCACACCATAGCCTCCCTCAACAAGTATGTCATCATCAAGTTCCTCACCAAACTCAGCTATAATCTCATCCTCCTCATCATGCCTCAAGATATCATATTCCTTCAATTATTCCCATTTTATCAACTAACAAATCCAGAATGCAGTCTCGTTGGACGGCACCTACTGCTTCAACTTGAATATAGACACTCCGGGCACCAAGGTACCTTTATCATTTTGCTCGATGCTTATCTTGGATCGAGAAGCACCCGAAACTTGAATCTAATATCACCAAACAAGGACAAGCACGTCAATATCAATATTGCGGTCGCATATTTTACAGCTTATCTTTCTCTTCCACCACCATGGCGCGTCGCAAATGCTCTGCCTCCATTTCATCTTCTTCTTCTGAATTGTCCCACAGTTCCAGGTTATCAGTATTGTCAGTAGCCACCTCTACTTGGCGACCCACAGAAAACCGAACTCGCTATCATCATCAAGGTGAGTGTATGTGCATGTATGCACATATTATGTACTTAATTCAACCACCAGATGGATGCTGCTATTTCAGTGACTCGCTCTGACGACACCTCACATCTGGTGATTGTCTTTTCGTTCACCCAAGATTTGTTTGTATTCATTTGCACTTGGTCATGCAATCTAGGTGCGTGTCATATCCCATACCTCCGGATCCGGAATTCTGGATCTACTTCATTAAAGTCCAGTCCTCTGTCTTACTATTCCACCCAGCGCTCCACCTTCATCTCCACACTCACCCCTAACTCCTTTTAGATTAGCTATTGCTCTGGTTACCAGTTATGTCCTATTCCGCTATGCTTACTGATCTGTTCCATTCTTACTTCATTTCCGACTTCACTGCTTTGATCTGTTACACTTAGTAATAAACTTTCCACATGCTTCGTACATAGCCCTTACCTTTGCTGACTGATTTACTTACATGATATCTACAGTATATAAACCCCTGTAATACTGCAGAACTCCTCAGTTGAATATTATCTTAGTTCTGCCCATTCCTGCAATCTCCGGACTTGAGTCTCATCTCTTGTCCACCTCTGAGTTTTAGGGGTTAAACCTTAGGACTACTTCTCTGGCTCTACCTTAGGGTAGTCTAACCTCTGTTCTGTTTCTACTCCAGACTTCTGTAGTAGCCTTACTCCGTCCCCACATAGTCTTCTGGAGTTCCGCCGAACTCCACCGACTTCTGTCCTCCGGAATTCCCTGGACTTCCGTCGGACTTCCCCCCTGTCCCTTGGAAATTAAGGGCACGTACTCGGGTAAGGGGCGCAGCGCATGAGCTGAAGCCAAAGCCCTTTGAGTAACCTCTCCCTTGAGCACGACCTTAACAGTGCGTCTTTTTTCACTTATCTATGTATGTACATTACTGACAAGTATCTACATATCTATTTGTGAAGTTGTGTACATTTACTTTTTGGCACTTCGTTGCGGCCACTTTGCATGCTTGCACACATCTACGCTTGTCTTTATGTGTCTCAGGCTGCGCTCATTTATATCCGGCGTCTTCAAGTTGCGCAATAGGTTCGATTTTTCAATTGATAATATTTATAACTAACTGATCACATGCTCACTTGTTCACATTGCCATCGCAGAAAATTTAGCGCACACACTGCGGCTTGCTTGGGCACAAGCCCTGGCTTTGGGCCGGCTTGGGCTCATGGCTCAGGCTTGAACTCATGGATTTCTCATATTCCTGTCCTGGTGTCCGCTCTCGATTACCCATACTCACATACATAGGCTCGAAATGATACACTAATTGTACCTCACTGCTTTGTACTACTGTTAATTCAATGCATTACCTTGTTATATCAGAACACAATTGCGATATCTGATCAATCTGAGTGAAATTCAAATACTTGATGTACATAGCAATGTCTGATATATCGGTACACTAGCTTAATGCCAAACTTATGTCATATGGCAGTCACAATGCCAGAATTGAGTTTCCTAGCATTGCCCAACATTGAGACCTTGCGCCGGATACATATGGCAGGTATGGTAGCTCCGACATGACCATATATAGCCATGTCTGAGTTGTGTAATTTTGGTGATGGTGCCTACTGACCCATGCACTAGTAGCCGCAGCCAATTGAGGTCTGATATTTTCACACAATGGATCCGGCTCAGAGAAGCTGATCAAGGAAAGCTACATCTGACTCCACATCCAGCACTTCTCCATCAAAGAGAGTACCATTCCTCCACCAGAATGACTTGAAGGAGAGCTACAAGGACTACTATGGGACACCATTACTCTCTGGACTTTATGTTGGGTAAGAATCAGATTGCACATTATCCACTGCATTCACCAGCAGTTGACTTATGGTTGAACCTCAAGCTGTAGCTATTATTAACACTTACCTGCGTAATTTTTTGATGGTCGAAAGACATTGTTCTATACCAGTAGCTTGACTTCCTTAGAAATTTATCCCCCTTAAAAAAGCACCTGGCTTAAAAGACATAAAGTAAGGAGAATAAGTAGCAAAAGGAAACATCAGAACATCCTTAATCTCATTAGCCTCCTTAGAACGCCTTCGTCATTTTCTCAAGTAATATGAGGCCGAAAAAGGATTCCAATGTTTTCCTGATGAATCTCATTGTTTTCGCATCGATATCATGTGTTTCCACGTATGTAGTATCGGATCGTCCGTCATATGTTTCTTACTGCTATCATACTGCAACCTGTTGTCCGTTTATCAATGATCATTCCTTTGCGTGCATGACAGGAGAGCAAGTGCACGTGCAGGTCCAACTACAATTTTGGCATAATCTATTGTAGAATGATGTATTATCAGACTACCCCATGCGTCGTAGTGCTAGTAAACCAGATATCACTGATATCCTATGACTATGGGCAGAGACACATCAACAGGTACAGGTGTCCTATTCCTCACCGGAAGGATTACATCAAGCACTTACTAACTCTAGATGAAAACCTAGAAAGCATATGGCGCAACTCGCCTAATGCACTTGGGGTGGGGCTTCCTCCATTCATCATCCTGCGAACCCGCCGGCTGCATAATAAATCCGTGCTCGAAAGATACTCTGTCTGGGAATGACGCGTTGATGATATCGCTGCTCTCATATGCTTTATCCTTATATGGAAGATGACCTTTCCGACCACCTGGCGAATTTACGGGCCAAGTGGGAAGGTAGCACATTTCCTAAGGGAAACACTGGTAAGAAGTAGGCAACACATGATGTCAGGACATTTACCTCAGGCCCGCAAGCTGGACGACACCTAACCCACACGCTCCAATCTAGCCATGCCATCAAAGCACTTAATTCGTGCCTCCACGTATCTATCAGGTGAATAATTTGCGCAGCATCTGGAGTTGAATCACGGGGGAAATATGAATCAAGACCTGCAAGGACGCCAGTGGCCCACATCTTCGTAACGACACGACATATCTCGCGCGTAGTCTCTTGCACTGCATGCAGCAGAAGACGTTCAGAAGGATTCAAGCTGGACTTATATGATGCGATAGACGAGGTGTGCGCGGTCCCGCATGCTTTGAATACTGGCGTTGCCCAGGAGTCATAGGATGCACTGGGGGGGATACTATTATGGGGGATGTATGGCGCGAGCATCACGCGCAGTTGGAGATGCACCTTGTTTGCTTGGTCCAGAAGCGTGTCATTTTCCGAGGTGTGGTTGAGAAGGTAGTCCATCAAGTCAAGGCGCCCTGAGTAACGGTCCACGATAACTCTGAAAAGAGTTTTCCAGTCGATGCCACTGAGGTCACTATGATGCTGCTCTAACGTGCGAGAGACGCTACGCCTGACCACCTCGATGTCTGCGGAAGATATGCCTTGTACGCGGTGGTCACACCGCTCCTGGCCGGCGCGTGAAGCAACGAGTGACGGTGCGAGCGTGGTGTCGTATAGTGAGACTATTCCAGCTAGATCAAGGTTAATTCGTGTGTCTCCAGGGTATCTATTACGCCATGACCCGGCATGCATCACTTCGAACATGCTAAGATCTAGAGATATACATAAGGAAAACATAAGGAAAATGAAAACACAGAGACTTGCTTGGAACTGTAACAGGGCTGGCAAGGTCAGACCAGGAGACGACTTCCAGGCCAGCCGTGAAATCACAGAGCATGACTTCGCTGACGCAAATCAATTCAGTTGAAAAACACAATGCGGAAATTAAGGGCATACAAGTCCATTTCCATGCTGTAAACAAAGTTGTATACCATAACGAGACGATGCTAGGCAGATATCAAACTTACCGAACATAACCATCAACAGCGTAAGGTGCTCCCCATTTGCACAAATTTATGATGCGCTGTTCCTCGTTCGACCACCAGTCGGGTCTCAACTCTCCCCACGCAATGATATCCTGAGTGTCGACAGTACCATTATTGGTATTACCCGCGCTATTTCCATCAAAATAAAGAACTTTGAGGGGACGAGTTGCTGCGAGCGTCAAATGCCGACATCCTGTATCGAGCGAGCCTCGGCAGAAGTACATGGAGTGTTCCGGATCCATGGCCGTCCACTCAGGGACCATAGGGATATTGTTGCTGTAAGCTGCATGATACAACAAGGTGCCTTTGGGAATGACACCTGGAACGATTGCGTGGCCTGGTAGCCGCAGTAATACAGTGTCAGACAGTGACAAGGTCAGCCTGAGGATAAGACTGACCATTCCGATAACGTGTGTTTGGCCAATGCTGGAGTAACGAATTCACAGTTTCAAACACAAAGTGCCCTGTTGCATTAGCAGGAGGTGGCTCATCAAGCCGCCAAGGTAAAAGGTCGAGGCTATCCGAATCCAGAGAGCTAGCGATAGACGCAGATCCGCATTCCAGTGACTGCTTGTCATCAGGCGACAAACACAGGGGGACTTGCGCGGCTAGTGACTGTAAGACAAAGCATCCAATGGCAAGGGTTGAAAATGGCATTCTCGACGTCCACTATGAAGTAGCTTATCGTGACGGTCGTGATACCGCTGTTCGACCTTTGATGACTTTTAATTCTCCGACAGTTCGATTCGGTACGCACTGGTTTGACACTGGTAATGCAATACTGAGAACAATATCATGACGGAAAACAACCTTGGTCCGCAGCGTTAACGTTATGTAACTGAGGTCAGCATACCTGGGGCTATGATTTCAAAACGACAATGTTTCATACTTCCAATAACCCCTCTCCGGAGGAGCGTGACATGCTTGTAGAACACTTTCATACATGGTAGTTACATTCGAACGTGAGATTGTGTCATTAAGTAAGTGATCGAACTAGTAAACTTATAAGAAACTACGAGTGACGCTGTCTTCGACTATCACATTGTACACCAGCAGAACTCTTGCGAGCACGGGAATATAATTACGAGATGGTGTATCCGTCTAAGGGTGGGTAATATATCTGAGCACTCTACAGAGGGGAGGAGGAACTGAGAGAGTTCAACCGCACTTTCCTCTCGTCATCCTCTCTGGCTTGCTCTGCAAGCTGTGGAAAGGTGATGAGTATTTCGGTTGAGAAATGAAGTAATTGCACGCACTAGGGTTCGCCATGAATGGTCAACCGGTCGCTGGAAGAAAAAGTCAGTATCTGCATCATGTGGACACATCAAGCTCGGGACTCACGTGCTGGAGGGCTGCCTGGCGCTGTGTGTGCGTGAGAGCGCCAGCGGCGATCAAGACGCCAATAGTCAAGCCTTGTGCCCACATGCGCACTTGGACAACCTTTTGGGGTAATGTCTGATGTCTGCACATGTTTCATCAGGACATGGGAAGAATCGTCGATATGGAGGAAGCCACAGACCTATCTCTTGCAACAATGCCACCAGCGACTGCCATGGACAGAACCCAGCTTCCAACAATAATGCTGTACTGGTGTCGGGATGCCCAGTCTCCGATCTTTTGTTTTGTGCTCAGGGCATTCCATTGTGCTTCTGCCTCTGCTGCTTCTCTGTCTAGTTCCATTCGTCCTGCGCCAGTCCTACAGGGCGTTAGAGGAGTCATTCAGTGTGGAATCAAGGCTCACCAATGCGCACGATCGAACGCTAGACCGCGTCTTTCAGCCTGAATGGATACGCAAGGTGCGACCAGCATAACAGTGCCCATGAGCTTTAAGGGTGGAGGTAGTGCTCGGAAGTATGCCCATCGACGATTTAGTATCAGCCAGCTAGGGATAGCGAGGGCTGCGCTAAAGGCAGCGCCTTCTGCTGCACCGCGGATGGTAGCGTTGGTGTGGTCGTCGATTTCTTCCTGGGTAACGATCTTCATTGTTGTAGTTGTAGCCTTTCACCAAGACAATATGTTTGATGGGTAGCCTGGCTCCCAAGTACTTATATAGTGATTATTTGGCGGCTGGCCCCGGTGACGTCGATTATATTTATAGGGTGTGAGAATTGACGGAGATTTGAGTATCGCGTTCGGGATGATACGGGCAACTAGGCCGCCTTCTTTAATTGGTTACCCCCGAGGAGTTCCGATCTAATAACCGCTGCGGTACTGCCACCACACGCAATGCGCATGAGAAATGACATCAATCTTCGACTTATCATAGGAACTGGAAGAAAGGTGATGCACCTAATGATAAAGCCTGTTTATAATCTGTCGATCTATTTATTCAGCAGAGGCTAATGTTACTCCGCGGTAATGTAGTATTTTATACTTCCGCGTTCCCCGCGAATGTGAGTTGCCTCTAGATTCAACTTGAATCCAGTATCCTGTTAGCGTTACTCATGATGTTGCTGATGGATTGACTCATGGTGCTGGCGTTGCGCCCATTGTCGCTCATGGCACTGGGGGTGAGCTCGCTGGTGTCCATGGTACCCGTGATGTCGAGGGAGGCTTGACGCATGGCGCTGCAGCTTGATTTGTTTTACGCTTTGATCCATCGATTTTGATTGCGCCTTGAGCACTTTTAGAAATTGCTCAAAATACTATCCGTGCCAGTGACGTCAGACCATTAATATTGACGTCACGATCGAAGAGGACCTGTGTCGCAGTGGCTCGCAAAACACATGAAGGGTATAAAACCCAGGACCAGCCGCCGACGTATTGCATTCTCCACATTCGACTCCTCAATAACCCGCCTAATTGATTCATAAAAATCTCAAGCAGCAATGACTTCATCTACCGCACACCCATCTGCTGTAGGCACGAACACCCAACCTACCCAACCCAAAAGAAGGTCGACTGCATCTCCCACCGCCAAAGCTCCAACTCAAAGCGCGCCCAAATCAGACGACAGTCAGCTTCCGCCTCAAAGGCATGCAGGAGCCGTCGGACTTGGTCCCTCATATAATCAGGGAGTGGTGAGTCCAGTATTCACATCATACAGCGTCTCAGAACTGAAACGAGTCGCGTGATAGGGTTTCGGAGACAAAATCAGCGGGTTGCAAGAGGAAATCAAGGGAAAGATTATGAAGAAACCGGAACTAGTGGAACATGGGCGTGAAAAGCGTATGGGGGTTTTGAAGAAGAGGGAGCAGGAAGAACAGGTAGAGAATTTGAGCGTAACTCCAACTCCTCGTGAACTCATATTATCTGGTTGGCTAGGATAAGAAGGAAGACCCGTTTACGACATAGGGAGATAAAGGTGCTCCCGGAGAGAAGGGTACGGTGGTGCAGGGTGCACCACAAGGAACGGAAGATGCATAGACAGGCCTAAAGCGATGTGAGAAGCTATTATTAGGTCACGAGTACGCCGCTGCGTGTGCATCGATGTCATGAAGATTTTGTAGCGGTAGTTAACATTGCATCGTGGCTGAATTAACACTGAGTTATTTCAAAAAAACATTTCAGCATTTAGTTTCAGCGCACAAATAAAATGCAAGAGGCATCTGAACGAAAATCAACAACTCAAGTTGTTACCAACAGTCATGCCTCTTAGTCCCCCCGTCGTTGTGATCACGGTTTGCATCATCGGGCCTCGAAACTCTGAAGGTGAAAAGCAAGCTCCTGGTCTCATTTACCCTCTCTCGACGGACCACGGCACTCTTCCGTAGCTCAGATGGTCATATCGAAGACAGCGGATGGGCGCGTCAGACCACAGTCCGTGAATTCCCCGCCTTCACTGAGCTTCAATGCGAGGGTGAAGATCGTCTGGCTTGCCGTCTGATGTCCCAAAGTCAAACATCGTTTCACGCAGCCTCCGCGTCCAACCCCCGCTCAAGACGCCAGGTGGTACTGTCCGCATTGTTGATACCTCAAATTTCCCTGTCTCGACAACTACTGCCGCTGCCCATGTAGTGATAGAACCTCATGGCCGATGCGGTGTATGATGACAAGGCAGCGGTAATCATTCACAGCCTGCGGCAGCTGCACTGGCACCTGAATGCGGATGAATGGTCGTTCTTCATTCGCGGTTGCGGTCGAGCGGCTTCTTCGCTGGTAGCGGAAATGCGTGCCCGTTTGATTATCGTGCCCAGTAGCCGTGGAGACATGGAGATGCTCGAGGTTTTTCGTGCACCGAAGTTTGAAGACTTTGCTTTGGAGCAGGGGTTAAAAGGTTATCCTGGACAAACGGTGTTGGAGTACTTGGACCTGCAAGACAGTGAGGAAGGGAGGAAGTTTATGGAAGCGCTGCAGAAGGGTCAGTGAAAGGAGCTGGTGAAATATGCAAAGGCCGAGTAGTGACGCTCGGAATATTGATACAGGTTCATCAGCATCGTGTGAGTGGTACAAGCGAGATTGGATTCCGTGCATAACATCGTCTCCTTTTCACATGTACCGGGCTTTTATACACGATTTCTGCGAGGAATAAGTAACTGTTATAGAAGTTACTTTGCCCACCCTGCATCTAATCTTATGCCATCCAGACCTTCGCAATCAGCTCCGTCAAGCCTATAGAAATATAAGTTAGACGAGCAAAGGTGACGAGAAATATCGAACGCACCAATATCGTTTGTGTTGAACTGATAAACGCCGACGAGAACGCCAACCGTTGCTGATCTCAGCGCCCAGGTCAGGGTAGGGCCAAGGATGGGGAATTTGCGTTTGTGCACGTAGTCCACGACCATCGAGTCAAACTAGAATGAATAAGTCAATGCCATATCCTCGCTGAAGACCACCTCAACCGGTCACACACCCCAATATGAGAGTGCATCACTAAACTGAGACCAAGCAGTCCGTCGAGAACGGGGTAAGATGAACCAGAGGTCACAAAAGCGGCTGCAGTCATGGGAACAAGGGAGGCCGCAAGAAGGCGCTCGAACGCCCAGTGATACGAGCCATGCGTCCTTGATGGAGGAGGGAATTCCGTAGGGTCGTTGACTGTGCCCTTTAGGATAGCTGTCGAGCGCAAGATTGAGCTTGTCTAGGATAAAACTGACAGGATTCATGAACGTACGTCCGCCTGGCACATATTGCGTAGTCGAGCTTGCTGCTCTCACTTTGGAATGCGAGATAAGCTTGATCCACGGATGAGGAGTAATACGAATTGTACTGACCTTGCAATGCGGATCGCAAGACATTACGTCCAGTTGCAGGAAGCAAAGGTTCTGGGCAGTGTTGAGCGAAGGATCATGTTCGCAGCCATCGTCTCTGACGGTGTCGACAACTGCTGAAGAAAGTAGTGAAAGGTCGTGTGCGGGGCGGATGAGCGTGGATAAAGCCGCAAGCTGTCGACCGCTAATGCGTTCAGCCAATCACATGCTTCCGGTTATGTCCGCTTGAGTCCTTCAAGTTGTCTGCCGCTTGATCAAAAACTACCAACACATGTACGGCTATTTATTTGGACACAACCTCCACACGGGAGACGGTATATGTTAGAAGCTTATATCCCGCGTGGACTCGGACGTTGTACATCTCCTGGTTAAGTAAACAGCAAGATTGAGGGCGCGCACCTGGAATGTATTCTCAGGTACAAACGCCTTAATCTTGCTTGACAATGAGCTGTGGGTATCACTCTCATTCAATACAAGCCGTTTCAAACTGGTCTCTGGTCAAATTCCCGCATTCAACAGCTTGACGCATTTCACACTCTGCATGGCAGTTTGACAACCGTGTGTCACCTACAGTAACTCTCCGTGGCCATTACCCAACGAACGTGAACGCTCGTCGATCTGCTCGACTCCTCACTGCAGGAGACGTTGACTGGACATGTCCTCCCACGATTTGACTCGACAAAGTCGTCCATCGCCTCGTCCACACCCATACGTACTTCGCCGTGTCTTGAGCTCGTTCAACTCACGTGGAGTCCATCGGCCCAGGTTGAAATCCAAGGTGTTAATCCGACGAAGCAGGAAGTAGTGGTTCAGTTATCCAAGCATACGACGAGGAACATGAGAATGATGTCCCTGCGAATCCAAGTCATCCAACCCATAAATGACTACTCGACACACGAGTTCCCCCACTCCTCTTTCATGGACTACAATCTATCACTCGTTTGTGGATGGATTACTTTTTCCTTTGTCACATGCGGACGTTGGCAGGTTGGAGATGAAGACGCTACTCGTAGTGGCTGAATCAGCCGTGTTTTTCTACTGCCCTCACGATGTTTGACCAAGATACGCAACTCACTTGAGTCATCGTCATCTTGGGGGAATCGTTCGGTTTCGAGGTTCGTCTGCGATTACGCCCAATTTACACCGTAATTATTTCGAACGTGATGACGCTTGCACGCAGACGGATGTAACTGTTAGGACGTTGACGAACATATATGCGTCTGCCTAAAAAGCTTGTCGTGGGGCGAGTTTGACACCTTGTAATCTCAGCCAGTTGACTCTCACGAACGGTGTTTCCTTCCCTGGTATGGTTCGTGTCATGGCATGGATGTGTGGTGGACCGGACACGGGAACTGCTTGGAAAGATATTGAAATCGTAGGAGATACCATGTACAAAAGATCCATATGCATGATCTACACAACATTCGCAAACGGTGACTGGCCCTCCAAAAATAACGCCCATCCTTTGAATTTCTCCGGCAAAGCACTGAATGGTGTGCAACTGTACAAATTCCGGGGAGGTACTCCCATCTCAGTGCACACAGACCGTGTCTCTGCGAAGCGCTGTGCAGCTACAGCAAAGTCACCGCGCGCAAAGGCAACCTCTCCCAATCCGCGGAGGCTGTGTGCCTTAAACGCCAGGTTGCCTTGCATATCGCAACTTTCGATCGTGGTAGTGAATTGAGACTCGGCGCTGTGGTACTCGCCTGCGGTGAGCTCGATGCGTGCCGAGGCATAAGTTGTGTGGAGAAATGCGCGTGCATTGCGCAGCGAGAGGAATTCGAGTGGTCTGGAGGCTTGTTGGATAAGCTCTCTCGCAAGGGCATGATTCCCCTGCTTGCTTGCAACTACAGCTTTCCAGACGGTGTACCAAAGGACACGGTCCGAAAGTTGTCCCTCCAACATCTCTACGAGCTCCTGCAGGATATCCATGGCATCGGATAACCTGCCTTCATAAAATGCAACTTCTGCAAGGCCCAAAAGTGCTTCCCTGCGTTCTATGAGATCTCTAGGAGGTGCACATTGCCGGAGAGGGTCTTCTAAGTATGTCTTCACCTGGACAATGTCTCCGCCGTAGTATGATTTGGCCCGCCAGTGCCAAACCTTGGACTGCAAGCCCCATACACGATCTTCCATAGACTTCAGAAATAATTCGTCCGCAAATGCTGTGAAAGTGTACACCCGGGTCATATCCAAGAAAAACCAAGTTTTGGCTTTCATCGCTTTGCTGAGATGCTTCCACGAGTCGGAGTGTTGGAAGTCTTCCAGGACCTGTTGAGATTGAATGAATCGGCCTTGACATCTGTATGTGTCTGCGCATTGGGCAACACAGTGTGCCACATTCTCGTGGTGACCGGCAGTAAGATAGAGTGACTCGGCAGCTTTGAAGGCCTTCATTTGTTCTGCGAGCTGAGAAAGAGTGAAGTAGAGCCAGCCTAGCCGCCACAAGCAGTCTGCTTTTGGCACCCACGTGGAGGACTTCTCTACAATATTAAAGATAGCCGGAGCAAGGGTAGTTGGGCGAGGAAGATGCCACTGCAAGCACTGCAAAAATTGCCAGTAAGGGTGATAGGTCTCTTTAGGGACATAGCCGAGGTCAAAAGCAAGTACATGCTCAATGTTGAGATGATCCGAGATGATGATATCAGCAGGATTATCGCGTGCTTCTGAACATTGTTGAACAGTGCGATAGTAGAGAGCGCGTATCTCTCGCAAACAAGTGGGATCAGGTGGTGGCAACGAATCTCGAACAAAATGTCGTATGGGAGCGAGCATCTTGATGAAGTTGTCTTGACGATAAACGAGCGATTGCATGCATAGAACATCGCATACAGTGCTGACTTGCGGGAGCGATGGTAATAAATCGCTAGCCAGGTCTTCGTTGAGACCCTGGGGCAGGAAGGCGATAACAGCCAAAGCATGCCGACCGTTCTCTCCGAGTTTCTGGACCGACGGCGAGCTGAGCGACAGCTCCATGGTGTATGACAAACTTTGCAGCTTTCCCTCCCCGTGGTCTAGTACTGCGCTGTGCCGATCCTTCCATCGCTCCAGCAGCGTCCGTGGAGACCAGCGGTTTTGCTGTGCAGCATTTGCGAGTAGATTGATGGAAAGAGGGTGAAATTCCAACTCCTTAAGCAGGTTTGTTATTTCTTCTTCCGCATTGCTACGACTGGCTATGCGGTAAATTCGAAAGAATGCCTCCTGAGCCGAGCTCGAATCTAATGGCGGGATATCCTTCGTTATCCATTCTACATTGGGTGCATTCCTTCTACTACGCGATGTGAGAATCAGAATGACGCCGGGGATGTCTGCAATTTCAGCAATAGCTGGTGGTATTTCCTTGAGGGCCGAGGATTCGCCGGCCTCTTCAAAGGTCTCGGCATTATCGAGGACAATGAGGGTGGTAGCAGAACGAAGAAAGGAGGAAATTTGGCCTACAGGATCAGCTCCAGCAAGCTGCATGCCAAGAACTCCCGCGAAACGAGTCATAAAAGTGTCAAACGTAATGGTGGAAGGATCGAGGTCGTCATATGTCACGAAAAAGCGCCCATGAGCAAATTTCTCGATGACAAGGGACTCATTGAGGATAGCTTTGGCGAGAGAACTCTTTCCCATGCCTCCTGGACCAATCAATGCAATATGCTCATCATTGACGACGAGGTTCGTCAACTCTGCGACAAGATCATCGCGGCCATACAATATGGAAGGCCGTGGTGGAGGGATAGGTGGGCGACACCTGACTGGACTTAGAAGGATGTACATCACTCGCGGAAAAGACAGCTCACTTTATGACATCAATTACATTGGCGTTGTCCTGCGGTCCCAGAACTAGCTTCTCCACTCTGATCGCGATGCCAGCAATTGCTTCAGTCTTGAGACGTCATTCAGCGACAGAAGTTTAGGTGGAATTCGAGACACATACACTGAATAGTACGAGGACGCGATCTAAGTCCTTTTCCCATCCAGCGATCTGGTCGCGATCCATCGTAACAGAGAAGAGTCTCTTCCAAAATCCTTGTTCCTTTCTTGAGGCTACTTCACTATTGATGCGGTTCACTGATCTACATGGCGTCATCAGTTTCCGGCGACGGTGAATTTGGTTCGGCTTACACATTAAGCTGTGATAAAGCATCCCCCAAAGATCCTCGCAGATCATCTGGGGTAGCATCTTTGGTGGCCCTTGCGAGAACTCTCCTGATAGTGTCGCACCTGTCGACTATCGCTAGGAAATCGGACTTGTTCTTGATCACTGACTATATAGACATGAGCAGTCTTCACGAAAAATCTCCGAAGATTAAGCCAACTTACCTGCGCGATAATCAGGATATTTGCGACTGTTCCAAGGATGCCTTTCGCCAGGTTGATGAGTATAAGGTCTTTCGTAATGTTGATGGCCGCTATGGTGGCGTCCAGCAGTTGACTCACATTTTCGTCCTGTGAGACCTTGGGTTCAGATGAGGGTTGCTTAACGTTTGGGCCGATCTATGTTAGATTAAATACACGGTGATGACGCATAGATATGTGCCTTCTTGCCTTCGGTTGTTTGGACCTTCTCGCCTTTGACTTTTTGGATAGCATCACCTGGGTCCGTGGAAGAGTTACAGTGATTGAATGCGTGCCTCTAGAGTCTAGACCCTAGTAGTAGACGCGCATGTTACACTGCATTGTCATGGCTGTGCTTCCCTGCTCTGGTCATATTGGTAAGTCCTTCGTCCTCTCCTGTTCTGAATCGCCTGGGTACCAGGAGTCACCAGCGCGTGCCTTACGGTGGATGGCAAATCGTGTACACGTCCTGGCGGTGTCAACGATGTTCAACCAAGTGGTGGAAAGTCGTGTGTGGGGCGCGGATGAGCAAATTAGCATCGATAAAACCGCAAATGACGCTGTCAGCCAAGCCTGTCATCGATCTTGTTCAAATCTTGTCTGACGATCAAGAAGTTAAAACTACCAACACAACTGATCTGTTCCACTATATATTTGGATAGAACGTCCGCGCAGGAGACGATGAATATCAGGTGTGAAGCTTATATCGTATCCCACGCGGGCAATATTGTACATCTCCTACAGGGTTAGACGGCAAGATCGAATATTGATATTGGGGGCGCGCACCTGGAGTGTGTTCTCGGATACACATCCCTCAATCTTGCTTGACAATGAGCTGTGGGTATCACACTCATTCAATACGAGCCGAAACCTCTGATCAAATCCACGCATTGCAGCTTGACGCGTTTGACACTCTGAACATCCCACTTGGCAATTTGAAAACCGTCCCCTACAATAACTCCCCATGGCCATTAAATGCTGTCATCTTGTAACGAACGTGAATGCTCGTCGATCTACTCGACTCCTCACTCGGTGACGGATGTGTGCTCCCGCGATTTGACTCGACAAAGCCGTCCATAGCCTCATCCACACCCACACTTCGCCGCGTCTTGAGCTCGTCCAATTCGCGCGGAGTCTATGTTTATTGCCCCAGGTTGAAGTCCCAAGTGTTGATTCGACAAAGCAAGGTGTGAGTAGTGGTTCAGTTATCTAAGCGCACTACAAGGAACATGAATCGTGATTGACCTGAGACGCAAGAGAATAAATCGAAGTTATCCCACGCACAAATGATTGCTCGATACCCCGCTCCTGTCTCGTGGACTACGGTCTATCACTCATCCGTGCACTTTCCTTTGAGGCAGGTCAATCGTCACAATACTTATCGTTACTTACGTCTTGGTTCAAGTTTACCCACACCAAACCCATACGGTGTCACGTTCAAAAGCTGAAGACACTACTTACTCGAGCTCGTGGCAGTGGCTAAATCAGCTGTGTTTTTGCGATACTTACATACCTGAGCTTTCTTGTTCGATTTTGAGGTTCGTCTGCAATAATTACGCGCAATTTCCACCATAACAATTTCAAATGCAACGCTGCTTGCACATCCTTGTTACAGGCGGCGGATGGAGCTGTTAGCCGTAACATTGGCAGATGGATGTGTTAAGATTGAGGATATCTATAGTGTGTCTGCCTAAAAGCCTTGTCGTGGAGCAAGTCCGACACTCTGTAATCTCAGCTTTGGGCCCTGAGATCTGAGATCTGAGACCTGGTATGGTTCATGTCCTATGACAAGAATGTGGTCATGAAACTGCTTGGGGTAAATCGTAGGGAATACATGTACAAACACTGAAAAAAAAAGAGATTATGGACCGGTGGGAATGTCGCACGAACCTTAGATTCTATCAACATTATTACTGTATTTTGACTACAGAACCACGAAATGATAATATGGTGCATATTCTCACATCCTTATGTCATTTCCACCGTATTCTGAGTCCTGACAGAGCTGGACAGTCTGGACTTGAACTTTGCAAAATTTTAAACCCTCTGCCCAGCTACGTAGTAGTTGCCGCATGATAGCCACAGCCTTCAAGTTGGGACTTCTACGACATGTCGCACATGGCATTGACCTTCCGATGGTTTCAAAGAGGTTCTATATATCATATGGAGTATGATCGAGGTCGGAGGAATATCGGTGAGCTTGTGGATGTAGAAGTGTTCATCGAGGCGAACATGGGCTGCAAACTCTGGCTGTTAGTCTTGCAGCATGGTCAAACGCTCTCCATTGCTAGGAAATTGGACTTGTTCTTGATCACTGACTATATAGACCCGAGCATTCTTCATGACAGATCTCCAAAGATTAAGCCAACTCACCTGCGCAATAATCAAGATATTTGCGACCGTCCCTAGGATACCTTTCGCCAGGTTGATGGGTACGAGGTCTTTCGTAACATTGATGGCCGCTATTGTGGTGCCCAGCAGTTGGCTCACATTGTCGTCCAGCGAGGCCTTGGGTTCAGAAGAGGGTTGCTTAGCATTTGGGTCATTCTATGTTAGATTAAATATATATGGTGGTGGCGCATAGATATGTGCCTTCTTGCCTTCGACTGTTTGGACCTATTCGTGTTTGACTTTTTGGGTGGCATTGTTTGGGTCGGTGTGGAAGAGGATTACAGTGATTGGATGCGCGCCTCCGAGTCTGCCTGCCTCAAGTTACCTGCATGGGGGAGTGTGAGAAACTATGGGGGATGTACCAGTGTCTATCATAGTCAGAGAAGTGACAAAACTGAGGCAAATTTAGGAGTGTTATCATTATGTGATGCCACCAGACGCGCATGTTATGCCGCATTGCCACGGTAGCCCATCCTCTGGTTCCTGGCCTTCCCAATGCCTTCCCAATTCATAACGGCAATTCCATCTTCCCTTGCTTTGAATTGGCTGGGTATGAGGTGTTGCCAGCACACCTTATTGTGGGTGTCGTGTCGTTTATAGTGATGCAGTCGGATTGCTTGTGGGCCATCAGTAAAACAGGTGAGACTCAGATATTAGTAGATATTTTGTAAGCCCAACGCGTCTTTCCTGTACATTACGATATAAAGTAATACATCAGTAAAATCATGAAGTCCTTATTTGGCTTTCAGCTGATTAATCAGCTTTGGACTTCGAACCAAAGTTGCATTTTGCCGAAAAGGTGGGATAAGGTGCACAAAGTCAAAGTTCTTTCAAGGTGCGAAAAGAGCAAAAACACGATACATAGATTTAAGGAGAATAATCAGATTCAAGCTGTTACAACTGCTACCAAGGTAAAATTACTAGTAGTATAATGAGAGTTCAAACATGAAAATTAAAAGATTATGATGTGATTTCAAATGTGTGATGATCAACATACTTGTTAACATAATAAGCTCGAAAAGCATCATAGGACACGTACAACGTGATGTCGAGAGGAACGAATTGGTTGCCGTAGATAGGGATGAGGTGAGCAGCACGGTAGATGGTGTCCGCATGTATGATAGTGTGTGTAGGCGCACGGTTGGCATTGTAGGCTGGGCAAACCACCCACATTCCCGTCTCTGGGTCAGGCGAGCCCCCAATGACATTGAACCAGCACACAACAGCACATGGGTACACTGTTCCTGCATAATTGAATGAAAAAATGCCCGAACCCTTGCAACATCGAGCCCTCGGATTCCTTCAGTGTCTGATCCTGTATTAACAAAAACACAATCATGACAAGAAAACTTGTTCCTGCCACATAGGGCAGGAATGGATATGTTCTACTCGCATGCCACCGATCCCGGAAAGGTCACTTGGTGCGTAGAATCTTGAGCACACGGGAGTTGAAGACTGATATCTTTCCTTCATACCTGGGGCAGGCAGCAAGAGGGATGTCATACATGTCAAGTGTGTTGTCTGGGCGTGTTTGCTCGTAAAGAAAGTGGCGGATTAAGGCAGGGAGAGATGGAAGGTGCAATTCGTCAGTGAGAGCCAATACATTGCGGGCACACTTTGTTTCTGCACATGATGCTGCATTAAACTCGTAGTCCATAAATATAGCTACAAATGTCACTTACAAACTGTTCGAGCAAGTCAAGTGTGTGCTTGTAGAATGGTCGGGCCATGGTCAATCGTTAAGTCGTCGCCGTCCTCAAGATTACTCGCTTGGTTTGGTGGGGGGTCATTGGGGTCTTCATCATTAGGGATATCGGGATTGTCTGACATACCTAAGCATGCATTAGTACTGGATAAATTTGAGAGAAAATAGTAACTACGCACTGAGAGCCTCGAGTTCGGCTGAAAGGCAGGTACCCTTCAACATTCCATGGCTTTCAAAATCAACACGTGCAGCGGCGAGTTTACTAAGATGCTGGTTTGTGACCAGCATCTGACCAAGCACTTTGTATTTACTTGACCGCCTCCACAGGGTCCTTCACAGCCTTGATGTGTTTGCTCTCGGTAATTGATGAGCAAAGTCCATTAGGGGCGCCAAAGAGCCGGATAACATGTGCAGTAGTGCATAAGAGAGTGTTGTCGTGGCAGTGAAAACGTTGGAATGACACCAGAAGTCTTGAAAACTTCACGATATTGATGGAAACGAGAGACGGCATCTTGAATTTTGTCCAGGGTGCGCTCTGTGATGGTGTTTTGATGTACAAGGTAGCAGAACTCTAGCAATGCATGGAATGCGCGGCGAACAACATCTGTCGGTACAGTGACCCTCGATCGCAGGAATGTAAACCTAAGTTTATCAGTAAAAGTCGTTGGTAAGAGGAACAAATTCACCTTCATGAGGGCTTTGGAGTCATCCCCCGTCCATTGCTTGAAGCTGCGTCCTTGCGGAAAGTGGCGCAGACCAGAAAATGAGGCAACGGTCACAATCCTGAGTGAGAATTTAGTCAATAAGTTAGTAAAAGGATGTTAGATTCATACCTGTGATCAATATCATCTAAGATATGGTCCGCTTCAGTCCTCCCGTGAGTAAGCACAAGGTATTTCTCCACCCAATCCACAAGATGGTCCTTAAAGGCGCCTTTGATAACTTGATGTAGGATGTCTGGGGCCATTGTTTCATGAATGTCGGCGTGTGGGAAGTCGTTTGTGAAAGGCTGAATATCAGAAATGTCAACCTGACTCTAGGTTTCAGGGCGAACATGTAGACTTACAATTAAATCAGCGACTATTCCAAACTCTGTCCACAGTTCTCCATAAGTACCCACTTCAAACAGGGCTTCATGGTATTCGCGGCACCGAAGGACTGAGGGAGCATCGAGATTATCACGATGAGAGCTGCATCTAAAAGAGAATTAGTCTTAATGCTGATGGGATAATACAAATGTTTTGTCACCTCGGACACCAGAAGTGGACTATGCATGCAAGGAGAACTTGCTCCTCGTAATTGGCAATGTATGGCCCCAGTCCATAAATTATGCCTCCAAAAATGACCATCTCCAAACTTCGCGATTTCAGGTTTTGACATCCCAGGCCGAAGTGATGCGAGTATCCTAGACAGCGATGAATGGAATAATTGGCGATGGAATTTGCGAAACTTTGGGTTATCTGCGTGTTTCTTTGTAGCTATACAGTTGAAATTAATACTCGAGTGTCGGATTGCTCAAAAGATATGGACGTACTTTTGGGCATTGCAAGGAAGCCGATTACCACAAGCGCATCTCAATGTGCATGGCGAACATTGTTATGAACATTTCCGATTGAAAGATAAAGTGGGTAGTACTCATTGTTGCCCGTCGCAACAGAAACCGTCATCTTGTCACTTCCGAGGATGATGGGCACAAAGGTGGAGCCAATTGTTTCTGGGTCTCCAGCAATGATATCCTGTAATGAGTATAGTTAGTTATGTTTAAGAACACCAAATTTCAATAACTTAGGGTCAAAAAGAGTGAAGGGGATGAAGAAGGGTGAGTCTCGCGCTAAGAAAAGGGAGGGGATGAAAAATGGTGAATTTTGGTAGTCTAGCGCTAAGAAAAGGGAGGGGATGAAGAACGGGGAATTTTAGTAGTCTAGCGCTAACACTGTGGGTAGTAGATCCAATGAAATTCAGTGGGTGAAATCAGATGATAACTTCATGAAATTCATAGCATGATGCACTGAAACCGAGGTGCTGAAATTGCCATTTTTTACTCTGAAAACATACTCTGAAATAATGTGCTGAAATTCTTGCTCGAAAAAAGTGACATTGTGACATCACATGATGCATCATGACCTTACCTCACAATTTATAATTTGCCAATGGCAGGAATTGAACCCATGACCTTGGGCTTGTGAAACCTAAGATACACAGCAGCACTACCACTAAGCCACAGGACCTTTGATTACTACAATCACAATTCCAATATATACCATCCTTCTTCTACTAAAAAATTATTAGTGAAAATATCATTGTTGTAAGCTATTTACGACATTCATTGGAAAAAAGGTGCTGAAATTGGTGCTAAATCGGATTCATTGGAAAATAGTGCTGAAAGTGGTGCTGAATTGGATTCAGCACTCCAATGAAATTAACTACCTGCCATTTCAGTAGAAGTTCCAATGAAAATTTCAGCATCGGGGCTTTTTCCAATGATTTTCATTGGATCTACTACCCACAGTGTAAGAAAAGGGAGGGGTTGAAGAACAGGGAATTTCGGTAGTCTAGTGCCAAGAAAAGGAAAGGTGGTAATGGTGATGGGGTCAAACACTTACTGCTTGATTCCAAACCCAATCAGCCGACATAAAATCTTGTAACTGCCATTCATCTCCATTGGTAGCGTACTCACAATAAGGCCGGTAATCCATTTCATTAGCGTATGCCAGATTCACCAACATGTTGAGAACAACCTCCTGAGGATCTCAGTACCAGACATCATAAGTCCTGTCCATCCAGGGTGGGTAGCCGTCAGGTTTCTCACCTGTGTATGTGCATGAGAAGCCCTCCCACTTCACATTGCCTAGTGCAATTGAATCGATTGTCGCATAGAGGTCTTTGTGATCTGCAAAGGGTGGGCTGCCGCCGGATTTTAAAAGTGTTGTCGCCCACAGGTTGAGAAGATGGTCAATTTGTCCTGCTGGCGTCTGATTTTTTATGTAGAAAAACTCGACTGTTTCAAATTCTGCACGATTTCGAAACGGTGTCCAATCATTCGGTGACTTGGGCTCAGGAGGTGGAGGTGGTGTACCCTCAGGGAGAAAATGGCCATGTTTATCACAAGATCGACCTTAAAACTCGTAATTAGAGTCTGAACAGAAGGACAAATGCAAAAACAAACCATCCAACAATGTATGGTAGTTGTGATAGAGCAAGTTTCCAGGTCCAAAGAATTCTGTGTGTACGTTGGGAGGAGGAGAAGCTCGTAATGCCTCATCATCATCACCATTCGGTTGACCTAGAAGCTCATCGTCCTGAAAAGGATTGTTGGTGATGTCGTTGGGGTGGCTTATGTGTGGTTCTGGAGAGGCTGGAGGAGATACAATAGGGTGGGCAGAAAGAATATGCTTTGTGCGACCGGCAGTAGTCTTGAAGAAATGGTTGCAGCCCACATTGCCGCAAGGGACTTGGAATGCGCTGAAGTCTCACTGAGCAATCTGAGTGCGAGGGACAATTTCTGGCATGCTGAGGATGATAAAGGCAAGGAGAAGTGCCAAGGGCCAAAGCAAGGCCCTCTGCATTGTGAATACTAGTAAGCATACAAGCCTAAATTCAATATAGTGTTTGTTTGGCATGTCGGGAGGGGACGTACAAATTCATTTTGGACCATTTGAAAAACCTTGATCTCAACCAACTCAAATTTCCATCCCTCCGAGTCTTGGATTTGCTGGTACTAATATTTCAAATGGTTGAGCCAATCCGCCGCACCCGCGCCAAAAATGCAACTGCTCACCCTGGTCAAATCGTGCTGGACGCCCAACAGAAATGCCAGACGCCCAAAGTGAAGGCAGCTGATGAGAAGCGTCTCCAAGCTGCTCAAGAAGCCAAAGAAGCGCTGGCTGTGGCGGGGCTTAACCGGCTTGCAGAACTGCAGGCCAACATGGAAGAAGCCCAGGCGACAACGACAAAGCCCAAGGCTGTCAGGCCACGTCCTTTACCTAAGAAGCAGCGAGGTACTGCCAGTGCAAGCAATGAAGACGAATCTGCCGTTGTTAGCGGCATCACTACAAGGGCACAACTGCCAGTGGGAGAGGCAATGGAGGATGCTGACGAAGATCTCCTGGCAGGTGATGATGATTCAGGTGACGATGGGAGGAAAAAGAAAGAACGGAAGAATGCACGGTCGCTAAGCAATGCCATAGTCAAAGCTCGCAAGAACTTACCAAGCACTGCAAAGGCTGATAGTTGTTATCAGCCACGTGTGAACGAGAAAGGCAACTCCTTACCGTGAGTTGTGCATGCCTCAACCACCATGTTCATTCTCTCTGAATCTACACTTTTCTTTCGCAATCTGACTTTGCAATCAAGGGCCAAGTCAACTTTGGGTGGCCGCATTCAGAACTGGAGAAAGGATGTCTACTATGAGCCAACGACCACAAGCAATTCACTCACTAGCGCAAGTCAAGTTCCTCCATCTACCATATTTTCAAAGTCTCAGATATCGCATGACTCAACCGGTACTTCTCTAAGCTCAAATCCTTGTGAGCCTCGACTGCCTAGCTCCAAGAATTTGCCTAAGATGCCTGAACTTACACACTTGGATGAGCTTGTTGGAGGATTTGGAGATGAGGATCTTGATGATTCATTTGAGCATGCTGTTGCATTGCATAATCATGGCAAAGTAGTAAGCACTGGCAGAACGGTGACCATCAGTTGATTTTATTCATTTGTTTGTACTGATTTTTCGCCCAAGTCCACCATCGAAATTACATCCCATGACACTGATCCAGACCTCGTGCCGCCACCTCTTGCTCAACGACAATCTCAAGTTAATTCTGCAAGGAAGAGAAAATAATTCATGGACATAATTCAAGACATTTCCAAAGAGGACGATCTCTTGACTCTGCAAGAGGAGATTGATGATATCGTGTATGAACCAGCTTCTGATGATGAGGAAGCCATGCAGGTCGACGAAATAGAGGATGTGGTGAAGAAGCCTATTGCAGTCAAGACGCAGCAAGCTAACACCGTGAAAGTTTCACGTACTACAGCCACGGTATTTTTTTCCATGTCTTGCACCTTCGCTACTAATTTCACTCCAGACATCCGTCGGTACTGTGTCTCGCTGTGACAACAAAGTTCCCCCCTCAAAGAAAGCAAAGACGACACACGTGAAGTCTGAACATTCAGTGTCTACTGCTGGGCCTAAGGGGGATGGCAATTGGGTGGAACTAGTGTCAAAGGCACATTCAACATACCTGAACACCGATCTTCCTCCAGGTTGCCACGAAGATGGAAAATGGGCCAGGCAGTTTTTACCAACAGTCTTTCTCTGGCTCGGCGCTCAGGACGAACTTTGGGCAATTACTGATGCGAAACTTCTTCATGCATGTCAGGAAATTTTCAAGGTTATCTACCCAAACATTCGGTACAAGGTTGTAACATCTGGTTCAGTTTTCAGGTGTAGTAAGTTCATCTTCCATTTAATTGATGGTGTTCTAATTATTTTATTTTCAGGTCACTCAGCGGGTCAGCGAATGGCGCAGCAACTTTGGATCGACTGCGCTCGCTATGGTGATTGATTTTCTAAATTCAAACAGAGACACTTCTCCGCAAACACTTGCAAAACTCTTCCTCAATGAATTTGCATTTCTGTACCCTGATCCTGAGAATATCGACAAGGCTGAAACCTTCCGCTCTGCCTTTGTGCAAGAGCTGCTCACTACTGCGCATCTTGCCCGGATTGTTGGGCATGCTGATGTTCCCACTCTTGATACCGATGCTCTAGCAGACAGTGGCATCACCGGCAGCCCTTGGATTGTGTGCCGTCTCAGTGTGTCAATTTATTGGTGTGGTTTGTTGCACTGATTTATTTAATTCTAGCTCGAACATGCTTTCACCCTTGTTGCCGACAACACCATTGTTGTTGATAATCCCGAGGCACCTGTTGCAGGACGAAAGGCTCGTTTAAAGACACCAAAGTCCTTCAACAAAGTAACCGGAAAGGAAACGGCCACTGAGCATGCATTCTCGATTGCCAAGTGGGGCCCAAAAACTGCTTCATTCATTTGAGGGGCGAATAAGAAGGGCGTGGAATCAATCCGGCTGACAATGTCCATGGCCTACAAGTACTTGAAGAAACCTGGCTTCGACAATCACAACAGCCTTGACTCAGCGGATGAGATGGACGACTGTGCGGACATCTGGTGAGCAGCGCTCCACTTGTGCCAGTTATCCTTCTAATTGCCTTTTTTTCAGATTGAATCACCTTGATATCCATTTTTCACGCGTTTGCAGCCCTTTGCAGCGGTTCTTGACTCTCTTTAGATCTCGTTTTAATCATTTTCTCCCGAGTTTATACAGTCCTTTTTTCGCTTAATGCGTCTTGGTACACCTTGCGATGCTTTATAATTACTATTTGGTTGAAAATTGGGATAATTTGAATCCGACGGTATTTGCCTTTTAGCGAGTTTTTTTCGTCTTGAGCAATGCGAGTTAAGGCGAAGTCAGACGATTTTAAGAATACGCGTGGCCTTTTGGCGTCTTGTGCACTCAAGATCTTTTCGCGACTTTTATGACCCTGCAAGTCAAAAAAAGATGCCTCAAGTCATCTTGGATTTTCCTGATGTATATAGCAATCTAAAGCCATGTAATCATGCCAATGCACGCTCGGTTCAGGCTTATATATTGCTTTACATCGGTAAAAGCATCAGATCTGAGATCTGAGATCTCAGAGTTGTGCGAGCTGGCGCATCTTGTAACCTCGGTGAAATCAGCTACACGTGACCAAAGCTTTATCGTCTTCAATGAGTACAGACCAACACAACTTACCGCTTCAGCTTCATGAAGGGAATTAATTCGGATTCAAAGCGGCATTCATTGTCCGCTCTCAATGACAAGTACCACCTAATGCATTCAATTGCCATCGCTAGCACCTCCCCGAGAGCTCCGACTCCTCCCCTGCCAGTACTTGGTTCCGGCGCCCTAGCACTCTCCCTTCCTGTTGCCCGTACATCAAAGAAATCCTTGCCCCCCCTCAAATCTCTCGCTGCTGAACTGGTCGTGGCTACACTTGCCCAGTCGCACAATGGTTAGGCTTTCTCCCTCAGCACACTTCTCCCCTTGCAGCTCCCCCAACGTCACATCATTAAGTCCTTTTACCTCCTGCTCGCCTGTGTAGATGGTCTCACCAGAGCGCTTTTTGGTGGATGTCATATCCTGAGTCCTGACGACAACATGTACTCGGCTTGCCACGAATAGCCTTTGATAATGAACCAACAATAGAGCATACCGTAAATCGAGCTGTCGAGCCTCAAATAGAGGAAAGGAGAAGAAGATGGGAGGATATTACTGGAATCAGGTACATCACTCGGCCATTCAAACATTAAGCAGGTCTTGTCAATGCGCTATGTAATGAAAGTGCTGCTGCTTACCAGGAACAACTAAGACAGGCCAATCAGATCATATCTGCGCAGATTCACTGAGACAATACTTCATTGGAATATGATACGCAGCTCGAGCAGTCCATGGCGCTCACCAATCACCTGAATGCCCTCACATGATGGACACGGCTCTCATTTCTTTTAACCAGATATTTTGCATAACCATGGTGCTTGCTGCTGCTGATGAACTAGATGATCCTACAGATGTCGTACCTGAATATTTATCCAGGCTCGAGAAGGAGCTTGTACAATGAAAAGGCGAAGTGGTGAGCCAGACTAGGATCGTCCAGATTCATACCGCTAATCACAGGCTCGTAGGCTCGAAGCCAAATTAACTTGATGGAGTCCCCACCTGGATCAACTTGTTTGATTCAAAACTAGGTATCAACCCTCCCGCACCCATTTTCACACCATTGACTGCTACTTCGTCTTCAATGCGTGCCATCCCAACACATCCCCTTCTACAATCTGCAACCCCCCGGTAGCACCTGGCTCAGGCAGATGCATTCGCACCCTCAATTATCGCATCGTCAACTCCTACTCCTTAATTGCTCGGGAAATTACATACTATTGTCCTCTCTGCCCAACCAATGTCGTCGCTTAGACGCTTCATTGATCTACTCAATTCCTCTGCAACGGTCATTACCTCCACGTCTAAGCAACTCCATCTGATGTTGAACCAACGTAAGGGAGTTTGACCCGGGCCGATAGGTTGCGTTTGTTACTGCACTAGCTGCAGGGGCGGTACGAAGTGCATATTCAAATGTACGACCAGCTAGAGGCACTTTTACGATGGGACATGGACGAGGCTATTAGCGGCTTTGTTGAGGTAAATAGAACGATAACACTTTCAATGATCCAGACCTGAAGCACGACAGAATGAAGGAATTTAGCGCCGATCCTCACACAGAAATAAAGGGCCTGTGCGAAGAGCTCATGGTTGCAGCCGATGAGCAGAATGCGTCTGCGCGTTTGCCGATGGTGGGTTTCTGTCGCCCTAATCGTGGACTTTTGATCCGAAGAGAAGTCGCAGATGAACATACAGAGGACTTACTGAGCCAGATAAAGACAAGGTACCTGTCTGGAAGTGACGACAAGAAAATCAGTACTCTGTGCAGGCATTCAACAAAGGGGCTTCTCAAGGCCTGAGCCAGCTGCTGAGTGAGGCAACCGACTCTGCCAAAAGAGGCTACGTACCTGCGAGGTGATAAATTCAGCCGTCCGGCTAGGTTCCTCAATGCCTCCAAACACTCACAGAATCATTAAACTGACCTATTATTCCACAGCACATTCGACATCTCCTGCAAAGGACCGTTCAGCTCTTCCCGCTCCAGTCACTTACAAAGCGCATTCTTTGCCTTCCCACCATGCAGGGATATGTCGCACTTGCTCTGGGGGTCGTGATGATTCATGACTGTTTCCGATCTCTTCGACCTTTCAGTTTGATCGTATCAACCTCAAGGCCCCAGACAGCTGCGGCTGTTGAATACATCAGTAGTAGACCCATGTGTCGAAGATTGAGGATACTGAAACTTGATTCTCGAACTCAAGTGAACCTTTGTGGGTGTTGACCCTACGTGCATCAATCACAAGACTAATAATTGCAGGTGCACAAAGTTCCCAGAGCGATGCCACGCCCTTCTCCGCTCTAAGCTCTTTTCCAACTTTCTCCCTCAACGTCCGCGCGAAGACGATACATGTGAGTTTCAAAATTATATCCCAACTACGGACGTTGAGCTGAAAGGCATCTGGTCAAAGTCACACATTGCACCTTCAAGTTGACGCAGCTGCCGGTGTTAATTATCAATGAATTTCACCCTGAAGACTCCACATGACAAGTTGACAACAGTATGTCCAACTCTCTTATCATATTATCCCAACGAACGTCTCCACACTACAGGACTCGTTGATTGGACCACTACTCACTTTGTCGAATCAAACGCATAGGATCTCGGCATTAAACTTGGGCTAATATTATACTCCATGAGAATTGAACGAGCTCACGACGCGCAGAAGTATGGGCGTGGACGTGGCGGTGGTAGGCGTTTTCGAGTCAATCTGCAATGACTGCTTGATAATCAAGTTCGCCCACTTCACGCTCCATCACGGACCACTTGTCTCATGGACTACAGTCTATCAGTCATTTGCGGATGAATCGCTTTTCTCCTTCGAGGCAGGTCGATCAGCCATGATATCATCTTAGTTCAAGCTTACCTGCATGCTGACGTCAAGTTGAAGATGGTACTCGTAGTGAGACGTACGTTCCCAATTATACTGCCTTCACTATTTTTGACCAAGATATTTACCTGAGTTATCATGAGAAATTGTTCAGTTTCGAGGTGTGTCCGCAATAGTTTGTTACGCGCACACCGTAATTATTTCGAACACGATATTGCTTGCGCCAACCTTGTTGCAGACAGCTGTAGCTGTTAGCCGTACACATTGACAAATGGATGCATTGAATATTGGGACCGTCGACGAAAAAATTATGAGTTCGCCCAAAGCACTGTCATGGAGAGAGTTGAACACAGTGCCTCGAACGCGCATGAACGGGATTTACTTTCCCCTGAAACCTGGTGTAGTTTGTGTCAGTATGATCATGAAACTCCTCGGAGTAAATCGTACAAAATACAGCAAAGATACAACGAAGATACAATCTTTGTACAACAGGCACCATATACCATGATCTAAATAACATTCGCAAATGGCGACCGGCCCTCCAAAAATATCGCCCATCCTTTGAATATGTCCGGCAAAGCATTAAATGTTATGCAACTGTATAGATTCTGGGGAGATACTCCCATCTCAGTGCACACAGACCGTGTCTCTGCGAAGCGCTGTGCAGCTACAGCAAAGTCACCACGCGCAAAGGCAACCTCTCCCAGTCCGCGGAGGCTGTACGCCTTAAACATCAGGTTGCCTTGCATATCGCAACTTTCGATTGTGGTAGTGAATTGAGACTCGGCGCTGTGGTACTCGCCTGCGGTGAGCTCGATGCGTGCTGAGGCATAATTTCTGTGGAGAAATGCGTGTGCGTTGCGCAGCGCGAGGAATTCGAGTGGTCTGGAGGCTTGTTGGATGAGTTCCCTCGCAAGGGCATGATTCCCCTGCTTGCTTGCAACCGCAGCCTTCCACACGGTGTACCAAAGAACACGTTGCGGATCCTGTCCCTCGAGCATCTCTACGAGTTTCTGCAGGATATCCATTGCGTCGGATAACCTGCCTTCGCAAAATGCAACTTCTGCAAGGCCCCGAAGTGCTTCCCTGCATTCTGTGAGATCTCTAGGAGGTGCGCATTGCCGGAAAAGGTCTTCTAGGTATGTCTTCACCTGGACAATGTCTCCGCCGTAGCACAATCTGGCCTCCCAATGACGAATCTTGGACCGTAAGCCCAATATGCGATCTTCCATGGACTTCACAAATAATTCATCTACAGATGCTGTGAAAGTGTACATCCGGGCTATATCCAAGAAAAACCAAGTGTTGGCTTTTGTTGTTTCGCTGAGATGCTTCCACGAGTCGGAGTGTTGGAAGTCCTCCAAGACCTGTTGGGATTGAATGAACCGGCCTTGAGATCTGTATGTGTCTGCACATTCGGTAACACAGTGTGCCACATGCTCGTGGTCACCGGCAGTGAGGTAAAGAGCCTCAGCAGCTTTGACGGCCTTCATTCCTTCTGTGAGCTGAGAAATAGTGGAGTAGAGACAGCCTAGCTGCCACAAGCATTTTGCTTTTGACATCAACGTGGAGGACTTCTCTACAATGTTGAAGATAGCCGGGGCAAGGGTAGTTGGGCGAGGAACATGCCACTCCAAGCACTGCAAAAATTGCCAGCAAGCTCGATAAATCTCTTCAGGGATGCAGGCAAGGTCGAAAGCAACTACATGCTCAATGTTGAGATGATCCGAGATGATGATATCAGCAGGATTGTCGCGTGCTTCTGAACACTGTTGAACAGTGCGATAGTAGAGAGCACGTATCTCTCGCAAACAAGTGGAATCTGGGGGTAACGAATCTCGAACAAAATGGCGTATGGGCGCGAGCATCTTGATGAAGTTGTCTTGACGATAAACGAGCGATTGCATGCATAGAACATCGCATACAGTGCTGACTTGCGGGAGCGATGGCAATAAATCGCTAGCCAGGTCCTCATTGAGACCCTGGGGCAGGAAGGCGATAACAGCCAAAGCATGCCGACCGTTCTCTCCGAGTTTCTGGACCGACGGCGAGCTGAGCGACAGCTCCATGGTGTATGACAAACTTTGCAGCTTTCCCTCCCCGTGGTCTAGTACTGCGCTGTGCCGATCCTTCCATCGCTCCAGCAGCGTCCGTGGAGACCAGCGGTTTTGCTGTGCAGCGTTTGCGAGTAGATTGATGGAAAGAGGGTGAAATTCTAACTCCTCAAGCAGGTTTGTTATTTCTTCTTCTGTATTGCTACGACTGGCTGTGCGGTAAATTCGAAAGAATGCCTCCTGAGCCGAACTCGAATCCAATGGCGGGATATCCTTCGTTATCCATTCTACATTGGGTGCATTCCTTCTACTACGCGATGTGAGAATCAGAGTGACGCCGGGGATGTCTGCAATTTCAGCAATAGCTGGTGGTATTTCCTTGAGGGCCGAGGATTCGCTGGCCTCTTCAAAGGTCTCGGCATTATCGAGGACAATGAGGGTGGTAGCAGAACGAAGAAATGAGGATATTTGGCCTACAGGATCAGCTCCAGCAAGCTGCATGCCAAGAACTCCCGCGAAACGAGTCATAAAAGTGTCAAACGTAATGGTGGAAGGATCGAGGCCGTCATATGTCACGAAAAAGCGCCTATCAGCAAATTTCATCATGACAGGGGACTCGTTGAGGATAGCTTTGGCGAGAGAACTCTTTCCCATGCCTCCTGGACCAATCAACGCAATATGCTCATCATTGACGACAAGGTTCATCAACTCTGCGACGAGATCATCGCGACCATACAACATGGAAGGACGTGATGGAGGCATATATGGGCGACAACTGACTGTATTTAGAGGACGTATATCACTGATTGAAAAGACAGCTTACTTTAGGCCGTCGATCCCATTAGCATTGTCCTGCGGTCCCAGAGCTAGCTTCTCCACTCTAATCGCGATGCCAGCAATCATTTCGGTCTTAAGACGTCATTCAGCGGTAGAAGTTTAGGTGAAAATCGAGAGACATACGCTGAATAGTACGAGGACACGATCCAAGTCCTTTTCCCATCCAGCAATCTGGTCACGATCTATCGCAACAAAAAAGAGTTTCTTCCAAAATCCTTGTTCCTTTCTTGAGGCTACTTCACTGTTGATGCGGTTCACTGAGCTGTACGGCGTCATCAGCTCCCAATGACGGTGAAATTGGTCTGGCTTACACGTTAAGCTGCGATAAAGCATGCCCCAGGTATCCTCGCAGATTGTCGTTGGTAGCACCTTTGGTGGCTCTCTCAAGGATTTCCCTGATAGTCTCGCACCTGTCGACTATCGCTAGGAAATCGGACTTGTTCTTGATCACTGACTATATAGACCTGAGCATTCTTCACCAAAAATCTCCGAATATTAAGCCAACTCACCTGCGCAATTATCAAGATATTCGCAACCGTCCCTAGGATACCTTTCGCTAAGTCGATGGGTACGAGGTCTTTCGTAACATTGATAGCCGCTATTGTGGCGCCCAGCAGTTGGCTCACATTGTCGTCCAGCGAGGCCTTGGGTTCAGAAGAGGGTTGCTTAGCATTTGGGTCATTCTATGTTAGATTATATATATATATGGTGGTGGCGCATAGATATGTGCCTTCTTGCCTTAGACTGTTTGAACCTGTTCGTGTTTGACTTTTTGGATGACATCGTTTGGGTCGGTGTGGAAGAGGGTTACAGTGATCGGATGGGCGCCTCCGAGTCTGCCTGCCTCAAGTTACCCGCATGGGAGAGTGCGAGAAACTATGGGTACGTACCAGTGTCTATCATACTCAGAGAAGTAATAGGACTCGGGGCAGTGTTGGGAGTGTTATCATTATGTGATGCCACTAGACGCGCATGTCACACCGCATTGCCATCCTCTGGTTCTCGGCCTTCCCAATTCATAACGGCAATTCCATCTTCCCTTGCTCTGAATTAGCTGGGTACGAACTTTAATCAGCTGCACGTGACCAGAAGCTTCAACGCTTATAAGTAAGTTATAACCGCGCCAGCTAGCTTCGTGAAGGGAATGCAAGTATCCATTCAAAGAGCCATTCACAGCTGTGCACTCTCGATGATGAGTAGTGGCTACCTCATGCATTCAATAATTGAAGTACCATCGCAGGTAGCTCCCCCAACTCCTCCTCTGCCAGTACTTGGTTCCAGCGCCCTAGCACTCTCCCGTTCTGTCGTCCGTATACCCAATAAATCCTTGCCCTCCCTCACATCTCTCGCTGCTGCATTGATCGTGGCTACACTTGCCCTCTCGCATGAAGGCTAGGCTTTCTCCCTCGGGACACATCTCCTCTTGCAGCTCCCCCACAGTCACAACAAAAAGCCTGTTTCCCTCCTGCTTGCCTGGGTAGAAACTTGTCACCAGAACACTTTTGGCGGATACCATGTCCTGAGTTATGACGACAACATGCTCAGCTCGGCGTACCATGAACCGCTCTTGAGGATCCCAACAAGAGCGCACCCTGAATCGAGCTGTCGAGTCTCAAATAGAGGAAAGGAGCAGAAGATTGGAGGATATTTCTTGAATCAGGTGCTTCAAGCGGGTCCTGTCAATGCGATATGTAATAAAAGTGCTGCCGCTTACCAGGAACAGCTAAGATAAGCTCATCAGAACTCTACACAGATTCACGGAGACGATACGTGATTGGATTATCATACACAACTCGAGCAGTTTACAACGCTCACCGATTGCTTGAATCCCCTCACCCGCCGGACTCTGGGCTCCCATTTCTTTCAATCGAATATTTTACATCACTCCTGCGCTTGCTGCTGCTGAGGAACTGAACAATCCTGCAGCAATACAAGACCTTGGGCCTGAATGTTTACCCCGACTCGAGAAGGAGGTTGTCCAAGGAAACACAAAGTGGTGAGCTGGTCTGGGATTGTCCAGATTCATACCACTAACTGCAAACTCATAGACTCGAAGCGACTACATCCACTCGATGTAGTCCCCGCCTAGATCAACTTGTTTGATTTAGAACTAGGTATCGACCCTCCCGCATCCAATGTCACACCATCATCTGCTACGTTGTCTTCACCGCTCGCTATCCCAATGTATCCCCTTCTACACTCTTCAACCCCCGGTAACACCTGGCTCAGGCACTGATGCATTCGCATCCACGACCATTTCACCGTCGACTTCTATGCTCGGGAAATCGGATAGCCGTATTCTTGACCGTTGTCCTCTCTTCCCAAATGAACGTCGTCGCTCGTACGTTTCATTGATCCACTCGATTTCTCGCAGCAAGACTCATCACCTGAACCATTACAAAATCCATCCGGTGTGGAACCATCGCAGGGGTGGCTTAACCCGGGCCGATAGGCTGCATGCGGCACTGCACAAATTCTAGGGGTGGTGTGAAGTGCACATTCGCATGTACTACTAGCTTGAGGCACGTTTGCGAGGCACGGGTGTGGACACGGCTATTGATGGCTCTGTTGAGGTACATAGAGTGATAACGCCTCCAATGAACAACCTGAGGCATGACAGAACGGGCGGATCTAGTGCTGGTCCTCACACCAAAATAGAGAGCCTGTGCGAGGAGCTCATGGTTGGAGACGATGAGCGGAATGGATTTCCGTATTTGTCGATGGCGAGTCCCTGTTGCCCTCCTCATGGACTTTCAATTTATGATGATGTCGCCGATGAATATATGGAGGAATAACTGAGCCAACGTGAGCGCGACCGCCCACCTGCAAGCGACGAGCGGGAGATTTCCGACTTTCGCTGCTCTGCAAGCATTCAACAAAAGGGCTTTTCAACGCCCAAGTCAGCCGCTAAGCGAGGCAAACAACGCTGCCAAAGGAGGCTACCATGTGCCTGGCAAATCCAATGCATCTCACTCCTTCACGGTGACAACAGCCGTCCGGGTCAGGTTCCTCGGTGGCTTCAAACATTCACAGAGCTATTAAACTAACCTATTATTCCCCAGTACATTCAGCATGTCCTGCAAAGAACCGGACACTCAGTCCCTCCCCCCTCCGGTCGCTCACGACGCGCATTTCGTGCCTTCCCACTCGAAGATCATGCAGGGGTGTGTCACACTTGCTCTGGGGAGCCATCGTAATTTATAACTGTCTTCAAGCTCTTCGACTTTTCAGTTTGATTGTATCAACCTCAAGACCTCATGTTCCACGCGAACAATTTCGTATGCGTGAGGACGTCTCATAGCTGTGGTGGTCCAGGTTTGGTCGTCCCTGTTCGGCGCTGGGCCACTAGAGACTCACCTGATATTTCCAGGGGCATTATCGACTTCTAGGTGTATCCATCACTGTTACTATGTTTGTCATGATTCATGACGTATTTCCATAGCACTGTTGGTTCACATACTATCATCATACCATTTCGAGCACGGCGCCATTTGTGCTGCAGATAGCTGCAGCTGTTGAACTCGTCAGTAGTAGATCCGTGTGTCGAAGATTGAAGATGTTGAAACTTGATTCTCCAATTCGCGTTGACCTTTGTGGGCGTTGACCCTACGTGCATCAATAACAGCACTAATCATTGCAGGTTCACAAAGTTCCTAGAGCAATGAACCCTTCTCCGATCTAAGCCCTTCTCCAACTCTTCCCCCTCAACGTCTGCGCGAAGACGATATATGTAAGTTTCAAACTTATATCCCAGATGCGGACGTTGAGTTGAATATACATCTCCTGGTTAGACAGCAAGATTGGGTTATGGTTATCACTCCCATTCAATGAGCCGGAGGGCATCTGGTCAAAGTGACCCATCGCACCTTGACGCCGCTGCTGGCGTTGAATATTAAAAAAAATTACCCCGAAGATTCCACATGACAGGTTAACAACAGTATGACTCCTACAGTAACACTCTTGTCATCTTATCCCAACAAACGTGAATACCCATCGATCTACTCAACTCCTCACTGCCGGACTCATTGACTGGACCACTACTCACTTCTCAAATTGAGCGCATGGGATTTCGGCGTTCAACTTGGGCCAATATTATTATCAGACTCCACGCGAATTACACGAGCTCACAATGCGGGGAAGTATGGGCGTGGACGTGGCGATGATAGGCGTTTTCGAGTCAATCTGCAATGACTGCTTGATAATCAAGTTCGCCCACTTCACGCTCCATCACGGACCACTTGTCTCATGGACTACAGTCTATCAGTCATTTGCGGATGAATCACTTTTCTCCTTCGAGGCAGGTCGATCACCATGATATCATCTTAGTTCAAGCTTACCTGCATGCTGACGTCAAGTTGAAGATGGTGCTCGTAGTGAGACGCACGTTCCCAATTATACTGCCTTCACTATTTTTGACCAAGACAATTACCTGAGTTATCATGAGGAATTGTTCAATTTCGAGGTGTGTCCGCGATAGATTGTTATGCGCACACCGTAATTATTTCGAACACGATATTGCTTGTGCCAACCTTGTTGCAGACAGCTGTAGCTGTTAGCCGTACACATTGGCAAATGGATGCATTGAATATTGGGACCGTCGACGAAAGAATTATGAGTTCGCCCAAAGCATTGTCATGGAGAGAATTGAACACAGTTATCTCGACCTCGAATGTGCATGAACGGGATTTACTTTCCCCTGAAACCTGGTGCAGTTTGTGTCAGTATGATCATGAAACTCCTTGGGCTAAATCGTACACAATACAGCAAAGATACAACGAAGATACAATCTTTGTACCACAGGCACCATATACCACGATCTAAATAACATTCGCAAATGGCGACTGGCCCTCCAAAAATATCGCCCATCCTTCGAATGTGTTCGGCAAAGCATTGAATGGTAAGCAACTGTACAGATTCCGGGGACGCACTCCCATCTCAGTGCACACAGACCGTGTCTCTGCGAAGCGCTGTGCAGCTACACCAAAGTCACCGCGTGTAAAGGCAAGCTCTCCCAGTCCGCGGAGGCTGCATGCCTTAAACGTCAGGTTGCCTTGCATATCGCAACTTTCGATGGTGGCGGTGAATTGAGACTCGGCGCTGTGGTACTCGCCTGCGGTAAGCTCGATGCGTGCCGAGGCATAAGTTCTGTGGAGAAATGCGCGTGCATTGCGCAACACGAGGAATTCGAGTGGTCCGGAGGCTTGCTGGACGAGCTCCTTTGCTAGGTCATAATTCCCCTGCTCGCTCGCAACTACAGCCTTCCAGACGGTGTACCAAAGGGCATTGTCCGAAAGTTGTCCCTCGAACATCTCTACAAGTTTCTGCAGGATATCCATGGCATCGGATAACCTGCCTGCGTACAATGCAACTGCTACAAGCCCCACAAGTGCATCCCTGCGGTTATCGAGACTTCCATTCTGGTAGCATTGCAAGCAAAGGCTGTCCAAGTGTGTCTTCACCTGGACAATGTCACTACCGTAGTACAATTTGGCCAGCCAGTGCCGAATCTTGGACTGTAAGCCCCATACACGATCTTCCATGGACCTCACAAATAATTCGTCCGCAGATGCTGTGAAAGTGTACATCCTGGCCACATCCAAGAAATACCAAACGCGGGCTTTCGTTGTTTTGCTGAGATACTTCCACGAGTCGGAGTGTTGGAAGTCTTCCAGGACCTGTTGGGATTGAATAAAGCGGCCTTGACATCTGTATGTGTCTGCACATTGGGCAACACAGTGTGCCACATGCTCGTGGTCACCGGCAGTGAGGTAAAGAGCCTCAGCAGCTTTGAAGGCCTTCATTCCTTCTGTGAGCTGAGAAAGAGTGGAGTAGAGCTGGCCTAGCCACCACAAGCACTCTGCTTTTGGCGCCCACGTGGAGGACTTCTCTACAATATTGAAAATAGCTGAGGTAAGGGTAGTTGGGCGAGGTAGATGCGACTGCAAGCACGACAAGAACTGCCAGCAAACGTCATAAGTCTCGTCCGCGCCGTCCGGGACGTGTGCAAGGTCGAAGGAAACTATATGCTCAATGTTTAGGTGATCCGAGATAATGATATCAGCGTGGTGATTGCGTTCTTCTGAACACCCTCGAACAGTACAATAGTAGAAGGCACGTATTCCTTGCAAACAAGTGCTATCAGGTGGTAGAAACGAATCTCGGACAAAATGTCGAATGGGCGCGAGCATCTTGATGAAGCTGCCTTGACGGTAAACGAGAGATTGCCTGCATAGGACATCACATATAGTGTCGATTTGCAGGAGCAACGGCAACAAATCGCTAGCCAGCGTTTCGTTGAGGCCCTGGGGCAAGAAAGCGATGGCGACCAGAGCACGCCGACCATCCTCTCCGAGTTCCTGGACCGACGGCGAGCTCAGCGATAGCTCCATGGTGAGCGACAAGCTTTGCAGCTTCCCCTTGCCGTGGTTTAGTACTGCGCTGTGTCTGTTGTCCCATCTCTTTAGCAGTGTCGCCGGAGACCAGCCATTTTGCTGAGCAGCATTTGCGAGTAGGTTGATGGAAAGGGGGTGAAAATCCAATTCCCTAAGCAGATCCTTGATGTCTTCTTCAGCATCGCTACGACCGGCGTGATGATATATTTGAAAGAACACCGCTTGAGCGGAGCTCAAGTCCAGTGGTGGAATATCCTTCGTTATCCATCGTACATTCGGTGCATTCCTTCTACTACGCGACGTAAGAATCAGAACGACGCCGGGGATGTCTGCGATATCGGCAATAGCTGGTGGTATTTCCGTGAGCGCCGATGATCCACTGGCCTCTTCGAAGGTCTCAGCATTATCGAGGACAATGAGGGCGCTAGCGGAACAAAGAAAGGAAGATATTTGACCTACAGGATCAGCTCCAGCAAGCTGTATGCCAAGAACTCCCGCGAAACGAGTCATAAAAGTGTCAAACGTAATGGTGGAAGGATCGAGGCCATCATATGTCACGAAGAAGCGCCTATGAGCAAATTTCTCCATGACAAGTGATTCGTTGAGGATGGCCTTGGCGAGAGAGCTCTTTCCCATGCCTCCCGGACCGATCAACGCAATATGCTCATCACTGACGACGAGGTTCGTCAACTCTGCGACGAGATCATCGCGACCATACAACATGGAAGGACGTGATGGAGGCATAGGTTGGCGACAACTGACTGTATTCAGAAGACGTATATCACCGGTCGAAAAGACAGCTTACTTTAGGCCGTCGATCCCATTAGCATTGTCCTGCGGTCCCAGAGCTAGCTTTTCCACTCTGATCGCGATGCCAGCAATCGCTTCGGTCTTGAGACGTCATTCAGCGGCAAAAGTTTAGGTGAAAATCGAGAGACATACGCTGAATAGTACGAGGACACGATCCAAGTCCTTTTCCCATCCAGCAATCTGGTCACGATCTATCGCAACAAAAAAGAGTTTCTTCCAAAATCCTTGTTCCTTTCTTGAGGCTACTTCACTGTTGATGCGGTTCACTGAGCTGTACGGCGTCATCAGCTTCCAATGACGGTGAAATTGGTCTGACTTACATGTTAAGCTGCGATAAAGCATCCCCCAAAGACCCTTGCATATCTGCTGCGGTAGCGTCTTTGGTGGCCCTTGCAAGGACTCTCCTGATAGTCTCGCACCTGTCGACTATCGCTAGGAAATCGGACTTGTTCTTGATCACTGACTATATAGACCTGAGCATTCTTCACCAAAAATCTCCGAGGATTAAGCCAACTCTCACCTGCGCAATAATCAAGATATTTGCGATCGTCCCAAGGATACCTTTCGCCAGGTTGATGGGTACGAGGTCTTTCGTAACATTGATGGCCGCTATTGTGACGCCCAGCAGTTGGCTCACATTGTCGTCCAGCGAGGCCTTGGGTTCAGAAGAGGGTTGCTGAGCATTTGGGTCATTCTATGTTAGATTAAATATATATACGGTGGTGGCGCATAGATATGTGCCTTCTTGCCTTCGACTGTTTGGACCTGTTCGTGTTTGACTTTTTGGATGACATCGTTTGGGTAGGTGTGGAAGAGGGTTACAGTAATTGGATGCGCGCCTCCGAGTCTGCCTGCCTCAAGTTACCCGCATGGGAGAGTGTGAGAAACTATGGGTACGTACCAGCGTCTATCATACTAAACCTGCGAACGTGTCTACCACTGGCAGTATCGTCACATCATGTGATTCCACCTAGACGCGCATGTCACATCGCATTGTCACACATTCCTCGTGTGTCGAACCAGCTGAGCATTAAGATGCACTGCTGAAGTCTTTTCATGTGATGAGCCGGTAGTAGAGAAGGAGCTCCCCTAGATTATGGTGGTCCGTGATGAAGTCTGATTTCTTGTAGTCGAAGAGAGGAAGCATATCATCGATGGCTGCGAAGGGTCTTCAAGGTGTCAGGCCGCAAGGACTCTGGTAAAATTTCCGAAGTGGGGAACACAAGTACAGAGCTGTCGAATCAGCTGATCCTATAAATCCAGTTGATTGTGTCTGGCTACCAATGTTTAACGTTTAACGTTAACCCTGGCTAGCGTGAAATCAACTGCACGTGACCAAAAGCTTGACTTCATCCTCATCGTCTCTAATGTTGATCTCCCGTAAACAGACCTTGGTCAGTTTTGCGATGGGAATTTTGCATTCATTGTGCGCTCTCTACGATAACTACCACCCAATGCACTCAATAATTGAAGTGCCCCGACTCCTCCTCTGCCAGTACTTGATTCCACTGCCCTAACACTCTCCATTCCCGTCCACCAAAGAAAACCTTTCCCCTCCCGGCTCACGCTGCTGAATTAGTTGTGGCTACATTTGCCCTGTCGTACAAAGACCAGGCTTTCCTCCCTCGGGACACATCTCCCCTTGCAGCTCCCCAAAAGTCTAAACCCTTTTCCCTCCTGCTTGAATTGGTAGAGGGTGTCACCATCGCGCTTTTGGTGAATTCCGTGTCCTGAGTCCTGACGACAGCATGCTCAGCTTGGCTTGCTACGAACTGCCTTTGAGGATGAACTCCCAGCAATAGCGCATACCCTGAATTGAGCCGCGGGAGAAAGGTGCGAAAGATTGGAAAATATTGCTAGCAGCAGGTGCATCACTCGGCAATCTAAACATTGAGCAGGTCCTGTTAATGCGATATGTAATGAAAGTGCTGCCACTTGCAGTTACCAGGAACATCTCAGACAGGCCAATCAGATCATTTCTACGCAGATTCACTGAGACGATACTTGATTGAATTAGTATGCACAGCTCAAGCAGTCCACAATGCTCAGCGCTCACAGATCACCTTATTGCCCTCGCACGCTGGACTCTGGGCTCCCATTCCTGTCAACCAAACATTTTAAATAACCCGGCGCTTGCTGCTGTTGAGGAACTAAACGATCCTACAGCACTACGAGATTTTTTGCCTAAATGTTCATCCAACCTCGAGAAGGAGCTTGTACAAGGAAAATGCGAAGTGGTGAGCCAGACTGGGATCGTCCAGATTCATACCACTGACTGCAGGCTCATAGGCTCAAACAACTTGATAGAGTCCCCGTCCGGATCAAGTTGTTTGATCCATAACTAAGTATCGACCCTCCCGCACCCAATGACACACCATCGGCTGTTACTTCGTCTTCACCGCTCTCCATCCCAATGTATCTCCTACAATCCTCAGCCATCGCACTATCAAATCCTACCCCTTCATCGCTCGGGAAATCGGATAGCCATTCTTCCCCAATGAACCTCGTCGCTTGCACGCTTTATCGATCTACTCGATTCCTCTCTGCAACACTCATTGCTTCCACTTCTAAGCAAATCCATCTGGTGTTGAACCAACGCAAGGAGGTGCAACCCGGTCCATAGGTTGCATGCGGAACTGTACGAGCTCCAGGGGTGGCACGAAGTGCACATTCGCATGCACGACCAGGTAGAGGCGTTTTTCTGACACATGAGCGTGGACGAGGCTACAGATGGCTTTGTCGAGGCGGATAGAAGGATGACGTCTCCAGCGATCCAGATCTGAAGCACGATGGAGCGGGTGAATCTATGCCAGTCTTGAATCCTCACACAGAATTTGGGAGCCTGTGGGAGGAGCTTATGGTCGGACACTGAGCGGAATGGCTTTGCACGTTTGATGATGGTAAGTTTCTGTCGCACTCTTTGTGAACTTTCAATCTGTAATGATGTCACAGGTGAACATACGGAGGAATTGCTGAGCCAACATGAGCACGAGGCCACCAGCCTGGAAGCGACGAGCAGGAAAATTCCTCCTTTTCAGCACTCTGTGCAGGCGTTCGAGTCTGACGAAGGGACTTCTCGAGGCCTGAAACTAACCTCCAAGCGGTGCTGCCTATGTGCCTGACAAATACATCGCATTTCACTCCTGCGTAGTGACAACAGCCGTCCGGTCAGGTTCCTCGATGTGTTCAAACTTGAATTATCCTATTATTCCCCAGCACATCCAGCATCTCTCGCAAAGGACCGGACGCTCAGTGAGAATTCAGCCCTCCCCACTCACAACGCGCATTCCGTGCCTTCCCACTCGAAGATCATGCAGGGGTACGTCGCACTTAGTCTTAGGAGCCATCATGATTCATGACTGTCTTCAAGCTCTTCGACTTTTCGGTTCGATCGTATCAACCTCAAGACCTCAAGTTTCATTCTAACGATTTCGTATGCACGAGGAGGTCCCATAGTTATGTGGCTTGGTGGTTCCTATTCAACGCTGGGCCACTGGACACTCACCTGATATTCCCAGGGGCATTGTCGACTTCCAGGTGCATCCATGATTGTTACTACGTTCGTCATGACCCATGACGCGATTTGCGTAGTAATGTTGGTTCGGACATTGTCATCGATGGTATCATACCATTTCGAGCGCGGTGCGTTTGTCGAAGATTGAGGATGTTGAGAAATATCTATCGTATGTTTAGCCTTGTCGCCAATCGAAGTTCAACACACTGTCAGCCTCGATTCTCGAACTCGCGTGAATGGTGTTTCCTAATACTCGCTGACTCATCTCTGGCTTGGATATGTATCCGTCATGAGATTGCTCGGGTAGTCGCACGAGATACTACTAGTGTAGGATACTGTCTCTAACAAGCAAGTTATACAACTTATGATGATGGTGAAAGACTAGACTCTGGTACTTACTGTACAGTATGAGTAAGCGTATAGTGCCAACAGGTCCAGTGGTGTTTGTGAGGCGCATGAGCAAGTTGGAAGACACCATGGTCATTTGCCACCGATCACGTATGTAATGAATACTCCAGATGCCCTCGTGTCGACCGCTTGAAAGTCTGCGCAAACCTCGCTTTCACCTTGGTCTAAACTTCGTTTTTCACACCGCCTCTACTAACTGATCCGCATCTTACGCTTGAAGCTTCTTCCTGGGTTTTAACTGTGTTTAAACATGTCGGCACCGGCAGCAACGCAGCTCAAGGATGAGGGCAATGAGCTGTTTAAGAAGCAAGACTATGTTGGGGCATTTGCAAAATACACCGAGGCTATTGCTCTGGATGACAAGAACGCTGTTCTATATGCGAACCGTGCTGCTTGCAGTTATGGGTTGAACAGGTGAGTTGTACTTCTCAGGCTGCTGAGCTGCGGTAATACTAACAATAACTGACTACGGTCTTTAAATAGATACCTAGATGCTGCCGATGACGCAAAAATGGTACTGATTGGCAATGTCGTATACATAGGCTTCGAAAATATTAACGCGCACATCTGATTCGTAGGCTACAGAGGTTGATCCAGCCTATTCCAAAGGGTGGTCACGACTGGCAGCATCTCGATACGTAAGTCCTTACACGCTTCCATCTAGCCTGATCTCACACCAGTAGGCCCTTGCGGACTGGGAGCGAAGTGCTGAAGCGTGGCAGAAGGCGTTGGATGCACTCCCAAAAGATAACCTCACTCCCGCAGAGCAGCGGCAGAAAGATCAGTATACTGTCGATCTGAATGCAGCCCAGGCACGTATCAAGGTGGTTAGTGAGCTACCTCTTGCTCGTTTCAGGGCCAGTGACGGCAAGCTGCCTTGGCAAGTGGCGACGGAGATGCTTCCTGAAATGAGGAAAGCGGGTCTCAAAAAAGTTTCTAGCAGTGTGAGCTTGAGTTGTAGTGTTATATACCTCACTGAATAGGTTCCTCTCATGCAGGCTTGGGTGATCGCATATGCGTATGAGGTAATCCTCACGACTGGCTGTATAATAAGGGCCTATTGACATGTACTAGGAATTCACCAAAGGGGTAAAAATTATGAACGAATTGAAAAAGGTTCCTCACCCTCAAGCTCCAGGAGGATTTGCCTATCACGGAAACCTCCAGGTGAGTTCGAGCCTCTTCTTCGCTCTTGCAGTATTATGATACATAACACGCTCAGGCCTCGACGTATCTGACAAATGGTTTAATGCGTGACGAGCGCGCGTTCCATATCAATCAGCCTGATTGGATTACCGCGTACAATCAACAAGGTAATCTTATTTTAGTATTGCCTGAGGCGATTGCACTGACCGAGGTGTAGTCACGTTCGAAGCTACAGCCCGCCAAGCCTGGCACTCTGACGGGCTCGAAACTGTCAAGGAACTGGTACAGACACGCCTAAAGGAAAAGGGCTGGAATGATGTACGCCCCGCTTTGTCCGTGACTGTTCGGTACGTTGTGGGAGCTTCGTGTAGTAAAGCTTATTGATGGTCATATAGTGCATGGATAATGAGAGGCGCGCTCGACGGCAAATTAAGAAACGAACCTCAAGCCGGTGTTCAGTTTTTGAAACGAGCTGTCGACTTGCTTGAATGGGGAAGAAATATTTGGAAGAATGTCACCCACACAGACCGTGGGGCGATTTTCCAGGATACGTTTGTGCGAGGTGTACGTAGCATGCACCTCAGTATGTTCATGGACGTGAGTTGCGAGTCTATATTTCCTGGGTACTGAGTGAATCGCATGACAGGCTTACCATACCGACCCTGGCTTGAACTCCAAGTTCCCCCTTGAACACCTGAAGGAAGAAGCCGAGGACCTCCTTAAAGAGATCTACATAGCATCAAAGACACCCAGTAAGGAGGAAGTTGACCCCGGTTTCGTGTCGTCGTATTGTATATATCCTGCTGGGATGGCCTATTCGTATGACCTCTTTTTCCTCTTACTTCTGATCCTTTTCTCATCGTTGCTTTCTTTTACAGGGTGATAGGATACCTACCATACGCAGATGGCTCAGTATGGCAGTGACCTTGTGGAGCGTATGTTCAGCTTTGTGAATGGGGCAAAGGCGTACATGGAGGCAGCTGGCAAATACCCTGAGGATGACGAGTTACATGCATGTAAGTGTTCAACACAGATTCACTCGTACATTTTACGAGCTTTCCCCAGGGTACTTGAGTTGCGCCATGGATTGTATGCGAAATGCTGGTGTCTCCATTCGCGACTTCAATAAAGTCGCCAATGATTTACGGAAAGCCGTGCCGAAGATGATGAAGATATGGACCGTCTCCGCGCTGCAGCAAGGTGGACGAGACGAGAAAATACAAGCGAACTTAGACAGTGCAGATAACATGATGAAGCGTATCGCTGAAGGAAAGTTGACACTGGAAGATCCTGTACCTTTGTGATCATGATTCACGCCGTCCCATACTTACATGCCACACTTTTGTAATCATATGCTCTTGTACATTACATGACAATCCATACGAGTAGACTCATACAGGACCGATATGCTGATACGAGGATCTCGCTTTAGCCGATGGCTCTTCCAGGATCTCATTCTTTTCCAGTGAGACACCGAGAATACGTATGGGCTATCGCATTGATGATCTTAAATTCTTCGTCACTTCAGACCGCTGCCGATCAATCTTTGAATACGGGCAACACTACAACGACCTGTTTTGCACAGGCAGCAATCACGGACGTCACTTACACCATTGCTAGAATAGAGGACAGTGATCGACACCGATCTCGGCCTCTTGCGTACCATCCAATGAAATGGCGTTGTGGTACTATTCATGATGCACGATGGTTTGGTGTGCATTACAATCATCAATCCATATCCCTCCTGTAATTTTGAATTGCAATTCGAATCACAGGCTGGTGATCAGTACCCCGTAAAGTTGTACTGAAATGAAACAAATTGGACATCCGTTGCGCGAGCGTGGGGTCGCTGTGCAACCGAAACTATGTGCAGAAGAGAAGAAAGGTACAGTATGTAGTTGGGATGTAGAGTAACGAAGTGTAAGCTGATATAGGATGATCTAGTGGGGCGAGAAACTCTGTATGGAGCTACAAATTTCAAAGATTTATGCTATAGATATTCGTAGTTTTTTGGGCTGAAGGATCACATTGATACACAAGTTGATTGTTGGAGGAATATCTAACGAACCAGACACATGGAGACCGATGGGTAACACAGCTGTGTCAGTGGGAGGCATTAGTACGAATAACGAGTCGCTGACTGGGCGGGATGGCATGCTCGGCTGGCGCCTCAACACCACCCGCCAGGATGCCCACGCGCATCATTGCAAGGAGCTATGTAATGGTACATGTGGGGGTAAGTTCACAGCGGTGAGCGGAGGGAGCCGACGAGGATCACAGTCAGTCATTAGCATCGTTATATAAACGAACAAGGTTATGGTACGCACGTTATGCGCTGCGTGAGAGTGGGCATAGACACCACCGAAAAAGGAGGCTGTCATGTCTTTCCCAGAGTTTCGCGTGAGTAAAGTGGCTCCTCCCGGATGGATATCAAGGAACAAGGACGCGTCGTGAATGAACCCTGAGATGAGGAGAAGGGTTCGAGACTGTGACTCTTTCTGGTCTATCGGCAGAAGGTTTGTAGTTGCTCAGTAAAATTTGGGGCACAGCATGGCGTTACTCACATGTCTCCCACGTTACCACGGGCAATTCCTGCGGGGACACAGGCCATTTAATTGAGTCCTGGACGTCCTTGAGAACCTTGAGCTTCATCGTGAGTGCGCCCTTTTCAATTTCGTTGCTAGGGAAAACACGGAGATGGGAGGCGAGACCGAGGTAATGGCACGCGGCGATGAACCACTTGGTAGGGTCATACTGGTACCATCGGAATGCATTCCTGGTGAAAGGTTGCGACTTGTGTAAACAGAAGTGAGAACACAATGAATGTCGACTGCTACCTGTAGTCCATGGGAAACTGATGGTGGAAGTTATGGTACCCTTCCCCCATCGTAAGGATAGCAGACACAAGGTGGTCGCGCGGCGAGTGCTTGTCATCGTATGGCGTGCTTCCGAGATAGTGAGCGATAGAGTTGATGCAAAAAGTGCTCTAAGACTCAGGTTAAGCTTCTCCATTGATGAGCAACTCAAAACTCACGTGATGGCACGCGGTCATGCGAAGGGCACCGACAAAAAAGAATCCGCCTTGCCAGTCTCCCCATAACAGACCCGGAATGACCATTGGAAGCAAATATCCGAAAATAGTGAGGATGACGAAGTACCAGCGGTGTTGCCACTGTACCAGAGGGTCTTGACGCAAGTCAGAAGTATCAGCTGGCCCTGGTTTCAACTCTGACTCGAAGATGATCCATCCGATGTGCGTCCAGAGGAGGCCACGTTCCGAGTTGTAAGGGTCAAAGTCCGTGTCGGTATGCCTGTGGTGAGAACGGTGTCGGCGTGCCCACCAGTAACACGAGCCTTGCACCGCGCTTGCCCCAGCAAGGATGAGGAATACCTGCAAAGGGAACGAAGCGTTATACGACCTGTGTGACCAAAGCCGGTGGTATCCTGCAGCAACACGTTCTGATGCTATTCCGTTGAGGTTACATCCACCACTCACCAGCAGTGATACCTGGTGGAACGAATTCAGCGCTCGGTTGAAGTGACCATCGCAGAATACTTACCAAGCATGGAATAAATGTAATAGAGGACCGTGCAGACGACAGTGTTCCGATAGATGGAAGCATATAGCAAGCCGTACAGGGAAAGGGCGGGTGTAATAACAAGGACAGAAAGGTTGAACCATCGTATGCCAGTGATTGTCGGAAAGCCTTGTGTCAAGTTCTTAATGAACTGCATATTGAACTGCGGTCGTCACCACCAGGAACGCCGATAGAAGAGGACGCGAGCGAGAAGAACAGACGGATGGTCGCGCTGTTACCAGGCTTATGTATCACCCTGCGACGGTGGGACAGCAGTCCGTTGGATTTTCCTCCAGACTATATGTGCCGTTTACTTGAGACATGGCACGGGTGAACTGATCGGACGGCAGAAATTAGTAGCAGACGAATATCGCGTGAAAAGAGGTGTAGAGTCTAACTCAAACTCGTGGAAGACAAAGGCAGTACCACCTTGTGAAACTCTTATAACGGTGAGCCTGATCACTGCCTGATCTAGGTTGTCATTCCCGACGTTCGACCCGAGACAATGAGACACTGTGATTACCTTCACAACAGCCTTGCAATTGGACACTCACGCACAGGTTTCCACTATAAGATGAGCCTCTTTGTGCCGTCTTCTCATCAATGAGTACCGTAACTTATTGCCTCAACTTGGTTCAGATGTTCTTCCACCCCGGTCGCGTCGGAAGCAACAAATTGTTGGCCAACAAGATTCCGAATGCCACGGAGAAGGTATCGGTTTTGCCGCCAAGAGCTAGGTACGTAGTCAGCGAGGCGCAGTCGTTGTCAGTCTAACAAAAGATTCAAATGAATTATATAATGAATGTGGAAAGCCTGAGTAACCACATGCCAGGTTCAACCAAATATGGTTGCCCCGCGTTCACACTAGCTATAGTTCAATGGATTCGATACCAGATCGTCTGTAAATGCTAGGTTAGTTACTTGTCTCACTTCTTGCATAGTAGTGGATATGTCCTGGAGTTCCCTTGTTTGTTTCAAATAGGTATTTGCCTGTCAGGTTGAGACCAACGCCAAAGCACGACCATGCCATGGATCATGTTCAATCAAGATATAGGTTTCATATATATACAGTATATGCACTCTGAGAGGACGAAGGCTGCTAGTGTGACTGTCGGAAGCCGAAGTTTCAGCCAATGCGTAGAGGTTGATGGTAAACAATGGTTGCGAGCCGTTGTGATGTTAGGGCAACTAGAATTGGAGTGCTATAGTCGTCATCTTCCGGATCGTCAGTTTTGCGACAAAGTACGCGGAATGCATATGTCACAATCGCTAGCAGGTTGCAAACCATCAGAGGACGATGTCTGGCCATAGCGATGTAAATGTTTGCACTGAACAGACACAAGCCCCTACCTCCAAATTCAATGCAATTGTCCCAACTCCTAGAAACCGAGTAGTGGTATGGAACAGGGAGAACAGTGTCGTGACGATGCTAGACAAGAATCATTCGCCGCTGACAGGTTGACATTCCAAAGGAATCGGAGGGAAAAGACCACCAGAATAGCGTCAGCAACACAGCTGGCTGGTTTAATGGAGCCGTGAGTATAGCGGAGAGTGGAAGGCGGTATGATGCCCACTTGCAAGCTGGTGGACCGCCATCAAATGGTCCATGCGGCAGTAGGAATCCCTATAACTAGTTAGTTATATGAGGTACCAGCTGTGATTCGATCCACAAGGCTATGCCTGATGCGCAACAAACGCTGCCCACATCAAGAAGGGAATTGCAAGCGGAAAAGCCACGGCGTGGGCCGTGCAACTCGTGTAATGGAAAACGGTATGCTCGTGCGCGCAGACCTTCAAAGTTGTTTCTTTCCTACAACCATAGTGAAGGACGAACAGGATCTCAAATATACTACAGATGTCGCTCCTTCCATGTCGAGTCCATTCACATGAGTTGCACGAGAGCACAGGTGAACCCAGGAACTAATCAGATTCGCTACACTCACGATCCGGCAGCAGCAGTCCACGCGTCTTCCCACCAGAATCTTCTTATATGTAGTCGGAACCAGATAAACGAAAACCTGTGAGCCCGAATGCAATTCCCTGCACAGCGGTCGCCGCCGCTAAGTTCGAGTGAGATATGACTCTAACAAGATAGAGTATCAATATTATACGGCCTACTTACCCTTCATCTGTACTATCGCCATCCTTGTCGGGGATGATGACCTTGCAATCAACAAAGCACCAAGCGCCAAGGACGCAGAAATGCGTAGTAATGTTGTCCGTGTTGGCGGAAATCCTTGCAGGGTTGGTTATCATTACCGGATGGCTGTTTGCACTTGGGCTGCATTGCGAACTTTCCAGGCTGCATATAATAGCCAGACAAAGAACGTCATGGCTGTTGCGGCAGGATAAAAATCAGGCCGGATGCGTCGATAAAGCATAGCAAGTATGCATAGGTATCACATGGCCGCTCAGAGCGCTGAGCGGTCCTCCTGGCAGTGTTGACGGTCGACCATCCACGACCTGTGACCTGTCTATGCCATGAAGAATGGCCGGCCATCAGCGCTATAACATTCTGCTCGTTGCATTTGACAAGGGTAATGTGACCAAACTCCGATGATTCAACGAGAACGTTAACGGCCTTTTGTCGGATTTCGGGTCACGAACATTTTTAATTTTACCTCTACCGTTATGTAAATTGAAGGAACGGCTATTTTCCTTCGTCTACATAGGACTGGCTAGGGGAGACTACATCTACCATGGCCTATAGGTCGCACACAATTTGTGTCATGCCACCTCCATGATCGTGATGCATCAAGTCCAGGCCTACTGCATTCCCCTACTTACAAAGAATGAGCTTGATGCACTTGCCTACTCAAGTACTCATTGCCCAAGGAAAAACAAGTTGTGATGAGGTGAGCGGTTTAGCCAAGTCGAGGAGCTGAATACTGAGCGCTTTAACCCAAGTGTACCAGGGTTGAACAGCATAATATTATATTATAGCGCTGAGAAGATGCATATGATGTCACTCTTCAAAAATCCCCCCATATTCACACAGCTGTCAAAGAAAGATCCTTGTAGGGGATCACTTGACATAGCTTGCCATCGGATTTGTCTCCAGGGTGTACTTTGAGCGGTCCGTCTTTACATTGAACGTTATAACGTGATGGGCCCCTCATACGAAGACTACGGTGCGCAACTTTTATCAGGATCATAACCACAGCGCTATTGTCAGCCTGAGGGCGTCTACTACAAGGTCTTGCTCCCATCGGATGAAGTTCGAAACGTTGCGAGTCCGCGGTTCATTGAAATACCCTCTGCGGCGGCTCGGGGACTCAGAATCGATTTCGGCTAAAGACACGATCCCTTGTGCGTCCTGAAGCTAAGGTAGCCAGATTGTTCGAAATCGGTGCAGAGAACGCCTTTTAGCACCCCTTGTTTCGTCACTTCGGGCCATGTAAACCGGAAATTCGCGGCCCGTTACCACTGATGTTTCCAAGTTGGTGTCAAGAGTACGGTTACTCTACGTCTTCTTCATCCTCCACGACTGGGGGTCATGCGACAGGCTCAGACGGTTTTCCGTAACCCGACTGACTTAACCGGCCATCCGTGATATGCCGATGGAACCTGCGATCGCGTTCTGTTGAACAATAAAAGCTTTATAGGCAACAAGGGTCGCTCCTGAGCGCCACTTACCGTGAACCCTCTCTAATCTGTTACATTCTGGCCGAGGCAGAGTGCGACTACCAACCGTCGCTGAAAACAGGAAACAGGGGAAAACGTCATAATCAAATGGCAGCATCAGCAGCGGGTGCGATTCTGGCTGTCGCCTTTGCTGTTGTGTCGTGCATGAAAGCCTCGGCTAACCTTGCCGTGCCTCCTGGAGCAGTAGTGCGTCGGGTATCGTGATTCTGCTGTGCTATATCTGACGCCACCTTGCAGTGCATTGATCCTCCGACGTACAACGTTTTGGGAGCAAACTACACAGAATGGCGCAACTTGTCCACTGTTGGCTTCAACCCCAACAATACTGCACCCCCATTCATTCAGGTCTTTGACCCTTCGTTCCTCGAAATCACCGGACCATCTGCAACGATCCGCTTAATTGCTTCTAATCCTGGCTTTGCTTTTGCCCATGAAGCACCCATCTACGTTCCAGACCTTAACGCAGTCTTCTTTACAAGCAACGATGGCGGTGCGCTTGGGTACAGCGGCTGGTACAACAACAGCGTTGTTAGCATGATCAACATGACAGAAGTCGACTTGGCACTGTCTTCTACGACTGGAGATGTTGATATACATGTTCAAACGGTGGGGGGTTGCTTCTGCTCAGTTGGGCACAGATTGTTGATGCTCGACTGTCTTGACTTTCAGCTCAACCTCCCGGACACTGTCCAGATGGTAAACGGGGGGACAGGCCCATATAAAGGCGACCTTCTGCTCATCACCTCAGGTCGCGCTCTACTTCCTTCTTCGATTGTGCGCGTCAATCCCAACCCTCCCTACAACGCCACTGTTCTTCTGGACAACTTCTTAGGCAGACAGTTCAACTCGCTCAATGATATTAAAATTCTTCCCGGCACGGACATCATGTTCTTCACTGATCCTACGTGAGCAATTGATGCGTTTATGATGTTTACAACGTTGATGGCTTCTTCAGCTACGGGTGGCTTAACGGTTTCCGTCCTGAACCAATGCTACCATCACAAGTTTACCGCTTCGATCCGTCCACTGGGCAGGTCAGAGTCGTCGCTGACCAGTTTGTGCATCCGAATGGTATTGCATTCACCCAAGACGGCAAAACTGCATTTATGTGAGTTTCCAATACCTGTATCGCCTTTCGGTCTGCAATAAAGATAACGCATCAGTGCCGACACCGGTGCTTCTGGAGGATTCCTCGGAACGAATCAGACCCTCCCAGCCACAATGTGAGTTTCTTACGTCGATCATAATTGTAATGAAATTCTGAAGCAAGACGTGAAGTTACCAGTTCGACGTTGATCCACGGACGCAGTCGTTCATGAATCGTAGAGTGTTCGCCTACGCTGACTCCGGTGTCCCCGATGGCGTTCAGCTCGATACCATGGGCAACGTCTATGCAGGTTGTGGCGAGGGTACCCACGTCTGGAATGCAGAAGGCATGCTCATTGGAAAGTTTTACCTGAACAGCACCACGGCTCAGATGATCTTCACGAAATCTGGTCTCGTTATTTTGGACGAGGAGGCGGTATATCTAGCAAACATTCAAGCTCAGGGATTGAACCTTGCCACACCGTAGATTCATTGTGTACCATCCCGGATCATGTTACATACACAACTACATAGGCTTGTACTGATGAACCTCATATTAGAGTTCTTTCCACGGCCCAATCCGCCGTGGCACTTCCAAACCTACCTGTAGTACCAGAATTAATCACCCTAGAAGGCCTCACAACAGTCGTCGTACAGGTAGGTTTTGAGCATACGGCATTTAGGTGGTCCGGGAGCTGGGGGATATCTGCGTACCTGATAGTGAAAGCTGTCAGTTCAAAGAGCAAGGAGAGGGCCATTCTCGAATCATCCAGGCGAAACTGCTTCTTGAGCCCTCTCATTTCTCATCGCTTGTCGTTCGAATGCGACATAAACTGACGAAATAAACTGTTATTGAGCAGGGTTATTAGTATGAGACCCATCTGGATCCCGAACGTCGTGCGAATTCAGCTGTCTCGAACAGCACAAAGCGAAGTACTGGAAGTGAGTTCTCTAGTGGCATATTGCCCACCTACAAATCAGCTGAAAAAATACCTGTCGGTTGTCAGATGACTAGGGCTGATTAGGGTTGACTTTAATCCTGTATACCTCCACTAGGTAAGTCGGTCGCTTCATTCTCTCATTATTAAAAGTCATGAGGCTAAGTCAAGGCGAAGCCCTGGCCTGGTATGTAATTGGATCATTGCACGTACCTTTTTATGGGAGCTGAAGTATTTCGGAACAGTAAGTTACAGGTCACAATCACTCGTCAGAGCGTCCCAACGTTCAAATAGATCCAGGCAACGCATATTCTAACTTCTGATCTGGCTCACTCGAAGCTCTTGGCAACTGTTCCTGTGCGGGGTCATGCCGTAATGCTCTGCTGGCCTATCAAAAAGCTCATTAACGCAAATTGATAGAACCCCTCTGCATCGGACCGTTACTGAACGAGGTGGAATTCCGATTTGAACTTGCCATATGGGCTATTACGTTCTGTCGAGCAATAAAAGCTCTCAGATAGGCGCCAACGAACTCAGAGCTTTCCTTAATCTGTCAAGACCACACAGTGCGAATCGACCGTCGCTGAAAGAAGGACACAAGACTTGGGGAATACGTCATAATCGAAGATGACGAAATTAGCAGCAGGCGTGATTCTAGCTGTCGCTCTTGCTGGCGTGTCGTTCACGAAGGCGTCGCCGCCTGGAGCAGTGGTGTGTTGGCAATTGTAATTTTGCAGCGCTATATCTGAACGTCTGCCTCACAGTACGTCGACCCTCTACTGTACAATGTTGTGGGAGCAAACTACACAAAATGGCGCAACTCGTCCGCTGTTGGCTTTAATCCCACAAATACTGCACCCCCATTCATTCAGGTCTTTGACCCCTCGTTCCTCAAAATCACTGGACCATCTGCTACCATCCGCTCAATTGCTTCAAACCCTGGCTTTGCTTTTGCCCATGAAGCACCCATCTACGTTCCGGACCTTAACGTAATCTTTTTTTCAAGCAATGGTGGTGGCGCACTCGGGTACAGCGGCTGGTACAACAACAGCGTTGTTAGCATGATCAACATGACAGAAGTCGACATGGCGCTAGCTTCTACAACTGGAGATGTCAATATCCAGGTTCAAACGGTGGGTCGCGCCCGCTCGGTAATTAATGCTTACCCATCTTGACTTTCAGCTCAACCTCTCTGATACTGTTCAAATGGTCAATGGGGGAACGGGCCCGTATAAAGGAGACCTCCTGTTCGTCACCTCAGGTCGCGCTTTGCTCCCTCCTTCAATTGTGCGCGTCAATCCCAACCCTCCCTATAACACCACTGTTGTTCTGGACAACTTCTTAGGCAGACAATTCAACTCGCTCAATGATATTAAAATTCTTCCCGGCACGGACATCATGTTTTTCACTGATCCTGCGTGAGCAATTGATGCGTTCATAATGTTTACAACGTTGATGGCTTCTTCAGCTACGGGTGGCTTAACGGTTTCCGTCCTGAACCAATGCTACCATCACAAGTTTACCGCTTCGATCCGTCCACTGGGCAGGTCAGAATCGTTGCTGACCAGTTTGTGCATCCGAATGGTATTGCATTCACCCCCGACGGTAAAACTGCATTTATGTAAGTCCGGTTTTTGTCTCGTCCCTGCCGATAAATCCTACAATAACGCATCAGCACCGACACTGGTATTTTCGGAGGCTTCCTGGGAACGAATCAGACCCTTCCAGCCACGATGTGAGTTTTCCCACCTAGCGCGACGGTGATAAATACTCAAGCAAACTTTAAAGCTACCAGTTCGACGTCGACCCATTGACGCAGTCGTTCGCGAACCGTAGAGTGTTTGCCTATATTGACTCCGGTGCGCCCGATGGCATTCAGCTCGATACCAAGGGCAACGTTTATTCTGGTTGCGGCGAAGGTATCAACGTCTGGAACGCCGGAGGCACGCTCATTGGGAAGTTCTATCTGAACAGCACCTCGGCTGAGCTGATGTTCACGAAGTCTGGTCTCGTTATTTTGAAGGAAACGGCGATGTATCTGGCAAACATCGAGGCTCAGGGGATGACCCTATCCGTCTTGTAGTTTTCTGTGTATCGCCATGCATCATGATGCATGTTACAAATTCAATAGGACATCAGAAGATGTCCATAAAGATATCTCCACTGCCTGTGTGATCATGCAATATTTGTGATTGTTTGGACTATTGGACGGAGCTGTCCAGTCTCTTGTCATGGCTCACAAAATCTAAATTATGGTAGGAAACTTGTCTTCAAAGACCATGGTTCAGCCAAGCTCGGATGGCCTAGCGCTCGAACTTGATTCGCGTATTGGATGGGGTGCTTAAATTTTGTGCGCACCTCCGACCTTCATTATCCTGCCCTTGAACTTGATGTTGTATTACAGTCCCAAGTTTTCCAGGACAAGTGGTAGCTGTCAAGAAGTCCCGTGTCCCGCTGCGGGTCAAACATACGCTATTTCAACAGGAAGTCCACGTCCTCCGAACCTTGTGCGGCTATCCAGCCATCCCTTTGGTGTACGCCATTGGGTGATTCGAACATTTCGAGTATCATTCAATGGAGCTGTTGAGGACGAGTATAGGTAATATCAGGCGACAAACCGCAGAAGTGCGAAAGAGGATTCCTCCTCAGCTGGATGTACACATGGTGCATGCTTCCTCGCTGTACCATCATATATAAGCCTAATCTTCTGCGTGCCAACTTTCGGCATTGGTGCACATGCACTCCCATGGCCTCATTTATCGTGACATAAAATCTTACCTGTCCTACAGATCATCAGCGCATTGAATATTCGGTTGATTGATTTTGGCCCAGTGCGTCAATACCGCGGGCGACACGGAAGGAGCCCGATTACGTTTTTGGAACATTATTTTATGCGTTTACATGCGCACGGAGGCTTGGGTCGACTGTTTCATTCTGACAAGAATCGTACAAGGATGGCTTTGGCCCGTCGAGACGACCTTGGATCTTTGGCTTACACTCTTTCGAGATCCTTCGGGGTTGCCTGCCCTGGCATATACCATACCCTCCCGCAAGCTCATCTTGTAGTGTCAGGCGTCAATTTTGTGAAAAGAAGCGAGCTTTATCACGCGTGAGGTTGGCAGAAGGTTGCGACGCTGCATTCGGGCAGCTCCTCGACGAAATACGTTGTTCTGAATTTAACGAAGCACTGTGTTATGATTGGTGGGAACTGACATTCGCCGGTATCTCAACGTGCTGATCCCACGCGCGCAAAGCGTGGGGTTCTCCGCGAAATTCTGACGGCTGCAGCTTCAGGTTGAGAAATTAACGGTCCACAAATTCACGGCAACCGTCCTAGCAGCGTGCTCGCCTCGCTGGCACTTACCAATACATTCTCAGGCATTTTCTCGTGCTCACCCTGACCTCCCAGACACGTGTAGATACTTCATGAATACATTTTCTCACCCATCTCAGGACTGTATATCCAGGACTGCAAACCCCACCAAAAGGACTGTCAATTTTTCATACGAAGAAGTATTAACTGCGTGACGCCTAAATACCAAACCAACAAAATTAAATTAAATATTGTAACTTAGTCAATTCGAGTCTCGAACCACACCGCCGTCACGGTCTACAACAACAAGATACAGAAAATTCAGGCATGCAATTGGGTTGGACATGCGCCATTATGTCCTTGACCCAAGGGGGCTGAGTAATAATTGCATGAGAATCATTCGCATAGTAAGACATAGCTTGTATTGATCGAAAATTTGAAGGCTTGTGAGTAGCTCTTATAACTGCATTAATAATGACGTTGTATGAGCAGCTGCCAGGGTATGCAGGTCATACCATATAGAAAAGTGGTGTCCAACATGTACGCGCGTCGTCATTGTATGCGCATGCGCTAGCGAGGGCTGGGGATCGAGGACTTGGTGACGAGAAACCTTCGCACTAGTTCTAGATAGTACTACTTCATCACTCGAAAATTCGCCGAGCAATAACTTATCTCCGGGCTCTAATTGTTCAAATTAAGTGTAAAATCGACGACCCCATAAATTAATAAAATTATCGATAAATCACTTAGCAAAAACTCGCTCTGGTCGGACTCTTGACAGCTCACCGTGTCCACTGTCGATGACAGCCTCCCACATCTGGCGTAAGCCCCGATCCAGCCCGGCCAGCTCATTTATGCACAATTACTCCGAAAAATAACGATCGAAGGTTACACTATCGGTCAAGCTACCCGCGGTAGTCCTGCGACTGGAAAGATGGGCGTGGCAGATAATAGCCCTATTACTCGTCGACGGACCGGTGAACCACCGTCCAAAGTTCTGCTCACAGTTGACAGTGAATCTGATATCGCTATTGTATTAAGTTCAGACTGGCTCCAGGATCCCACTTGGTGGTATTCTTTTGTGCACACAAATTCTTTCCTTTTTGATCCTGATCGAGTGAGACCTACCTGCTACGAACTAAATTCCTCTGGTTTCGTTCTTATATAACGCGAAATAATTCCACTGCATTGGAAATTTGGAGAAGATACTCTTGATGTCCTCCATTCTCGTCTTGAGACCAGACAGAACATTGTCGTGGCGAATGAAGAATCCTACCAGCGCTTGGCATTCACGATGAGGATTATTGTCCTGATGTTTACGTCGAAGTGCACTCGTTGGGTCGAGACACTCTCATAGGCTGCCAGCGGACAAGCCGCCCACTGGGAGTCAAAGCGGGGATGGCTTGATGAGCTCACCCCAAGTTTTTTTTAGAGATTTGCCGCTGATAGAGAGTACCCGCGCAGTGTGGACGTTGCCGGACAATCGACAAACTGATGGTATCGACGGGGCACGTTTTTTCGATCCTAACATGAGTGAATGGCACGTACAGGGAGCACGGGACCCATCCCAAAACCTAGGTTCAATGGACTATAGTAGTCGTGACGCCCAACTACCTGTCATGTTGGAAATTGGATGTTACAACAGTTGTCTTCATAGTTGCCATTAGGGATCCATGGCCAGGTGGGTTTTCAAATTCTTGGAATGAGAGCTTTGGTGGCTGTTGAGTTTTTAACTTGTCAACAGCCCAAACGACAACAATATAATATGGTGTGTAGTTCGTTTCAAGTTGACTTTGTTCAACCAATGTGAAATGACTCATCGATGATTCATTGAATGGACACTCAAAGTTGGGCGTCTACCACTAGCTACTTAGTACTTCATTTCCAGTGTACGCCCTCCGGCGGTACTTATTTACCTGGCGTCTTGTGTGCAGTTGTGCAGCCGCAGTCCAATTTTGTTCTCGAATTTCTCGTCATGTCAACAACTTGCAATCAAAAAGTGTCTCGCGATGCTGGCTTCGACGAGATATTCATAGGGATTCATGTGGACCTCGATCGATTCTGATTTTCTGTGCACGAACGTGTACATGGATGATTATTTATTGTCACCAACACGTGAAATGAGATAAAGATAACCGGGGGGCCGTAGAGGGCCGCAGTCATTGTTCTTAAAATTCGACATACATATTCTTCCTGATCAACGAATATCACGTCGCCAACGATGTATACTTCAGGCAAGCGCGCACCTGGGCACAGACGACAGCGATCAAGAACTTCAAGCGATCCTGGGCATCCGTATGTGGCACCGCCGTTCAAAACGGCGTGGCCTGCACCAGCGCGCAGGACGACAGAGCCTATGAATGTTCCCCACCAGACACCCTCACGGAACTCATCCGTAGAACGGGTGGGAGACCCATTCGTCCCCCCACCAGGATCTCTGCTTGCACAGATGGATGTGCGCTCACCGATGAACCCTTCTGGTCCAGTATCTCCGGCGTCTATTGCACCATCACAACATTATCGAAGCCCTTCTAGACAGGGTAGCTTGTCTCAGGTCCCCCTGATACAGAATGTACCCCAGCCGCCTAGAACGGCACTCAACACACCTCCGGTGATGCCTACACCACAGATGTCCTCGTCCTATGCCCCAAACTTCCCTGTTCCCCAGCCAAATTCCCCACCCTTTCCTTCGCCATACCAGCAATCATCGTTCTATGGGATGGAACATCAGGGATCCAGTCACGGCGTCCGCCAGGGTGTGAATCAGGGTGTGAATCAAGCCCAGAATACACCTCCAGGCACACAGAGTGCACACCATAGCATGCAGCAAAATAGCTTCCACCACAGTCATAGTAGCCCCCATCATAGCACACATCATCGTTCTCGATCTCATTCGCGTCCTCCAAGTGCAGCATCGCACAGGTATGCGTCAAATATCACCCAGCCTGTGTATGGTCACGGTAGTTCCACTCCGAACGGATCACGCACCTCTCTCAATGGTACACCTCCCAAGAACCAGTTAGCGGCTGCTGCACTCAGTCATCAGAACAATGTGTCGTCTCCTGACATGTCCTCATCCTTGAATCGCCCTTCACTTAACCCAGTTCCATCCAGTGGCCGTTCACGACCTCGCAGTCGCCCAGTCTCTACTCAACCGGCACCTATGTCAAGCAGATACCAAGGGAAACCTGAGACACCCCCTATTATTCCCGCAAAGCAGCTTCACCACACGACGCAGCGCCCGCCGCTGCCAAATATGCCAGCTGGACATATACAGACTCGCTATGTGAACATGCTTTTGGCACTTGATGATATCCCGCCACTGTTCAACATAATGGCGTCGTTCTTCACGTGGATCTTACTTGCGGGATTCGTCCTATTCCCTGGAACATTCACATCTTTGCAGCAACAGCAACTCAGCGGTGTGGAAGCCCAACTGCTGAATGCGATATCCAATATATCACTGTGAGTGACGGTCAAAATCGTAGGAAATGGAGTCGTTCACCAGACACCTATAGTTATATTATTGCATGGGTTTGTACCGGTATTGGTGGCGTTGGTATGATCTGGTTATGGTGGAGGTGGCAAAGAAATTATATCTGGATTGTGAATCGTATCTTTGTGTGAGTACAGTGCATTGTCAACTATTCACTGATGAATTTACCTTCAAAGTAGGCCTGGCCTACTCAATTCACTCGCTGGTATCATCTCGGTTCTTTCCAATATCTACGGCGTACAGCATGGAACCTACAGCATACCAGGCGAGTCAGCAATGATTGTGACAGCTGGGGTTGCAGGCGTGTGTGGATGCCTTGTTCTCGTGTATCATTTCTGGTTACTGGGAAATATCAAGAAAGAGCATGACAGGGAAGTTGGTGTCGAGTTTGCTGGAAGGCACTGGCGAAGGCATTATGGGGGGTGAGACCAAGAAGTAGGGGACGACATGAAATCTATCATAGACCTTGGTTAATTGTGGGTTGTTGAGACATATATGGACTCACTTGGTTCTAGGCTACTACGAAACCGGACTATTAACAATGAGCGAAATTAGTGGTTCAGATAAGCATTTAGAATTCATTCTTTCAAAAATTCTTTTGTAACATAACAGAATATCTCCCGTTGATACAATGCTCGAACGGACGAGCATCCGCATTTCGTACAGCAATATGGTTCGCATCCGAGGAGGCCGGGCCGGGCGCCTGCAGCTGCATGATAAGTTATGTCTCAACTGCCTTGCACAAAATTAGTAGCCAAACTCGACCTGGTGTCGCATGTGTACCTTCGTGTACACACCTCGGAAGTTCTTTAAGAGTCAAAAAACAGATGACAAGAGAGATATTTAAAATTGAATACAACGCCGGGGCAGCTGAAGCTAGTGACTAGGAGACGCTCAATAACCGAGCAACACTAGCAGCCACATCAGATGATGAGAGATTATCCAGCTCAACGTTTTTCTCAACTCCACGTTCTACAATAATTCAAATTAGTACAGCCATACATAGATTGGCCCAAGGGCACGAGCAATACACGCACCAAACCGTGCAAACATCCGCGCGGGTGTACCATTTGCCTCCCGTATCATGACAGGAAGGTCCGGGTTGTGTTTCTTGATGACTGGGTATGTAGACAAGATGAATTGCCTGCAGACATGAACATTAAGTACATGAGTGACGGTGCTGTGATCAGAAACCATGAACCCACCGCGTGCCCGCCGACGCTTGGCTTGATTGGCAGCAAAAGATGCGAATTTCACGGAGAGCGGGAGACAATGTTTTTGCAAACGCGGACATGGCAGGAATAGATCAAGATCAAGCTGGCCACAGTCAATAAGGCAAGCAACGTTTCTGCAACGCTTTTCTTACTGCTAAATTGTCCTCAGCTCGGGTTCGTTCGAACGGGTGCTTACATAATAATCTCAGGCCTCGTTGCAACCAGCGGGGCATGAGAATATAATCTTGTTGGTTGCTTTGCCCGCCAACCATTCAATCCCCTCGCCGCTGATCGCCACGCCCCGAGGTTTCTCGGCGACCTCCGCCACCATGGACGACGACCAGAGCAGACAACAACAAGACTGGCTCAACAGCCGCCAGAATAGGCTACCCTCTTTCACAGAGGTCCTCTCTAGAAGGACGCGACCACCTGTGGATTTATTCATGTTTTAGTACGTCTGGCCCTTATGCTTGCTTGAGTGGTTGAATAGTCTCTGATGTTAACATATTTATATTTAGTCTTTTCCTCCAACGCGAAGGTGCAGAAGACATCCTGGATTTCTGGTTGGATGTTCAGCAACACGAGAACCTTTGCAGGGCATATTTTAAAGATGTCCGAAAGTCAGGCCGGACAATCAAAGATGATTGGCCTCAGTACTGGGAATACGCACGCCGTCGCGGTTCAATATATGGCACGGTCGTTGGACTTCAGCCCGCTGCCATGAAGCGAAGTACAACGAGCACAGGCGAGATGCCCAACGACCAAGAAAAATTCGCCCACGGCGGTGACGAGAAGCGTAGTGGTCAGCGTTCTACAACGCCTGGTGTTGACAAGGAGCATATCTCGTCCGCTTCCCCTCCCACTGCTGTGAATAGTCCAGATTTTGATCCACCACGGTCAACGACACCTTTCTCCCTGTCTGGGCGGACACCGACCCTTTTCAATCTCAAACGCGCATCACGTGCGCCAACGGTCATCCCACGTTCCGCTGCGATTACTCGTATGGATCTCATCACGTCTGCTGAGCGCATCTTCTTCCGGTACCTCTCTCCCTCAGGCACCGTAAATTCTCCTGAAAATCATGAAATATACCTCCCTCCCGCCCTCCGTATACACACATTTCCCCTTAGTAGCACTCAAGAGCCGAAATCACAGAGCGACCTGAACATGATGGCACATATTCCTGATATGTTCCACGCCCAGAAGGAGTACTGTTTCAGGGCAATGGAACAAGACGCGTTTCCGCGTTTCCTGAGGAGTAAAGCATTTGGAAATCTCACACCTGTGTCCGCATTGGCCCGACTTGTTGTCGGTCTCATTGTGCTGTGGATTGGGCTTGCCGCCGCCTTCGCCCTAATATTCCTCGATGTACAACCAAAATCCAAGCGATTTTTCGTGCGTATCATTTGTCTGGTGTGATTCTGCGTCTAACAGATTGTTTTCTATGCAGCTCTTCATTCCTTTCACGTTTGCGATTTTATTCCTTATCTCCCATCAATACGAACTCGATCCGATCCTTGTGTTCCTCGGGCAGTCAGAGTCAACCCCGTTCCGCACGCTCACTATCCGCGAGCCATATGTGAAGAAATTGCTATTGGGTCGTGCTATTTGGGTTACAACTCTTGTCGCCATTTGCGTCGTAGCGCTCACACTCATTTTCTGGGCTGTCCCTGGACATCGCCTATAGCGATTGGATCGAGCAAAGAGCTGCTGCGTCTCTGTACTTGTTGGATGGGCCCATGTGGGAAGGGTACTCAATGTATGACGCTCATGAAGGAGAGCGAGCCGATCGATATTGTTGATTTTACGCTTGGGTGACAAATGACTTTGATAAGCACTATTATCTTCAGTTATTCGCCTACTCCCTCTTGCACCTTGGTCTACTCTACCTCCTAATCTTTTGCATTCTGTGTTTCGCTATCATTTTACCTCGCATACCCCGCCAGTTCACCTCCATCCTCGCTGTGCTGTGCTGTTCTTTTGTTTCACTCGTTTCCCTGAATCCTTTATGACCTTTTTATACGTACGTACATGGTAGGACGTTAGGAAGTTAGACTCATATCTTTAATGTACATGTTCTGGTTACGCTTGATGTCGTTGATGAAGTTGATTGACTAGTAGGCACCTAATTGGATACCCAAGTACGTGATGACAAACTTTCACCTGTCTTCATTGATAGCAGAACCCGACAGCTTGAGTCCATCGCGCGTGTACAATGGTACATGTTATCACGTTTTGAACTTCGAACTGGTCCCGAGATTTCTCAGACTGGCATTGAAAAGACGCGCAAGCAGCAAGCTGCCAGACCAGGTCCCACGGCATGCATATTGCACAGGTGAATTTACAGTAAGCAAGTCCTTGAATCGACTGATTACAAACAATCTTTTGTATTCACTGGCAACAGTGACCATCGGACTCTGACCATTGCTTGGATCGAGGGTCAATATTGTGGATGACCTCCGGGCCCTGGCACCGGCCCCATAGAATTCTTTGGCCGACTTGAAAGCGCAGAGCGGACATGTAAAGGTCTGGTACCTGCCGTTGCTCTCCTCCCAAAGTAACTCCACATGAAACGGTAACTTGGTTTCAAGTTTTGACGCCGTGAATAAATATATGCGCTCATCTTGTTTGGCGATGCTGCACGCCAACACCGTACAGTAAGTATCCTTAGCCATCTAGCAAAAACATGATATAATACGTTTTGTGCACAGACAAGAACAGTGAGATCCCTTAGATGCACGAGCCCAAGTGCAGTGGTGAATCATGACTGTGCCACTGGTGGAACAATGGCTCGTATCTGCCGATCAACCCAACAACCGTTGTGAACTCCAAAAGTGGTCCGTCCACCCGAACAAAGCACCCGAACCCCTGTGGGCCTGTGGATGTTTGTAATAGTGGTTATATATGAAGGATTGTGCAAACGGGAGCATCACCAACAACTTTCGAATTAACCATGCATCGCGCTCTACTAGTCGACGATATCGTTTACGCCATCTTGCAAAATGTCACGTCGTCAGCGACGGACATCATAAACTTTGCAAGCACTTGCTCTGCGGTCTCTCCTCCTGCCCTCAATATACTCTGGCGTAGACAGTCGAACCTGGGACCCCTCATCATGTGTCTGCCTCAAGACACCTGGGAAGTCAGAGATGACAATGTTATTGTGAGTTGTCTTCGCCGTGTAACAAGAGACTGCTTACTATCCTCCCATTTGCAGCACCTTTCCCGCGAGCCGCTACCCACGGAATGGGACCGCGTCAGAATGAACGCGTCTAGAATACGCCACATTTTTGGAAACCCCAGTGGCACCCATTCCAAGCTCCCCCCGAAGCCGCATCGCCGTATCCTACAACGACTTTTCGCCTTGCTTCCGCCCACTTCGCTCTTCCCCAACCTCGTCAAATTGGATTTCGAAACAGTGTTTGATCTTGCGGAGTTCAGTTCAGACTTCCGACTACTTCGCCAGTTCCTCTCGCCCGGATTAGAAACGCTTGCCTTTTCGGTACCGCCAGACGTCCCGGCCCATGAGGTGGAGCAATTGGTTGATGCCTTTCCGGCAGAAGCGCCCGGCCTGCGGCAATTAGTGATATCCGCCGATCACGGTGGTTCGCCTTGCTACATCGACCTACCTCTTAACAAACTGAAAAAGTTAAATCTGCTGGCCGTAATCCGCAACGTGTCTTTGACGAGGCATACCATTGCTGAAATTGGACGCTTGCGTTCTCTACAAGTCCTGGCACTTACTTTATATAAAGGATCCGGCCTTCTGGAGGATTCACGATTGACGGATATGCCACTTGAATTGTGTGCCCTCGACTGCCTCATGCTTGTTGCTGATCGCATGCAACTCTGCACATCCTTCCTTCTTCGCGTTAGCACCCCAAAATTATCAAGCATCGGCATCAAGTACACTAAATATGCTGCACCGGAAGAAGTCGGCAAGCTCGTATTATCCGTGCACTCGTCTTGCCGATCCTTCGCACTCGAAGAGATCACTATTCAAAGTTACAACTGCACCCCACATCAAGATCTTTACCTCCACAGCGAACTCCCTTCCCACCTTTTCCGACCCTTACTCAAGTTCAGAAGGCTGAAGACTGCCAAGTTCATAGACATGGGAAAATACTGTCTTGACGATGCTTTCATCGAGGATGCTGCGGTTGCTTGGTCGGATATTCACGAGTTGCGGTTTGCCTCAAAAGAAACGGTCACTTCAACGGTCACCTTTGCCGCAATGCTTTCATTGGCCTCGCGATGTAGATCGCTAGGTAACCTACATTTAACCTTCGATGCCACCCAAAGGCCGACGCTCCCCCATTGCATGGAGACCGAGCACGCACCGGACGGAAACCCGAATTTTTGGCTCAAGCAAACCACTCTCCAAAAGCTGCATGTCGGACACTCGAAGGTATCGGAAGCGGCACTTGCCCCGTTCGTCCTGGCTGTGGTATTTCCCAATCTAGTTGATATCACCTCATATCAAACGCCCGGTGTTTTCGATGATTTGCAGTGGGACCAGGTAGCAAGAACACATCGACAACTGGTGAACCTTTGGGAGGAGGATTCAGGCATGCCAGACTCCTTGCCGAACTTCGTAGTACAGTCTATGTTGGAGGACAACTTGCCGTCAGGATCATAGGAGGTCTCCGTGTCAATCGGGATGCACTACTAGTGACCAAATAGTGACTGTGGTATACATCTGTACATTCTGTAGGCTTATATGCCATTCCTTGTAACACGCAACAAATGTAAATCATCTTGTGCGCGCGTTCTGCTCACGCTTTACATCTAAATGACGGCTCCTCCCAAGCTTTTCCTATCAGTTTCACCGTGACATATACTCCTAGCGGAGTATGGCTGCGATATACCACCGTAACCGTGTGCTCATGACCTTCTATCCTACTCACCCTACTCACACGGGTGGCATCGCTCCGAGACATTAAACAGAAGACTTCTAGAGGTCCAGTGGACGATCTTACTATGGCCCTAAAACCATGATCGTTAACATCCTGATTCAAGGAGAACGTAATTCCTGGAATATGCAATAGCGTACTTGATCGACCAACCACGTGTATCAAGCTCATTCTGTATCTCACCTGGAGCCGCATATTCGAGCCTCTGAGGACTCACGGGATTCTCGACGAATCAGAATGATTCAATTCGCGCAGGGTGAGGCTAACCATTGCCTGAACTTGAAACGATGAGTAATGATAAGGTGTTCTATCGGACTTCATCGGCATGCGTTCAGCTACTGCTTCAAGTACCCTGTTACTTAACGCTTGCTTGTTGTATGCCTGGATCTCTTCTCGAGGTCAAATACGAGCCTACCAGAAAGTATATAACCTTGGCAAGCCCGAGTCCCGAGTGAGGTTCATTGAGACCAACATACTTTTAATTTCTAAACATGCAGGTTACTCTTCTCTTCGGCATCGTCACTTACTATGTCACTCTTGCTGTGACATACCCGACAAGCGAGAGCCGTCGCAGAACGTTCTTGTGAGCATTAATCACTAGCAGGCACTGTAGCCACCATAGCCCCATCAATGGTATTAAAGACAGTTGCAGACCTTCATGACGACAGTGAGGTCGGTTCCAATCTCGCTGTTTCCGACTACTAAGAGAGGTAGGCTTCGGAGTCATCTCGTGCATCAATCCCTCTTCGATTACTTACTTGCCGCCAGACGTTGAGAAACGCGAGGAACTTGGCTCACTCCTGAACATATCATACAAGTGTTACGGCTGCAGGGACGGTAAGCTTCAGAGCAGTTATCAATTCCTCTTCGATTACTTACTTGCTGCCAGACGTGGAGCATCGCGAGGAGCTTAACACTTACGGAGACACAGTCACTATAGTTAGTACTGGTCCCGTAACGCAGATAATGCGATACTGAGGTTTTTATTGTGTTACAATGATGTCTTTCGTATGAGACATGCGTCAAACCTTTCGAGCTATGCACCGTGTCGAGCCTTGTCTGCTCTTTAATCATGGCCTTCTGCGTTCTGATGTTGTGTCAACATTTGCCTTGACGTTGACACAATCACAGTCCAAGTGAATCCCTGAGAGAAGGCCGGATGAGTCTTGTTCGCCAAGTAATGGGCGCATTGTCTCAACTTGAAGTTCATAGAACTGCTGCGGGTACTAGGCTAGACGCCGGCGTTGATCGATCACCTATCCGCGCCGAAGTGTGTCTGCATTGGTGAACGGAGTGTGACGGAGAGATACATTACCAATAATGATTCCAATGCGCTGCCCATAGCGCTATATGTCATTGTGCCTCCGGTTGGTCAGAACTTCAAATCAGTCTATTAATATAAGCCCGCGTTGACGGCGAACTGCTACGGCATATAATAATCTCGGAACTGGCAGGCGAAGTTTGGAGTCTTGGGCGAAGTGGTTCAACGGGTAAGGCCGGACTGCCTGACGTTATCCAAAACTCGGAAAGTGTTGCTCAGAGTTGTCGCAGCTTGGCATGGATGGCATAGCGCGACTCGCGCGAAGTTCACAGGCTGCTGAAACACATATGTCTGGGACTAAGGTCAGGTTGGCAGTAGCAAGTACCGCCTTTATATCGCCTTCGGGTAGGCCTCGGAGGTCAGGTAGCTTCATTAGGAAATAAACCCGCGGAGCCTAATAGTCAACTAGTCACTAGTCATTGGTCGGCGTGACAATGAAATCATTCATTTCCGGTTAGACGTCCCCCGAGAGTCCCTTTATACACCACAGTCGGCGTTTTTTTCAGTACCTCTTTTCCTTCACTCCTCAACTGCACAACTATTCGATGCAGGCTGCACGACATGGTTTGTCTCAATCAACCTTTGAATCGGATTCTTTATAATGAACTATTTCGATGCACAGCCCGTCTTATGTCCAGGACCACGAGCAGGACGCTTGTCCGCTCTCACGTGCATGTGCAAAAGCTTTTCTTGACGACGTCGACGTCCAGAGCCCAATTAGGATCTGTAGCGTCGACGGCCGCCGCCGCGTCACAGGTGTGCCTCCCGCGTCCGGCTTTCTTGTTGATATATGACTCTGAGACTTTGTTGTCAATAGACTCCGCCTCCTTCACCGCCTCCATCTCAAGGGAGATGGAGACACTTCTTACAGACTCTGGGACGTGTGACACTTGTAACAGTTGTTGGAGGTAAGTGTTGTATTCTGGGGAATAATACCTTGACTGATCGCGGATCCCAAACTTGAAATGTAGCCTCTGCAACCTTCTACTACATTGCACATAAGGAAAAACACCCGGGGTCACAGCTCCCCTTCGATCCCTCAAAAAAGACCCTGGTCATTTTAGGCAGCGGTTGGGGAGCAACGAGCCTTCTCAAGGGGCTTGACACCAGCGACTATAACACTGTGGGTCTAATGTTCTAATGTAATGCTGGGTTCACAGGCTAATTGTATGACTATTCGCCAGATTGTCGTCTCCCCAAAGAATTTCTTCCTATTCACGCCTCTCCTTCCATCCGTGGCAGTCGGCACGCTCAACGCACGATCCATTGTACAGCGTGAGTCCCCTTCGTGTTAGCCTGTCGCAGAGTTTTTAAATAACGAAATACAGCTACTCGCTACCTGACTCGTCACAAATCACGTCAAGTATTAGTCATTGAAGCTGAAGCCAAGGAAGTCGACGTGCGTCTCTTCTCATATCTTGTGTATCAGGTATTAAAGTGCTTTGCGATGGTAGCCGGTAAACAAAACTGTTACGCTGTCAGGTATGTTTTCCGCCCCTTGCCAGTTCTTCGGAAAATCCTTAGGGTCGAACTGTTACAGATGACTCGGAGATCCAAGGTCAAATCTCTAGCACGACTATCCCGTACGACTACCTTGTGTATGCTGTCGGTGCAGAGACGCAGACATTTGGCATCCCCGGGGTGAAGGAGCACGCATGCTTCATGAAGGAGTTGCATGATGCCGAGAAGGTGCGCTATTACTCCCTGGCCTCTGCAATCTTACTGAGAGCTATGATATTCTGCAGATGCAAAGACGGTTTTTGGACTGTATGCTTTCGCTCCATAATTACCAACGTACAGCTCACATTTACTTGTATAGGCGTAGAGAGTGCTGCTTTCCCGGGCCAAAGTGATGATGAGAAGGACAGGTTGTTGCATATGGTGCGTCTCGACAGTTCTGTAATCTGTTCCTCCGTGGTCCTCCGTGGTCCTGCGTGACCGTTCCCTTAACACGCTCGAATCCTTATTTTGTTTTGTTGAATTTCCATTGTCCTGAAACACATGCTCATCTTCTGCAGGTTGTAGTAGGCGGTGGGCCAACGGGTATCGAACTTAGTGGCGAACTCCGTGATTTCCTCGAGGTACGTTTGTCATTTTCCACCCACTTCACTTCCTGTCGCCTCACCTTTTATTTTATCAATTCCAAGGAGGACCTCAAGTCGTGGTACCCAGAGCTTGCCTCACGGATCCGCATCACGTTGGTTGAGGCGCTCCCCAACGTGCTTCCCTCATTCAGCAAAGAGCTGATTGCGTATACCGAACGCACGTTCAAGGAGTCCGAGATCGAGATCCTCACCAAGACTATGGTGAGGAAGGTGAACGAGAAGAGCGTCGTTCTCAAGGGCCCCGATGGTGTCGAACGGGAGGTGCCGTGCGGGATGGTTGTCTGGGCTGCCGTATGTTCCGTCTCGTTGAAGTTTTTCTGCTTTTCATGGACCATCTCACAGGGCAACACTGGTCGCCAAATAACACGGGATCTGATGGCGAAGCTCCCTGAAGACCAGACGAACAAGCGCGGGATCAACATCGACGATTACCTCCGCATGAAGGGATCTCGCGATATCTTCGCTATCGGTGACTGCACGGCCTCGTCTTACGCTCCAACTGCCCAGGTCGCAAGTCAACAGGGTTCATACCTCGCACGCGTGTTCAAGTTGCTTGCGAAGAAAGACAGACTGGAGGGTGACCTAACTCATGCTGAGACCAGCGAAACGGCAGAGAAACTGAAGAAGCAGGTGGATAAGGTCAAGTTAAAGCCTTTCCACTACAGTCATCAGGGATCGTTGGCGTGCGTGTTTCCTATGTTCTGCTCCGTCAAATTTTATTTACGCATCATTTACAGATACATCGGCTCGGATAAGGCAATTGCTGATCTGCCTATCTTCGGGCGCGAGGTACGTTGTTTGCTCACGTGGTGTAGGATATATGAGTTGACTGGGGTATAGTGGACCAGTGGAGGTGTTGCGACGTTCATGTTCTGGCGGAGTGCTTATCTGAGCACGCTATTTTCTCTCCGAAACCGAAGCTTGGTTGCTGGGGACTGGGTAAGGGTGAAGTTATGGGGACGGTGAGTACTGAGTCTTTCTTCTGTCTTCCGTTCCTGGCTCCAAAGGTCTTATCTTTCCCGCCCAATGACCCTCTTCATTTCTTCATATCTTTTATGAGAGCAATGCACTGACACATCTGCAGTGACGTGAGCCGGGAATGAAGGCCGGGCATGAACGTTCAAGACTAGCTAGGATGGACTATCAACATCGCATTTCTAGATATAGACTATAGAGGTACATCATTTCCCCCCTGTTTATCATTCATCATAGTACATAATCGTGTCTGCAATTTTTACCGGTCGCTACCCCCCAGCCACGCGTTGCCTTCCATTCCTTCTCGCTTCCTCATTGCCTTCTTATCGTATCATGCATATTCTATGCTTCTTCGTATATTATTGTTATTGTGGATGGGTGTTGGGAAGAGTTATATAGACGCTGCTAAGTGCACGCATTGACCGATAGAGGTAGTATTTTGCATATATATAAATCAAGTCGATGAATGGTTCGTCCGTCAGCAAGGCCATGTAGCTTCCTGAACCCCTATAGTCATGAGACACCCATGGTAGCAAGCTGGTCCCCAGGAAGGGCGGTCAGCGCTCAGGTTCAGGCTCAGGCTTGAGGGATGAAGAGTGATGTGTAGTAGTTTAATAGTCTTAGGGCGAGTAACGAGCAATGTGCTATACAGCTCGAATCAAAAGGTAGAGCCCGAAAATCAGATCTCAGCAGCCTGTCTGTACGTTCTCCTTCAGTAGAGATAGAACCTCGGTAGCTACACCCCAGGATCTTTGGTAGCCCGCGGCTCTGAGTCTGAAAGTTAGAACTTGCAATGATTTCCAAAAAGTTGTCTCACCCCATTCCATATGCGTGAATAACCGTCAGGTTCTGCTGCTCGCCATCCGCATTCTCGCGCATGTAAGGAGCCAAGCCATCACTTCGTTGAAGAGGAAGCGAGATATGCTCAGCTTCTACGCGTGGACCACCCTTCCTATCAGGCCTAAGGCCGACATTGTGCCTAAGGATCTTCGTCCCTTCTTCTTTCAGACATGGCGCCAGGACAGAGCACCGCTCAAATATGCCCTTTGCAACCGACATGTCCAAGGATGTGTCCCAGTTTCCTATTTGATGTGTTCCATTTAAAAACGCGGTGTTCGTTTGTGTTAGTCCAGGGCGAGGAGTAATAGATGTGACGTGTTCCGACAGCCCGCCACCTATGCGAAACAAGACGTCAGGGATAGTACTAGTGAAGGCATAAATGATAATATTTACTGACCAGACCGTACTGTTATGAATTCCTGTAAGCCAGTACGTTGGACTATGATAGATTGTCCCCTGATCGGATACATGGCTGTATCTTCTACTCCGATCAGAGACCGTGAACCTTCGAATCCGATCGTCAACGGGCAGCTCGTAATGCCTGGCATGTGCTCACCGAGAGATGTTGCATTCACTAATAAACTGGTTTTGCCAACCAATGACTTCACTTCGTCCAGACTCCTTATGTATTGGCGACGGAACACAACACCACAAGCCTCGAGCTCTGACCGAAGCCATGACAAATAATCCGGCGGGTTAACGGTGACTGTGTTGAACGCAATTCCGACTTTATATGGTGCAGGGATCTCAGACTCTGAGAGCAATTTGAACTATTATCATCCCATTTAGTATCTAAGAACAGCGAGAAACAAAAATACTCGAACATACATCGCGGACAAGGTCTTTCCACCAGATAGTAGAAAGGATGGCGTCCGTTTCTCCGAGGATCTTAGAGGGTGATATCTGGAACCCTTGTCAGCCGTGTGCCGACCGCCAAGCGTTTGAACAAGACTGACTTTGACCAAGCCCGATGGTGCCATTTCCCATAACCTATCACTGAGAAGCCTTGTCCGTAAACCTCGAAATATTAGCGATGCACTTCTTACAAGGTTATCTGCTCCCATCTTCGCACACGCTCATCTGTGGCACCCAACGGATGCGGAGACCAACTCGCACCCTAGGTAAGCTTGAAGTAAGAAAGTGCCTGTGATTAAGAACGCTCGAAAGGTACGCACAGCGAATGGACTTGCCCAAGCTTGGGAATCCCAATCCCCAGGCATATCTCTTGCAACGATCGTGATATCAAAAATCACATCTGAGTCACAAGCAGCGATGTAGGCGATGGTAAGTCCAATCACCCCCGCCCCGAGGATGACTAGAGGGACGTGGGGTTTGGGGGCAGAAGACATGCCTTTTGTAAAGTGGAAGTAGATAACAGAGATAAGGTTCTGTAAACTTCCACGCTGGGAGTATGGGCGCTAGCGCAGGCTAAGTAGTAGCGCTTGAGAGACGCTAGAGCTGGCGGCCGAAATGCGGCCGAGTGCTTACACGCCAAAGTGCAGGCATGGTAGGGACAGAGATACTTGCGACGCGAACTCGGGCATAAGGTAGAATAAAGTGTGTGTGCAAAGTCGAAGATATCAAAAAGTGACGTGATGAGCTCGTCAAGTGGAACACGGACAAGCCGATCTCCGCTAAGCGGTACGGTGTCGTCACTGGCGTCCGCTTCACGAATCACGGCTGTTTACTGCAGTGCCGTATGATCAGTTTTATGTGAATCACAAACTAGTAGTATGGTTTGCTCATAGAACAGGCTCAACTTGAAACATGATGCATCTGATGCATGAGATCTGAGAGGTCACCGGTCACTACTCACTAGTCACTGCTCAAGCGCCTGACCATGTACTCTTCGAGTAGATTGATGCTAGACGAAGATCAAGGAGCTGAACTATACTTATTTGATTTGCTCACTCCCATATAGAACATGCTTCAACTAGTTACTGGGGTGACCATTACAGACCCTCTGATTTTGCCATCCATCATCCATGACTCCCGAAGCGTTTCGCACTCATCTCGGCAGGTATACTGTTTCCTTCCCGGCCCAAGTCCTCCTTATGTTGTACCTCAGATCACTGCATCGAAATGCTCAGGCAGAACATTATGTTTCGTGGTGACGTGGCAATGCTCACCTAGTACGATTGGGAAGGATCCCTTGATCCTTTCCCCAACTTCAACGTCCTCATTAATGCAGAAACTTCGAGAAGATCTTGGATTGGGTAGATGAGCATCGCGTTGTTGTCCCTGAATCCGAGATGGTCCGCTTGGAGGATACCGTCGGCCTGCATTCATTATTGAAGCAATTGGCTTGGTTTTTAACTTTTGACATGGATCACGATATGACGGATGTAAACCACGGAAATGTATGGGTTTTACTACGAGTTGAGTTCCATCGGCTGTTTACCGATTGCCCTGAAGTATTTTGCAGCGTCAGTGCAATTGCAACTTCCGCTGAATATCAAAGCCGCTTGGCGCTCGTCCTTTGTGTCACTAGGGAAGTCCATTCCGAATCCGCCGCTTGCGTTACTACGGAAAAAAAACATTTGCAAAACGTACACACAGGTAACGTCGCCTACGTAGACCGGTGATTAATCCTTCTCATCATTGATTTTCATTACAAAGTATATGAACAGTTTCGACTGTCCTGCCAGAGGTACACAAGCAATTGATTTACGCAGTCGGCGTTTCCATCCAAGTTAGTGATATCGATATTCTACTACGGCCATTTGATGTCTGGCTCTGCGTCGTGGCTCTGCGAAGATTGTATGGTGAGGTCAATACCATGATATTTGATGCGGAGCAAGGCTTACCACTTGATCTCTTATTACTCAGCGACTGGCTCCGCATATAGGGCTGGCTCTGCATAGTTGCCCTTCGCACATTGTATGGTGAGGTCAATACCATGGGATTTTGTTGCGGAGCAAGGCTTACCACTCGCTTAGTCAAGGTCAAGATCTCTTGTGACTGGCTCCGCATAAAGGGCTGGCTCTGCATAGTTGCCCTGCGCACATTGTATGGTGAGGTCAATATCATGGGATTTGATGCTGAGCAAGGCTTACCACTCGCTTGTCAACACCCAGATCTCTTGTGATTGGCTCCGCATAGAGGGCTGGCTCTGCATAGTTGCCCTGCACACGTTGTATGGTGAGGTCGATACCATGAGATTTGATGCTGAGCAAGGCTTACCACTCGCTTGTCAACACTCAGTTCTCTTGTGACTGGCTCCGCATAGAGGGCTGGCTCCGCATAATTTCCCTACGCACGTTGTATGGTGAAGGTCAATACCATGAGATTTGATGCGGAACATGGCTTACCACTCGCTTGTCAAGGTCGAGATCTCTTGTGACTGGCTCCGCATAGAGAGCTGGCTCTGCATAGTTGCCCTGCGCACATTTTATGGTGTCGGTGAGGTCAACATGATGACATTTGATGCGAAGCAAGGCTTACTACTCTCACGACATTGTTACGCTTGTCAAGGTCGCGAGCAACCTGCGGACATTGTATCTTCATGTCAACGTGACAAGACTTGATGCGAAGCAAGGCTTACTGGTACAGTACTTATCGCGGTCCGTGTACTTTGATCTCGATAATTCACGCTCGTACATACATAACAGCCGCCGGGCATCTGAAAAAAAAACCGAATGATTGGAACGTAGCTTCACGCCAATACTACGAACATCAGTAACTCGCGGCCTCAATCGAACATCATGCGTATCAATTTGTCACGAGAAGCTGCAGTCGTACAGAGGCGTGGAGCTCTGAGCACCCAAGTCAGTAACAAACTTGCGTCTAGGAACTATAGTCGAGTCCATGAAGATCAATTAGTAATTTGCATAACGACGCAACTACGAGCACAACCATAATCGTCTAGCATGCGATGCCTAGTTGCCAACTACATTCCGCCGACTGAGTGGTTGGTGTGATGAGTGCTTCATCATGATGGGATGAAAAGTTATCGACAAGTCAGGATCATCGCCCTTAAACTGGGCATTAGATGATCCGCTTGCAGAAGGTCTTAAACGCTACAACTGCACCGAACCATCGGACTACTGGGTACGGAAGTTGTAGTTTGCTGATGTGGCCGCATGGCCAGGATCAAAGTCAATTCAGACGCCCCAAGTACAAATATCAGCAGCACCAAAAACTGCTTGCAGATAAGACACAGCGTAGTCCAATTCCCGCAGGCAGACCCAATAGAAGGAAGACAGGTGTTCCTTCTATTAAGGAAGAGACGTAGAGCCATTAGGAGAGGGGGAGGATGCATCTTCGAAATGACCGGTCCGGGGTCAAAGCCTGGGCAAGACTACTGTGCGTCGACCCAGCCATTGACCCACGGGCTTGGCCCCGGTAGTGGCACGTCAAGCAAACATCGAGTACAGTTTGATAGAGTAGACGTAGTGCAGTGGGCGCTGTCAGGATTCTCAAGGATAAGTAGTACGATTGATAGATGAAGTTTTGATACGTGTTGTTGGAAGCCTATCGAAGCTCGAGCTGCGAGACTATAACCGGGTACCCCGCACGTGCATATGTCAATTTACCAAAGAGCTAGGCAGACCATCAATACTTCATCCCTTCTTTCAATAAGAGGGCGATGATGCTGTGATTGAACAGTTTACAGCTGTGTGCAAAAACGTCGACAGTATGCCCGTGACAATTGGAGTCAATTGATGTACATCATTCATGCGCCAAACCTGTCGACCAGACTAATGATTATATGTCCAAGTCTCGGAGCCTTGTGAACCGCACGAGTAAGCTACAGCGGATATTGCGCATGTGCTGCCGACGTGGTGTGGGGAGACCCTGATGTTGGAGGCGTTGGAAGAGGTGTATCTAGAAGGAGGGTGGAACATTGATCGATTTCCCGAGACAGAGGACAAAGAGGATGTGATATACGCTGTTAACGTTTTTGGCTTTAGTTGTACTGGGAGAAGTTGGGAGAGATGAGGAGAAGGGAAAAGCGGATACATAATGGAACCACTGGGCCAGGGAGATCCTCCCAAGATGCGTTGAGGCGTTGAAGTCTCAGGGATGTCAGACCTTAAAATTATATTTCCCACAGCTACAAGCTGAAGCCTCTGCACGCTTAGTTGCTCTAGAGTATACATCGACAAGTGTGGTGCGCATTCATTTAGGTGGTGATACTACACCACTGTTCAGTGTTCATGATAGTAGATGAGATGTCGGGGCAGGGCATAGCACGTAATGTGGTTCGTGATTGAATCACTTTAGTGTTTAAATTATCATACACGGTGCGCGGTCATCATCCAGACTCGAACAGCCTCTCTGGCATTCATGCAACTCATTAGCGGTGCTGCTCGTCATCATTTGGCTTCTGGCGATTGACTACGCGTTGCACCAGTACCATCACCATCTCCTTGCAGGTTTTCCAACCAAACCCGATCGATGTCTTACACATTAGATGGTACGATGAGGCATTCGAATCACCGTTTTGTCAGCGGGCATTAGGCATTGAGTGCTATTCGATTCGCTCGGGCTCGACCAAGGGTACGCAACCGTCCACCGGTTGGGCTCATGAGACAGTACACCTATCTTTCGCTCTGTTATCCACGGAACTGTCGATTTCTATATTCGACAAGTCAGACATTCTCCAATCCCAGCCTTGACGTTCAAATGTGCTTTTCTCGATGCAGTCAATAATACGAACGAACTCATTACTCACATCTCAGTCTCGTAGAAGGAACTGAGATGCTCGTACGGTGAACAGAAGACTTTATAGTAATTAGCATAGAGATAGAAAAATCTTATCGTCTCTAAGGAATGAGATACGTGGGATGGACGACGTCAGGCGCGTCATGCTCTGATGTAGCTACTTTTGGTTAAGCTCGAAAACACTCGACTACTCCTTCATCGGATGTTTCGGACTGGTCGGATCCCAAGTGAAAACTGAGCACCACTGACACAAATCAAGGAGATCTGGATGTGAGATTGATGCACTCGGGTCCCGCTTCGTCGTCAGAATCGACATGTGTATGGTAGTAGTACCATCGTGATCACTCCTTCTATACATATTTGAAAGAAACAATATTAATACCGCCAAAGCAGAACATTAACATTATATTTATGGAGTACCACTACCTCATGTACATAGTCCCATCCTATCAATTCGGCACCCCATGATGCATATTGGTCATGCAAAGGTTATGCATTATGCAATATGCATCATGACGATGGGATCCTCAAAAAGTCCATGCATTATGAACATTTCAACCTGTACTCATTAAAATGCTCGCATCCGCATATCACCGGTTCCGGTCATCCTTCCATCTCATCAATGCTGAGCGCTGTTATATTGAAGCTCCGTATGACGAGAATGACGTCAAGACGATCGAGAATTAGGGTAGGAACAGTTTTGGCGGATTTGGAGCAGCGGTCATGCCGGCTTAGACTGAGGTCATGGTACTTATTCCTACATCTAGGTGCTACTAGTATCCGTCCGGCTCGTCACCCACTGCGAACTAGATGTGCACATCTGAAATGCATTACGTTACTTCTGGAGGTGCTTTTCTTCACGCAGTCTTAGAGAATGCCCTCGAGCAGAGATTTTCCAGTTTTGCAAGAAAACGGACCAGCCGTATCATATCATCGAGCTTCAAAGATCACAAGTAGATCTAGATGACGCTCATACCTATATAGTCGATAAAAATACAGCAGATGAACAGTGCATAGCCGCGAACGGGCCGCACCGAAAAACGTCTAATATTTGATTTACCACCCAAAAGTTTCTTCGTGGAGCTTAACTCCACCCACAGCCGTACACAAACGAATGTCAGACTCTTTCACCACACGCGCCGTAGTATTCGCCAGCGACACAGGGCCACAAACCCCTACGAACACACCGTTAGAACCCCCTGCTGACATCGTGTCCGTGATCGCTGCATCGAGCAGCTTATCGAGTCTGGGTCGGCCGGGCAGGAGGGTAATACCGTTAGGGAGGTACATCCCGCCGAATGTTGTGCTGATCGCGCGGGTGTAGAATATGTGCATGCGAACACGGGTAGATGAGTTTCGCACGATAGATGCGAGGAGGGGGAGTAGAGGGGAGAGGGATGCTGTACATGTGATGAGCATCATGGTCAAGGGAAGCGGATGAAACGTACCAGGGTCTTGGATGGACCAGACGATATCAATGACCTTCACATCCGTGGCTGTCTGGATCAGATCCTGCACTGCTGATAATGCAAAGGAGATGCCGCTCCCACCAACAACGAACATCGCCCCAGAATAGCTCGACATCATGGTGTGTCCCACGCCGCCTGCGAGGGAAGAAAGAAACGTGGTGAGATGCGTGGATTCCCCGGTAACACGACAACGTACCATAGGGACCCTCGACCATCACTTTAACATTACGGCCGACTTCGTTGCCGGTTTCACTGTAAGAAGCCGTTTGAGCCATCCTGAAGAGACTGCTCGTCCAGCGGCCAGTTTTCTTGCACATAAGAACCATTCCTTCTGACGTTTGTGTCACGCTTGCGATGGTGAAAGGGTGCACCTCAGTCCATCCCCACCATCCCATGGATGAAGAAAGCACGCGCAGGCGGACGTGTTGCCCTGCACGCCAGCCAGCATTAAGTGAAGGTACCTCGACTCGGGTGATCCCGAGTTCCGGGAGAGGACGCAGCCTTGCCGTAGTGACACGGGTCTTGACAGCGCGAGCGATGTGATCAAGGATATAGAAGACACATGCGGCTATCACGTAAGGAACACAGGCAGGCTCATGGTAGCATGCCTGTGCAAAATCAGCGTCGGTAACGAGATGGGAAAGGAAATGCTTACAGCGAATAAGAAGACGAAGAGACCCACGGCATGCGTTGCGATGAAGAGGTTGTACGATTTTGATCGAACGAATTCGGTCGAACAGAATCCCAGGAGGTCCAAACAGATCAATGCGACGATACCCCAGCGAATGGAGTCCTCCGCGAGTTTCTTGGAGATGTCGCCAGCGAGGCTCCATTTATAGACTACCCCGAGCACACAACTGATGAGAAAAGCGGAGAAGGGGTGGGGCGGTACATACCATAGCCAAGGAAGTGGACATTCGCACCAATGACCATCAGCTTACCGACCAGGCGGTGAAGAAAGTTCAACTGCATGGCGTGATCAGCGACGTGGCAAATAACGCTGTTGATCAAGCAAACCTTTTCGTATCCAACGCCCACCATCATGCCAATGATATTGTTCTTGGTAGCTAACGCATATACGAAAGGAATTTGAGAGGTGATGACGACACCTGCTCGTTGAGGATCCGTGAACGGATCTGATTTGTAGAAAGACACGTAGAAGATGATACTGATGTATGCCAGCATCAGGAGAACTTGACCAATGGAGTAGTTGTCGTGAACACGGTGGTGCAACACAGACGCCACAGGACGCAAGATAGATGAAACAGTAGGGTCGCGTTGGGGAGTAATTGGCAGGGCTTTCTCATTATAGCCTTGCGACAGCCCGATTCGGGGGAGATATGGTAATGAGATGCATTCAGTCGAAGAGTCTGCGTAGTCAATATCCACAAAGGAAGCCTTCGTAGGGTCAGCGGGGTATGGAGGGGTGAGGTTGATACTTGGCTTGGCGGAGGTGCGAGGTTCTACTGAGCGAAGGAGGTGACCTTGAGACCATTCCGACCTGCGGCTAAAACGAGCATATGCGCGGGGGAGACTGGCGATAGTGAAGATGAGGATGATACCGAAAATCAAAATATCAGCGTGGTAAACAAGGTCATCGTCCAAGCCCATGTTGAGAGGATGCTAGTGGCGAAAAGAATGGCTCAAAGGTGCAGTTGGGACTTCCAGAAGCCCCTCGCAAAAGTAAAGAAGGGAATGAAAGGAGTGGCACGCTGGTCAGAAATCAAGTGAGTGGATAGGACAAGTTGGAAGGCACCTCACCGTATAATGGTTGAGATCCATTACTTATAGGCTAATTAGCCATAGCGCTCATAACAATGAAATTTCTGAAAAGAGGCAACAAGCTGCGATACTCCGTGGGGACACACATATGGGTGCACTCTGGTGTACCTTAATGCATTTCTGTTGACGTTACAATCAGATTAGCCCAAGATGTGTGAACTGATACTACGATTTGGTTACAACAGGCGCGACCTTCAAGTTGGTGGTTCAGTTTCTGAAATACTGTCTTAAGCACTAGAAAACTTGATCATCATTATACGGCCGACTCGGACTACACAGCTGGTGAAGAAACAGATACCTCAATCAACAATAGAACTGAAGAAAACAAGGGTGACTGCGGCACACAATATTGTCGTGACGACAATTCGCCGCCCAAAAAGGCGGCTTTCTTTGTGTTAACGTTACCGGTGTTCGGCATTTGCCTAACGGGTGCTGACAGAGTAGTACTATCACCACGATCACCGTTTACTTTCAACTCTGAGGCAAAAAAGCCGACTTGGTCGCAGTTCCTCTCTCAAAGTGCTTTCATGAGCAGTTCGCTTTTGGTTTTTGCGTTCGTAAGCACACATTTTTGATTATGCGTTCAGCATCTCCATCAATCGCACGAGTGCGCTGCCGAAGTCGTAAGCGTTCATTTCAGTGGTTTTGCAGATGTAGCCCCGTCCAAAGTTGCATCATTCTCCCTTATCTAGCTCGCCGCTTATGACGTTATTTTCGAGCACCAATTGGCATGGGTGGACTCACCTGGCTAGTTACTGGCACTGGTCACGGTAACTATGATTGTATTTAACACTGCAGTGTAGGCCTTCTGAATCGAAAGGCGGACATCATACTTATTGATCACCGATGCACAAGATCGTGGGCCATGGCGCCTGACAGTGACGCGTTCTTCCGCGTCAGAGTCTGCAAGACTTTAACGAAGCTTTATCACTCGTCCTTGCATCGTACGCAACGGATACAAGGTAAGGTGATAAGGGTATATCACCTTCACGACCGCAGTGCGATACGTCAATAATACTCGCTCTGAATGTTTGCCAAGCTTTTGTTACTTATCTTACCATGAGATCTGACTTGAGGACCCCTTCCACTGTACTGATCTCACAGTCTATCCTATCTCACTTCGCACAAGGCACCACATGTTCTTATATCTTGGTTGTTAATTAAATGATTAGCCCATGGCTGCATGGCCGTTGCGCACGGCATGTAATCATTATCATGGCCGAAACGTTCCGAGCCGTCAGGATCTGCAGTTTGCTGCTCAAAGATCAGACCATGCATGTTTCTATGCTGGTGAATCATCTACAGCCAAATATCTACCACTCCACATCGCCATCATGAAGGACCCAAATCGCCTTTTGGAGAGCACATATGCGAACCCGTGGGTTGATATGAACGTTCCCCAGTGCCCCCACGTTCCCCGAACATGGCGAGTGCGCGGGGTTTTCGGTATGTATAATAGTGCGTGTGACACCGAGACCGAAGACTCCCGCATCTCATCAAATGGCACCCCTGCATATCATTGTCAAGATCATGAGAGCCTATCAGAATTCAGCATAAAGTCTCATCGTCAACGCGGCTTTCGAGCACAATGTCGGTCAGTAACTGTCACCGACGACAGTGGGATTAATTGATAATACCGTCAACGCAGATTTGCCAAGGGGACTACATCGGTATCTGCCTATCATTTTTCGACGACGACGGTGGTACGGCCATCTGATAACGTTGGAATGTCGACGGGAATCTGGGCATGGCAATTATCAGCGGAAAACCAAAACGAAGTCTAATCTCCCAGTACATCCCAGGAGGTAAGGTGCGACCCTGATGACCCCACGCCGAGTGAACAAGGAGCAAACATTAATTGAATTCTTCAGGATACCATATGTGCCATGGTGATGTGTCCTGCCCACGAATACCTACTGACCGCCAATCCTGCGATTTGGTTCCCTGGCCATTTGGCGCTTACTCCTGGCCCTTGGTCACATTTTTGAGTACCAGTCCCATGCCAGCCGAACAAGTTCACCGTCGGCATTGTTGGGCGTTGGAATTTTATCGTATCCTGGGCGTGCCGTTAGGTATGGCGGGGAAGGAAACTTCGGCATATGCGGGACGAAGATGAAAGGAGCCGTGTAAGGTGGGAGGTGAAAAGGAGTTAGTGAGGACTTTGTGGAAGTGGTTTTTGCGGAAGGATTGGGCTGGGAGGGACCCGAGGACTCGGATTTCGACTCGGAGTCTGAGGGGTGTTCATATTCGGACTCTGTCCTAGAGGAGCCAGGCTCTTGGAGGCAACGGATAGCTGCAGGGTCAACGGAGATCATATCTCCCGGGGCTACTGTTAGAAACATTGTGTATTTTATAGGCTTGGGCTGAAATTTTTCAAAAGTCATTGAACTGACCATTCGAGGCATGGCCTTGCGAAATGCAAAAATGTTGGCATCCCTCGCGATAGCCTGTGAAGTTCGTCAATGTACACTATAGGGTGCCCTTCAAATTCTTACACGAGCTGCTCCCAACAAAGTTCCATATAGACGGCAATGGCTGCAGTTCGATTGTGAGGACCAGGGAGATTGCGGTCACCGAGTCTAATGCAATAGAGCAACAACGGAATCACTGCTCTTTTGGACTCAGTGACCGCAAAGATCATCAGGAATTCGACTCAGTTCGTCTCGTCTACTAACTGTGATACTTGAATGCATGGCTTGCCTATGATGGTGATACACATGCGGGATCTATGGCTTGTGCCAGGGACGAGGTCCTAAGCGGGTTTGGAAGAAAAACGTGACTACTTACCAAAAACAGGAATTCAAGTTACGTGCCTTGTGCATGATGCATCTACCGCGTCACTTTAGCCTCTGCAAGTACTACTCAAGTAGTCCTCCATTATAGACCCTTATACCCCACAAATGCGACCAGGAGGTCGCAAGAAGAACCCTGTGCCGTCTGCAAAAGGTATACCAAGATACATACATATCTCATTACCGGCAATGTATATGACATGCAGACGAACGACCATTCAGATCACACAGGCACTTTCGCTTCCGTTCACAGACAACTGAGTGACGATATGTATGAAGATGGAGACGGGTCCGCGTACGCAAATCCGCGGCAAAAGTACGTGATGGTCCTCGATGACTTGCGTACTAAAGTCATGATGAGATGCAGGCCATGAATTGTCGTTTATTGCTGAGACATCGTTTGTGCGCCCACCCTTAAACTTGTGCGACGGTGCGTTTGCATTAATACCTAAGGCAAAAGCGGGGGAAGATGTATTGGATAATATTCCCGTGGACATACAAGAGGCTTTGATTTTCGAGGATCTCCTGTCTTGATGGTGTGTCTTGATGGTGGTCGTTAAGGATACTCGACTCAGTGAATGGCCGGATTGCTTTCGTTATTACTAGCTGGCTGTCGCATTGCCAGGTGGTGGTTGCATATCATCTCTTCGTGAGATTCTGAGACACGAGTTTGTACTGACAAGCAAATATCTCGACGTGATATGTGAACGTGGGATCGAGGTGCAAGCCGATCAGAAGGATCCAACCAGAGTACCGCTATTGATGGAAGATTAAAGTAAGTCCTTCCATTAGTTTTAGTTTTCGTCATTTTTCATGGGTATGTTTATACTTCACAAATTCCTCGAAGACGCCCACACACATAAACCGCGCCATCTTCCGTCTTCTGCAGGATAAACAGCTCATACCTTAGTTCAACTCTCTCAGGCGTTATATCTTCCTGTCCTCCTCATTCGGGACTGTGGAGGAGGTTTTTGTTAGCGAGAGCATGGCACTCCATTTCTTTCAGCCAGTCCTTCACCGCTCCGAGTCATCACCCGACACACCTCGCCATCTACTAACGCCGGCACTTTAACAAGACTGATCACGGGGCAGAGCTTTTGTGCTAGGTCTCGCCCTGTGCAAGCGGTTGTGGGTGGTGTTAGGCCGGACAGTGCACGCGAGGTTCGGGGAGATTCTGATTTCAGTTCGGCGTCTACGTCACCATCACGGTCGCACTCCTCCAAACCCACTTCTACACCCATATCTGACCCACACGCGTCTTCTCCTACACCTGACGTTGACGTGCCCCCATCCCACACGCAAGAATGGATGTATGCGACTCTGACGACGCATCACACGCACCATCATCCACCCCAATCCAGCCCATCTAACCGAGCCAAGGCTGATTTCGACCGCGCATGCATGGTTCGTGAACGACGCGTTGACCCACGGCCAACTCGGATCCTGCGGTAAGTCTTCAACCTGGGTGACAGCTCGTGACAAAACCATATAGCTGCAACCTGTAACACTTACCTGCCCCTCGTCGTTGGATCTGACGATGGAGATCATGATTATTTTATCACGTCCTAATGTCCTAGTCCCCGTCGTTTTGCAGAGGGGACGACTACTTACTTGCTACTACTTAGTACTTGGATGCTCGACTCGCCCGCGCCGTTGCAGGCATCGCCCTCTGTAGAAAAATGCAGGCTCGGTACCCGAGAACAGAATTTGACGTTGCGTTCACAAACGAAGACCACTATTCACAGATCTAAAGAGTCATACTACAGTCCTCACCTCAATTTCACTCACCGTTCAAGCAAGAATAGCACTCGTACGTACGCTCCGAGTCGAATGCTTCGTTTCTCACTTGCATAATTTATTGCAGTATCCTCAAGTGGGACGCCTCAAGATAGACTCAGGCTCGCTGTGACGAGGACCCCTCGTTCAGTTTCGTTCAGTTCTTACACCTATCCTCTGCCACCACTTCCACTAACTTCGGAGCCCGCCTACGGCACTTATCTACTTGGTGGTCCGACCGTCTAACACACCATATCTCTACCGTAGGCCTATTGAATACATCTTAGAAGCAATCCTAGGTCGTACCTCCAAACCACTCGATAACGGTGTAGTGGGCGAAAGCGTTTCTCATCGCTTCCCCAATACTCTGGTGCCGACGTACTGCAGGAGACACCAAGCGAGGCAGTATCGGTCAGGGAGGACGTCGGGAGGTCGATGGTAACAAAACCAGCGTGACTTTTCATCAACAGCAACAACAACTTGCATTCCTCGCGGCGCTTTGTATTCATTTTTGTCTGATGCGCTGGGTCAATAACAGCAGGAGGAAAGCTTTTGTTTGGGTGGTGAGCGTTTGTTAATTTTTTTCCGCTGATAGTTATGCGTATATGCTCTTCCTCACTTACACCAACTACGCCCTCCCATTCGCGTCTATAAGGGTTTTCGCGTCTTAGGCGAGCGGGTGAAGTCGACAGCCTCGACCTCGGCTGGGCAGGAGCGCCTCCAGATGTTGTAGAGATTACGGGTGAGACCAGCTCCGCAACCTGCAGCACTTGCCTGCCCCTCGTCCTTGGATCTAACCATGGAGACGATAATACAATATTTCTCACGTCTTTATGTCCAGTCCCCATCGTTTGTGAGCGCCAAGAACTCCGACACAGTTTCGTCGACTCCACAGTCGTTCAGGAGTCAATATTAATGAATGATGATCATCCTTGGAAAGCAGGGCACTTTGTTTTCAAATCATTCGTTCAACATCATAGATGTGTTTACGCAGTACATGCTGAGAGTGTGACGCTGCATATGTATTACCAGGATATATCAAAGCTTCTTCACTTCCACCTGCGTGATATCCTTGTCCATCTGTTTCCAAAGTTCCTCCTTACCCTTTGGCTTGGTAACTTCAGCTCCTTCATCGCTTGCACAATTCCAAAAGTAAAATTTACTGTAAGAGGAAACTTGGAACACATATTGGTCGCCGTGCTTTTCTTCCAGAACGTCCTGGATCTTGTCAGATGTCGTGCCCATGCAATCCGCGAGCATGGTTTTGACTTTGACTTCAGCAGCAACTTTGTCAGTCCAGCCTTTTGGAGGGCTCGATTTCGCCTGTATTCAGGAAGTCAGATAATCGGTATTCCATGATTCACAACTGCTGCGAGGTCCAGGTCGCACCTCAGAGGCAGAATTTGTTGCTGTCTATGGAGGTGAGGGAGGTCAGTGACGGATTCAATGATTATCATATAATCATGGGTCACACATACTGCCATCAGGTAGATCGAGGTTGATCTTCGTGAACGTGCGAAGAGAGAGAGAGGTTATTAGCTTTGGGTCTGATTAATCTGAGTAGTAGCTGGTCGCTGTTCGACCTATTTGTAGGACTGCCGCTTTAGCATAGGATCCAAGGATGACATATACATATTTGGTCGTAAACATTGAATCATGTGCAATGCGGTTCTGGAACTAGACCTTTTACAAGCATACCGAGGGACCGGCGATGCTCCCACATGCTGTGTGCTTCTTCGCGATGGAAGTGCCAGGGCGTAAGTAGTACTATGTAATCATTGATCTGATTCAATCTTTAGAAAAGCCATGGTAAGTACATACACTTCGCCGCAATGGAAGTGCCTGTACAGTGTAAGTACTCACGGTAGTACAGCAGCTCATTGAATTGACAGGGTCTTAGACTACTAGTCAGAATTTCCTCACACACGGAGGAATGTTTCGTGACCTCCATTCAGCGGATAGGTTATTGTAGTAAGCCAGTCCCTTTCATGATTCTAATAAAAAACCTGATGAGTGAATGATCGTTAAACATTCCTCGCAAGCGAAATCGGGGACTTCGGAATGCTCTTACATATTACGTCGCCGTAATTAATGGGTCACATTGACACGGCATCATTCCTCGCACACGAAATCGAGGAATGTTTCGTAACTTCCATTCAGCAGATATGCCATTGTAAGTAAGTCCCCTTCGTGATTCTAAGATAAAACCTGATGTCACATTGACAAACATTCCTCGCAAACGAAATTGAGGAATTTACATACGCATCGCCGCCATGGAAGTGCCAGGCATAAGCAGTATAGTCATTGATCTGACTGCATCTTAGACTAGTGGAAAAATCCCGGTGTCACATTGACATCATTCCTCGCATACGAAATCGAGAAATGGTTCGTAACTTCGTTTCTTCTGCATCAAGGCCCCAAAGATTCTTCACCTTTAACATCGGAGCTAGAAAAGATGATCGCCTACGACTCGGCGCTTCTGCCTACTACAAAATGCGGAGGTGCTAACTTTCAACGTCCAGACTAAAATGCAGGAACTCAGAACAAGGTCAGTGCTAAGTTCTTTCTTACCCTTTTCCCGCTCACACTGTATTGTAGCAAGGAGGCAGTACTGATGAATGTGGTACATGATGCCACACCAGTCAACGTCCAGGCTACAATGCAGGAGGAAATTGTGGCAAGGCTAGTGCTAGGTATTTTCTTATCGTTTTCCCGCTCACTCTGTATTGTAGCACAGAGGCAGTACCAGATGCCGCACTAGTACCAACCAAGCTCCTTAAAGCGTTCAACAACATGGTGTTCATGGACGAGGCCGAGAAAGACTCTGCATTCAAGTGGAAGAGGTCCCAAGTGAGTCGGGTGGGATAAATCGTCGCCCATTCGTTTATTTCCCGATGCATAGATCATAGCCTTCCTCGGGAAAGTCAAGGGGAATCCCGATGCCTATAACGTGGTGCAAACTGCCAGAGACAGTTTGACGAAAGTAGTGGATAAAATTGTGAGCATCAGGTAAGTTTGACTGATTATGAACGTCACTTGAGGCAGTTCTAAAATTCAATTCAGTCAAGAGACCAATCCGAAGCCATTTCTACAGAGTCACATCACCGCCTTGTACCAGGTCAAGAATAAGGAGTTCAACCTCGAGACCATTTTTGATCTTGTCGGATGGTTCTTCTCCGTTACTGGAACTTCGCCGACAGGTGCAAATAGAGAGAATTACTACTATCCCCTCGCATGTCTGTTCTGCGTCTTTTGGCGTCGACTAACCAGGCCCGAGAACGCCGAGGTTGAGGCCTACATTGCCGCTAACAACGAGCCTCAGAAGATCCAGATGACAGTGTTCGACCAAGGAAAAGCGAGCAAGAAGGTCACACGCATATGCATAATGTCCAATGTTCCTGGCAAAAAAGAGTTCAAAACAGAGAGGGAAAAGGTACGAGACAGCAGGGAAGATGCGCTCATTGCGGATGGCCTGCAGGAGAAGAGATTGAAAAACCAGACCATGGTGAAGCCGAACGGGCAGAAGTTTGGGAGCTGCGCCGAGACACTTCCATTCTTGTTCATTAAGTCGTGAGTGTTTTTCAAGTTATTTCTATCTAATCTGACCGCAATATTCATCGTCTCAACAGAATTCTCAGCGACGTCGATGCTAAAACTGCGGAAGGTTTTGCCTTCAAGCCACAGTTGATACTCCCCGAAGAGGGAAAGACGTACAAGTATAATAAACCGAGTGCTGAACAGATTGATCGTGCCTGCAATAATTGTGCCTATCTTCTCGGCCCGGGGCGATTGGGGTTCACATACGATAATTTCACAGAGTCCAAGTACTAGGCTGTACCATATATGCATACTTTTCAGGCGGAAGTTTCCATTTTTGATAATTAGGTAGGCTGACGACCGGGGGGAGGTTGGAATAAGTATCATGTATTTGTCCGAGTCGACCACATCATAGCCAGTCCCCCCTAGTTCAGGGGCTCCGAGAAAAAGGTTCGAGTTCAAGTTCGTTCGAAATCCACTGACAATGATGAATGAGTGATGATTTCGACCACGCACGCGTGAACGAGCTGTTAACCCGCCGCCAGTCCTTGAGCGCATCGCCGACTTGCGCAAGGAGAGTGAGCTTGCGGCGCAACTGGTTACTACATAGCTGAAATCTGACGCACTAAGGTTCTGCCTCTGGTCTTCGGAGCCGACCATGGAAATGCACGAGGAATGATTATACAGTCGTTATCACGTCCTTAGCTTCCGGAGCCCCAGAAGCTTTTGCTCGCTTCCGCACTTACCACGCTCCACCCCCCGTTCGCGCCCCAAGAGCCCGGTGCTTCAAACACCCAACTGTTGAGAACAATCTAGATGGTATTCACGACCTGGGGGAGATGCCTATGTGTTGCAGGTGATCGTTACGCAGACGAGGCAGGGATGATAAAGAGTTCAAGGAGACTATGGGGAGGGTTTATCCTGGACCTGCTACTGCTATGGCGAGCGGAGCTTAGGTGCTCGAGCCTTTGCGCCGTTAGTTTTTTTTGCAGTTCTGGGGTGTGTTTAATCATATATGTGCGGGGAGCACAAGAAGCGGGAGTGACACGTGCTATGCGGATGATTAGGGACGGAGTCTAGGTGGAACTGGTATAGGATGACGAACGGATCTCTTCGTCGCAGGACCGTCCACGAACAACAGTCAGTCCAAAATTCAAATCGAATAAAAGCAGGACGCAAACGCACCAGTACATCAGAGTGTATATTCAACTTCAAAGCAGACGCGCGGCCGATAAATGGATGTCCCTGTGGGGTGTGATGGGTTCATATGCATACAGACGTCATCTGAAGGGCTAGGCTACGAGTGATTCCGTGGCTTTTGGTCGGAGGGAGGAACGCTTCCAAGTGGGAGTGCAACGGGATTGTAGAGGTTTGCGAGAAGGATTGCGGAGAAGGATATTAGCAACCGCCGGGTTAGTAATATGCAGCCTTAGTATGCACTGCATGGTGGTCCCGGTCAGGTTTCTAGATCGCTGCAGCCTAGGACGCGCCCTCGCAGCAGCGTAAGAATCACCTCTTCAATGTATATCAGGGTGCCCTCCGGTTAAACGAGCTGCCCCCAACAAATTTCTAGACGGCTCCGAGCTCTGCACGGAGGAGGAACTTCGGAAGTGGATTTGGAAGAAAAACGTGACTACCAAAAACAGTAAACAGTTATCAATTCACGCGTCTTGTGCATCTACCGCGTCATTCTAACATCTGCAAGTTACACTAGACATCCATTATGGACCCTTACACCCCACGAACGCGTCCAGGAGGCCGCAAGAAGAACCTCGGTTTGTCTGCAAAAGAGTATACCAAGGTACGTACGAGTCTCTTTACCTACTATGTATCCTATGACATGCAGACAATCGACCAATGGTTCAGATCACAGGCACTATCGCTTCCGTTCGCAGAAACAGACAACTGAACGACGATATATTTGAAGATGGAGATGTGCGCGTACGCTCATCACGAGAAAGTCGTGGCAAAAGTACGTGACAGTCCTCAATGATTTGCATACTAAAGTAGTGATGACATGCAGGCCATGAGCCGTCATTTATCGCTGAGATTTCATTCGTGCGCGCACCCTTGAACTCGCGCGTCGGTGCATCTGCATCGATACCTAAGTCAAAGGGAAAGACAAGGGAAGATGTATTGGATAATCTTCCGGTGGATATACAAGAAGCTTTGATTTTGGAGGATCTCCTCTATGTCTTGATGGTACGTCTTTACAAGTTGTCGTTATGCTCGAAGTGTTTTGGTCGATTTTTTCGTTATTAGCTGGGATGCAGTGACCTGATTCGTGTCACTACTCTTCCGTCGCCGCTTTGCTTTTCCATCCGTCTCAAACCTTTTGTCCGATTCTCATTTTTTGGTTCGGTTCATATTCAATAGAAATGACCGGGTGTTTGGTTCACTTACCTTCTAACTGATCCTGAGCAATTTGTTTCTTCTTTATACTTGTGCATCTGCGCAGTGCTTCACTTCGTCCTCCTGCTGAACCTCTACAGGGCATTGAGGGGACATATATTTCTTATCATCCCGAATACTCGCAAGAAGATGACGACCCACTCAAGGGAATAAGTTTTGTCGTGTCCTCTCCTCTAGGTGTGTCTGACATGTGAGTGGAGGTCAATGTCGCTCATATTCTCTTCAGATTCGTCCCTTCGAGACCTAACAGAACGGATACTACCCCTCGGCACTTATTATACTGCCATCTCCTCTTTCGTGGAGAGCCGCAGCCACCTCGATTTTGGGCTTGTCAACCATGCCCTCTGCGCTGCCATCCGGGACATGCTCAAAGTTGGTCTTTCTTATCCTCCGAGCGTTGTCTTACTTACGCCTCCAAAGGATTACCAAACACTCCTCTCTCAGCTCGAACATGCTTTTAACACTTCCCCGCAATTCAGTCTACAAAAATTATGGTTCTATGTTCACCCAACAGTGCATACCCTATCCCTTATTTACCAACTTATCCTCGAACTGGCTACTACCGATGACGACGACGCCTCATCTTCTTCGTCTTCTTCCGAGTCCGATCCAGAGCAAGCAGCACGAGACGAGGCGCTTGGGCTCGGCGGGGCGAAGCTGAAGGCGGTTTTGTCCGACATGAAGAAGAGCACGTCAGACGCACCTATTAATGTCAAGGGCGGGGAAGTACTAACAGTAATATACGAGCGCATGCAGACCATGTCAGGCGATCCCACCGCAGTCAAAGTATACGGCACTCTTCTAACCGCTGCGGGGGTGCCGTACGTCGAGATGCTTCGAGTATGGACAACCACGGGTCGCCTCGAAGACCCATACGAGGAGCTGTGTGTGAAGGAGAGCAAGTTCATCAGCAAGGGCATTTTGGAAGTGGATTACACGGATGAATATTGGGAGAGGCGATATACAGTGAGCTTTGTGTCAGGAAAAAAAGGGTGCATGTGGGCTGATGTCTGAGTAGCTTCGCGATGGTTCGACGCTCTCTTCGAAGCGTCAGCACACAGGTATTCCACCGCCACGTACTCCTGGGGGTCGATTACCTGGTGGTGCTTGCATACCGCCCCTTCTTGAGGGTTGGAAACACAAGTTTCTACTTGCAGGCAAATATCTTAACGTGATACGTGAATGTGGGATTGAGGTGCAAGCTGATCAGAAGGATTTAACCAATAAGTCGCTGTCCATGGAAGATGAAAAGTAGGTCTTTCCATTGGTTCCGGTTTTAGTCTTTTTACGAGTATTTCCAGGCTTTACAAATTCATCGAAGATGCATACACACACGCGAACCGCACCCTCCTACGTCTCCTGCTGCAGGATCAACAGCTCATACCTCGGCTCCGCTCTCTCAAGCGTTATTTCTTCCTTTCCTCCTCATCCTTCCTCACCCACCTCTTAGACCTTGCCCATATAGAGCTGAAGAAGCCCGCGAAGGGTGTCAGTATTGTGAAGCTACAGAGTCTGCTCGACCTCTCACTTACGGGGGAAGATGCCGCATTCCGCGAAGATGTGCGAGTCAGCATCGCGAGTAGCGGTTTGTACGAATGGCTACTCAAGGTCATCAGCGTGAGTGGCTGTGATCGGTGGTGAGGAAGGCGAGGGCGTGCCAGATGATGACGCAAAGAAGGATCGCGACAGGGAGAAGGAGAAGGATGACAAGAAGCCCATGCTTGGTATGTACATAAACAATCTGTGCCACCGTCCTTGCTCACTCCAAACAAGCAATCGATGCCCTTACACTCGACTACAACGTGAAATTCCCGCTTTCACTCGTCATCTCCCGCAAAACAATTCTGCGCTACCAGCTCCTCTTCCGGTTCCTCCTACATCTCAAGCATGTAGAGCAGTCGCTCGCATCGATGTGGATAGAACAGAAGACGACTCCCTGGCGGCGTTCTGTGCCCAACCACCCCGAGTTCGAGCAGTGGCGATTGCGAGTCGCGCTCCTAAGAGCTCGCATGCTCGCATTCGTCCAGCAAATACTGGCGTTCACGACATTTGAGGTTCTTGAACCTAACTGGCGGGCACTAGAGGCGAAATTAGCCAAGGTGACCACCGTGGACCAGCTCCTGAGGGATCACGTAGACTTTCTGGACACGTGTTTGAAAGAATGCATGTTGACGAGTGCCAAACTGCTGAGGGTACGTGTACTACCTTGGACACAGACACGCGTTGACCGTCGCACTGGCAGGCATACTCCCGCATGATAGTCACATGCTCGACGTTCGCTCTGTACACCTCCTTCTTTCACCAAGTCCGCCAATCAAGCGCTCGCAGCAGCCGAGAGCGACGACGGCGACCAAGCGATGAATAAACGGTGGGAATTCCTCAAGAAGTTCGAGTCCAACTTCAACCACTGGTGAGCACCTCGTCGTCTGCGTGCGTTATTTGGAAAGTCACGTTCTGACGCTGCTTGTCTCTAGGTTCAAGGTAATGTTGTGTTGTCTACCCAGTTATCACAGTCCTGGCTGACGATTCTTTTTTGTGTAAGTTTCATTTGGACTGCGTACAGTACTACGCGTCGAGTGAGAATGTGTCGCTACTTCCTCTTGTGGTACGGTTGAGCAGCATCAAGGCGATGTCGTAGCCTCAGTTGTATGGCTTTATCTCGAGGAGAAGTCGCAAGGGCTCTAGTGCAAATGCAGTTTTGGGTGGCAGATAATGATCACGATGTCCAAATATTCTGTTGGGATTCTTGCTTTCTGTTGCTGTTACATTTTTGTTTTTCTAGCGATACACGATATATATGTTGCTATATGCCATTGGGGTATTCCTCACATACCGTATTGGTGGTTCTTTGAACAGTCGGTAATCGATAACCGCATGTTTGGGAGCCAGGCTATATGAAATATACATTTGCCTGATATTTTCATCTATGTAGTGTCAGTGTCGATTTTTCTTTTGCAGCCATATTAATACTGTATTCAGCGAATTTAGGGATAAAACCACCATCGACCCAATTTAAGTCTGCAAGGGGCCGCCAAACGGTGAACATCCCTACATACAGACGTTTGATCCGGCCCACATGGAGTCTCTGTCTCCAAGCTGGATGTGGGTCAAAACGACGCACCAGCTGTCGTCTGAAAACTGGGGATGCGTCTACTTATTTAGTCGGTTTGTAAGCCGGAAAAAAACATGCCTGCAGCGCCTTTGTGTGAACATTATTTAATCGCGAGTATCAAACATGGGTCTGTGTGCTTGAGAAACGTGCATATCGATGCCACGACGCAACCAGAAAGTCCTATCGTACAAGCGTCAAGCTAGAGGGACAAGCGTCAAGCTAGAGGGACAAGCGTCAAGCTAGAGGGACATGCGGATAAATTCAGACATTATATACGTGTGTAATAAAAAGTAACTCATTGGACTGGATGTTGGCGATGAAGTGGGCAAGTGATGATGAAGCCTGCAACAAAAAAGAATGGGAGGTCTGATGTAAGCAGAATTGTTGCTTCCTGACATGTAAGCTTCTACAATGATGCACTCTCAGAGGCACTCTTGTTGGGGTGGCTTGCTTGCCAGTCGGCATGTGCTTTCTGGGAAGCTTCCACATAGGGCTAAAAGGACATTGTCAATCATTGAAGAAAATTGTCAGCAGCGTTCACTTACGGCTTTATCAGAGGTGCTCATGGCCCTCCACCGCTTGCCAGCTTCGCGAGCAATGTTGACTGCTCCTCCACCTGTGATAGTAGCTCCGGCTGCTTGAATAGCTCTACCATCATCAGATTGACGGAAATTTTGGATGAATCTGTGTGAACTGTTGTGAGTCTTTAAATTATAACAAAAGCAAACAAAAGTGACCTGAAGAAAGCTCCCATGGGGCGTATGTGGTCACCCTCTTGACGGGGTCGGTGAATCTTCTTTTTTCCGTCAGCTTTGCGACGCTGCATTGATTTTCCTGACTATCTGAGGAGAGGCCGTCTTCCAATAGTCATGTAACTTCTCTTCATGCTCCTTCTTCAAGACCTCAACCTCGTCGTGAAAAGGCTGTGAAAAGCGATTTAGCACGACACATCTCAGATACGACAATGTAAATGACCTGTTTCTCTGCGAGAGTGAAGCCCTTCCACGCAGCAGCAGCTTGCTTGGCCACGGCCTGGGTGTCTGTACTAGACTTGATGTTGTCCTTCTGGCTTTGGACGAGCCTCGAGAAGAAAAGCAGATAGGCATTCGGGGGACGAGAAGGAGGCTGGTCAGACTTGGGCACCCTCTTGGGTCCTATAGCGGCATTATTAGCACGCATGTAATTACAAGTACAGCCAAATAGTTCCACTAACCGGGCGGCACAATCTTCTTGGACGTTGCCGTTGACTTCGGTTTGGACTTCGGTTTGGACTTTGGTTTCGTAGTAACTTTCACCTTCTTTGGAGCAGCTTTCTTAGCTGTGCTTTTCTTCATCGTTTTCTTCGCTGCTGCTGCGGTTGACGCGCTTTTTGACGCAGCAGCGGGCAACTGGATACGACGCGAGGTGAAGAACGTACGACGCGTCGCCGCGAATGCGGACGAAGTCAACACCGACGAAGACGAAACATTGGTGCGCAACTCGGGAAGACTGGACACAATGCGACGAGCAAAAATCGACAACATTCTGACAATAATTGGTGAAAAGAAGAGTAACAACCGAGGCTAGGAGAGTAGGTGGTCACATCGACATAACGACTAGTTTGGTCTTGTTATGCAAGAGCTTCATGAACCATTGCGCTTCCAAAATTCCCTTTTTTGGAGTCAATCTATCATGACTACAAACAACCCCCAGCTCTCATTTCGATTCAAAGTCACTTCCAATTGCTCAACTTGAGCTCTTAAAATTTAAGGCTAACCAAATTATTGAATCAATCCAGACCTTACAGCGCACAATCGATGTCGGCGGACAAAACGCCATGCCCGCCTGGCCAGACATCCTCTCCAAATACAATGTCATTCTCTCCCAAACGCACAGCTTCTCCCAATCCCTATCATCGCCTCAGGCGCAGTCCCAACTTATTCAGGCGCAAGTCCGAGCTGCCTCCATCATGTATGAGAAGATCGCTCTGCATCCAAGCAGTCGGAATGACGGATGCTCAGCTCGACAATGACCTCATCCCTCTCTTGCGCAACCAGCAGACGACTGACGTGCTCAATATGGAGACTGCTACTGTCCGTCGTCTAGCGGAGTGTATGGCCACCCGTGGTGCCATCGCCACGAATGGCATTCAGACTACTCATCCTCCTGCCGCGGGTAGTCGGGTAACACACGAGGATGTGCTCCATGAATGCGAGGAGATACGGAGTGCGCACGATCACCGTGTAGAACGTGCTGTTCAGGGCTGTGATGATGCTTAGGGATAAATTCGAGTGGAAGCAGCGCGTCGAAGTGGAGGTGGAAGAGCCCGAAGAGCTCGAATGGGATCCACGTATGGGCCATGGAGACATTCAGATGACGAATGAGAATGAAGTTACAGTGACTCCCGACAATAGGGAACTCGAAGAAGGACAGAGTAGCGATGAGGAAGATATTGTGGAAGGTGAACTCACGGGAAATGATGGCCCAACCCCAGTTGCTACCCCGGCCGCAGTAGATGTTGAGATGACTTCAGCTGATGATTCATAATGCTGTACTCATCTGGTATGTATGAAATCTATGCGTTCACTTCATGCGTAAAGCTAAGACTATCATTCTAGTAACACGGCGCGTCCTTCAACGACTCAACGCATCTCGGGAGGACATCTCTTGCCCAGCAGAGCTTTTGATGCATTCCATTATCCGCCTCCCCTTTCTCCTTATCTCTTCCAACTTCTGCCAGTACAACTAAAGCCAAAAACAGCGTATACCACATCCTCTTTGTCCTCTGCCTCGGGAAAATGATCAACGTTCCACCCTCTCCTTCTAGATACCCTTCTTCCAACGCCTTGCTCGGTCCTGGTGGCATAAAAAATGCTTCCAACATTGGGTCTCCCCACACCACCCGATCAAACGTCGGCATCACATACGCAATGTCCACTGTAGCTTCCTCGTTCGGTCCACAAGGCTGCGAGACCTGGACATATATATCATCCGCCGAACCTGTCGACCAGACCAATGTAGGCACTTCCGCGTCTTCAAATAAAAACGACCCGATGGCGCGGGACAGGTACTTTCGTATGTCCTCTACCAAAGTCCCTTGTATCTCTCCAGTGCTTTCAAGCTCGCACAGCAGCCCATCCAGGAGCAGCATGAAGGTATCCTGCCAGCTGTAGCACACATCTTCGTCCGGCTGGGTTCCTGGGACACCGAACCAATCGTTTTGGATTGAGTGCAGGGAATGAAGGACGGTTCCTAACTTAAGATCAAGGAGAGCGTCTTGACGCGGAGTGAGTGCTCCGCTCGATCGCAACGATGAGAGAGACTGGGCATTATGTGATGGAAGGCGGAGGAAGAGATAATGGAACGGATAGCATGCGAGGGAATCGTCGAAGCCTCTGAGTTCTGGTACAGGCAAACTGGTGTTATCGGAGATGTTTAAAAGGAGATCGCGGATGGTGCCAAGGGGGAGTGGTTGCATCACCAAGTCTGATTTAGAGTCAAAAGTCTTTGGAATAGCAGCGAGAAGGTATGATACATTGCGAAGCACGATATCGATCGCGTAGAACTTGATAGACGATGTGTAACTGGAGAAATATCGCGTGTAGCAAAAATCATTCACGGGTAAGTAATCGATATCATACCTAAATCCCTCATTGCAAATCTCGTTAAACTGTTCAATCACAGTATCGTCGCCCTCGTATTGAGCGACAATAGCCTGCGCCTGCTGTTGAGTGACGTGCATGGAAACCACGGCTTTAAGACGTAGGAAGGAACGACTGTCTTCTATTCGGTCTGCCTATAATAAGTAAGCTCTTTGGCAAATTGGCATATCATATACCCCTAGGCAGACCAGATACAAAGTAGTAGTCTCGCAGCTCTGCATGTAACAACAAGTTTCAAACCATCATCTATCAATTATTGTACTATGTGATACTTATCCTTGAGTTGCATTGGCCAGCACTACGTGTCTAGTTCCAAGTCTTTATTGTTACATGTACCACAACTACCCTCGATGTGCCACTCCTAGCTAATGGCTTTGTGTCTCGTCCATAACAGAAGGAACCGCTGTCTTTCTTCCATTGGGTCTTCCTATGGAAATCGGACAGCACTACACTGTGTCTTAAGTATCTGCAAGCAGTTTTTGGTGCTGCAGATATTTGTACCTGACGCGGCTGAATTGACTTCGATCCTGGGCATGCAACCACTCAATAAACTACAATTTCCGTCCCAGAAGTCCATCGGTTCGGTGCAGCCGTAGCGTTCAAGACCTTCTACAAGCAGATCATCTAATGCGATGTTCGGTCCTGACTTGCCGATGAAATAAAGGACACAGTCAGCGGAATATAGTTACCGACTACTACGCCCCACCAGGCCATGTCGCCAATTGACATCCATGAACGAACTCGACTACAGTCCCTAGACGCAAGCTCCCGGTGACAAATTGGTACACATAGTATTCGATCGAGGCCGTGGTCTATAGCCTTGGCGTGACGCTACGATTCGATTGCATTCGGAACGTTTTTTTTTCTAGATGCTCTGTTATGTATGCACGAGTATGCGTTATCTCATAGAATCAAAACCAAAGTACACGGACCGCGATAAGTATATAGGCATTAGGGATCGGCCCTGCCACGGATCTTGTGGCCCTATACAGTATTCGTTATGCATTGACAACCAACGAGCGCCTTTTGACGAATGCCGAGTTGGAACCATTCGTCTCAATTCCGTTAGCACTGTCATATGTTTGGAAATTCCTTTGCATCGCCATGTAAGAAGTCCAAGATTGATTTCTTTTATGCCCTGTTAGGAGCTTTTCTGTGGAATATAAAAGCTGAGCATTGTCACAGTCAGATAGCACTATTGAACAACCTTCTCTAGTCTAAGACCAACTCACTATCATGTTTGCCCGCTTCTCTACTGCCTTCTGTGTTCTCCTTGGTTTGACGTCCCTTGTGGACATCAACGCTGGGATAGTACCAGTAAGCCTTGTTCCCCATCAAAGCTCGTGGTATTGACCTCACTATACAATGTGTACAGGGCAACTATGCGGAGCTAGTCACAAGAGATCTCGACCTTGACAAGCGTGCTGGTGTCGTGGGAGTGGTAAGCCTTGCTCCGCATCAAATCTCGTGGCATTGACCTCACCATACAACGTGCACAGATCAACAATGCAGAGCCGGACCCAGACGATTAGTAACATGATAACCGTTGACGTTACTAAGATGAATTGGCAAGCCTTGAAGCAAGAAAGAGTAGTCACAACGTTGAGCGCATAGTGACGGTACTTTAGCTAGGCCTACTTCTTTTATATCTCTACCAAATGCGACAGAGGGACATACTGTTTAAACTTTAGACGACAACAAAAAAAGAGCCAGAGACCACAAAACATAACAGGTCATAACTCGGGAAGTGCCGATTTACCAGTGCCATTGGGTTTTGGTCTCTCTAAGCTCTCTGCAATATGTCTATCATATCAGCGCAGCTTGCACACACAAACCACAGATGCTATCAAAGTCTACGAGTCGAATGACAGATACGCCGGGGAACTTGTTGTGTCATTGCACCTGTAGGACGTCACTAGTATTTTAAGAAACCTTGCAAGCATTGATAAGGTAACTTATAAGTACACCCACGAGAACGAGCCCGGGTCTCCAGAATTCATAGACTACTGTGAAGTACTTCGCAGGATCAGGTTACGGTGGAGCGGTGCAGACCCAGACCCTGCCTGCCTCTGGCGAGGCCTGGCAATGGTGATCATTGATGAGCTACTCTACGCCCTACGCAAACCATGGCAAACACCTGCCTCTCCACCTCCTCGCCGGGGGGCATAATATAGAAGGAACGGGTGAAATACAAGTTTCCATGCTGTGACAGCGGACTGGTAATAGTAGAAGCTGAGCGACGGTCTAGTAGTCTGTTCTGCGCAGAATGTGGAGCGCGCTGCACCACGGTACGGCCTCCAGCCCACCATGAACACAGGTATCCTGTGTCAATGTGTACGTTTTCCAGATCTTCTTGATTTCATGGTAACGCAGGCAGAGGATTCGGAATGGACTTCTATAGCGACAAAGGACAAGCGCGGTCAACTTTTGACAAACGGCTTTATGTGATATTCAGCGGGAGTTGTAATTGCAGTATGCACTGACACTGCAAGATTCTTAAGGGCAATTATGTGGTTTACATCCGTCATATCGTGATCCATGTTTAAAGTTAAACCCGTCATCGGGAGCGACTCGGAAGTATATCAATAATGCAATTAAGGAGGGGAAAGCAGGTCGACGGTATCCTCCAAGCGGACCATCTCGGATGTAGGGACAATAACGCGGTGCTCATCTACCCAATCCAAGATCTTCTCGAAGTTTCTGCATTGATGGGGAACGTTGAAGTTGGGCAAAGGATCAAGGGATCCCTCCACCCAATCGTAAGTGAGCATTGCCACGTCACCACGACACATTATGTTCTGCCTGAGCATTTCGATGCAGTGATCTGAGGTACAACATAAGCAGGACTTGGGCCGAGAAGGAAACAATATACCTACCGAGATGAGTGCGGAATCCTTCGGGGGAGTCGTGGATAGCAAAATCAGAGGATCTGTAATGGTCACCCCAGCTGACTCTGCGAAGCATGTTCTAATGATGAGAGTGAGAAAAGATAGTCCAGCTCCCCTGTATTACAACCCACTATGCAATGGAGCATGTGAATGCCTTCAATCGTTACCATATAACCTCCGCCATATTCGTCTGGATATCTTGCCATGGCGGGAGAAGGTTTCTTCCCTATTCTGAGCAGTTGTTCAGCCGTCATGCGAACTGAGCGCGCTGGACAACATTGCCGATTAATGATTGCATACGACGTGAGAGAAACATGATACAACCATCGACAGCTATTTCCTCCCAAACGGCGTCGATTTCTGGGGACGGACTGCCACGATATATGGAAGGAGCGTCCAGGGTTCCGTTGAATCTGATAATGCCGATGGATTCAATAGCCTCGTTGGCTGGAGCTGCGAAGGGTAAATAAGCTCCTGTGCATTGACGCTATCTGTCCACCCACAGTACAGAACTACGTCGTCTATCGAAGGCGCCCGTGCCCATAGCGTGAAAAACAGCATCGTTATGGACATCAGCACACCGTGGCTTAGCCATGACCATAAGTGATGATAGCGGGATCTTGGAGAAGGTCTGGTTGCTGTACCACTATCAAGGAGTTTCGTACTGTCATCGTCGACTCCATCGACAGGAGAGTACTGAGAGTAATATTCCTGGCGCATAACTCGCGAATGATTTGGATCTGAAGTCAGTGTGTCTGTTGTGAATCAGACAGTCAGTAAGAAGCCCTCGCAAAAAATAGCACTACCTTGTCTTCGTACTATTGCCCGAGATTCGGCAAGGCTTGAGATGGCACACAATATGTTGGATTGTTACAACAAGAGGAAAATTCCTACCACCTATGTATATCGAATCGCCCAGGTGCTTGCTCAGCCCAGCTCTCGGATGCCACGTTTCAGAAGGTCAGAGATATAAGTTATCAATATGTCGGTCCCCTTACCCGAAGTTAGTCGATGCCTCTTTGAAATGCGATCCTTATATAGAAGTTGATTTTGTATGTATCTACAGGCATACCCGGGCCCTGAATTGGACAGCAAGGCAATCACCTGTAGGTCTTGTTTAGGGTCAAGTAAATACACGTGACATGGACGAGCACAATATTGCCTTTTAGAAGTCCATAGCTTCGGAGTATGATGCTGCCTCGATTTGGCCTCGGTGCTGGCTAGCGTGACCATCTGCCGTCCACAAATGGTCTGTTTGCGTTTGAGGGTACTTGTGTCGGAATGATGCATGATACTTCGAGATGGAAATTAGGTACGAGCCATTGATTGGAACACCAACACCCATAGTGACGAAGTTCAAGACGTGGTTTGGACGTGGCAGTTTCCAAGTCATGCCATGTCATGCCACCTGTAAGGGTTTTGAATTGTAACCAGCTGCGATTGGTTAGGCGGTTGGTTCCGACTGGTTCGGAATCTCTTGAATTGTATAGTGCATACCAGTTACGGCGCACGATGTCACATCGACTCCTCAATATGAGTAAGTGTACTGCAGCAATGGCATCAGATCATTAGACTAGTTTCATTAGAGTGTCTTTGCCAAGTATGATATGAACTTATGAAGGCCCTTGGCTAATTAGATTGCGCGCACGGAAGCAAAATTTCCTTTCCCGTCTGATAAATTCTTAGCAAAAATACTCTATTCACACAAGTTGTATACCACTCACGTGCGGACGTCGGTTCACTTGTTTAGTTTGGGAGCAACTAGGTACTGCACATGAGAGGTTCGTCATCAACGCGGCTTTCACCGAGTCAAGAGGTTGATAGCTGACTCGGACATCACCTTGTGGTTCTGGAAGTAGTGCCCCTGACGCTCTTGTCGTGGAGAAAAGCGTCTTACCGATGTCGCCGCTGTGCGTCAGAGCTCGTAAAATGCGCCGTGATAGAGCGGCAACGTTACCGAGGTGGAAACAAGTCGTGGCCAATGACGAGAAGCACTGAAGAAACACACAAAACAAAACAGAAGCACGTTCTGGATTGCGAGACGACGACGGTAAGGTACAAGCTAAGGGAAAGAGGTGTCGACGATCCAATGAACCATATGTGTAGGCGGACGTAAGCCACCAGGCTTACACGAGGCCCTGATTTAGGCCTTATCCGGCCAGTGGACGCACGGTATGCGTAGCATTCCTGACTAGGACCGTGCGGCTTCCTGCGCCCTCTCCAACATGTAATCCAGCATGGTTCCAGCAAAGCGGAAAGCTTGCTGTCACTGAATTGATGTCGCGAGGGGAAGAAGTGCCACATCTACATCATCCAGGGGAATATCACCATCCGAAAGCATTGAAGTTGCGGATGCATAAACAGAGTGACTTGAGATGCTTCAGAGCGTTCCCTGAACGCAACTTCTTCCTTGATCTCCTTGCTCGACGTAGTGCCTTCGAGCAGTCGTTTATAGAAGTATTGCAATAAGGGCTCGGGGAGGCGGAAATTGATGTCGGTCGATTGCTCCAGAACTCGCTTAACATATGAAGTGACTAGCCCAAGTGATGATATGTCCCCAATGTTCTAGTTAGTCTTTATCAGCCCCTGGAGTCTTAGGACAGTGCTTTTCGGACTGGTCATGATTGGTTAGTTCTTCAGCATCCAGTATCACTAAAGGTCCCAGGGGCTTAGGCTCGTGACCAGCCTAGCGTATACTACCACGGACAAGTCGAGTGTTACATCAAGCTCTTAACATCTCAAAGACATAGTAGTCTAGACTTGCCACTCAAAGCATGTTAGTGTTTCGCGTGTAGGACACACATCAAGAGGTCTATTGCAACCAACCGATGCAAAATCATCTCTACCTTTATCAGATCCAAGTAGAATCAGATTTTTGTTGTCGTTCGAGCGTCACGCGGCTGCGTGATGTCGATTTGGCAGGGACTAGGCTATGTTCTTTCACTGTCATATGAGCAGACAACTGGGATGTGAAATTCACGCCAAGCATAACAACAGCATTCAGCAAACTAAAAGAACGTAACGAGACTGAAACACCATCACTGTGATGACACCGCCTTCATCCTAGGCTGAGAAGCATTAAGTCATATATCAGGATGATAGTAGACTCAAACACTAGAGAGAGAGAGAGAGAAGAGAGAGAGAGAGAGAGAGAGAGAGAGAGAGAGAATAGCACCTCTTCCGGAGACATGATTACTCCTGGCGCATCCCAATTTCACAATGCTGCATAACATTAGTCTCGCTGATTCGAGTGACAGTGCATAAAAACTTACAGCGCTCGCTAGGTGGTTTATAGTCGTATGCGAACAGGTCACTGTCTTGTTCTCCGCGAGTGTCCAATGCTGCGTGACATATCAGTCTCGCTGCTTCAAGTGACAGTGCATGAAAACTTACAGCGCTCGCTAGGTGGTTTATAATCGTATGCAAACAGGTCACTGTCTTGTTCTGCGCGAGTGTCCAACGCTGCGTGACATATCAGTCTCGCTGCTTCGAGTGACAGTGCATGAAAACTTACAGCGCTCGTTAGGTGGTTTATAGTCGTATGCGAACAGGTCGCTGTCTTGTTCTCCGCGAGTGTCCAATGCTGCGTGACATATCAGTCTCACTGCTTCAAGTGACAGTGCATGAAAACTTACAGCGCTCGTTAGGTGGTTTATAGTCGTATGCGAACAGGTCACTGTCTTGTTCTCCGCGAGTGTCCAACGCTGCGTGACATATCAGTCTCGCTGCTTCGAGTGACAGTGCATGACAACTTACAGCGCTCGCTAGGTGGTTTATAGTCGTATGCGAACAGGTCGCTGTCTTGTTCTCCGCGAGTGTTCAACGCTGCGTAGCATATGTATCAGTCTCGCTGATTCGAGTGACAGTACATAAGAACTTACAGCGCTTCTGATCATATGCGTCGTATTTGAACAGGTCGCTGTCTTGTTCTCCGCGCGTGTCCAACGCTGCATGGCATATGTATCAGTCTCGCTGATTTAAGTGACAGTGCATAAGAACTTACAGCGCTTCTGATCATATGCGTCGTATTTGAACAGGTCGCTGTCTTGTTCTCCGCGCGTGTCTAAAGCTGCGTGGCACATTAGTCTCGCTGATTCGAGTGACGGTGCACAAGTACTCACAAGCACGTCCCGCCTCAACGTTGGGTGCAGGATAAGCTGCAGCAAGAGCAACAAAGGACACGAGTGTGCTGAAAACAAGGGAGAGCTGCATGGTTCAAGTTGTAATCGAGAGGAATGTCTACCGTGTCGATGTTCGACAGACCTCATCAGGGTAGGGATTATATACCTTCTTGCGCCTCAGATCACTTGATCTTGCCAACTCAGGTCAGGATATCCGGAGCTATGAAATCGCGGCTCCGTGTTGAACTTGACTGGTCGGCACAAGATTCAATTTCCTACTCTTGTGCTGTAACAATTGCGTATTGGAGCGAAGAGAAGGACAGTTCGCTTACTTGGCGCCCCAAAATTTGTTCCATGTCGCATAATTTCTATGCTTGTTATTCGGATACTGTATGATCTTGAAGTCCAGGTCTCTCGCACTGATTCAAAAAGGCTGCTTGAAGCTAGGCCAATGATGCGGAAGCAAGGAACGCACCGACAACAACTAAGTTTTCCACTGACTGCGAGGGTGCTGGGATATCTAGACGCGTACCCAGATAATTCGCTATGAGCCCATGGAAGCATGATGCGGCACCGGTGGCAGCACTTCGGTTAGCACAAAGTTCAATTTCCGTCTCTCGTTGTAACAATTGCGTATGTGGAGTGAAGAAGGACCCCTGCGCCACCATACTGGCATATCATAGCTCGCTTGTAAAGCGTCCCGAAGAAGTTCCATACTTATTGCACAATTTCGGATGGGATGCAACTAGTACTGAATTGAACTTGTTATTCGGACGATAGTATCGGTAGGTTCAGAGCTCTCTCGCTGTAACAATGCAAAAAGCTGCTTGAAGAAAGGTCGTTATGGGTCACCCCACCCTGGGGGAATAATGCATTACCATTGTAATTACAAGATAAGGTATTGCATTAACAATTGTAATGGCTAATGAATTAATTTTTAATCTTAGTAAGAGGGGGTTAGAGGGGGTTAGAGGTTAGATTGTTAGATGTTAGAGGTTTGTTAGAGGTTAGATGCTAGATGTTAGAGGTTAGAGGGTTAGTGGTTAGTGGTTAGTGGTCAGTGGTTAGGTGGTTAGTGGTTAGTTAGGGTTAGCTAGGATTATATTCTGCCTGGTGCCTCGGAGGTTAGATGTTATGTAATGTTATGTAAGAGGTTGCTGATAGTTACAATGGTTAATGCAATACATTTGTCTTGTAACTATCATGCATTTAATGCATTATAACTACAGGATAGCCTCTATGGGTAAGTAGCGGGCTAATGGTACAGAAGCAGGGGACGCACCGAAAGTAATTCAGTTTGCCACTGAACGCGATGGCGCTGGGAATACTGCAGCTGTAGCGCAGTACTCATGCGATTGGTGGAGATGCTGAACACATAACCAAAAATGTGTGTTTACGAACGCAAACCTGAACTAAACCAAAAGCAAGTACTTTGAGAGAGGAACTTCGACCAAGTCGGCTTTTTAGACGGGCCATGATGCATAATACGGTCCGCTATCCCGCATCTGAAATGCTCCGAATTTGGAAGGTTTTGAAGCGCCATAGATATCCTAGGCCTGTGATTCATCGGTAATGCCACGCCAGTACTTCGAACAGGCCTGTATACGTCTTTTCGATAGCTCCATCCCGCATGATGGCTTCTAGACCCAGAGTGAATAGCTTGTTTGTCCCCAACTGTCCCCGCACCCTCGACATGGTCAAAGACTTCTAGGGAAACACACGGGTACGGGAAACACCGCGGTTCTATGCTGACGGGTACGGGTACGGCGTAGGGTAGTCATACCCTTGAGCACACCGCGACCCTTTACCGCGGGTTGGCGGTGTTTGGACGGGTATGACCTACCAAATTGGGAACTTTGACAGCCTCTGAACGCCGTGCTATGATTCTCCATAGCGCCTTTCTCTGAGAGCTCGAGGATCACAACTAAATGCTACACTTTGCTACAGAGAAGCTCGACATCAGTTTCAGTGCTCGACTTGTGAAATGGATCACTGAAAGCAATCGCCCTGTTAATATAATCAATGACCGTGAACTCCGCGAGCTTCTTTGTGCAGGTCGTCCGAACATTGAACTTCCATCATCTGATGTATTCTCCCGCAATATCAAAGTAGCATTCGAGAAGTGTAGTGAACGCATCGGAAAGCTTCTCCATGTAAGCTTTTTGCTGATATCAGAAACTTAGCTAACACAACAGACGCTTTGCTACGGATGCTTGGTTCAGCGACATCAACTGCGGTTGAACGTGTCTTCTCACAGGCTTGGCAGCTCCTTCACTTCACTCGCAACCGACTTGCACCATCAACAATTCGTGCCTTTCTCTGCCTTGGAGCCTGGGGCAGAAGTGATCTTCTGGCGATGGAGGACCTTCTAGCCTCTGTAAGGAGTCAGAAACGGAAGCAAAACGAAGTCGAGGCTGAGGAGGATGACAAAGAAAAATAGTAATATTCATTTTATTGTTGTTAATACACTCTTCTTGTTAATGTACCCGCGGTGTTCTCCAAAACCCGCAATACTTACGAGTCGGTGTGTACCCGTACCCGTACCCGTAACGGGTACGGTGTTGAGTTTCCGACCCGCGGTGTTACCCGTGCGGAACCCTAATTAGATTTCTCGCAGTACTTCGCCGTTGATACGTCAACGAAGACGAGAAATTATTTGGTGATGCAGAAAGGTTGCGTATAGAACCTCGTCACGAGTCGCTTGTTATTCCCTGGCCTTGGTTGACTCGGAGCCATCATCCATGGTACACTTATTTGCACATCAATGCTCTTTTCATGCTATGAATGGGTACGCCTTCAGCTTGCCTGCGTGACGACATTTCTATTTACTGTGAGTGGGCAAACAGTGTCAAACGGTACAGCAATTTATGCATCGCAGCTCCAGCAAATGTTGCTGTCGAGCCCATGGTTGCAAGGTTTAACGGAACCCTTTGGCTCACACTTGTGTAAACTGGCTTCACAAAGCCTCTTGGTTGGAGCATTATGGGTCCACAGATCCTGGGTTCCAGGACACCTTCCGTACGCATCTTCTTAAATGTTTTGTCTGACTTGAGGCACTCTTGCTTATGATATACCGTTACATTGCAGATCACTGCATCGAAATGATTAGGCAGAATATCATATGCAATGCCAACGTGACGGTGATTACATGGTACTGGGTGGAGGGACACAAGATTCCCCACCCTAACTTTAACACCCGTCATCAATGCAGGAACTTCGAGAAAATCTCGGATTGGGCTATCGAGCACCCTATGCATATTGATGGATCGGATATTATTCGCTTCAAAGATACAATTGACCTCCCCTCTCCCTTCCGTCGTGATGCACAAGGAATATCGCTCCGCTTGCCTGCCTGCTCACTGCACGTATTCAGAAATACCTTGGGGAGGAGGGTGGGTCATTGGGGCCTTGGAAGAGTTATCATTGTTTATAAATCAAGTGGGATGCAAATTCGACCGAGTATTTTTGGAGGACAAGAATGATGCATTGCAGAAATTTAAATCATATCATTGAGCTGTCAAACTCACCCCTGAATCATCTGGTGTCGCTGAATGTTGCTGATTAGTAATAACTAGTGCACGCCCTTCTAGGGGAGGGACTGGTAAAACTGCAGTGGGTGAAAGGCATGTAAGGATAGTATATCCTTTACGCACTGACCATGTCTTCCAACGAAGACGCTCTAAGTCGTCTACGTGACTCGATACATCCATTTTCTTTTTTTCAATCCTACCTTGTGCTCTGATTCCACGATTCCCTTGCCTTGACCGCTCCATTTTACCTACACCACATGCTCTTAATGTTCATTATGGTCTAGTATTAGTAAGCCATTCGAAACCGTATATATACAGCTCATGTACACTCATATCGATAGCAGAATCGCATACGGTGATTTTCCCGCTCATAGCACGTCCAAACCTCTCAAAGAAAAGTCTACTTCTCTAACGATCTTCCTTGTCTAAGATGTACTTCGTATCTACGTTGTCTCGTTCGCAATTCCCTCTCGAACTCATCCTCAGCCTTACAGGCATAAACTTTAAAAGTGCCACCAATTAATGATTAATCTAAACTCTTCTTTCTCAAGTGGGCAGGGCCAGTAGCTTCAAGTCCAGAGACAGCGAGCAACCTGCAAGGATGCTGGAAAAGGGCCGAGAGATACGGACTCCAGAACCCCAACTTACTATAGTCAGACAGACTCTCGGGCAGACGCTTGGGCAGGTCTAGACAACCAATTTCACTGGCATTAAGACAAGCGACTATGCATCAAGCAACAACGTAGTACTGTGCTCAGTGCTTGTCAATGTGCAATGATCCCGTTAGCCTCGTAAACTTAGGCTTGTAAATATTACTGCGAGTAAGCGGAGATGATGAATACTACCTAGGTACCCAGCCGCAGGCAGGCTGCAGCTGGAGACGTTACAGAATCCAATCGATGACTTCATAGTGATTGGTACTCACTGCACCTCATACTTTTATCACGATTGATCATGATGGCATAAAGTTGACGTCAAGATTTCATTATATCATTGAACATTCTGGGTGGTTACCGGTCGCGTCGTGCAACATATGATTAATTGCTGAGCGCTGATCTCGGAGTTTCTGAACTTCTGCTTCCCCTTTCTCCATGTATATAATATTCCTCCAACCAACTTCCGCCAAGTTCCAACACAAGAACAGCATCTCGGGAAAACGATCAATGTTCTATCTTCTCCATCCAAATGCCCTTCTTCCGGCAAGTTGTCATACACAATTCGGACACGCTTCTGTCATGAATATCTGGATGGTCCTTCATCATCACTGATAACACGAATCCATCCTTGGCGATAAGTTATTCACCACCCAGGCAAGTTGAGTAGTTGAACTGAATGCACTCGCCACTGAATGTACTGCATTCTAGATCATCCAACGGATTCTTGGGTTCATGGTCACATCTTCAATATCTACTATACAGGCGATCTTGTATCAGTATCGTCTCCCAGGAGACAACTAGATTCGTAGCCAGTCTGGACTACGACTTTGAGATGTTAAGGGTTAACGCCCACTCAACTTGTCCATAGCGCCAGGCTAGTCCACGAGGCTAGTACAAGACAGCTATATATTATAAAGTGTCCCCAGAGTGAAACTTATCAATGTGATTCGGGTAAGGCCCTCAACTTACTGGTTTTCTAAGCGAGCCGAGGTACGAGGCGGCGTAGAATTTAATCTATGTGTTAGTAAGCGATGTGGGCAGCACTCTTTGCTCCCGTCCACATCCGCGGTACCGCTTCGACTCGGCTTACAGTCTGTACACGCTGCAAAGCCTCGTTCTTGTTTGCACCCGCCGCCACTCCCTCTCTCAGGGTGCAGACAAATGCTTCGTAGTTCTGTTACTTAATCCAACTACTTACATTCGTCCGACGCACTGCACTCGACACTTGCAATGTCGGTGACCTGATCGGAGCCCACCCGCCCCGTCACAGCTCACCTTGCTACCCAGTTCGGGTGCATGTTTTGGGCCGAAAAACCCTCCGAGTTTTTCCCCAAAAACTTTCACTGACTTCTGGCTGCACTGGTCACGAGTGCACGCCACTTCTCGTGCGGCACTTAGCGCGCCGACACGCATAGATTATGTATTACATATATTCATTCATATTCCGACTGGCTTTCGAGAGCCGAGCAAGGTGGTTCGATGCGAAGTTTCCTCTCAGATCAACGGCATCGAATACTCAAATGGTTTCACCTATATGTAAGCAACGCTAGCCCTTCTAGTACTAGTAGGGTCCTCGGTTCCAGGTCGGGATGTATTACTGACACAATGCGCTCTTAGCCATTGATGGTGAGCCGAAGTAGCGGTTATTCTGTAAGTCTTTTAAACGTCCTGACTGAGACTCTTCTTCACACTTGGCCCGCTAACCCGCAGAACCAGATTTTCTTTCGCAACTCATGTTCAAGGAATATTATAGTCCTTATTCTCGTGTCGATGGAGCCGACGATCGTGATGATGCGAACCTTCTTGATAGTGATACAGAAACCAGACCTCCAAAATCCCGTTCCCTTCGCTGGTCGCTATTGCTGAGCCATGGTGTACTGATGTCCATAACGATGCTGTTCTTCACGCTATGGGCACGGGCGCCTTCGATAGATGACGCGGTTCTGTATTGTGGGTGGGCAGATGGCGTCAAATGACAGGAGCTTATTTACCCTTCGCAGCTCCAGCCAATGAGGCTATTGAATCCATCGGCATTATCAGATTCAACGGAACCCTGGACGCTACTTCCATATATCGTGGTTCGTCTCCAGAAGTCAACGCTGCTTGGGATAGGATAGCTGTCGATGGTTGCACCATGTTCTTTGTCCCATTATAGGCAATTACTAACGATATTTTCCAGTACGCCCAGTTCGTATGACGCTTGAGCAACTACTCAGAACAGGGGAGAAACCTTCTCCCAGCATGGCTAGGTATCCGGACGAATTCGGCGGAGGTTACATGGCAACAGTGGAAGTCATTCACCAGCTCCATTGCGTAGTCAGTTGTAATACAGGGAGGCTGGTCGATCGTTACTCACTCCGCTGTAGGACATGCTTCGCAGAGTCACCTGGAGCAAAGACCAATCCCATGATCATGGCGCCCGCGAATCCCACGAAGACTTCCGCATTCATCTCGGTATGTACGCTGTTTCCTGCCAGGCCCGTGCCCTGCTTATGTTGTACATCAGACCATTGCATCGAAATGCTCAGGCAGATCATTATGTGTCATGGTGACGTGACAATGCTCACTTACGACTGGGTGAAGGGGTCTAATGATCCTTTTCCTAACTTCAACATTCGTCACCAATGCCGAAACTTTGAGAAGGTCTTGGATTGGGTCGATGAGCACCGCGTTTCTATCCCTAAATCCAAGATGGTCCGCTTGGAGGATAACGTCAATTTGACTTCCCCTCCTTGATTGCAGTCTTGACACGTTCTCTCCCGATGACGGTTCTCGCGTAGATCATAATATGACGGTATGTAGCGAACAACCACGAATGCCCTTGAGTACTTTGCAAAGTCCAATGGAAATGCTGAATACGATCGTCTGCAAAAGAATAATTGAGCCCACACATTCGCGACGAGCTGGGCAGTGCACCATTGCCATGCATCATACAATGCATCATGTCATATTCTTCTACCCTAGACAGGCCTTTGAAAATCCACGAAATACGCTTAACTGCAGAAACTTGCCATGATGGTGTTCTTCAAACCTCGAATATTCATGGAGGGTGCTGGTAAGAAACGCGACGAGCTTGAGATCAAGTATAACTACCACGATGCCTATAACATACAATCGTACATCGACGTAGGACCAATATTTGACAGTGGAGGAGAGATGTAGAAATTCTGAACATTGGAACAGACCGGGGGAGGAGAAAAGGAGTAAACGACAACGATAACAATCTAGATCATACAACAAATATTAATATCAAGACTCATCAACAACTTTTAGTACCCAAACACGGGCTTCGATCCACCTAGGCAGTTGCAAAATATTTCTCCAACACACACTTCGACACGATATGCTTTGGGCACCTGCGTTCCGTCCAGGTTTCAAATTGCACATAGCCCTGCTCAAGGAGCACCTCAACCCCAATAACCCTCGCCCACTTGGGCGCTGCACTCTTCGCGAGCATGAGCAGAGGCGTCTCGGCAGGTTTGTATGCCATGTCCACAACCACACCATTCGCAGTCGCGTCAAACAACGCCAGCGGAAGGAGTACAGCGCCAGTGCTAGTATCGTCGGTGGTTGTCGCACTCGCTGGGACGGTAGACACGATGACGGTCGGTGCAGGCCCCTCAGCAGGCCAGACATCAAGCGTCTCGATCAGTTTGACGGGGGCATCGGGGAAAGCATTGACGAGCGCCTGCGCCTTACTTGCAGTCCGGTTGAACAGGTAGATACGCTGAGCCCCGAGGGACTGAAGCGCAAAGATGGCGGCTCTTGCGGTCCCTCCTGCGCCAATAACGAGGGCGGCAGCAGGCGCACCAATGGATGGCGCACGGGAGCGGATGGATTCACGAATGCCGAGCCAGTCGGTATTGTCTCCGTAGAGAATGCGGTTTCCCCCTTCGATGACCGGTATGATGGTATTGACGGCCCCGATGGCTTCAGCGGCTGGCGAAAGCTTGTCAAGCAGGGGTATGACGTCGAGTTTGAAGGGAATGGTAACAGAAGCACCTCCAAAGTCAGGTGCAGCTAAGGTAGCTTTGATTTCTTCACCAACGTTAGCTGTCTCGAGAAGCCCATAACTATGAGGAAGCCCAAGGACCTCGAATCCAGTGTTGTGCAGAGTCGGGGACATGGAGTGAGCAATGGGATTTCCGAACAGGAAGTAGCGTCTTGCAGGAAGCTGGCCAAGTAGGTTCAGCGCTTTTTGAATCTGCGCAAAGGAGAGCTGGCCGGGTGCCGCCTTCGAGGGGAGGAGTGGGTGCGTCACCGGGCTCAGAGTCGTATTCAGAATACGTGACATCTGACCCTCCACACCCATGTTGATCGCGATGATCGGTTTCGCACCCGGCTGCGCATTTGCCTTCGCAACGAAGTCATACAGCGCAAAGTTATCCTGCAACGTGTCCGCCTTTCCAACAATCTTGACAATGTCCCCGAGTTGGCTCGCAAGCGCGTACTTGCTTCTCACTACATCCTCGTTCCACTTCATCTTGCCGCTCCAGTCGTGCCACGACGCGATAATTTGCGAGAATCCCTTGCGAGCGGCGAGTGCTTTAATAAGCTTCTCAGTTGCAGAGATCTCCACGTCAACGTACTCCACCCCAAGCCGCAGCGCAAGCCCAAGGAGCTCAAAAGCGTCCCTCTCTGCGTTGTCCGGGAACGCACCGCCCTGGGCTATCGTGCGTACAGTGAACACTATCGGGAGACTCGTTGCCCGGCGTAGCGCAGCGACCTGCGCAGCAACATAAGTCTGCGACGGGATAGCACCCAAGGCATCGGGGGCGCGCAGTAGGTCCACACGTAGCTCTACGGCATCAACGCCCGTCGTAAGGTCTGGAATGTGTCGCAAAGCGGGCGTCACATCGGGGTATGTGAGTGCCACAAAGTAGCTACGCTTCCCAGCGGCAACATTCTCCGCAAGGTTCGGCTGCCCCGCAATGTGCTTGAAGAAGCGCGAGATCTCTGCATCAGTTGCCTCGCCGCCTTGAACGTCTATGTGATTGACGAAGTCGTAATTGGCGCATTCAGCGAACCACGGTTCCCGTCGTTTGAATACCTCGGTAATAGGCTCGCCGTAGGCAGGACGTGCAGTCTCCTCACCAAGGTAGCCCACGATCTCCTCGATGTTCCTCAGGACATGTACAACTGGGCCCGTCTTTGCATAGTTCTTTAGCAGATCCCTGGCTTGGGGCGTCTCCACAATCCCGCCGCCCATACTGATTACGTGTCCCGTCCCAGCCTCCTGGATGAGCTCCTTCAGATTCTCCGTCTCTGCGACGCGGAATGCAGGCCACCCATTTTCATGCACAAACTCGCGCACGCCGATGTTGTGTTTGGATTCAAAGTAAGCATCTGCGTCGATGAATGGGCGAGAGAGAGCAGTGCTCGCGAGTGTGCCGACATGCGTCTTTCCAGAGCCGCGCATGCCAATGAGGATCACAGATGCAGAGGCTACGGTGGAGGGTGTTCCAGAGGATGCCGTGGTAGAGCTCTCAGCGTGTGGAAGCTCGATGCCCCCAACTTTAAGGCCGATCTTGGTGTATATGTCAGGAAAGCCTTGAGTGGGAGCGAAACAAATGTGAGTCATACCTTGTTCTCCAAATCATCCCACCAGTTCGGCCACGTCTTCTCGACGCAGCGCTTCTCCTCGATGATTGTGTCGGGTACGACGGTACCTAGGACGCTGAACGCCATTGCGACACGATGGTCATCGTAGCAGTGCACGCTCACGCCGCGGTTGAGGGTGTTGAATGGGCGACCATACACCTCGAGTCCATCATCCAGTTCTTTGGTCTGCACGCCAAATTTGGCTGTGAAGGTCGAGTCAGTTATCCGAGGGAGAACAGGAATGGGATGCAATCAAAACACCCACCCAACTGATCAATCATCGCCCTGATGCGATTGCACTCCTTCACTCTCTGGTTCGCAATCCCAATGATCCTTGTCGTGTTCCCTTCCCCACCCTGCGCAACAGCAGCAAGGGCGCACGCTGTCAAAAACGCATCAGTCATCGGCTCCATATCTACCTCCCCAATCGCCTTCAGTTCACCCCTCTTCGGGCCCGTGACAGTCGTCTCATTCGCAGTCTGCACCACCTCGCATCCCATGCGTGCGAGCACGTCTACGGCGAACCGAGCGTCACCCTGCAAACTTTCGCTCCCGATATTCTCGAGCGTGCATGTTGTGCCTGTGATCGCGGCAATTGCAAGCGGGTATGTCGCGCTACTCGCGTCGCTTTCAATCGCATATTGGGCGGGATTCACGTATATGCCCTGAGGAATTCGGTACACGTCGGTCCCGGGGTCGCGCGTGACAGACACCCCGAACGTGCGCATCATTGCGATCGTCATGTCGATGTACGGCTGGGAGATCACAGCGCCACCAACGAGTTCGAGAGTCACCTCCTCACGTGCGTACGGCGCACAGAGGAGAATGCTGCTTACGTACTGGCTCGATACGCTCGCTGCAAGACGGATCACGCCGCCTTGGAGTCCCTTGGGCGCGATACTTAGTGGCAGGCAGCCCTCGGATTCGATGTAGGCAATTTCAGACCCGTTAGCGCGGAGGGCATCTACGAGAGGGCCAATGGGCCTCTGTTTCATGCGAGCATTGCCTGTGATAACGGTGGCGCTCCCAGCGTCGGGAGCGGTGGAGGGAGACACGAGCGAACAGACAGTGGTGAGGAAACGTGCAGCAGTTCCTGCATTCCCAAGGTAAATGTCCTTTCCTGCTGTGGGGACTTGAAGGGCCCCTGCGCCGCCTGTGACCACTAGCGTTTCACCCCCGTCTTCCCATGCAAAGGAAGCGCCCTAGAACAAAGTGAATCAGCAACGGCGGTGACGGATAGAAATAAAACAGTCGAACCTTGAGTTCCTGCAATGCTGCCATCATCACTTGTGTATCGTCCGAATGCAATAAGTTCTTCAGCCTACAGGTGCCCTGAGCAAGTGCAGCCAGTACCAGGGCGCGATTGGAGATGCTCTTGCTACCCGGCGTCGCCATCTTCACATGTTGTGTTCCCAGGGAAGTATCACTGAGATCAACCTTGACAGTCACAGCCTCCGAAAGCACCTTCGCGATAAGCGCATCGGCAACAGCTGTCGCTTTCTGCTCGTACGTAGCTCCAATGCGGGAGAGGATGACCACCTTTTTCTGGGGGCCGGAGTTTTTCTTATCGACACGCATAATATCCAGGAGCCTGTCGACGCCAAGGTCACGAGCACCAGGGCATCTGCTTACTCTCTGATCTGCCAAGCTTACAGGCAACCCATAGGCTCTCAAACACCTCACGAGTCTCCCAACGGCTACCTGTTTCAATATGCCCATCCCCCGAGCGACTTCCGCCTCAAATATCATACCGATACTGACGCACTCTCCGTGGAGCATGTGTGGCGTGAGGACGGCTTCGATGGCGTGCCCAATTGTGTGCCCGAAGTTAACGAGGTTGCGGAGTCCAGTCTCGCGCTCGTCGATGGTGACAATGTGAGCTTTGACGTAGATACTACCTCGGATAACGGAGAGGAGAAGAGATTGAGAGGTAGAGCGCGTGCTGACTGTGACGACCTGCGTAGCCGGTGGAAGGCGTACTGATGGCACTGTAAATCAGGGGAGCGTTAGTTTCAAGCGAAGTAAATTCGTTTTCGTCCCATATTGCCGCGGTCTTTGGGGGCATATCAGCGTGATGTTGGATTTAATGACGGAAGGGGATCAACCGCACCTTCACAACCTCGGCCATACCATTGCTGAACTCGCGCTCAGGGAGGGTCTCGAGGAAGGCAGCGTCAATGAATACGTATTCAGGTTGCCAGAACGCGCCGATGAGGTTCTTGCCAGCGGGCGTATCGATGGCGGTTTTGCCGCCTACGGAGGAATCCACCATTGCAAGTAGCGTGGTAGGAATCTGGACAAAGCGCACGCCACGCATGCTGTAAGAATGTTAGTGCAACTCACGGGATGGACAACAAACATCGAAGATAGAATGAAAACCGTACAAAAAGTCGGGTAGTGATAAAATAGTTTGCAATGAAGTACATATATACTCACAAGGTCGCAGCGACGAAACCAACGAGATCACCGATGACACCTCCACCAAGAGCGAGGATGACGGTGTCACGAGTGCAGCGCTCAAGAAGGAGGAAGTCTTCTATATCGGCCTTTCCTGCACGAGACTTTGTCGTCTCGCCAGGTAAGATAACACGGCTAAGGAAACGTGGTTTTACGGAAGAAAGCTGGAATCCAAGTCAGATTGAAATCGAGGCAAATACAAGAGATGGACGAATAGAAAGGACACACACCTTATTGATCTCAGCACCAAAGGCCTCTTCAAAGGCAGAGAGGTAGAACGGGGCTACATTTGTGTCTGTGACGAGGACATACACAGATGCAGGAAGTGTGGTGAGCACTGTACGTGCAATGTATGGGATCAAGTGGAAACCACAGTGGATGGACTCTCGTCCAAGAATCGACACTTTCAAGATGTCCGGGGTAGTGTCCATAGGAGGCACTTATGTCTGCAATCAAGTCAAGGGAAGAAGAAGAGAAAGAAGAGACGATGCTATGAACCGATGAAGGGGAGATATACTTAAGTATCGAAAAGCAATGTGGTCTGATCAATCTCATCGCGCCCAATCCGGGAATAAATCGGCCCACATGCGAACTAGCAACCGAATTGATATTAGAACGAATATGAGGCAGTACTAGTAGCTAAACCTCAAGCTAATGGACGTAGGACGGCGTCGTTGTGGTGAATGGTGTGGGCAGTGTGCATGCTAATGGTGATCCGGGTGTAGACCAAGAGCGGCTCCGTCGCCCCCACAACAGCTTCATTTTACGCCCCGACAGCGCCGAGAAACCAGTTGTTGAATAACTGGTAGATAACGAATTCGAACTCTGACATAGAATTTCTGTATGGTACTTGATAAACTCACAACGAACATGTGAGATCACGACAAGCCACCTTGAGACCAATGGGTGAGAAATAGATAGCTGTTTATCTACTGCTTCGGGTACAATTACACTTATACCGTCTGCCAGGTGGTATCTGATAGCATAATTCACCTTGCGGTCGGGTCTTAGGGAATTCTGGTCCCCTTTGTGTGCAGTCCCAAGCCTGTGCTTCTCATCTTCGATGACCGACACCGCTACAACGATATCACACAAAGGTTGTGGACCCATTAATGCGTATTCACTCTGACTTCGCCTGAATCGCCTCTGAAAGCAAACACTTGTCTCACATGAGTTTGGCGCATTCAGTAAATTTGCTTAGCTTGGATATCTGACTATGTAGAGCGAATGCGAGAGAGCCGTGGTAAGCAAATGCAGGGTTCTTTTGCACTCACGTCTGATCCTTCCACGTTCGGACACACCATGTTTGAATAGCGCGTTTGTAACCCGGAACAGTGCATACGAATCAATCTGGTTAGAAAGGTGAGAAGGTGTGATGCTGCCAGAGGTGGAGGGAAAATTCTGTCGTGGTTTGGCATGGGTAAACCGTGATGATAGACATGCTGTGACCACTGTTCACACCATTGGCAGCCGGAGAAGATCAGCTGTCTGGCACATTTAATTATTGCTCGGAACACCGACAAGGTGAAAAATACCCATCACATAGAATTTCCCTCCTAGGTCCCCGTGATCTGCGTTTTAGAGAAACCACGCATCCTCCATGCTTGAGCTTTTTTCAATGGCAGGGCACCAAGTCGAGCCAAAATCCGATAGATTACGCGTAACGTCATAAACAGGCTTGACGGCCTCAGCTGGGCGAGTAAGTAATCGTGACGCATAGCAGGCAGGAATGTGTTAAGAGACAGTCAGGTACAGGTACCATTTATACTGTGCTATGAGGAGGGGATGGCAGGATGGCTAGTTTGCTTCTAGACTGTATGTATTCTTCTCCAACTGCAATAACTGTTCGTTAGATGTCCTTCCTGATATATCGAGATTCATACCTCAGCTTCAAGCTCCCTCCTTACTCTGTACTCTTCATCTGCCTTTATTACCAGATGGTAATCATCTAGATCCTCGATGACGAAAGGATCCTTCTCGTTCATTGTGAGCAGTATTTGCTTGACAGCGGAGTCACTGAGTAAGTGCCAACGATCGGTCTATCGTTTGAAAGACAAAATGACTGCAAACCAAGTTAAAAGTACTCCTGCGCATGGTGAATTACTTCGAAAAGGCCGAATGCTTGCGCTCACCTTTAATGGCTCTCATATTTGAGCGACTGCAGTCACTGCACCACTTTCACAGACTTTTGCAACTTGCCAACTAGACTCTAGAGCTCTCAGTCTTCCACACCTGGTCTAACGCGAGAGAGTTCCCAGAACAACGAACTATGAACACACCAACGATAGTCAATGAGAACTTAATGCAGAATTGTTCTCAGCGTTGCCGTGAATATGCGCCTGAAAGTAGTGGTTGGTGGTGATACGCGTGAGTAATAGTGTCCGGGAATATGAGGGTTGTGATCGAGCACTGCATACATGCTCTTATATCTATGCCACTTTCATAAGTATCTATGCGGCCCCTCGCGCGCTGCATCATTTCGGATACAAGCTTTATATTCGTCCGCCACCATCGCCCATTCTCTTCAGCAAAAACACACTTACCATCCGCACAGGCTCTGTGAGTGGTTGATTTGCTGTGCGCTTTAGACCCGCAAGCTAGTCTCCGCCGACGCCAGTGCTTCCCAGAGAGTCGGTCAAGGTCAAGACGTTTTGAATGAACGATTTGGGACTAGCTTGGCGTTTGGCATCATATTTTGCTGCACCGATTCGCTTCCCGGAACCGCGGCCTTTCATCCATTAAAACCAAGCTGACATAGTTCGGTGTCTCCAGATTCCAGAATAACCCCCGTCCCGCAACCTGTCATCATGCCGGTATCGACTGGAGCCGTTCCGATCAGTATGATTCTGTTCTCATAGAAGATAACTAGAATGCTGACCAGCTTGCAAGGTACTATCCCTCTCACTGCCATTGAGCAGTCCAAGCGATTAGCAGCATACACTGCTGTGGATAAACACATTCTCCCAGAACATAAGGTAAGTTCCATTGATATTTATAGTTATATTTCGAGACTCATTATTCTTTGCCGCAAGGTTATCGGAATAGGATCTGGTTTGCATGTACCATGGCTGGGATGAATCTCTTATTTACTGCATTCCAGGATCTACTGTGCCGTATGTTGTGGAACGAATCGTCGCACAGGGGCGTGAGCTCAACAAGGACCGCGTGTTTATTCCGACTGGATTCCAGTCGAAGGAGCTGATCGTCATGTCGAATCTCAACCTGGGCGATATTGATCAATTTCCTACTATTGATGTCACTATAGACGGTGCTGACGAGTAAGTTTTTCTGATTCCTCGGAAATATTGTTGAGCTTGATCATCTTCAGAGTCGATCCCGAACTCAATTGTATTAAAGGTGGCGGAGCCTGCCACTTGCGGGAAAAGGTGCTCGCGGAGGCTGCGAATACGTATGTCCATGATCTTTTAGGGATATCTCGGTTCCCTCATCACCAGACTGTAGATTCATTGTGGTAGCCGACTATCGCAAAAACACGGAATACCTTGGGACGAACGTGCGTGCTTTATCTTAAATTTGATGTATTGAGAAATATCGTACTCATTATTCGCAGTTCACTTCTGGTGTTCCAATTGAAGTCGTACCATTCGCATACGCCCAAGTTTTGCGCAAATTACACCATGTTCTAGGTTCACCCAACGCTACACTGCGCATGGCGAAGGCTAAAGCCGGTCCTGTGGTGACGGACAATGGCAATTTCGTCATTGATGCACCGTTCCCCAGAGAGATTATGATGAACCCTTTAACTGTACGAGAAATATTGCTACTACCTCTGGCTTATACTAAGTCGTATTACCGCAGATTCTGGCAAAAATCAAAATGCTCACAGGTATCGTAGAAGTCGGTCTGTTCTGCGATATGGCTCAAGCCGCGTACTTTGGTAACGAGGTCAGCAAAGGAGTATCTCGCTTATTCATATTTCTGACGTCACAATCTGGCAGGATGGCAGCGTGACCGTGAAGAGCAAGATAGAGTCCAAGGTTGTCGAGGAATCAATCCTTCCTTCTTGATGGCGGTGCGCATGCCAATATTTTCAAAATATCAATTTGTAACCACGGAATGGATATGTGGAGCGGGCTTAAAAATATAGACGGATCTATCTTACACAAGCATTACCATGATGCTCTTGCACACAAGCTCGAGAGATGAATTAAGTGCCTCTCATACCAGTCGGCATTGAGTCAACGAGGTCCCATGCTCTCCCCCAGTACCAGGATTAGATCATGCAGTAGGTGTACATATGTTAACGCAGCGAGTCAGCGACGAGATGGCTCTTACTTGTGTTCCACCCGCCAACTGGATCCCTCGAGACTGGCAAGCACGAGCGGACATATATTCCGTGTTAAATTACATCTCTGCAAGACATTCACAGGCAAATTATAACAAGCCCTCGACCAATTAGCTTGCGCGCACGTAAGCCAAATGAGTTTACCTTACGATTCCGAAATAAGTTGGTTTTTTTGTTTTATCGACCTTACGGTTGTCGTTGCGTAAGTTACATACGCGGGCCCTTTGCTAATCCTAATCCGTCCACAGCCGCGTCGGCTAAACGTCGGGGTCTTTCCTGCTGCCGTATTTGATCCGTTCAGGGACTTGCGTTTCCTCCCCGTTCGGGGGCCAATCTATCTCGGAATCGTAACAGGGAGCCGCATACTCGTTCTGATCGTGATTAATGTTACTCGGTACACTACTTACATAGAACACGACGATATTCGTCACATTGGTTTCTCCCAGAGCCATGGTCAAAGATTCCTCACAATACTCTCCCGTTCATGATTTTGACGACGATGACCATGAGGAAAAACCATGTGGCGATGCAGAAAGGTGCGGGGCAGAACCTCGTCCCAAGTCGCGTATCCTTCGCCTGTGGCCTTGGTTGAGCCATAGTACACTTATTTGCACATCGATACTCTTTTTCACGCTATGGATGGGCACGCCTTCGGCTCGCCTGCACGACGATATTCCAATATACTGTAAGTGGACAGGCAGCGTTGAACGGTGAACATATAGTAATCCTATCCATCGCAGCTCCGGCAAATGTTGCTGTCGAGCCCATAGTTGTAAGGTTTAACGGAACCCTTGACTTTCCTTCTATCTATCGTGGCCCTCCTTCCCCAGAAATCGATACTGCCTGGGCTAGAATATCTGATGGTGGTGCGTCGTTCGATTTGTCCCGTTATGCTAGTCGGTCATCGTTAGCTCCTTGAAACCCCAGTCCCAACGACTCGAATGACGCTTGAGGAGATGGTCAAAGCTGGTGAAGTGGTTCCACCCTCCAAAGTCAAATATCCGGACAATTTTGGTGGAGGTTTATTGGTCTCCTTGGAATCCACCCACCAACTGCATTGTCTGGCAAGCTATACAATTACGAGAGTCTGGTCATTCTTGACTAACAGTTCTGTAGAACTTGCTTCGCAAAGCCACTTGGTTTGAGTATTACGGGCCAATAGAACCTTCGTTCCAGAATCCCCCCGAAATACTCCGTATGCATCTTGGTAAATACTCATGTTGACTTGAAGTACCCCTGCTTATAATACCATTACGCTTCAGATCACTGCATCGAAATGATGAGGCAGAATATCATGTGCAATGCCGACGTGACGATGATCACATGGGACTGGGTGGAAGGACACAAGAGCCCCTACCCCAACTTCAACACCCGGCATCAGTGCAGGAATTTTGAAAAGATCTTGGATTGGGATAACAAGCATGCTGTTCATATCAGTAAATCAGAGTTCTCTCGACTCGAAGACACGGTTGATATCGCCTCACCCTTTCCAATCTGATGCACTATGATGTATAAGGAATATTGCACTGCCTACTATTCACTATATACATAACTTACGAGGACGGCGATATCGATGATTGAGCTTGGCAGAATTATTGTATCATTGATTATAAGTATGGGACTCATGTAAATTGAAAATATTGCTGTCTTAGACTTCCTAGGGCAATACTTCCAATGACAATAAATAGGATTTCCTTTTTCAAAAATATCGCCTCAGCTGGGGGTGATCATGAGATTCGTGGAGTACTGTGCAGAATGCACTGAGTCGTGGATCAGAGAACTTGACGAGGAGGGAAGGTTTCACTATGGCATAATGATCTTACTAGTAAGTACTTGGCTGACTCTACATAGCCTCCCCTGGCCAAGGCTTATAAATTAGCCTGGTGACCAGCCCGTCTATCAGCTTCTCGTTTGAAGTCTGATAGATGTCCGAGCACAACCAGCTCAGTAACCAGCTCCTTCACTTATATTGGCATTCGAGGCAAGGTCAACTTTCAAACACGTTCCGACATGTTCACCTTCCACCGTGACAATGTGACCATCTCGGACAAGCAAATATGTCCTTAGAGCTTGACATCGGGCACGGGCATGGTATATTTCTCGCTATGAGGCAGGCTTGCAAGGACCCAGGCTTTCAGCTGACTCGGCGAGGTTCGGAAGTAAGCCAAGGATAGTCTATAGGCTAGCCATGTCACTACCAAGTAACTGATCGGTGGTGACCAAATGTCCAATTTATTCAAGCTACAGCCTGTACAAGGAATGGAAGATCGGAGCTAAAAGCCTTGCATGTCTGGGCATCTAATGACCACTAAGAATTCCTCCAGTAAGCCCACCTCGACTTGGCACCACAAACCTCAACCAGAACGGCAGCAGAACGGCAATGTATTTCATAATTCTACGCATCAAACCCGTTCGGGCGTTTAGAGGGGCAGTTCCGGTCTTCCTGGACCTGACGGTGGTATGTGCATTAGGTCGAAAATAGGGGCCCGACTCAGGGGCATACATAAGAACAAGTAGACTTCAGCAGTTCCAGATCTAAAGCCTCAACTATTATGACAATAAGAAAATATACCTTATTATACAGGCTGACGTCAAAAATCAAGTCCCCATGGATCGTATCGTAAGGAAGAAACGAAAGTGGTGGAAGAAACGTGGAGGGGTGCAGAGAGGGATAGAATACGTTATAAGTCAAATACCAGCCTTCGGGGTTATTGAACGTCTTTCGCAGGAGCTAGCATCGATGGGTCGTGTGTCGGTGCATTGGAATCTGACGTACCCTCTCCGCCAGCTGTTGTACCTTCTGCGGAAGTAGAACCACCCTCTCCAACAACACCACCTGCCTCATCTTCGCTCTTACCCCACGACAAGCTAGACATACTCATCCCATAACTGCCTCCGCTCGTAGAAGCATCCGATCTCTCGCTCATCCGGCTAGGCACACGCCCTACGTCCTCTTTCCCACTCATCCCGCCCCCCATAGCACTCTTGCGTCCATCCGATCGAAGACTCCCTCGACTAGGCACGCGCAGGCTTTCAGGCCGCTTTAGAATCGCATCTGCCAATATACTATTCTGCCATATGTCCTCTTGGTCCTCTTCTGCTTCGCTGATAACGATGCCTTCGCCAATGTTCTCCTCAGTAGAGGAAGATTCGGAACCGCGTCGTCGTCGCCTTCCACGCGATGGCGATGACCCTACTGAAGAAGATGTATCGGGGGTATACTGATCTTTTCCTCCGCCTGCACTTCCGTTCCTCACGTTGCTTCCCGGACTCATGGTCATTCTGAGACCCGAGAAAAATAAGGGCGACATTCCTGTACCGCCATAAGCGCCTGGAAAGCCGGGGTATGGGTGGTAGGATGATGCAAGAAGTGCTTGAACGTGTGCGGGTGGATTGTGGCTGAAAGTTGGGGGAAGGCTGTTGTGCGAGAGATTGGGGCTGTGAGGATGCAGGCGTGGGGAAGGGGATGTGGGAGATGAGAAAGATGAGGAGGACTGTGCGGGAGATTGTGCTTGAGCTTGCGCCTGGGTTTGCAAGGTTGTAAGAACGGAATATGCGGCCTGAAGCTGCTGCATGAGATGATGGACTTGGGCTTGTAGCTGGGGATCATGGTGAGTATATGATAATGACGAAGACCGTCACACGACGGGACGCTCAGGGAAGAGTGAATACTCACCTCGGCTTCTCTCCTCCTCCAAGCCATTGCATCCTCATTCCATCGCCACTTTAACTCTTCGTTCTCTTTTCCCAAGTGTTCGGCCTCTGCACGGGCCTTCTCTTCTCGTAGTCTCGCAGCCTCAAGTGCACCACGCATGGACGCGAGCTGTGTTTGAGCACTCAATGGGCCAGCAGGCGAACCTATGTGTGCAGTATGAACAAATACCCCTGGTGGGGGCGTCGAGCCTCGCGAAGCACTTGGTATTGGGGGGCCAGCCGCTTTCTTTCCGTTCATGATTGGACTTTCAATTGTGTTCAAATGGGTATGTGTGTGATCATTAGGAGACGCCTGAAGAGGGTTCAAAGTGGGAAATGTAAAATGTGGAAGTGTTGGCGAAGGAGCAGGTTGTGGGGAAGTGCCGGAGGGAGATGGCGGTAGTCCAATAGTCGATCCCGGATTTGGGTACAAGGGGGAACTGGATGCGGATGCAGAGTTGGATACCGTGATTCGTGCCGGAGGAATGGAGTGAGAGGCTGATGAGGATGCCAAGAGGGTACTGTGCGAGATAGAGGTCAAAATCGCGCAACTCCCATTGGACTTATCAGCTCCACGCTGCTTAGGCGTTAACCGTGGAGGCTTAGTGAGAGCGTCTGCTGTGTATGCCTGTGATTGTCCATCCCAATCCAACGCGTGGGTAGATGTGGATGCGTGGAGTGGCATAGACTGAGATTGAGAGTAGGAAGTGAATGAGGATACACGTTCATGACTATCATGGTCTTCTGACAATGGCGCTGTGGAGGTGGTTGGAGAAGATAATTCTGGAATGGAGGGAGCGGGATCATGGTGACAGGGGCTGCTGGCAGGTTGTACATTGTCGACCGTGCCATGCAGCTGCGTATGCTCAGAACGTGAAGTGCGCATGGCGGAGTTATGGGACGTGACTGTATTGTGACGCGAAACGGATGCTGGTTCAGAACTGGATGCCGTCATGCAAGCAGGTAGGGAACGGTCCTCATGTGGTTCACCCGCCGGGGGTGATTCTGCGCTCAGAGGGGATACCAGATGTTCTTCAGGGAGATCCGAAGCAGGTGAAGCTAAAGACGAAGTGGATGGCGCGACTGGCACGATATTATCGCTACTTGAGGAGGATTTGGACTCCATCTCAAGAGCCGGTGATTCGCTACGACTGTGAGCGGGTAGTCTAGACTGAGTGGCCTTTGGGGTAGACTTTGTCTTCTTCCCGCCCTTAATAATCTCCTTATACGGGACTTTTCCTCTTCTGCGTCGCTCCTTGGACCGGGAAGCCTTCTGCTCGAGCTCTGTGGTGGCTGAAGTGGCTGCTTCCGGAGTGCCCAGTTTCTCTGGGACAGTCATATCGAACTCACCAGGAGTACTGTGACTAGCAATATGAAAAGTTGAAAGAGCGGCGGTGAGTATGGAATGAGCTTGCTGGGAGTCGGGATTGTCGTTCACGGGATAGTTGTCCACGTACTTTGCCCGCCAGAGCAAGATGGAGGCAACAGCGAGGGCGAGTGAAGAGAAGGTGAGAAAGAAGAGTCTGTTGTCGTCAGCGAGCAGCCAGTTGTGTGCTTGCTCTCGCTCACCATCGTCCATAACGACGACGAACAACAAAGTGTCCAAGTCCTACAACTTCACCACAAACTTTCTCATTTTCAGTCTCCGATTACGGTATATAAATAATACTACTCCATTTTATTATTATCTCGTGTCCTCCCCCATATACTACTTACACGTATCCTGCCGCCGCCCCCAATTCTACTTGCATGCATACCTACTCAACGTTATCGATCGATATCCGCATTATTATCGCACTTGTGCGGCAGCAAGCAAGTCCGAAATCGCACGGTGATTGTCCTGGAGATCTCCCAGCCTATTATGGAAAGTACTCGGAAAGTTTAAAGCTTAACTGTCTTCTTCAGGTCAAAACAGAAGCTTTAAAGGCTTCAAAGCCGTCATATGGTCACCTGGAAGAATTGAACATGGCCCTCGAGCATCTGACTACTTTGCTCATGCGTTACCTACATAGCATATGGCACATCAATGTACCAAGCGGAAATGCCTAACTACTGGATCACATGCGGAGCGGAAACAAACTGGCCCACGAGTCCACCTTGGTGCTTCTACCTCATGTCTCCAAGGTTTCGTATGGTTGCTGCATCGCTGATACGTTAACCCCGTCGCTACTATGAAGTTGAATGCTCCCCTCAGGGCCCTCATGCTTGTGAATTACGGTGCCGATATCGTCCCACCTTTCAAGCACGAGGGCGTCACGTGTTAAGAACCTCCAAGCGTTTTCTATGGATATCGACCTCTCAAGTTGTTTATCTCAATGAGGCTTGAGCATCCTATCGTACTTTGGCAGCCCCGATGACTCGCTGAATTGCTTTACCTCTTTAACGCAGACAGAGTATCGTGGAACATGACGGTTATGATCGCGACTCACATTAGTCGTGGTATCTCATGGCTAAGCTCTACCGGATCCTAGAATCTCTTGCATCTGACCTCATGGTTTATGTACATGTTACATACATCGTGCATGCATTGAACTTTCCTAATTAACACCGAAAGTTTCTCAGGTTATGACGATCCTGACTGCGAGGTGACCACCAGGTGCGTACTTTTGGGGCTAGCATCGAGAAATTCCCCGAGTGCATACCAGCCGAGCATGGGGACCACTCTGGAATGGAAGTCAGGTGTCCTTGGTTGCTTATCAAGCCAGTTTACTCATGTTCCTTGTGGTTTGCAGGGATTCGCAGTGCCTCGTCACTGGCACTACTTTCACATCTGGTGGTTTTGATGGGAGGATGCGCTGAGCGTCTCAAGTACATAACCTTCGTATTCCACCACCCGACTGGGACTAGATGCTATCTAGTTCCCGTGGGTCAGTAAACCGTTGGGAGAGACTCGTCATGACATTCGAAGATTACAAGGAAGTCTGATCACAAGCCCAGATTATGATTTTATCCTCGATAGCGACATGAACTGTCAGGTAGATACCGTTTCATCATCTTTAACGTTCCTTTTGTTGAATATTACCTGTCTCTTTCTGATACGGTACGAACCTGATTGTGAGCTGTGATACATGAAGTCTGCGTGGATGCTGGTTTTTTTTCCATTACAACTCGCAATCAGGTTTGGATTTGTACTGTGCCTTGGTCTGAAAAGTGGCGAAATGCCATCCCGAGAATCTGTCAGAACTTTGCTAGGGCACGACGACGTGTGCCCACGCCACTCGGTTGGGTATATAATTCATAATGAAAAAACCCGCATCATGAACAATCGCGCTTGATACGCTTAAGGACCGCCAAGGCAATGATTTTATCACCATCGGCTAAGTAGTGGTAGGGATGAAGATAACTCGTTGTCGTCAAATGATGAGCCATAGATTGCATGGGCTAAACAACGAGTGAAGGGTTTGGGTAACACTATGTAAATAATTATTGCGAGTACATATTATTGCGATGGGATGTTTAGTGCGACGAAGAACTTGATGCCCCGCCTGCCTCTTCCTTCTGAGCTTGTTGCGCCAGTAACCGCCTTGGGATTAATAATAAGGCAAGGGCATTTGACTACAAGGATAGAGACCCACTGTCTGGCAGCCAATATCATCTGTGCTTTCCTCTCCTGCAAACTGGCCTCGCGCTTCTCTGACGTGTCCTCCCAGTTCGCTTTGCCAAAGGCAAGATCGTCATCCGGTGATAAAGTAGAAGTCGTCACTCTGTCTTGTAGCTTGTAACGAGCTATAAGGTTCTCTTTCGGGGTCGGTGCTAAACCTGTTGTCTGTCCTTGGGGAACTTGCCGCGCTTGTGGAGGAGCCTCTGTGCGAGGATAAACAGTGAAATATGCTGGAGGAGGCTATAAAAGAGAATACTCGAATACATGGAATTGATATCGTGTGAGATATGGCCGCACCGCATCAAGATATCCACGCTCTAGGATTTTATTCGAGGTGATCTCGACGCTCCCCGTCCTTAGCAAGTCGTAGCGGATATTATCTCTATGACATAATCATTGAAGAATTCTGCAGTTGATATGAATGAACATACTGTGGTATGGTCGGAAACATGGAATGTATCTGGTCGACCTGCGGGGAGGGATTCAGCATGATAATTCAGCATAAGAGTTCCAGCTTAACCATTTCCTGCGTCACATTCTTCGGCCTGAAGCCAAGAGTTGAAGACGCCGACCTCCTAGTATTGGAATGGTCGCTTGCTGTCGTAGGAACTCGTCAGCATATTAGATGACTCGATAACTCGTCACTTACATGAAGTCGCCCATCGGAAAATGATGACGATGACTGCAAAAGCGACGATAGCGTTTACGACCTCGCTCATTGAAAGAAACCACTAGAGTTGCCTGAAACTACTGACACGAATCTTTGAAACGGATTGAAGTGAAAGCTGGCACTGCCAGTAAGTGGCAGTGTTCGTTTTTCCATAGGATTCCGGACCGAACCGGCTAATATAACGCATCCTTTTCCACAGCAAAAAATAACTTGCAAGGCCGGATAAGTATATGTCAACAGCGGCTTGTAGTATCACAAGGATGCTGCGTGGACATCGGAACGGAAACACTGCCCAAAGCACTTCTCCGAATCTTGTCGTCATTGCTAACTGCAAGTAGTCCCTCCCCTCGATTTTGCGATGTATAAGCCGGAAACACACCGTCGTATTGCACTCCTCGTTTGCGACGTACCCGCGGATGCGATTCGGGAAAGGCATGGGGACTACACAAGGATTTTCGGAACCTTGCTGGAAGTATCACTCAAGCCCATAAACGAGACTCGTTCAGCTGGTTCGTTATGCATTTATAAATGACTCCGCGACGAGACTCAATTTCACATGACTAACACCCAGACTCACAAGCGACGTTCAAGCTTGAGCCTTTCGACGTGCGCGCGCAGGTTTATCCTAAAGATGTTGATGAATACGACGCAATACTAATCACTGGCTCTGGTGCGTTGACGACTAGATGCGTATGCATGTATATGAATTTGACTCCTAATATGTGCAGTATCTACCGCCCACGAATATGAACAACCAGGTAGAGAATGGATAAAAAAGTTGATTGAGTACGTGAGGGTTGTCGCGACAGAGAAACCGTGGATAAAGATATTCGGTCGGTGAATATATTTTATAAAATGTCTACAAGTACTGATACTGGTCTAACAGGCATATGCTTCGGACATCAGATCGTCGCGCTCGCTATGGGCGGGACATGTGTTCGGAATATGCGTTTCGAAGTGTCCGCAACAAAGCTGCAGCTAACTGAACTCGGAAAGAGAGTATACGGCGTCGAATCTGGCATTTTGGTTAGATTTTCTTTTTTTTTCCATTACTATCGTGCTCATGTTTCCATTCTCAAGAACATTCATTTGATGAATCGTGACCACGTTCCCAACGAGCCGCCATCATTCCATATTCTTAGTTCGTCTAACCAGTCACCAAATCATGGGATGGTCCTCTTTTCCGACTCAGAGTTCTCAGAGGATGCACCGCCCTCGAATTTTAGCCTGACCGACATCCATATTCTCACCAGTCAAGGTCACCCTGAATTCACGGAATCTATAATGCATCTACTACTCCGCATACGGCGAGAACTCCTGGGACCTGAGCTTGTCCGTGACGGTGAGAGCCGTGCAGGCAACCAGAACGATGGAGTCGCGGTGATTGGGAAGGCCATCTGGGGTGTTATGGGAGTAGAATGATGAATCTTTATTTTGGTGCCATCAGATGCAATAGAAGAAACATATCTCTCGAGATAAGTTGAGATCCATCGAGCCCGCGGGAAGCCTTTGATAGGTCATATCTCTGCTCGTCGCCCCCGACGGAGACAACATGACACGCTACCTGCTCGAACTTGCGTGCTAATGATGCTTTTCAGATATATCGGTGGTTCTTCGATCGACAGCTATAATATCTCTGCATAGTCATAACATTGCACTTCCGAGCCTTGTGGTGTAATCTTATCTGGACCCGTCCGAGTGCCCACGCTGGACTTGGTTGTTATCTCTTGCGGCACCATTCATCGAATTTGATCTTCGTGGTTGCGGCGTTCCGCTTGGGAGTGAGTTGAATACTGACACATTACACTGCGGCCGCTCGGCGCGTTCCGAAGCGACTATATTACTTTGCCGAGATATTTGCAGGTGCGAATTTGTGTTCCCACTTACGTCGGGGATCTCATTGACTGACTGCACGTACTTAGCTGGTCTTTGCGATGTATGAGCCGAGAACACATCGCCGTATCGTGCTCCTCGTTTGCGAGGTATTTGAGGATACGATTCAGGAAAAGCATGGAGAACTACCCAAGGATTTTTGAAACCTTCTTAGAGGAATCACTCAAGCCCATAAACGAGACTCGTTCAGCTGGTTCGTTGTGGGCCCATCCATTGAATGACTCTGCAGCGAAGCTCAATCTCGAATCACTGACCCAGACTCAAAAGCGACATTTACACTCGAGCCTTTCGACATGCGCGCGCAAGTTTACCCTAAAGAAAATGAATATGATGCAATACTAATCACTGGCTCTAGTGCGTTGTCATTACTTGAATTTCTGTATGCATGTTTACGAACCCTGCTCATAACATACGCAGCTGCTACTGCCCACGAATATGAACAACCAGGTAGAGAGTGGATCAAAAAACTGATTGAGTACGTGAGGTATGTCGCCACAGAGAAACCGCGGATAAAGATTTTCGGTCGATTATTTTATTTTATGACTCGTGTGTAAGCGCTGATATCGACAGCAACAGGCGTATGCTTCGGACATCAGATCATTGCGCTTGCGATGGGCGGGACATGTGTTCGCAAACCGCATTTCGAAGTTTCTGCAACAAAACTGCACCTAACCGAGCTCGGCCAGAGAGTATATAGTGTCAAATCCGACGTTTTGGTTAGAGTTCCTCGTTTTCCATTAGCTATCGTGCTCATGTTTTCATGCTCAAGAACCTTCAAGTGATGAATCATGACCATGTTCTTACTGAGCCGCCATCATTCCATATCCTTGCTTCGTCTAACCAGTCGCCAGTCCATGGAATGGTTTTCTTTTCCCAATCAGAGTCATCCGAGGACACACCGCCCTTGAATTTCAGCCTCACCAACATCCATATTCTCACCAGCCAAGGTCACCCCGAATTTACGGGGTCCATGATGCATTCACTCCTCCGTTTGTGGCGAGAACTCCTGGGCCCTGGGCTTGTCCATGACGGCGAGTCTCGTGCAGGCAACCAGAATGATGGAGTCACAGTCGTTAGGAAGGCCATATTGAGGGTGTTATGGGAGCAGGATGACTGACTTTCCATTGAGATTTATCAAGTGTGACAGACATTGTCCAGAAACTTATATCTCAAAATAAGTTAACATATCTGCTCATCACCCATACGTGGCCCCGGCGGAGACAACATGTCATGCTGCCTGCTCGAATTTACGTGCTATGTTTTTCAGATGTATTAGTCGTCCTTCGAGTTGACGATCAACGACTAATTGTCTCTGGTGTCTCCAACTTTCTTGCACAAAACTCGACATTGATGATTTTGCGGTCTTTGCTGATCTCTCAGGTGTAGTGGTTCACTCTTTCCTGGACCGGTCCGAGTGCCCATGGTAGTTTCGATACCTGTTACTTATCTCTTGCGGCACCGTTTGCCGTAGCTTATCTTCGCGGTTGTGTCGTTCTACTCGGGAGCGAATTGTATACCGACACCTATTGTCATTTATGCTCCATCCGGTGCTTTCCGAAGTGACTGCATAGTGATTTGCAGAGATTGGGCATAGAGGTGAGTATTTGCCTTCCCACTTGAACGTAGGAGTCGGTGATCTTATCTGCCAGTGACAACGCATAGTCTCCTGAGTCCTGACCATTGTGATGTGTGAGCCGAGAACATATCGCCGTATCGCACTCCTTATATGCGACGAGCCAGTGGATGCGATTCGGGAAAAGCATGGAGACTATACAAGGATTTTTGGTACCTTGCTAGAAGAATCACTCAAGCCCATCAATCACACTCGTTCAGCTGGTTCGTCGTACATCTCTAAAAGGACTCTGCAGGTTTAATATCATACTGACACAGACTCGCAAATGACCTTCACGCTCGAGCCTTTCCACGTGTACTCGCAGGTTTACCCTAAAGATGATGAATATGATGCAATGATAATCACCGAAGCTGGTGCGTTGACATAGCTTAGATGTGCGTATGCAGATGTTTGAATTCTGTCCGTCACATGTGCAGCTGCTACTGCCTACGAATATGAATTGCCGGGTAGAGAAGTGGATCAAAAAACTGATTGAGTACGTGAGGTATGTTGCCACAGAAAAACAGCGGATAAAGATTTTTGGTCGGTAGATGTATATTATGATACGTCTGCGGCACTGATACCGGCCTCAATAGGAGTATGCTTTGGACATCAGGTCATCGCGCTTGCCAGTGGGTGGGACATGTGTTCGCAACACGCGTGAAGTTTCTGCAACAAAGCTGCAACTAAACGAGCTCGGAAAGAGAGTATACGGCGTCGAATCTGGCGTTTTGGTTGGAGTTTCTCATCTTCCACTGTCATCGTACTCATATTTTCATTCTCAAGAATCTTCATTTGATGAATCGTGACTACGTTCCCATCGAACCGCCATCATTCCATATCATTGTTTCGTCTAAGCATTCACCGAATCATGGGATGGTCCGCTTTTCTCAGCCAGAATCCCCCAGAGATGGACCACCCTTGAATTTCCGCCTGACGGACATTCATATACTCACCAGCCAAGGCCATCCTGAATTCACGGAGTCTATAATGCGTATGCTCCTCAACGCACGGCGAGAACTCCTGGGCACTGAAGTCGTCGATGACGGCCAGAGTCGTGCGGGTAACCAGAATGATGGAGTTGCGGTCGTTGGAAAGGCAATATGGGGTATGATGGGAGTAGAATGACCCATTTTTATTTCGGAGCCACACTGGCTAGGTGTAACAGAATATATCAAGATAACTCGGTCGCAGCTTGTGAATGAGTTGTGATTCATCGGGCCAACGCAAGTTTGGGATTCTTTGCAACGATTACTAGGTTCAATGTTGTACTATTTATTTAGACTTAACTTCGTCAGAGTCAGTTTCCAGACTTCCGCGACTTTTCGTGCAAGTGGAGTGGGCTGGAAACATATGTCTCAGACACGTCAATACTGATGATTCTCAACAATCTGCCACGAGCACCTATAATTTCGGATCCTACATCTTATTTCAAAATCCAAATCCACCATCGTGTACTACTCGGATCAAACTCTGAGCTTATCTGATTCACTCTAACGAGATGCTGACATACTTTCCTTGCACATTCCTCAGGCTCTTACACAATTCCCTATCATGATGATCTCCTTGTTTCAAGCATCGGGATGAAAGAAAGATACTGTTCCGTGTACCAGGCGTGGCACCAATAAAATCTCTGCGCGTACCAAACGACCATACAGCGACTTACCACGACAGCTCTAGCTTGAGCATAGGGTTTTGCGAGAGTCAAGCCTTCCGCGGTCAAGTTTGTTGTTGAAAATGCGGTCGTTATTTCTTATTCGGCTTCCTGAATCATTCAGTATTGGTCTGTGAACATGTGAAGTCGCCCATTAACGTGTTAGCGATATCCCACCCGCGAACAAGCCAACCAGAATTCACTACCCCCTTCTTCGCACCACCCCAATGGACCAAGGTCGCACTCCGCGCATATTAACAACTTGAGCGATTTTGCTGCAACTGCTAGTGATCTGGTTTTAGGAAAGAGGAATAGGGAACCAGTGTTGTACTGACCGTCTTGCCGGACAGGCCTCGTAAAACCAATGTTCTCAAATTCCATCATACTCGGAGTTACTAACCACCACTGGACAGTGGCAGGTGGTGTAGGCAATGCTGGAAGGTCTGGATGAAGAGGCTCTTTTGTGAGATCGAGCTAACGACATCGCTGAGTGGTGTCGATTGTATGCATTAATCAGAAACGAGTCGGACCTCAACGCTAGCACTTTCTACCCATTGGCCAACACCCGCTTTCAAGATGATGCTACCACACCCACTACGGGGACAGAGAAGGTCGAATTTGTGTGTCAATGCTCCTGGATCTGTATCTTGTGATCTAACGACCGCAAGTACACCTTGATCGAAATCAGAGAGTTTGCGTATCGTGAAGCGGTTTCCGTTATTCGATGGGCGTTGTAATGCTTCCAGGGCACCAGGAGGCAGAGACTGATGCGAAATTTCCGACATGATGGGCGTGTCAAGCTCTTGCAATGAAGATTGTAAGGGTTGATAGAAAGGTAGTTCAAGCGAAAGCTGAAATCCTTAGTGTCACCTGATCATCATTATGGTCAGATAAGATAAGATAAGATCCATTTCAATTCGCCAATATACCTGGAAAGGTGCACGATATCTCCTGCTAGGGCAGCTGCGCTTCTTGCGACTTGTGTTTCTACTCTGTAAAGCGGGATATGGGTCAATATAGTCACTTGACAAGTCGCGTTTTTCTTTCACGTGATACGACATGTGACTCGTAGCTCACGCCTACGAGCTACCCAAAGTTGCCCAACCCTGTGCGAAGATTTCTCGTATAGACCAAGATACAAGAATCAAATATTGATATCAACACCTCTGAACTTCTACTTTTTCAGCTCCTGTTCTGTATTCACCCACCCCACTTGAGAGGCCTTGGAGTCTCACCCCGTGTACACAGACTATGTCTGCTGCGAAGCTAACATCTCTTGCTACCTCAACACTTTCTCTCCTGCTTGAACGACAGCGCCTCCAAGCTTCCCATCCCACTCTACATCTGCAACCAATATCAACTAATTTACATAAGATTAGGGAGGGTGTCATAATTCTCCGCACGGCATCTGATGATGAAGCTGCGGAAACTCTCGGAGCACACTATGAACGACTGCGTGGTATGTTGGGGGAAGAAGAAGCAGAGAAGGCTGGACTGCATCCGTATGTTGTGCTTTTGTGACCGCAAGTGTGTGCTCAAATCTCATGCCAGAATACCCGCTCCGATGCCACCGTCACCCCCACCTTTAGCAGAACGTGTTCCCAGCCCTGAGGCAACTTACGAACCATACACTGACGATCCTTCGCCGGAGCCAGATGAAAATGGCATTTTACTGCAACAGAGACAGATGATGGACGGTAAGCTCACCACCAAAACCTTGTTTGTGATACCTAACATCCCATTCCACTAGCGCAAGACGTTCACCTTGACCACCTCTCTTCTTCAATTGGTCGACAGCATCACATATCACTCCAGATAGGTGACGAGCTCGAGGTACATACAGGACTCCTCGATGCCCTAGACACTGAGCTCGACGGTACCGGTGCCCGCATGTCCAATGCGAGGCGCAAACTTGAACGTGTCGCTCAGGGCGCGAAACGAAATGGTAGCTCCTATCATTGATGACCTCTGGACGTCAATTTTGCTCATTTCTCGGGTTTAGGCTCCACAGTCACGATTGCGCTCCTCATACTAATACTTCTGATCCTTATTGTAGTGTTCAAGACCTGATGAGAGCCGTATTCATGTATTGTGCACATCCTACGGTAAGACTTGGAAGGGACTTTCAATCTGCTGGCATTACGATACCTTAGTGTCGATTTTTTATTCCTCGCTCAGACTTGCGTGCTGACGGACGCTGAGGGAGCAGCTTCCCCTGAATATACTCTAAACATGTCCGATTTGATTTGTCCAGGGTAGCTGCAAAATGCAGTTGCTCGTTATAAGCTCCAGCAAGAGACTCCAGGCGGTATGTGGTGTCTATAATCTCAGGGGAGTGATATTTTGAGTTCAGTATCCCGCGAAGACCTAACCCTAATCCTTCATGCGGGTCTCGCTAATTTGCGAAGCAAGGTCAATGCCAGCCGCAGGTGTATTCTGTCTCTGGGAACAAATAACGATAACTTTCCCCTGCATAGTATTTACATGAAGCTGACGGACTGTTCAAAGTACGAAGTTAGTCCCGAATCGATTCCGCATGGTGTCATGCTTTCCACCAAGCTACGAGATAAGTACATGCATTCCATATCAAGGAGTAACACCTTGCTCTAAATGCGACCCTTCGAGAATGAGAACCTCATCGAGGAGTACTTGAAATTGATCGTTGAGAACCTCGATGCTGGTCTGCGAACCTGAGGAAGACGGAAAATCCAGGAGTTCACCACGCGCTCGGAGCTACCTAAGGTAGACAGCAACGGGCTCTACGGCACGCAAGGCGCGGTTATCCTGTTCCAGATGGTGGTAGACGCCGCCAAGCTGGAAGACGAGTTAGCTGTTGATTCCTTTATGAGCTCGATGCGGGTGTAAATCTTCCGCAGCTCGTGAATCGTGATGGCTCCCGCTAGAATTAGTGAATATCTCGACGCCATCGAGTCTCCCATTAAGATATGCGGGCTTGAAGCAGAATATGAATGGCAGTACTCGTGCGAGATGGAGACTCGTACTTTGCTGAAGCCTGGCGTGAAGGACTCTTCTCAGAGGTCGACACCTAAATTTACTACACACTAATGCTCGGGAGGAAATGGTTTCCCTAATGCCAGTGCTTCATTGATAGAGAGACTGAGAGAGTAAAGTACCACATTTCGCGGTAGTGACCACTGGCGGCTGGCCATCATTAGCGAGCCACACCTTAAGGCGAATGAGTAGGATCGCACGCTAGCTGTCATGTCGTAAGTATGAGATCAAATTGGTCCCCATGATGAGGACCCCTCCAACCATCATGTGGACCAAGTTGTGAACCATGGACCACTGAAGTGCACCTCTTATAACCGCGAGCGGTGTTCTCTTAAGCTTGAATCGGTTAGCAACAATATTGTTGGTTCAAATTTCGGAACGGCTGCCAGCACGTGATAATTTCTTCACTTACATACCCGTAGCGCTAAGCGAGGTGTTTGCGAGCGAGTCACTGGCTCGTGCGCTCGTGTCAGTCCCCAACTAGATATCCGGCGCGGCGGCACCCCCTCGCATTCAGTGGCTAACTCGGTTGCTTCCAGTGCGTTCTTTGCCAGATCTGTATGGTACCAATGATTGGATGCATTCGCCCACATCAATGTTTCATCAATGTTTGGACCCGTCGAAAAACTATCGTTTTACGATCCCTGACATTCCCTGTTTGGTATAGTCTCAGGTGAACTGAATTGATTTCTAACACTTAAACTGCGCGAAATTTCAGCCGCTTTTGCTGATGGGCCAGTACTTAGTACTAATCTGCTCTAGCCCTTCCTCGTACTAGATCCGGGTTGCCACGGCCAATCCGCTCTCATGAGATCCGATTGGGCTTGAGTTTTTATTTATTCAAAACATCCAAGTTTATGTCCTAGAGAGCTATACTCTATGAAGGACATTACACAATCTAGTGGGCTTGAGTTAACCTGCGAGGACTTACGCAATTGTTACAGCAAAATAATTGAAGTTTATGCCAACCAAAGCGCTGCCAAGGGTGGTTCCCAGCACCATCGCGTTCAGTGGCAAACTGAATTACTTTCGGTGCGTTCCCCGCTTCTGTACCATTAGCCTGCTACTTACCCATAACGACCTTTCTTCAAGCAGCTTTTGAATTGTTACAGCGAGAGAGCTCTGAACCTACCGATACTATCGTCCGAATAACAAGTTCAATCCCGTCCGAAATTATGTATAACTTCTTGCGGACGCTTTACGAGCGAGCCATGATACTTATGATATGATGGCGCAGGGGTCCTTCTTCGCTCCAGATACGCAATTGTTACAGCGAGAGACGGAAATTGAACTTTGTGCTAACCGAAGTGCTGCCACGCCGGGTGCCGCATCATGCTTGCATGGGCTCATAGCGAATTATCTGGCTACGCGTCCAGATATCCCAGCACCCTCGCAGTCAGTGGAAGACTGCGTTGTTTTCGGTGCGTTCCTTGCTTCTGTACCATTGGCCTAGCTTCAAGCAGCCTTTTTGAATCAGCGCGAGAGACCTCAGGGACTTCAAGATCATACAGTATCCGAATAACAAGCATAGAAATTATGCGACATGGAACTTTTGGGGCGCCAAGTAAGCGAACTGTCCTTCTCTTCGCTCCAATACGCAATTGTTACAGCACAAGAGTAGGAAATTGAATCTTGTGCCGACCAGTCAAGTTCAACACGGAGCCACGATTTCATATCTCCGGATATCCTGACCTGAGTTCTTACGATACATATTGTCCGTTCGTCTCCTGGCAAGGTCAGGTGATCTGAGGCACAAGAAGGTATATAATCCCTACCCTGATGAGGTCTGTCGAACATCGACACGGTAGACATTCCTCTCGATTACAACTTGAACCATGCAGCTCTCCCTTGTTTTCAGCACACTCGTGTCCTTTGTTGCTCTTGCTGCAGCTTATCCTGCACCCAACGTTGAGGCGGGACGTGCTTGTGAGTACTTGTGCACCGTCACTCGAATCAGCGAGACTGATGTGCCACGCAGCTTTGGACGCGCGCGGAGAACAAGACAGCAACTTGTTCAAATACGACGCATATGATCAGAAGCGTTGTAAGTTCTTATGTACTGTCACTCGAATCAGCGAGACTGATACATATGCTACGCAGCGTTGAACACTCGCGGAGAACAAGACAGCGACCTGTTCGCATACGACTATAAACCACCTAACGAGCGCTGTAAGTTTTCATGCACTGTCACTCGAAGCAGCGAGACTGATATGTGACGCAGCGTTGGACACTCGCGCAGAACAAGACAGCGACCTGTTCGCATACGACTATAAACCACCTAACGAGCGCTGTAAGTTTTCATGCACTGTCACTCGAAGCAGCGAGACTGATATGTCACGCAGCGTTGGACACTCGCGGAGAACAAGACAGTGACCTGTTCGCATACGATTATAAACCACCTAGCGAGCGCTGTAAGTTTTCATGCACTATCACTCGAAGCAGCGAGACTGATATGTCACACAGCGTTGGACACTCGCGGAGAACAAGACAGTGACCTGTTCGCATATGACTATAAACCACCTAACGAGCGCTGTAAGTTCTTATGCACTGTCACTCGAATCAGCGAGACTGATACATATGCTACGCAGCGTTGAACACTCGCGGAGAACAAGACAGCGACCTGTTCGCATATGACTATAAACCACCTAGCGAGCGCTGTAAGTTGTCATGCACTGTCACTCGAAGCAGCGAGACTGATATGTCACGCAGCATTGGACACTCGCGGAGAACAAGACAGCGACCTGTTCGCATACGACTATAAACCACCTAGCGAGCGCTGTAAGTTTTTATGCACTGTCACTCGAATCAGCGAGACTAATGCTATGCAGCATTGTGAAATTGGGATGCGCCAGGAGTAATCATGTCTCTGGAAGAGGTGCTATTTTTCTCTCTCTAGTGTTTGAGTCTACTATCATCCTGATATATGACTTGATGCTTCTCAGCCTAGGATGAAGGCGGTGTCATCACAATGATGGTGTTTCAGTCTCGTTACGTTCTTTTAGTTTGCTGAATGCTGTTGTTATGCTTGGCGTGAATTTCACATCCCAGTTGTCTGCTCATATGACAGTGAAAGAACATAGCTAGTCCCTGCCAAATCGATATCACACAGCCACGTGACGCTCGAACGACAACAAAAATCTGATTCCACTTGGATCTGATAAAGGTAGAGATGATTTTGCATCGGTTGGTTGCAATAGACCTCTTGATGTATGTCCTGCACGCGAAACACTAACATGCTTTGAGTGACAAGTCTAGACTACTATGTCTTTGAGATGTTAAGAGCTTGATGTAACACTCGACTTGTCCGTGGTAGTATACGCTAGGCTGGTCACGAGCCTAAGCCCCTGGGACCTTTAGTGATACTGGATGCTGAAGAACTAACCAATCATGACCAGTCCGAAAAGCACTGTCCAAGACTCCCGGGGCTGATAAAGACTAACTAGAACATTGGGGCATATCATCACTTGGGCTAATCACTTCATATGTTAAGCGAGTTCAAGAGCAATCAATCAATGTCGATTTCCGCCTCCCCGAGCCCTCATTGCAGTACATCTACAAACGACTGCTCGAAGGCACTACATCGAGCAAGGAGATCAAGGAAGAAGTTGCGCTCAGGGAACACTCTGAAGGCATCTCAAGTCACTCTGTTTATGCATCCGCAACTTCAATGGCTTCGGATGGTGATATTCCCCTGGATGATGCAGATGTGGCACTTTTTCCCCTCGCGACATCAATTCAGTGACAGCAAGTTTTCCGCTTTGCTGGAACCATGCTGGATTACATGTTGGAGAGGGCGCAGGAAGTCGCACGGTCCCAGTCAGAGATGCTACGCATACCGTGCGTCCACTGGCCGGACAAGGCCTAAATCTGGGCCTCGGTAACGTTGCCGCTCTATCACGACGCATTTTACGAGTACTGACGCACAGCGGTGACATCGGTAAGACACTTTTCTCCACGACAAGAGCGTCAGGGGCGCTACTTCCAGAACCACAACGTGATGTCCGAGTCAGCTATCAACAACCTCTTGACTCGGTGAAAACCGCGTTGATGACGAACCTCTCATGTGCAGTACCAAGTTGTAACACCACCCCATGCTCTCCTCCATACTCAGCAATGGTGATGATAAATGCTGAGTGGATTCCGACTTAGCACCTGGTGCAAACGTTTGATACATAGATGAATAAACGGCAGATGTAATATAACCCACCCTTATTGTCTCATGAGGCGTTGATGTCGAACTCGGGCTCGTATTCTAGAACCTGCTGCAACAGAGTTGATACGTAGACGAATAAAAGGCAGACGCTAAACCCACTCCCACTTCCGCATAATGAGCCACGACGTATTGAGCTCATCGCGTTTCTGGCGTTCTCCATTATCTTGAAAGAAGTTCGTGTCAAGTTCCTCTTGCTTAGCTGAGTGATACATAGGATCTCAGTAACTACGATGCTGCTGATCCATCATGAATACTCACAAGGCACGGTTCGTAACATAGGACACGCCACAGCAAGAATCGTGATGGACGTGAGTGCGCTGGAGATAAGAAAAGACTGCATATTTGGGGTTAAACTTCGTTAATGCACTGCACTGAAAATTCGTATACTCTCGCTAATTTACTCGAGTCTGGACTTCCCAAAATACGAGACGATTCCACAGAGATCTGGCCCCCGGGCCAACTGGTACTCAGCTGGGAATTATTGCATACCGCTAACGTGAGTCAAGGATCAGTCTGCCATGTGCACCGACTCCTCATGCATAAAATAATATTGACATACGTGGCGGCTACTCCGAGTGGCTCACCCCGTACTGAATGCACATAACAACTACGTAGGTCGGTCGATCTGTGAGGTGCCAGAATGAGGATTAGCTGCAAGACATCGAGAGTATCAACGATTACAGTGATCCGTGGCAGAGTCGTGGCAGAGGTATCTGCTCAGTGTTGCACGGAAGCTCTATGACATCATCGTGCATGATGGAATTTGGGGACGCTAGTTAGCATCAAACAATCCCGGAAAATCTGGGCGTGGTTCCACTGAGGGCCGATATTTTACTCTGGAGCCGTAGGTTTGTGCAAGGCAATTGGAGTTTTCATTTTGTCGTAGCAAGTGCATGACAAGTCCGCAAAAAATCGATTTACTTGACATACAGGTGGGAAGGATCGGAAAAAAAATGCATGCTCGAATTTGAAGTGCGCCCACGATAGCTCTTGAAGCTTGCTGATTGAAACCTGTACTTCGCTCCCGATAGATGCGATTATTGACGAACTACCATCAACCAACCACTCAAAATAGGGAAGAAACCTTCTCACATCTTGGCTAGGTATCTGATCCGAATGTGGTAGGGTTACATGGCAACGGTAGAAATACCAACGCCATCGCATACTCAGTTGTAGACGTAGAGCCAGCTGGGGTGATTAGTACAAATCATCAATCAGCATGACGACTCTCAGGATCCCCCCTCTCTAAAGCATTGCATAGTACGTACTACGACGTATGTAATAGGTGGCAGCAGCAACCCTCGCCCTCTGGCATATTCCTGGAGTAAGCGGCCAACGATATCTGTCTTCAATGTTAGAGTAATATTGAACATGAGCCGTACCCGTGTACTGCTGTGACAATGACGTCTGCCGACATTCCTTGAGGATGTTCAGAACGACGGTGCATTCAGAGACTAGGAACTTGAAATGCTGCACGTCAAATTTGTATAGTGCAGTTCGCGTGAATCACTCCATGACGCATGACTATAACCCCGGCAGGTGACCAACAAAAGGACAGTACCCAGTGGGGCGCTGGAAGTTGAATAACTAATCATAATTAGTCAATAAGGCATATTTATGAAGGAGAGCTACGTAGCGTTCATCGTTGAAGTGTTTGTTCGAATACAGACTGCACAGCCGCCGCGCCTGCCAAGCGCCTGCAAACTCAACAGCACGTTACCTACGGCAGGTTTGCACCCATCCTCCAACTTCCATATATTCTCTCTGTCTGTTCTTTGCGTTGGCTGTTGACGGACGACTACGCAAAAAGTTGAGTCGCTCGCGTCTCAGTGTACAGTACTGAGCGTGAGCCAGCAAATCTCACTGGAGGCGCTTATCGAACATCTCACCAACGCACAGCAGAACACGAACGTCTTTCTTTTCTATCACTTCCGGTTCCTTTGATCCATCCTACAGTCACCCAACTCGATACCCTGTTACGCATTGAATTCAGTGTCCTATTGTGTCACCACAGTTTCAAAAATTATTCCCTCTTGCTGGATACCACTATGTCTCCACCTACGAGTTCGGCATCTTCATCTTCGATCGCTGGCCCGAGTGGTCAGAACCCGCATCCAATGCTGGAGAACAACGAAGAGAAGAATAGCGTAGTTATCAAAGTTGGGATGGTTGGAGATTCACAGATAGGCAAGACGAGTCTCATGGTCAAGTATGTAGAAGGCAGCTTTGATGAGGACTATATCCAGACACTTGGTGAGGACGTGTCATCTCTCGCATTGCGCTTTGCCATCCTAATGAAATGGACCACAGGTGTCAACTTCATGGAGAAAACGATCTCAGTACGGCGTACCACCATCACATTCTCAATATGGGATTTGGGCGGCCAGCGAGAGTTCGTCAACATGCTGCCGCTTGTCTGTAACGATGCAGTGGCGATTCTATTCATGTTCGATCTTTCTCGAAAATCAACGCTGAATTCGGTGAAGGAATGGTACCGTCAGGCTCGAGGATTTAACAAGGTTTGCTCATATTTCGTCGAATATTGTTCAACGACATTGCTTATTGCTGTGACTAGACTGCTATTCCATTTCTCATTGGCACGAAATTTGATACGTTTGCGACGTTCCCAAGGGACGAGCAGGAGGAGATCACCAAGCAGGTGCGTCTTCAGGCCATTTAGGTGGTGTGATCCCCTAACAAATTTGGTTAGGCAAAACGATTTGCTCGCGCGATGCACGCTTCGCTGGTCTTCTGCTCGACATCTGCTTCGATAAACGTCCAAAAGATCTTCAAAATTGTGCTAGCCAAGGCGTTTGATCTCAAATGTGTCATTCCCGAGATTGAAGGCGTCGGGGAACCGATTCTGATTTACGTGGATGTGTAATGATAGAATATCGACACGGGCGACTGGAGGCGCGGGATTGAAGGGGGTCTGCATGTACTGCGGGTACCAGGCGAGCAAAGGTAATGTGACGTCCTGTGGTTCTGAAGGAAATATGTTCATGTAAGCTGTTAGGCTGTGTGTCTGTGGGTGCGCTACATCTCCTGGAGTGTACCATTGTATCCCACATTGACTAGCAATCTCGATGCAGATGCCTTTACACACACGACGTACAGGTCATTCAACCTCCAGAAACTCGAGAATCCAGCCATACCCCCTTCCGTCTTCCCTGTTGTCTTTCCTTTTGATCAATCGTTCTATCTTATTACGTCAGTCACCAAAGTCACTGCTTCCCCCCACAATCCCCGGAAAATACCATTGTCATTTATGTTGTCGCTTGCTCCTATCCTTGGTCATTTCCGCAAGTCACCTTGTTTTCGGATCACACCATTCTCATTTTCATCCACCTACCTATTTACAGAACCAAACTCACTTGAATGGCTACCTCCTTACACTCGTTTAAGTCCTGGTATTTCCTGGAGGCGATGCCTTGTACTTTTGTTCTATGCTCAATACCACTCACCATGTTCTAATGCTTTCCGTATGGTAATTCGTTATTTAAATCCCCTCAATGCACCGCAGGATGGTTACCGAAACACTACGCAAAGTGGTTCATCACTATCATCAGTCAGCGATTAAGTCATCTGAGCGAGGTGGGAGTGCCTTACATGGATAAGAATTTGACTTGACGTGTTTTTACCTTTTCACTAGTACTATGTAGCAGGTAATCAATCTTGTCTCAGGTTCATCACTACTGCCCGCAAGATCTCTAAGGCGGCTGGTGAGGCTATAAGATGGGCCCGTCTCCGAGTCGGCCACGTTCCTCATCACCGTCGTGCAAGGCGGCTACCCTAGCATGCATCATGATGAAGAGTGCGCAATTACCCACTTGCTGATATCAACATTATGACCGCGTTTGAATCCTAACTCGAGCTTACTCGCTAGTCCTATTTTCACCGAACGACATCGATCTCTGACGTCTGTCAAACGCATACTCACACGGCTGTTCAACCTTATCCTCGCATGTATTCAGTTTGCCGAGGACTCGTCTATTTTACACTGTATAAACAGCTCACCAACTTGTTCTTAAATTTGTACAACCACAACACACGTTCTGAAGAGCTTGGATTCCTCCATGATACATATAGCCACTGTATGCAGGATATCGGGGCCATATCAACGCGGGCCAACGTTATTAAAAATATTAAATGGAGCAACATAAGTAACATACATGCCAGTAGCGCCAAAAGAAGAGAGATTATCGTTGTTGTGTGAGGCAAGTTTTGTATCAACAAGCGGTAATGTCTCGATGGCTGGATATAAGTTCCGTGGAAGTTTGGTTCTAGTCGCGGAACCAAGGGTGTTTATAGCAAATCAGCCGCTGTAGGACGGGCCATTGGTTCCCAGCGCAACATCTCCATCAGTGACATTTTCGTCGTCGGATCCATCATCTTTCTCAGTATCATTTTCATCGGCTTCCATGCTGCGTCGGGATCTATCTCTAAGTTGCCTGAAAAAATACACATCATCGATGCAATCGACGACTACGACGTAACTGTACCGTCAGTGTCTTCGAAAGGTTTCGGATTCCAGTGCGGCTTCCACCGTTCTGGCAATGGGCCGACGAGTTTCATCGTGTGATAGATAAGCGAGCCATCGTGGTAGCTGCCTGCTGAGATCATTTCATCTGAGAATGCTATCTCATATATCTAAGACGCAATCAAGTTGTCATTCCACCCTCAGTCAGAAGGAGGGACTCAGAGGAGACCTTACCGTGCAGGCCATCGACCAGACATCGCTAGGCAAGCCCCACTCATCCTTAACTTGGATAGCGAGTAGAACGTCAATTCAAGGGGCTGTATGACAGGCGGTATATCTGGATGCTTGAGGGGCCTCCCATCCTGTAACCGAAATGCTGGCATCCGACAGGTTTGTTGATAATTATGATACCAGAGATGTTGACGAACCGTTACCGAAATCCATCATCTTCACTATCGACTGCTCATTTAGCTTCTCCAAGAGTGGTTATACGAAAAATCCATGATCGACGCCACCGACACAAGCATGTCTGACCTCCCCATGAATTGCAACATTTGATCCTCTGTGTATTGGTAGATACCGGGTATTTTGAAATCGATGTTCCCAAAGTGTAAATCTGGACTCATCGGGCGGTCAATAATCTTAGAGCACATAACGCACTACTGCCGTCCACTTACCGCCGTGTACTACTGTTTCCTGCCGAAAATACGCTAGTCCCAACATGAACTGATGACAGACACTCGGCCAATTTCGTGAAAGACGGGTTCGGGGAGAAGAGAGTATACTAAAGATCCAAGTACGTCCATCACGAGCACTTGGTGCGTTCCGTTGGGACCCCGTATCTGAAAATCATCGTGTACTTGAACAATATGTTTGGCTCCGGGATGATCGCGAGGTCTAGTGCTCAGCCACTTTAGGACAGCGGATTCTCCCTTGTTCCCTGTAAGATCGGCAATGACTATTTTCAGCGCCACGCAGCGGCTGTGAGGACATTCAGAGCATGAACAGATTAATAAATCCACAGCCGGAGATATGTGTAAGTTAGGACTGACTTTGCTACAACATCTTTGGCGAGCCAGACAGTTGAGAACGATCCATATCCTAGCTTGTGGAGAATTCGGTACCTTGGGTCATCCCGCGTAGGAAAAGTGTCCCCTAAGTGTACCGGGTGATATCCGCCTGGCTTGTAACCCTCCACACCTTCCATGTCTTGGTTGAGCGGATCGATGAAGTAGAATTGGGACAGGACTTTCATTCGAACGTCCCTGGTGGACTCCCTTGGACTCTGAGCAAAAGTGAAATCCCCAATCTGGACAGATTTGCTTGCAGTTGGATGGAAACCTTATTTGAGTCGTTGACCCCAACCAAGGTCCAAGGAACGACTGACTTCCTTCTGTTGTGGTCTACCTAGGGCAGAATATCTAAGACCCGAATGGTAAGGCCACATCCTATAAAGCTATGAGAAATCAAGCTCGTTCCGAAGTTCGAGGGCAATTCATCCAAGGGTAGTTCAACTAAAGGCCATAATTAGCGCTCACCGAAAAACATTGATCCGGATGACGTTCTTGGTAAGTACTTGCGTCATACATCCGAGTCACTGGGCCGGGTGAACCCACAAAGCCACTTCAGCAGACTGCCCGTGGACGAGTACTGAGTCTTGTCAAAGACTCGGAGACGAAGGCAAGCCTGTCCGTGGATGGTTGTGCCAACTTTGTAGACGCTTCAAGCAAAGTTGCAAGGGCCCAGGGTTGTTTTGTCTATAACTTTAACGTATACAACATTAGTCACAACGAACATGAGCGACACTCTTAAAATCGTTCCTTTTTTCGGTCTGAGTTATACAAGTATCAACCTGCAGAACGATATGAACAATCTATGTACTATGTGGATATTTGCGAGACGTCTCACATGTCACAGGTCATCCAAGATCTTACAGTGATAGTAATCAAAAATACAGACGGATTGGCTCATACATACTATCATAGCGAGTTGTCCACGTTCAAGTGCAGACCAGCACGAAATACACCGCATAGGAAGATTGATAAACTGTTAAGCCACAATCTCCTATCACTGATTCGAATGAAAAGACGCAACCAAAGCAGACCAAACGAAGGCGAAAACGACAAGTGCATGCGAATATATAAATACAAAGCGGATTGGGACAAGAAAAAAACGTCCGAAAATCTTTCGAGAGCACGCCAGCGCACTGCAAATAATAAATGATGAGTGCGGGCACCTAACCCATTGCATGTCCGTAGTTGACGCTCTCGCTAAGGTGCTCGTTGGCGGGATTGTATGTGAATCCCTTAAACTGCTCTTGCACGGTAGATGAAAGAGCAGAGTCCTCGACAACGGAGTCTTGAGGGTGCTCGTTCGTGAAGTCCGGGTCGAAATTAGCCACGTCGAGTACGGATTCCTAATAAGAATATCTTGCGTCGGTATAACAAAGAGGAAAACAACCGCGGGTTACTCACAACACTTGGCTTAAATGGTGGCTGAATCTTTTTATGGAGGAGCCTAGTACAATTCATGAGTGACGCACATATGGTCGAAGAGTGTGATACGTGCCTGTTCCAATCAACATATTTGGCGAAGAAAGGATGACGCTTGATCTCTTCACCACCATTTGCTCCCAAACGTCGGGAAGGATCACGCTGAAGGAGACCGATCATGACGCTCCTGGCTTCTGATGGCATATCCGAGGGGAATTGAAGTGGGTCACTGAGGATGCGTTGGTACATCATGTTCACGTTCTCGTCATAGAAAGGGGGCAGTCCCGTCTGTGAGTTTGAGTACGTTACAGACAGCAGCAAGATTTTTGTTGAAGGACGTACCATCATCTCGTAGAGCAGGACACCGAGTGTCCACCAGTCAACCGTCTTCGTGTAACCCTGGCTCTCCAGCAGCTCTGGAGCAATGTACTCTGGTGTGCCGCAGAATGCTGTAGGGACCGGTTATATCTTCCCGGCATTGAAATTAAAGTCATTCTCACTGTTTGTTTTCTCTGTCTCTGACATGTTGAGCTTGCAAAGACCTGAATAGACGTCAACCAACACATCAGCCACTAGATTGTAATGCACCAACCAAAGTCACAAAGAGCAATATGACCCGTGTAGTCAAGCAGTATATTTTCAGGCTTCAGGTCGCTATGAGACCGTCAGCAAATGGACACAGCCATCCGCATTAAGAACGTACCGGTAAACTACATTGAATCCATGTAAATGCTCGAGTGCACAAAGAAGTTCCGCGGCGTAAAATCGGCTGCGATCTTGATCAAATTTGCCTTCCCTTTGCAGATGATAGAACAGTTCGCCGCCATTTACTGCGGAGACATGAGAGTACTCCAACCTAGTAAGGGTAAGACTCACCGAATGACATTACAAGATATAACTTGTCAGGATTTTGGAAAGAAAATTTGAGCGGAACTATAAATGGATTGTTCACCAGCGCCAGGACCGTCCGCTCAGCCAATATGTGAGTGATTTCGCCGGGGCGTGACGCGATATGGGCTTTTCGAATAGTCTTGAGCGCATATATCCGCTGCGTATCCTTTTTGCGCACTTGCATCACTTTACCAAAGCTCCCTTTACCAATAACTTTCAACAAATCGAATGCTTCGATCGCCAAAGACTCATTCCTTATTGGTCTGTAGTCGATTTTGAGGTGAAACGAGCCGGTGCCCGCAGTGGCACTGTACCATTGATCTGAAGCATGCTGAACGCAAAGCACTGTGAACAAGGGAGAGTGCGGCTCAAACACGTGAACTTACAAGTCCGTCAAGTACGGGAGTAAGATCAACACGAGCCATGAGCAGGTCGTTTCCCATATCTTCTTGGCTGTGCACCGCAGCGGCTGTCCGAAGATATGCTGAGACTGATATTGTCGATGTACGGGACACATCGCTATATAGACAATCAGTGATGGCTGAGTCGTCGCACATAAACCACGCACAAGTCTGCCCGATACGACCATACAGGGTTGGCCAGATCTCCGCCCATGGCGTCTACCAGAACTTGATTGTTGTCGAACTCGAGGACAACGTACGGAAGCCACCATAATCGCCTCCTCTGCATGCTTTCGCGGTTGCTGGTCGACCTTCGCGCAGGTGGATTATCGAGGGCTTTTTGAATGACCTCTGGGACATACACGCCAGGGGCTAAAGAGAGACCTCGTCCTATGCATATGACATCAGTGTGTGTGCAGAATAGTGCTGTTCAAAGGTCCGACAATGGCCTTACCGGAAAAGATGCGAATCGTGAGCATACCGGATCGAAGATGAGCTTGCTGGTCGAGAGCACCAGGAGGCTTGGGAGTCGTGGGCCGCGACTGTATCGGTGTGACGGATCGTGAGACGACGCCATTTTCTTTGACGTCCTTGGACTCTGTGTGGTCGTAAGGACATGAGATCTTACGGAAAACAGTGACCCGTGATGTGGATGGAGATCAGCAAAGGGGTCCGGCACGCATGGACTTACTTTTGGAAGTGCCTAGTTTCCAGGACTGCATATTGGATGTTAGGAACAAGGTTGAATAAAGAGAGAGCTATTTGGCCTGTGAGAAGGAATGAAAAGGCGTAGTACGGGCGGTAATGCCGGTCAGCGACTCGTCAGAGTAGTACTTGCGTGGCTGAAGATAAGATATATACTAGTACATAAGCAGAACAGCCTTGCAATGCGGTCATCATCATGATCTGGCATATACTTCCTCAATCTCTCCTCTCTCTTCGTTTTATTCGTTCATTGTACGCATATGTATGTGCACGTCGCTGTTAGATATCTGCCGTCACAGCATTCACAATATTAATGTTCTTCTTCTCATGACCTCTGCTTCTTAAGTTAATGCCGATTTGGCAGCCACTGCCTGGAATCGGGCGCCCGCTGTCCACTATCTTTTGATCACCAGTGATCATCATCACAACATCGCCCCACGCCGTCAAGTGATGAATACATATGCTGTGAGGAGTGTCGTAATCTTTAGATGCGTTAAAGCATTCCGTGTGTGATATGTATTGCTCTTTAAACTGGGATGACTTCCAAAGGCAAAGGGGAACAAACATGAAACACTACACGCAACGATTCTTCCGAAAGTATGACTGCTTTAGCCCAAAGACTTCGTTGTCGTCCCTAATTGCCTCGCTCTCATTTGCTATCCGATACGACTCGAGGGGGTCCGATGGCGGGATACGTCTACCAACGGATAGACCATCACGTTTTGAGTGCCTGCTCAGATCGTCGTCAGATTTAGGCAACTGTTGTGGAATAAGGTTCCTGTGAGGAATGGCGTCAACATCCTCCTCATGCACCAACTTAAGGGTTCTAACCGCCTTCAGCGGGAACCCCACAGGAGTCCTGACAACAAGGTCCTGATGCTGTAGCCCACCCGTCGAATGTTCACTGACATCCTGCTTCAGCAAGTCAAATCCATCAATGATGTCCGTCATATGGACGCCAATCTTTAATAGCTCGACGGCGCTCTTGCACTCAGCGCGAAACTTGTGTAACGCTTCGGCGCTGATGCCCTTGGTGACATTCTGAGAAGATACGGATGAGATTGGGAAAGTGATTTCTTTGCACATGTACGCACTTTTGATCGAATGAATGGGTCTACGACAGCAATTGAATAACGCTCTAACATTGTCGTGGAATCCACATCCGGACCGAGAATGGCTGACCAATTATTCCGTGTTTCAGATCGAGGGCCCCGGGAGACGCTGTCAGGTTCCGCAGCTTCTTCAAAATGCGGAATGCGGGGGAAAACGCCTCCCCTCTTGATGTCGATCACATGACTCGAAAATTGAAAGTGAGCCCAAAACCTGAGAAGCCTCAGTCACAAGATGGAAGAATTTCCGATTGTCCTTCACCTGAACCATTGCTCTACGAGGTTGTCCAGAGCGCCTATGGGTGGTGCTACCCACATCGTGGCCTTGCAATACCGTACATCGCAAGGTATCCGCTTAGACGACTTTGGTGGCCGCATCCAAATTAAACGCTCGTTGGGTTCTTGTGGCTGGAGGTCAGCTTGTAGCTTGGGAGCTAAACCCATTGTCTCTTAGACGCTAAGGTTCCGATAATCTAGTGGAAGTAACGCAGACCGCACCTGGAGCCACGCAATTGTCATAAGCACCAAGGCATATGAGTTGAAAGTTCGGAGTCCTTCAGGAGCAGAGGGCTGATTGAGTGCCCTGGGACGAGCCCATTTTTTGATGGCAGATACTAAACAGCGAAGGCCGGGTACGACATCGCAATATGTCTTGATCAGGTCAGTGTTCAGCAACCCCAGCCTCTCGTTCACATTAATGTCGATATGGAGTTCGGATGCAGGATCTGTGAACTTGACTAAAAATCGAGATCGAGAGTGAGGAGTCCGTTTCAAACAACTATCGCAATTTGTGGTGACGAACCAATGGGAACTCGCGCCCAGGGAATTGCCTCAACCTCAGTGAAGCCTGCATATCGCATCGTTCGAGCAAGCTTCCTACTCTTTGATCAGCTCCGTTGGCTTTGGCTTGTGACATTGCAGTAATGTTACCTAGTATCGTAGATGACTTCTAACGGTTAGAATCATTGATGTCTTAGTTGTATGAATGAAACATACGAGGTAGATGCTTCATGTCTATTTCTGGAGAAAAACCTTGTGGCCACTGAGAATCCTGCCAGTAATCAGCGAGAACACAGCAGGGCTTGTTGACAACTCACAAGCACAACAAGATCCAGGATCTCCATCCCCCGTTATTGACGGATCTTGCATGACCATATACACTGAGCTTCCATAGGGCTGCACGTCATATCTTGGTCCATATTTGTATTGAATGACATTTCTAACTTTGCGAATTAATCGGTCTCTTGTCTTTCTTCTGTCGTCATTCATATGTCGAGGTTCTTGTCGATATGTGGGAACTCTAGGCGATAACCAGAGATACCAAGGTCAATGTGAAAAATGAAGCGGCGAATTCGCTAGACACACTAATTCTAATGTTGTCAGGATGATTGGGCTATCATGAGGGGTAGGAACTGAGTCAATGAAGATGCATATCTAAAAGGAAGACGAACTACATTTTTTGGGTCATATCTGACTGTCCTATCGTTGGGCAGCGCAGGTGCAGCGCCTGTGTGCACACCACGTGAAAAATGGCCCGCACCGCAAGGTCGACTGTGTGTCAAAGGCTTGAGACTTAGGATACCACTAGAGTTAGCCGCTACTTGGTCGCCCGTGTTGGATTTCACCGGCATACCGGTGTTGTCCAATAACTGGAGGTTTTCGGAATCTATGCGTGCACATTTCGCAGCTCGCCTCTGAAGACTTATGAGACCTGCCCAATGGCTTGAACATCGATCACCGAAATGAGACGGATATACTCTGATGGCTTCCACAGCACCCAGTGCGATGTTGGCCGCCTCTGTTGCATCGGGTTTCGTTAGACTTTGGCGGATGTCCTTATCGCATGCTTCGGTCCTGGTGTCTGCCTCGCTTCGAAGATGCTGGAAAGGGTTTGGGATAGTAGTAGATGATTTAGGGTACTGGTTCGAACATAGCCCACAACGGATGCTGGCGGACAGCCCACTTTCGCGCCATCTTCGCGCACTGCGTGATGGGATGCAAACTTGAAGCGACACTAGATACAAATGCAACTTGGTTCTGTTGTCGTGATAAGGATGGGAATGCAGCAGCCTGATACTGAAACCCACACGCGAGGGATCCTGAATAACCGAGCATGAATGGGTGGTGAATAAGTACTGAATCACCAGTTGCGAGCTGAGACAGGACGGCTCGAGGAACTGTGGTGAACCGTACCGTGGTCCGTGAACGTCACAAAAGAACGCTTCCAGACTGTTGGAACACTCCAAGTAAAAAACATTCCGGACTATGCATTAAGAGGGAATCGAACCCCCGGCGGGTCGATGGCAACGACCCAGGTTACCACTACCCCATTAATGCTACGCAGGTAATTGACTAACATGACTCTAACTATAAAGAGGATCAAAGAATTCTCCACTTCGTTCGTTGGACTCTCAAAACGAAGAAACAGTTTGGGTATATCCCCCATTGCTCCTAAACTCTGCTACGACTTTCCCACCATAGTTCACCAACACATCTCTCTCTCGCCCTGCAATGTCCTGATCGACAGTAAAAGTTGCTGTCGTTGGTTTACCTTCGTTCCACGCAAGGTCGAGAGTGATCCCACCACGTATGCGCGCGCCTCTCATTTCGCCAGCCGACCATGTGGGCGGAAGAGCAGGTAGAAGCGTAACCTGGAGTGGAACCTTGATATTCTGAACGTCGGGTGCTTGCAGCAGTGCATTCTAGATTTGAATACAAGGTTCAGCCACAGATGTCCTAAATCAAATGACTTCAACGTCTTACCAAAACAGCGGCAGGATACCCCAAGTTTGCATCGATCTGGAAGATTCCACCAGATGTGTACAGGTCAAAGAGGTTGGGCGCAAAATTTGTCTCGATGGCATGCTGCATTGGATTAGCGTCAGTAACACGATATACCCACTGATTCTTACAGTAAGCTCCTTGTAGAATTCAGTCTCGTTGGCGAGCTGAGCCCAAGCAGCAGCCCTCCAAATTTTCTCCCATCCTGCATCCGCGTCAGGGCCCCTTCCAATGCCTCTATGAATTAGACTGGTCTCCGCGGCGTTCAAAAGTTGTTCCTTGGTATAATTCATGAAGGTCCCGTTGACAATCAGACCACCTTGGAACACAGGAGAATAAGATGCTATTGCATAACCGGGATATAGCTAGTGAAGATTGTGAGCTAAAGATGATAGCTGAAAAATGAAGGCCTACGCCAATCAGATGGCTAAGATGCCTATGGGTATCATCCGGCGTATCCATGTCGACTTTCCACTCTGCGTGTAGTGTTAATATGTCGTGGATACGCAGAGGGCGAGATAGCAACCTTGCAGTTGACCCCACCGTCCGATACGCAGCCCTTTGTCCATCTGCTGCCGTTTGGAAATAATTGCTGTGTAACCCGTGAGCGAAAGGAGACGAACGGCGGACAGATCCCTACCATCCAGAAAGGCGGTGTCTGTATCACCGGCTGCCTCGAAACCATTCTCGATTGCATTGAAGAGCTGCCAGATCAGCTGCTGGGCATGTGCACAACCTGTCATGATGATCAGCAACACCCACAAGTATCCAGAGTCAAATTCACCGAGAGTAATAGGGACCTGCTCCGGCGAATTGCACGGTGCGGTAACTAGGGTCAGATCGTTGAAGTACAGGTCCTCGATGAGCTTCTCTAGATGAAAGCTGGCAACAGACTGATACGAAATTCAGCCGAACATGGCTCGTCAAAAGTCCATAGTAGAGCACCTTGACTAACGGCCATCCTTGCGTCTTCCACCATTGTACGTCATTGGTATGATCAAAATGATCCCATGCATGTATCATCTACAATTGAATTAACCGAGCACACTGCAGACCTGAGCGATCTTTACACACCATCCAAGCATTAGATTCTGATATGGACGTTCAGTCAGTAAGAACACTAAGAAGAGTCATCATACCTGGATAATTGGCCCATTGAGCAGAGTTCCCGCCAAGCTTCATACCCGTATGGCCGAAGATCTGATGAAGAAATTCAAGCATTCAATCCTACAAACGAGCCCTCCGCCGACGCACATTCATTTCACCGTGTGTTACAAATCCCTCGCTGATGTTGTACAGAACCTGAGCGGTGTACGCGCCACGGGGTCCCCACGTATTCTGCAAAAACGAACGGGTCGACTTCTTCTGCATGTCAGGTATTTCAACGAGGAGATTACCTGAATATAGTCAAAGAGTGACTGAGTCACATCTAGATTCGTCATTTCGGCGGGCCAATAGTTCATTTGGATGTTGATATTGGAGTCTAGTCACGAAATAAGAACACCTTCTTCTATAGAAGGTAGGGTGTTTACGATAATCTGTAGTGAGTGTCAGAATCGCGGTTAACCTATACATCAAATCAGTCACCAGCGCCCCAAGGGTTCGAATACCCATCAGCCCATATACCCTGTAAATTTGCGGGCAGGGTGCCTCTAGCGCTGCTAGCTAGGAGATATCTTCCATAGTTGAATAGGACCCATTCCAAGTAAGCGTTCCCAACGGAAGTCTGATATCCAGCAAGAATTTGATCTGTGGGGGTATTCAGATCCGGAGTCTGTCCCAGGGAAAGTGAGAAACGGGTAACGATGGAGGTATAGTCTTTAATGTGCCCATTCAGCATCTCAGCATAAGATGTAAGATTAGCGGATGAAAGCAATGTGACGAGATTATTGTGTGGATCTGGTCCCTGAAATGAGTAGTTGGCAGCTGCAGTTTCCGGCGGCCATGTCGTAGTTCGTGCCCCCGACCCAGCTAACCCACGCCTCAGATGCACCCACAACGGTCAATGTAGCATTGGGCGGAATCGACCCGGGCACCGCAGAGCAAGAGACCAATCCGCCAGGTGCCTGCGCCTGCACGAGAATCTCATAGAGCATCCCGGGGATGGAGACATAGTTCCTAATACTCAGCGTTGTGTCATCCAGGCAGGTAACATTCGGTGCTGGGAGGCCGTCGACTGCGGCAACAGTGTATGCGTAAGTAAGAGCTGGAAGCACGTGAGAAGTCGTGCTGTTCAGGTATTGTACGCATGCTTGGAGCGGATGAGAGCAGAAGGATTCCCTGAGCAAAGTGGTCAGATAGCACCTTAAAACAGGCCAGGAAGGATAAACCGGAGAAAAGTAGTGCTTCCATCAGACCAGGTGGTGCGAGACACGCCTTCATCCAGGTCCAACCACCTTGCGTAATTCGAGATCGAGCCGCTTGAATTCAATGTTGCGAGCAAGTGCCCCGCGCTGGCGTATGAACCTTGGAAGAATGCGCGGGGCCGCCCAGGAAAATTAGAGCGTATAGATAGCAGGCGCGTGAGAATTTGCTCAAGAGCACAAAACGTGCCTACCATATGTGCCGGAAGGTGTCATGATCTCGTCGATATCTGATGACGGAATAAGGGGAACTGCACGACTATGTACACCAAAAACATGAATACGTACTGTCAATTGTCCCTGTAGAACTGGAAAATATAGCTCCGCGGATGCTCTGCATATTCTCGGCTATTCGAGCCTGCTGGGAAGGCAAGTGATTGCCTCCATTGTACGACTATGTGAAAGAGTCAGCATATTGGGCTAAGAGACCTATACACGGGAAGGCTTGTAAAACGCAACACGCACGGGGTCCTGGAAGGGACCTCCCGACCATAGGGACTCGATGTTGAGCTGTGTGGCCTCTTGGCTAGTACCGCCAGGTAGCATCGCTGTGCACATTTAATACTTGGCGACCACACCGTGAGCAAATATTACTTACCACCCAAGTATCCATTGCCAATGGGTAGCCATTCCTCAGTCCATATCATCCCAGGTGCAGTATACCAGAGACCATTACCAGAACTCGGAAAGCTAGGAGGTGCAGAAAGTATCGAGGAGACATACGTCACGATGCCCAAAGTGCTCAGCAAGTGTTGTAAAAGAATTTGGACAGAGTATGGGAGGATTCCATGGAGCGTCGTAGAAACTTGGAAGAGACAGGTCCACAAGTAGTTTTCAAGGACCTGAAGGATCTCCATCTTTGCTGGTCGCTTCTAAACTTTGAAGGTGAATGAACAGCTAAGGTTCTTCTGGTCCTTGAGTCCTTCTGATAGGAAAGCTGGAGGGCAACGCACACGCGCCTAAGGCGGGGACACTATGTATAAGCGAACAACTCTGTGAAAAGGCGCGACCAGCAATATATCCTATTTGCGGCTTACGGTTTGCTTGCGGTATTTGCAGCGATCCATGTGAAAGATGCAGTTTCAACTTGAAGGACTCACGTTAATGGGAGATTGTGCTATTATTGTGATATTTTTGGCCACAGAACGTGTCACGTGCTATTATGGCTCTCATGTATAAATAGTATAGTTTGATCCCAGGTCACATGGCATTAATGGGGTAGTGGTAACCTGGGTCGTTGCCATCGACCCGCCGGGGGTTCGATTCCCTCTTAATGCAAAGCGTCCTTCATTTTTTTTTTTGCTATTTTTGGACGATCAACGTGTATGCGAGCTTGCGAGCACACCACGTTGATCTAGGGCTGTGTACGCCGCATGTGATTTCCGTCTGACATTTCCCGCACTTCAGTAGCTCATGGTCCGTGCGCCATCACATACCTTTGACACTTCTCGCACTTCGATAGCTTCTGGCCCGTGCGCCAACACATAGATAAGTCTTGCTTCCGCGCAAACATTTCTCGAATCTTTTCGCTTCGTACCACTACCTTCTGGTACTCAGCTCTAACTTTTAGTCACTTTACTCGATTCATTCCCATTGCTCTCAGTATCATATCACTATTCTCATTATGGTCAATTCCAATCCCCCGTCCGGTAGACCTACTCTCACTCGCGAACAAATCATCGCCGAAAACGTGGCTATCACCACGCGTAATCAAACGCGTCAATCACTCCGTAATCAAGGTGATACTAATGTGGATAACGATGAATCCCTACTTGTAGTTCCTCCGACCTTCACTAATCCTTCTGTTACACGTCCCTCGATCAATCCGTCTGCTATTGCCTCGTCATCATCTTCCAATACCGCTCCTGTCACTCCTAACAATCCTTCCATTACTTTACAAGTTCCTACCGCCGCTTCTTCCTCCACCTCTAGACCTACTACCCCTACCCCCTCTACTACCACCATCAATATGTCTAACATGATCGCCGCCTTTCAACGTTTATCCCCTTCCAAACAAATGTCCTTTCATGCTTCCATGAATGCAGCTTTAGCAGCCTCACCGAACATCCCGTCCACTCCCACTCCCAGCACAGGTAGCATTGCCCCCCCTTATTTTTGACGTCACCAAAGAACGTTCTACCCCTGCCTCTCACTCCATTAGAGACGTTTATGGCATTCATACATACATTTTAGAACTAGCTAGGAACAACCAGCACATCCCCTTCTCATTACTGACTTCTAAAATCACGCGACGTCTCTTTCTTGAGTCATCGACTCTTAAATTCATCACCTTTTATTCATCCCACCGAGGCTCTGCACCCACAAAATGTCATCTTCTTGACATCTCACAGTTTCCCACAGAGAATACCATCACCATCCCCGAATGGCATGAAGCATGGTCACGCTACCTTCGCTTCCTTCAGGAACACGCTTCCCCAGAGATTCACACTCGTTGGTCTAACCATTACGACATCTTACGAGAACATCCTGACTTCACAGATAACTGGACCGCCATTCTTACGTTCGATATCGAACAACGTGCATCATACGCAGCGGACCCTCAAACCCTAGACGAAGTTAAGTACTTCCGCCAATTCGAAGACATTAAAGGTCGTGTTGCCAGGAAAGAGTCCTTAAGAGCCGTCAGCGATGCGGTTACTGACCTCAGGAGTCACCGTCACGAACCCTATCCTTCGCGCGACTCCTCCTTTCGCAAGACTCAAACTACCGACAAGCCCTTTCGTGCTCCCTCCAAGCCCAACGACTCAGAACGTCTTCCCCCCCTTTGTCTCTCCTGCGGTCAACTCGGCCATACCTTTCCCAACTGCCCCTGATTCGTCGTCGACGGGTTCATCATCACACTCGAAAGTTGTCAACAAGCAACTCGTCTCCCGCACCAACACAGACGTCAAATATTGCGTCGACTTCAACATTTTCTGCAACGGTAAACGAGTTTGCGTCAAGCGCACTCACAAACCCGGAGAGATCCATGCCTGCTCCCTCTGTGGATCCACAGAGCATGGCGCCTGCAGCCGCAAATGTTTGGGGGCCTGATCCGGCCTCCATTCCCTTTTCTTGTTGGACTATGGACCCTATTCTCATTACCCCTGTACCTCAACATGTATACTTAGACAACCTCAGCATTTCGCACACTCCGTACGACAACGATACCGATTTCTCCAAGATTCTCACCCCTTACTCGGCTGACCACCTCGATTCCTTTTTACGCAACGCTAATCTTCTTGACGCCTATCCAGAACTCGTATTCAAAATCAAGCATGGTTTCCCGCTGGCCGATCTCGAGCCCATTTCTTCTACCTATGCACCTCCTAACCTTCCAAGTGCCGACGAGCACGACTCGGTCATCAAAGAATATGTCGACTCCGAACTTTCATTAGGGCGCTTCAGCGGCCCTTTCTCGCAATCACAACTTGAATCCAAAATCGGCCCCTTCCGCTCTTCCCCCCTCCAAGTTGTTACTAAAGAAGGAGCTCCCGGTCAACCTCCTAAATTCCGCGTCTGTCGCAACCTCTCGTATAGAGGAGCTCCGGGTCGATCAATCAATGACGAAATCGACGCCAAAGATTTCCCAACCCGTTGGGGCACTGCAGAACAAGTCGCTACCTTCGTATGTTTTCCCCTACTTCCTCCTTCCCTTCGTACATCCTCCTTCCTTCCACTACCGATTCGCCTCATGACCTCGCGGTCATACCGCTGAGGAGTGACTCGTCTCGGGCAGTCTGGAGCTGTACCACCCTCCCACCTTTCCACCTACCCCGAATCCTCCTTGATTCTTCCTGAGTCTCCACACTCACTCCCATTCCCATTCAGGTTGCCACCAGCTCCTCCCGGTACTCAAGCAGCTTCCCTCGATATCGAAAGTGCCTACCGCACCATTCCCATCCTTCCGGACCACAAACGTTACCTAGTGGTACGTTTTCATGATCGTTTCTACATAGATCATAACCTTCCTTTCGGTGCTTCTTCCGCAGCCGGTCTCCAAGGGGAAGTTGCCAATGCTACGGTGGACATTTGGGATCACGCAGGCATCGGCCCTGCATGGAAATGGGTCGACGATTTCTTCATTGTGCGAGTCCCAGACCCAAACGGTCCTTTCTTCGGCATCTCCAATGGCGTCCAATTCCGCTATCGCTATGACATCCGTTCGGTCAAAGAACACATCAGTCCTATCAACGTGCCCTGGCACAAGGACAAAGGTTCTGACTTTTCCGACATCCAGGACTATGTGGGTTACTCCTTTGATCTTCCTGCTCGCACCGTCGCTCTTCCCGAAGCTAAACGACTCAAATATGTTCATCGCCTCCGCTCATTCCTCGTCCGCTACTCCTCCCGTCAAGTTCCCAAAAAAGACGTGGAAACAATTAGCGGTACCCTTGCTCATTGCGCCTTTGTCTTCTTACACGGTCGCGCTTACCTTTCTGCTTTATATCGATGGATCGCAAGCTTTCCCACAGACAAGTTCATTCCCCTGTTTCATGTGGAAATGCGTCAGATCTGACCTTAAGTGGTGGCTCAACGTCCTCGAGCACGATCACCCTCCCCGTCTTCTCGCTCCAAGACCCCCTATGCGCGACTACAACATTTGGGTCGACGCTTCCACCGGAACAGGCATTGGCCTTTGCTGGAACGGACTTTGGGAGGCATGGGTCACGCGCCCTGGCTGGCGCGACCCTGTCGGGCATGACATCGGGTGGTTGGAGACCGTTGCCATCGAATTTGCCATATCTGTCACTTCGTCCTTTGACATCGCTAACACGGATATCCTCATCCGTAGCGACAACGAAGGTTCCATCGGTGCCTTTCATAAAGGTCGCTGCTCCAATCTCGCGTCCAACGCATGCATCAAACGTGCAGAAGAAGTACTTCGTGCCGCGGATCTGCCTATCTCCCTCATATATGTTCACACCTCCATCAATCTCGCAGATCCCATCTCACGAGGGATCCTCCCCGATCCTTTATTACGGCTCCCCTCTCGCATTCCCATTCCCAAGGACCTCTCCCCTTTCATCGCCTATGAACCCTCCCAATCCTGACATTGAGTTCGTCTTCGACATTCCGCTTGACACTCATCGTTTAGACTCCATCGAAATTCGTGAAGCAGCAGTCATGCGTCCCGACGGACGAGTTCGTATTCCCCGCAAACCTCGCAAAGACGCATCCATCATCCCTTCCGCTCATCGTCCTCACGTACTGGCTAGTGAACGTGTGTTCCTCTGGACCACTCCGCACGGTTTCAACTCTCAACACGAATTAGAACAACTGTTTCCCGAGTCAGACATTCTCAAAATGTTTTTTGTTCTTACTCAATCCCTAGATGAGAACACGCGCAGCAATTACGGCGCTGGTTTACTTCGTTTCATGCAGTATTGCGACAGCATCCACGTTCCAGAGACCCAACGCATGCCCGCTTCTGCGGCCCTCCTTTCCTCCTTCATCGCAGCATCCGCAGGTTCCATTTCCGATAGCACCGCTAGCAATTGGCTCTCCGGTCTACATTTTTGGCATGTCGTCAATGATGCCCAATGGCATGGCGCAGATTCCTCCTTACTACATCACATGAAGCGCGGTCTCACACGCCTCGTCCCGTCTAACTCCAAACGGGCTCAACGTCCCCCTGTAACCTTAGATGCACTCATTCAACTGGGTCAAGGTCTCAACCTGGCAGATTCCTTTGACATCGCAGTTTTTGCCATCGCATGCGTAGCCTTTTGGTCCTGTTGTCGGTAGGACCTCCCATCCTTTTTCTCCCCTCCTAATTTCTTTCTAACATGACTCTAAGTCTCGGCGAACTCGTGATCCCAAGTCCGAACACCTTTGACGCCATCAAACATGTCTCCCGTTCCATCCTTCCTATTGTCACGCATAACTCCAACAACGTACGTCGACTATCCTTTCACATTCCTTGGACAAAAACCACTGGCACCGACGGCGCAGACATCAGTGTCACCGCTCGGGACCATCCCACATGTCCTTTCATTGCCTTACTCTTACATCTTGACGTGAACTCCAATATCCCTTCTCACACCCCCTTATTCTCTTTCGAAACAGCTGACGGCTCATGGTCCCCCATGTCAAAGTCCTGGTTTATGGACCGAGTCAATCTTATCTGGACCACAGCCGGTCACCCCAGCATGCCAGGTCACGCCTTTCGTATCGGCGGCGCTACAGAACTCCTCTTGGAAGGTGTCCATCCTGACATCGTAGCCACACAAGGTCGTTGGAAATCGAGGGCGTTCTTAGACTATTGGCGTCAGATAGAGTCTGTCCTTCCACTATTTATTGCTACCACTTCCTCCACTCCGATTGCACTCACGCGTTTACAATCCTCCATGCACGAATATCGCCGTACCCGCGCTTAGTTTCCCTCCCATCTCCGCATATACACTTGTTCTTCCCCACATTGTAATGAATTCCCTTTTCCATGTCTCGTGTTGTGTCTGGGGTCGGGCGCCTCGAAGAGGCTCTCGACTCGTATTCGAGCCATGCTCCAGGTATGGTTTGGTCTCGTTTTCTCTTCTTCTTCTCTGCGGTCCCCTCCATCCCGCACATCGAGACTCGATCACAACACGCTCTGAGGGTCTGTCCCCTCTGCGTCCGGTTCTTTCAAAATATTCTCATTTATCAAACCCTAAATCCCGGACTCAGACTGCTCCTCCCAGACCACGCACACAAGCGCAGTCTGGCAGAGCCAGACCCTCCCCACCACGCGAAAGCTTCGCTTTCGCGGAAAACAACTAATCTCACTCTTCGCTTTGAACTATTCCCTACTCGATTCAACCTTCCGTTAACTCATCAATTCGCACATACATACTTACTCATCTCTCACACCTTCTCGCCAGCATTCCTCACCTTCTCTCCTTCCCCTTCTTCCCTACACACACGGCTTTTCTACACAGCCCTGTCCGTTTTATATGCATGCAAATGCAATGCCTGAATTTGTAGCTCTTATTTCATAGGTGTCAGATAATCTATTTTAAAAGAAGGAACGACTGTCCTTTCATTCAAGGACTGATACGGGAGACTAGATAACTCATGGATTGACAGCAAGTACATAACAGAGATGGCAATATAGTCAGTCTATTATGCAGCTTTGAGCCCTCCCCATGCCACTTTCTGTCCTGTTGTTCTCGGCGCGCCCTCTGGTTTTGGCCCGTCAACACTCTTTTTCTGAACGGGAGGAGCTGTACGTGGTGGTAATGGTGATGCTTTGATACCGTCAAGCACACGTGCTGCATGTTCCGAATTACGGATGAACCACCCTGCATATCGACGGCCAACAGTTGACTCGGCGATGTGGACCATGTTCTAGATGATTGGGTGAGCTCTTCAAAGTGAACGGGAGAAAGAAGGTAACAAGCCTGGTCTATCACGAAGTTCAAGTCGCTTATGGACATCCACTCCCCACCAAGTAAACTCTCAGAAGATCTTGATCCCTCCTCGTTATCCTTCTCGCCATTTGCAGCAGTCCCACCGGTATTTACGCGTCCAACACATCGTCCGGCATTTTTCATTACCATCATCCAGCTCAATACCTCTTCTTCGTCTACACCAGCACCCGATGTATCCAAGAAGCCCGTAAGCTTCTGTGCATCCAGACTCGTGTAGAGCTTCAGGAGACTCTTAAGACTCGGGACGGGTGAAAGCGACATGAAATGAGATGACATGGCCCGGAGGTGTCGTTGGGTCGGATCACCAAGAACTACGCTAGGGCTCTGTGAGGTTGGGGAGGTCGGCGTGGGCGGGACGAGCATTGAAGCGAGCGCGGAAGGGTCGTCATATGGTGGGGAGTTGGCGCAGATAAATTTGGGACAGGCATACAAGAACAGCTCTTCAAATGCCGATAAACCTTCCTCGCTAGATGCATCCAAAAAGCATTAGACCGCACTTGGATGGTAGTGTCAGATACATACCCTCTGCCCATACGCCCCATTTGCTCGCCATATCGCTCACGCACAATATTCATCACGTTATCATCAAGCCTAGTTGGTGCGAGCACATGACAAAGCGCCAGTAGAGCATACATCCGATCTGCGGTTTTATTGATCTAATAAAGAGTGAGCAAGAACAACAAAGAATGTAAACACATGGGCGTCTCACCTGATCATACTGGTAACTACGAGTGTGGTATTGCCGCGCGCGCATTACCCAGTTAAGAACGCCAGTGAAAACACGAGCTGCATCAGGAATTCTTCGCAGCATCAAGTAACATATGCCAGCATGATAAGCGGTGGAGACATGCACAGCTGTAGGCGCGGTGAAGGGAGCCTTCTGGCCGAGCCCAACGCTTTCCATGACCTTCAAGGCAAGCGTGAAATCACCCAGGAGAACATGCACACGCAGAAGGCCGATGATGGAGAAATATCCGAGCATGCGATACAAAGGCTTCGTTCCGTATTCGCCAACTATTTCTCTATAAGCAGAATCGGTCAATTCAAGCAGACTTTTAGGTAAACTGACATACTCTATTTCCTCGTCGCTCTTCCCCTCCGCACGTGCTTTGAGCCATTCATTCGCGCGACTCTTTTGGATAAGGGAGTACAGGACATTGAGCACTGAATACGAACTCCAAGCTTGGGCACCGCCTTCTGAGCCGAGCATGGCCAGCTCATCATCGGTTTTTGACGCAGGACGCGAGCGGAAAAGGGCAAATGATTGGAACTGATAGATGAACTCGTCGATGATGTCCCATAACCAGTGTGCAGGTAGGGATAAAGGCACGGGCCCGTCGGAGTCTACCAAGTCTCGTCAGAAGGATGCTTGTAGTGGATTTCAGACACGTACTAAGGAGATAGTTAAACAACTCGCAACTATTCTCATAAGAATGGAACCGGTCGTCTACGTTGGGCTGAAGTCTTGAGTACACGTGTCGGTAGTACAATTCACGATACAAGATGAGAAAGATTTGATCGTCATTGACCAATGGTGCAATAGTCTCTGCTTCTGGCCACTCCGTTTTTGCATAGTATTTCTCGGTAAGGCGAGTCCAGCCTGACTCGTAAGCAAGAGTTATTTCCTGAAGGTTATTGTCCAGGACAGCTTGGTGAAAATGGACGATAAACTAAGAGTTACTTAGCACCAGATCATCGGCCAATGGACACAGTACTCACGCGCTTTACAACGTCCGGAATCTGCGCAAATGCAGCTTGCTGTGCGATGTGCTGTTGCATTGCTTGCAAGGAGCCTTCGTCGAGCTGAAGATTTGGGTCATCGTACAATTCATTGGTTGACGAGGGTATGGGGATGGGGATGTCGACATCGGCATCGTTGATATCATCATCAAGATCGGGTTCAGCAGCCCACAGTGCAACGCGTTGGTGAGCCATGGTTTTTTTTCTCCTTCGAGGACGTGCTTGACGGTGAGCAAGACAGAAACTTTTGGGTTTGCGGATTTTGCCGCAACAAAGTCGGCTTTCCTCATTAGGCGGTGAATTACCTTGGGAGCTTACTGGCTTGCATCTGGTACGCAGCTCTGTCACTTTCCAGTCAGTGCGGTCCATCCTATAAGTTTGTAACTCCAAGATGCCTCCACGACCGATGAATGATGAGGAGGTCTTGAGTGAGATGAATAAGATGGTACGTCTGTGCATGGTCTCGCATATGTATGACGCCGATGCCCAACCCTTCTCGGTTGAAATATGAAGGGATCTAACGTCATAGCTCGTGTATATAGGTTGCTTTCATTAAGCAGGAGGCCTTGGAGAAAGCGCGCGAGATAAAGGTCAAAGCGGACGAGGAGTTTGCTATCGAGAAGGTACACAGCGTCTCTCTTTATTGTAATCCTTACATACTCAATGTGTGTTTGCGTCGAAAGGCAAAGCTCGTGAAGCAAGAACAACAGGCTATCGATGCACAGTTCGAGAAGAAGCGCAAGGGTGCTGAAGTCGCACAGAAGATGTACGGTGCCCAATCCACCTGATATTGGGATGTCGTACTGATCCCCCAGTGTCATTCAGTGCACAGTCTAACTTGACAAACAAATCGCGCTTGAAGCTTCTTCAGCGCCGCGAGGAGCAGCTGCAAGAATTGTTTTCTGTCTCCCGGACATCGATTCTAACGTTCGCCGAAGACGAAGGGCGGTACTCTCAGTTCCTCGAAGGCGCTGTCGTGCAAGGTTTCCTCCAGCTCATGGAAGCGAAGGTCACGTTGCATGTTCGTGAACAGGATGCAGAGATTATGCAAAAGGCAGGAGAAGCAGCCGCAGAATCATACACTCAGATCAGCGGCCGCGAGGTGTCCTTTGACTTGGAGACGACCCTGAGTAAAGACTGGTATGCTGATCCACTTTCCTGAATGTTTTATCCGCTCAACAAAGCTGTTTTAGTGCTGGCGGTCTCATGCTAGTGAGCAGCTCACGACGAATTACCATTGACAACACACTGGACGAGCGACTGAAACTTTTAGAGGACAAGGCGAGTCTCGCAAAAAGCTTGGTCGCCATTTTCGTCTGACATACTTTTGTAGATGCTCCCCGAGATTAGGAGAGACTTGTTCGGGCCGAACGAGAATAGGAAGTTCTACACATGAGCTTCTTACCCAAATGGCCGCCACACACTATACTCGTGTACCAGCCAACAGTTTAGCCTAGACAAGATAGAAATACATGCATCTTCTTGACTGTCAAGAAAATCTACGAAGTTCACTTCCAGAGTGGTGCAGTCTTGCAGTGAACAGTGCGCAGAAACAGTTGGAAATGTTGATGCTAATCCTACGGAGATCAGAGGTGACGCATACATTCTAGATCGAAAGAAAAGAATAAAAAGAGATCACACATAGCCACAAAGACGAACCCTTTATATAGTACCTGTTCACCTACTACATCTTCTTCTTCTTATTCTTCTTACTTCTCCTTACCTCCCTTCCTCCCTTTACTGATCCCTCCGCCTCCCAACCTACGCCCAACCCCCCCGCCCGCTTGATCGCAGTCCTCACCAACGAGCGCTTCGTCTCACTGTCCGGCCAATTCTTCAAATCAAAGTACAAGGGCACGTACTCAAGCAACCTGTCAAAGCGTCAATGTGCGAATCCGCGTCAGTTCCAGAGTGCCAATGTGCGCACGTACCACTCTGGTCGAACATCCGTGACGGTCCGTAAATATGGCTTGGTCGTAAGCACAAACTCGTTAAAAATCACCCACTCCGGCTGCGGATGCAGTCCGCACGACGGATGCAGCACTACGATCTACCAGAAAAAAAATCCCACGTCAGCCCCACCCCAAACCAAAATACTTAACGTACCTGGTTATCCTTCGCCGTGATATAATGCCCCTTGTCTTTCTCCTTATGCGCAACTTGCATGAAAAAGCCACAACACAACGCCTGCTTGATCGCCGAAAACATCTTCTTCTGATCTTGCACGCTCACAAGCTCCACCTCGAACCGATCCATCGTCTGTTTCAGCTCCTCACGCACGTTGTCTACTTCCATTAGCGCTTCAGTGGATAGATAGTTGTTACAGGTCCAGTTTTTGTCATATTGGTCTAGGAGTAGTTATGAGTGAGTATGTAAGGAGGGGAGAGGGAGGGAGACTTACTTTGAATATAGTTGTTGTACACATTCAGAAGTGTCAGATGGTCGCCACCGGGGACGGTAAGCACTGCCCTTGCAGCATCCGCTTCGTTTCGCTGGTCACTTGGCCGTAGCCATACATTCGGTACTACAAGGGCGTCAGATGGGAACAAACCCCAAGGCCGAGTGCGTACCTGACAACATCGCAGCGATCGTCAAGATCTCATTGCTACATTTAAACTCCGGGCTGACGATCAGCGTCTTCGAGAGCTAGGGACGTATTAAGTCAGCACCGTAAGGAACACGACAATCGCCTACCTGCGGATCCAGAGGGAATTCAGCCATGATACTCCCCAGTGGCGTAAGGTTCCCTTCATCATCCACCGCCGCAAGGTAATTCAATAGCTCCAGCGCCCTCATTAACGTCTCTGGCGCTGGATCATCCACATAATCAAACTTGACAAGATCCTAGATACGCGTCAGCCCAACTCAAAAAACATCACCACCCCACATCACGATCACCTTTACTCCCAGCTTTGATAAGTTGCAGCACCGTACTCGCTAAATTACTCGTCAAAATGGCTGGTTGCGTCTGCGCTTCGAGCTCCGACATGAAGTATTTCTCCGTGTACAACCTAAAGCATTTGCCCGGCCTCGTTCGCCCGGCCCGACTCGCACGCTGTTGTGCCGACGCCTTGGAGATCGGGCTCACAAGTAAAATATCCACGCGGATGCGCGGGTTATACACATTCTGCTTGGAAAACCCCGGGTCGACGACGTACACGATCCCATCGATCGTCAGCGACGTCTCCGCAATGTTCGTGCTGACCACAACCTTGCGTCCTGGGGGACCATCCTGGCTGCCTGCTTTAGGCGGCGGGTCGAAGATGCGGTTCAGCTGTTGCAACGGTAGCCATGAGTGAAGCGGGATGCACACGAGCGGGCCTACGCTCTCGGGGTCGGAGTTGACGAGGTCGTCCGCCTCGAGCTTGATCTTGCGGCACGCATCCTTGATGTCCTCCTCACCCGTCAGGAATAATAAGAATATCTCCCGGCTCCTCGGTGCGATGGATCATGAGCACAGTACGAATGGCGGCCTCGATAAAGTCTGGCTCTGGTTCTCGGGTGTAGAACACCTCGACAGGGTAGGTACGACCGGGGACATTAAAGAGCGGGACGGGGGCGTTGCCGGAGACAGCGAAGTACTTCTGGAACTTGAGCGCATCGAGAGTGGCGGACATGATAATCAGTTTAATATCTGGACGGCGGCGGGCAAGGGTTTTGAGGAAGCTCATGAGGATGTCGGTGGCAAGGGTACGTTCGTGGGCATCGTCGAGGATGATAGTGGAGTAGCGGGTGAGATCGGGGTCATTCATGGCTTCGCGGAGAAGCAATCCGTCGGTCATATATTTGAGGAAGGTGGTGCCAGGCTCGGTCATGTCTTCGAAACGTATCGAGTAACCGACTTCTTGGCCGAGTTGGACTAGGAGATGACACGAGCTCAGAATGCGATCGGAACTCGGAGGAAAAAAAACGAACCGTCCATCTCATCCGCGACGCGCTTAGCCACGGACGTAGTGGTAACTCTACGGGTCTGAGTGCATGCAACAATCTTGTTCCTAGTGTGCGGAAGATCGGAGTAGGCGACGAACTGAGGTATTCTAGCGACAAAAAGGGTTTATAAGGGACTATTCAAAAATGACAAGGGAGAATGTTTGCCGGGTGCCAACTTACTGCGTGGTCTTGCCTGAGCCGGTCTCGCCGACAATGACGATGATTTGGTATTTTTTGAACTGTAAATGTTAGTCGAGGTGGATGGGGAAGGGTAAAAGGGCGTACTATCTTGTAGAACTCAACCATCTGTTCAAACACGGGGAGTTTTTTGCGGGCTTCGAGAATCTTTTTATATTGTACAGTGTGGGGCTTCTTTGTGAATGGATTTATATCATGTTCCTAAGCGAATTACCGAGTTAGCCAGCCTCGACGTAGCTCTGCTATTCAGATGACATATCATACCAATGCCAGGCGAACTTGATTTGCAGTCACATTTCGGGGAACAAAACCAAAGAGAGGCTCCCTTGAGGAGGCACTGGCACCATCGAGAGTGCTTGAAGTAGCTTGCTTAGCGGGACGTCGATGGGCGAGATATGGGTTCTTCTTCGGTGTTGGTGTCATTTTGCGGGCCGGGGGAGAAATTGTACAAGCGCAACCTCGACGTAGTGGTCCTTGTCAAATGACATCTCAGGGTGATTTAATCACCGAACATGAAATAGTTACCCACTAGGCCGCGTTCCTACAGCAGTGTCCCGTAGTCAGTCAGACCTCGAAAGAAGACTGTCCCTCTATGTTACTTCTTCTCTTTCGTACCACAGTATCTCGATCGATGCTATCAGGATAAGAGGGTTATTCTGCCTGTCAACATATGTGGCACTACCGTACTTTGACAGACGAGCGAGGGTCAGTGCAATGCGATGGAGGAAGCTATCTTCTCGAAGGTTTGCGAGAAGGTCGACTTGAATCAGATAATGCTCTGTAAAGTAGGGCAGTTGTTGACCAACATCGAACAATCTTGATTACAGCAGACCTTGGACATGGTATTCCTCATACGAACACCTTCTTCCAAGAAGACCATTACCCTTTGGGCCATTGGCGTACGCCGGGCGTGCAGCAAATCGGATGCTGTCCATAGAGTTCGGTCAGAGATCATTCAGAGAATATGTTGCTCGCTCGACCTGGATTGGCTGCAGCAGTGCTGCTAGATCTAATGGTTTCTCTACTTCCTTGATCCTCCCCAGAGGCAGTTGAAGTACTACTGTCCGCTGTCAAAATGAATATGCAATGATTACGTCAGTATGTTACGTCCAGACGCGTCGCGTCGCGACAGACCAAATGTTACTTGACCTACACGTTTCAGAGCCTCTCGTTCGAGATCAGCGGCCGTTATTTTATATGGGTCATCGCGTGCAGTATGTGCAGCGTGTAGCAGCCATAAACTGGTTGGAATTTGACGCTCAAATGAATTCCTGCGCGCGGCCGGCCACGATGGTCACCGTGACTGGTGTACATACTATGCATACTTATGAATGGCTCGCCCGCGCTCTGGATCTCCCGCTGTCAGCTGCCTAATATTTATCAATTCTTGCTCGAAGCTTGAATTCCTTTTGGTCGACTTTATGTCCGTCACTGAATGCCTGTCCCGTTGCATATATAGTCAGTTCCGTAGAGCCCTTCCGGTACCGCATTCCTTGACCACACCCTCCCTCCGAGTTCAATAAACCAATATTCACTTTCAACATTCATTCAACATGAAGCGAGCAGCAGCATTGCTTATGCAGAAGATTACTCTGCTTCCTTCCGTACCCCAGGTCGACATCCCTGCGTTCTTTTCCAAATCAGTGGAAGACCTCGAACAAATAGTCAAACGAGGACCATCCCTTTACTCTTACAGACCTGGTGCGTAGGCCTCCGCCCGCCGTGAAACTTGTACTAAATCCAAGCTATTTATTACCAGCCAGCATACATTGATGCACTGAGGAACATCAAGTCGGGGATCAATGACAGGGAGTTTTTGGTAGGTGTATGCGTCTTTCATCGGGCGTAAACTCACGCTGCCGTGTGTCTACATTAGCTAGAGAAACTTTTGATATTGATGTCGCGCCTTCCTGACGACTCAGCCTTCGCCAAACAACTTCAGATTTCCGTGATCGATATCCGTACGTGGAGTCTTCATTTCGGACAAGTTCAAATACAGTCCTGATCCGCCGCGCGTAGTTTATAAGGACCTTCCTCACCCGCCTTGCACTTTCCTGAAGAATCCTGTAATAGCTCCTCTATCCTAGCTCCAGGGGCAAAGCCATACATCTTCCGTAGTGCTGATGGCTCTGATTATTCGTTCTCTACGCCGAACCTTGGTCAAGCAGGCCAACCATATGCGCGGTCGGTGCCTTCTACGCACATTCCGTCGCGTTATCCGTTACCAGATCCAGGAGAAATCTTTGACACCCTTCTGCTTCGCCGTCAGAATGACTTCATCCCTCATCCTGGAGGCCTTTCCAGTTTATTCTTCGCATTTGCAAATCTTATTATTCACAGTATATTTGATACGAACTCCCTCGACTCGACGGTCAACAATGCTAGCAGCTACCTCGACCTGAGTATCGTTTATGGGCACAACGACGAGCAGGTCGATAGCATACGCAAGAAGGACGGAACCGGTCACATTTGGGAAGATGTATTTGCTGACAAGCGTCTCTTGTTCATGCCCCCCTCCGTGGGTGCCCTTGCAGTCCTATTCAGTCGCCATCACAATGTCTGTCTTTTGTTTTGTCGCTAAAGAGAGATGCTAACGCTTCAAGTAGTATATCGCCAGCAAGATCCTTAGCCTCAACGAGCGAGGGAAATTTGTATGTCCACCGCCCCTTCAAGAAGAGCAACGTACTGCTCAGTGCGATGAGCTCTTTCACCGTGCTCGACTGGTCAATACTGCATTCTTCATGCAGATCATCTTAACGGACTACGTCGGAGGCATTCTTGGTCTTATCAGGGATGGACTGACTTGGCGATTGAACCCACTTCAGGTACGAAATTGTTCGTAACGCCCGCTATCCGGTTTGACTTTTATCCAGGGGTTTCGCGAGGAAACGCATAGTGTTTCCCAACGAGGAGCCGGTAATGCCGTCTCGCTGGAGTTCAACATGCTCTATCGCTGGCATGCGGCGATATCACGTCAAGACGAAGCGTGGCTTGACCACACCTTCAGGGACCTTTTTTCTGACCGGGACCCCTCGACTGTGCGTGTATATGTTCTTACATGGATTTTTCGAATGATGGAATTGCTGGCTTAGGTTACTGTCGAAGAGTTCAAAGCGGCCGTCCGCAGGGATACTCTTCAAGTACTCGAAGTTCGCTCTTGGACGTTTGGCGGGTATGAACTTTTCGCTTATTTGTCGTTTGTTGCTAGCTAACTGGCCGCAGTCTTACGCGAGGGCAAGATGGTCGATTCAGCGACCCCGATATTGCCCGTATTTTACAGGATGCAACAGCCGACAGTGCGGGTGCCTTTCGTGCGAGGGGCGTTCCGGGTGTAATGCGAATTGTCGAGATTTTGGGAATAGAGCAGGCACGAGCCTGGAGCACTTGTACAGTAAGTTCAATGCAGCTTGCAGAGACTCGCCATGAAACCAAGTATTGAAATCCAGTTGAATGAATTTCGTCGCTTCATGGGCCTGAAACGTGAGGTGGTTGTCGTTGCTTCAACTTACTGATCTATAGTTGCATTCCCAGCATACAAGAGCTTCGATGAATGGAATCCAGATCCAATGATTCATGTAAGTGATCCATTCACTATATATGCCTACCCGCATGTCGATCATCAATAGATCGCAGCCGAGCGCTTGTACGGGGACATCGAAAACTTGGAACTGCATGCAAGTCTCAATGTCAGCCTTGAACGATTGCATTTGCTGATTCACACTCAGGTGGGCTTGCAAGCTGAGGAAACAAAACCTCCCATTCCTGGTGCTGGCCTCTGCCCTGGATACACTATTTCACGTGCCATCCTCGCCGATGCCGTATGCCTGACCCGCGGAGACAGGTTTCTTACAGTGGACTTCACTCGTGAGTTAACGAATTCTCGGGTGTAATCACCGTCGGTTGATACTGAGGTTTTCATGGTAGCTTCCAATTTGACGTCATGGGGTTACCAGCATTGCATGGTGAACAAGGCGGACGGGTCCTATGGCGGCATGCTCACCAAGCTTCTCTTTCGCATACTCCCCGATCACTACCCCGAAGGCTCAGTTTACGCTCACTTTCCTTTCCTGACCCCAGGCTTTCTTTTCTCGAGCATGGCCGAGGCGCCATATAGAGCCGAAAACCTCAAGCTTTACGATTGGGGCAGGCCTTTGACTGTTCAACAAGCTGCATCTCCAGGTGTGGCTGCTGATATGAAAATTGTCAAAGACTTCGAGCTTCGACTTTCGAACTTATACATGCCTCCAAGTGTACGGAACGAGGAGGCAAGACCCTTTTATTCTCTCCTCTTATTTATTCTCATCGTTACTCATGATTCAGATCAGAGAGTCTATCTCTGCTAAAGTGGTTGAACACACCGTGTCTACTACACTTTTTGCCAACCTCACAAGTGTGCTGATTCGCAAGAGACGCGAATTTGATGAGCACGTCGACATAATCAAAGAAGTCCTGAACATCATTCCCGTTTATTGGGTGTGCGCCATCATGGTCTGCTCTCTGACATATAACACAGGATATTTGACGTTTAAAAACTTTTTTCCCGGTTAGATTGGATTACCATTGATGGCCAAGTCATCGTCGCAGGAGTATCCACCAGAATTTTGGTACAAAGCCATTTTCACCATTACGCAGTAAGTCTATCCTTCGCGATTAGCTTCCCCTCGCTAACGTGCGCATAGATATTTGTACTTGAATAACGATCCTGCTTCGGACTGGACTCTTCGCGAGAACGCCACGCGTTCTGCCCAGCTAATCAAGCAATACCTTGAGAGCCATTTAAGAAAACTCTCTGACGGCATTGTAATTATTCTGCTTTTCATTACATGCTCCGCCACTCAATTGGCGAACCAGATTTCAGTCAACGGTATACGCGATTTTTCGCGTTCAACCCACCTGACATCGCATGAAGGTGAAGCGTTCCTCTCCGAGGTTCTCAAAGTTGCACCGCAGGCTTCGATAGAGGATATAGCATCGTGTGTGTTTGAGGAAATCATCCCTTCTGCAGCCTTGTTCTCCACAGTAATCGCTTCTGTGGTGAAACACTACACGCACTCCGATCAACACCCAGACTATACCGAGTTTGTTTCCATATGTCTAGACACAGAGTCAGACCAGCACCAAGCCATCCTGCGATATATCTGTAAAGCACTCGGTAAGCTCTCTACGTTTGTCGCGAACTGGACGGTGTATGACAACCAAGTACTTAGATCTGGACATCGACGTTTGTCCTGAGCTTTATCACTCGAAATATGTACTAACCTTAGATTAAGATGGTTTTGAGTGACAGTGTGAGTTGTCTCGAAACACCAACATGGTCCTCCGCGAGACTGACCGTTCTTAAAGTCATCTGTCCTCCGCATCACTCTCGATGGCCAAGTAATTGCAATTCCGAAGCGAACTGGGTATGTCTACCGAATTATGTATTTGCCTAGCTCACATAGATATGAAAATCCAGCCTTTTGTCCTGGAATATCTTCTCGCAGGTGAGTCCGGTTGCTCAGTACTTATTTGACCTGAGACTTGGAAATTTTCTAGATCGCTCCTGGAATCATCTGCAGCATCTTCCGTGCGGGTCCTATTCATCGTCCTCCGATTACCACTCATAGTAACGGGACACGTGTTGGCGCCGGTAAGTTATGTGTTTGCTGTTGTTGTAGGCCGTTCCAACAAATTGAAGCAGAGGACACATCGACATTCACCGATATCTCCATCCCCACCTCAATGGTAGTTGAGGTGAGTGTCTACTCCCCTGTAATAGAATCAACCCCTAAAGTCAACGTCAGTATGCCGGTCATTATTAAGACGGAACTCCAGACACTCAGCACTTGTCACTGTATCATTACGAGACTCAGACACCCGCACTTGATGTATTATCGCCACTCGCACTGTTTACTAGAAAAATCGGTTTGTAGTATCATCCAAACGTATCTGACTCCTGGACCTAAGCCATGTCGTCGCCTCCGACAAAAGCAAACTCTGACTCGAGGACCACGGTACGAAAAGCTTGATGCGCGAATGAGGATGTAGTGTCGCATCATGCCTCTTGTACTCATACATACGTGAAAAATTACTGTCAAGCTCCTCAATAACTACTCACGCTTATCGCGTGAATTCATGAATGTACTTTTTAAATAATGATAAGGCAAGAACAATTTGTTTACAATGGATGTGCCACGAACCCATTACTTAACCTTCAAGTAATAAAACGATGCATTACAAGCTCCATCATGTATGAAAGCGAACAACAGGTGAGATATCTGGCGTATCATTGATGTCCATAAATCACGACCCCAACAACATGACAAGTAAGTCAAAATGAGAAAAGAAGTACTGTTGCACGTTCACAATATATGGGCGACATTGTGAAGAATCGGTAAACAGACAACTACGGCCAAGGCCGCAAGCTGTTTCCCATTTGTGGATACGAAACCACGAGGAGCAGCCCCAATTGACACTAAGTGTGTCACGTGAATTAATTCCCATATCAGAGGCAAGAGGCAAGAGGCTACTTACCAGGTACACTCGAGCCGGTAGCAGAAGACCCTCCGGATGACACAGTTGAAGAAGCGACGGAATGAGTGCTCGAAGATGTAGTCGTTGTAGGGCTGTTGGATGAGATTGCACTGCTGCTGGTAGAAGTGGTTCCGTGCAGCACAGTAGACGTAGACTTGGAAGTAGCAGTAGCAGTAGCAGTAGCAGTAGTGACGCTACTTCCACCGCTTCCACCTCCAGAACCTCCACCACTGGAGCCCTCAGTGGAACATTCATTACTATTCGCTATGCACGTGGATCCATTTGGGCAACCTGAAAAGATGTCAGCGTGGCTCATTCAATTACTTGAGAAGAGAACACACATCCCCCGGTAGAGTCATTGCAGCATACACTATCAGGGTCGCAGCAAGAACTTCCATTACATGTCTGCGCGTCATTGGGACAACATCTGAAACGGCGATCAGAAATGAAAAGCAAACTGATTGAGAACTTCTCTCACCCGGAATCGAAGCACTAATTATAATGTTCGTCAGTCAGTAGCGACGATTGATTCTAAGACGGCCCAAAGGCACTTACGAAGGAATCGCTCGGACAACTATACAAATCGTTGCACTAAAGGCTTAAAATGTCAATCACAGCAGGAAAGGTTGATCAATCAACCTTACACAGTTGTTGCCAACTGGGGCACACGTGTCTGGGTAGTTGGTACATTGCTCTGGGGTGGGGTCAGTATTTCGTAGTACTCGACGCGTAAATTCCTTACGGTATCCGCTAGCACACCCGTCGCTGCCTGCTCGAGCAGTGAATCTTCCTCGCCGAACCAAGAGAGCCGATAGTACAGACTTGGTCACTATTGACGATGTCTTGGAGTGACGTGAAATTCGCAAAACTGTCGAGGCAGGATCCGCAACAGCGAGCTGAAGGCATAAGAGAAGAGATAACGTAATGTACAGCAGACGTAGCATTGTGATGGTTGGCAATTACGGCCAATGTATTCGCGCTTTATATTGAAAACCCAGGGGTTGATTTTTTTATCGAAGGCGGTGAGTCTGTATAGTATTTCTCTTGGCAAGGCACCAGGGTTTGATCCATGCGGTGATGGGTTGCTACTGGCAGCCTTGCCTTCCATAATGATAATACGTTATGGTTGAACGCAGATGGGCGGCCGGACCTGCATTTCATCGCATGTCATGCTGGTACACGACCGAGTATAATGCAACCTTAGGCCGCTCGAGCAGTCATGAGTGTTGTGACACGGCTTAAATAATTGCCCAAAAGGCTCACCAGAATGACAATGCCAGACATACAAGGCTTCGACAGGCTTCAACGAGGTATAAGACGTGCCTGACGATTAGCATATGTTAATCCGAGATGCAGGAATTGATGCGGCTGTAGCGATACTAAGCTTGGCGATCATGCCTAAGTATTAATATGTACCTGGCTTTCAGGAGCTTCCGAACAAGCCAGGATTCTTGATTTTGAATACAGTGTATGCCCCTGCGCATCCGACATCGCCTCTTCGATCTCGCTGGCGTAAAGACTAAAACTGAATGACCCAATGCGAGGCGACCTAGAATGCGCGTAGCTGATTGGTAGAAACTCTTAAGTACTCAGAGTCATAGCACAAGTTATGTCCCGAGAATAATTTGCCTCGACAAGCTAACGCCTGAACGTAATGATATCGCCAAGGCGTGTCAAGTCAAGAGACTGTCGTACTACGTGGTGTCGTTACTTGTCTTGAGGCTGAGCTGAGCGCTAGCCAGCGACGCAACCCACTGGCTGCGTCCGAGCAGAACCTGGGTACAACCATAGCCTTGAAGCCTGTGGATAAAGGGAGGTCCATTTGAGGTCCATGTAACAGATACTAAGTAGTGACTCTGACTCTGCGAAGGCTATACTTCATTCTTTAAGTTGGTCGTCAGTGCACCAGTGCAGAAATCGGAAGGATGTCACCTGGTGCTTTGCTTGCGCACTGTAGTATATATCGTGAAAACGAATGTGTGGTATTGGCAATGGCCTTATTCAAGCCTTATTCTGCGGAAGCAATTCGCACATATGAGCGCCACTGTGTCCATTGGGCACACTCCATTGAGTCTACTCCCGGGACCCGAATCAATATAGTTCTTTCCTCGACGTGAAAGCGGTCGGCAGATACATTGCTTTCTTAATACTATTCTCATCTCTTCACTCACTTGCCGTTCACTGATGCGTTACTCCACAGTTCATAATCACTGTCTTTTATGATCCTTGTCACGCTACTCGTCCAGTTTTCTGTTTCTCTCTTACCCGATCATCATGGCTTCTACTTGCTCATCTCTGTTGGCATTTAAACGTTATCGCCCATGTTTTGGAAGATGAACGACTTTCTTCCTGTGCCCCTTGACACGGAAGATATTACTACTGATCTCTGTGTCCGTTTTCACTTTTGGTAGTAGGTTTGCCACCACCTGAACAGTGAAGACGGTATCTACTTCATCAATCTACAATCGGTCACGAGTCGACGACGCAACTTTAGAGCTCTCAGTGTATTGTGTCTATGTTGCTCTGTGTTTGCGTAACTCTTACACTCTGTTTTTTTTCGTTAGGACATGCAACCCATAAAGCGCGGAAGTGCACTACCTTCTGCACTTATTGTTGGTAAGGTTTCAAAAGGCACTTCTGAGCTGGTGGAAGGTCGTTCGTCCGACATCGACGTCATGCAGTATGCCATCATGCCACAACTTCCAAGAATGTGTTGCTATTATCCGCCATCTCATCCTCGCCTTCAAAACACTCCTGTCAGTACAGAAAAACAGTGTGCACGACATCACTCCCGGTCCTTCGAATAGTGGTGTAGATACCTGTCATGAAAAGGATCTTGTGCAACAACTTTCAACGGATCTCAAGAACTCACTCTTCACAGGTCCTCGATCTTCGCACTGATGCATTCGCCAATTGTCCACAGCACTTTCAAGAGTTCGAGGTATGTAGTTCTATTTCACGCAGCAAACAAAGAAAGGATGAATACTACACAACGTAGTCGTATCTTATTGTAATACATACATCATATCCATATGCAACGCACCGTCCGAAGCCAAGCGGATTGCTTGTACGTAGTATGTACAGACGCACACTACGTAGACTCTAGATTGTTCTCCCATTCCACTCTAATACCTTAATTTCACCGTGCCTTTCAGCGTTATCGGCACCGGACGACCTTGGATGGACGGGCAACTTCTTCCCGCCCAGGCATGATGTCACCTCCCCCATCATGTGGCGAGGCTCATGGGTAAATTTATGAACAATTCGCTTGCAATGGATGCGCAAATATTGCGCCACGGATCGATCTACTTTCATCTCCCGTCATCCATGAACCACAGACGCATAACAACGTGAAGTAAGTACAGTCATGGGCGAAAGCGAAAATCAGGTGAGATATCTGGCGATCTCTGTCCATAAATTATGACTCCAACATGACAGGTATGTCCAAATGAGAAGAGAAGTACTTTGACACGTTCACTATATTTGGGTGAAATTGTGGATAATCGGCAAGCCAACAACTGCAACCAAGGCCGCAAGCCGTTTCCCAGGTATGAGTCCAAAACCACGAGAAGCAGCATTAACTGACACCCACGCTAAGTATCGTGTGTGAGTTCGTTCACATATCAGAGGCAAGAGACTGCTTACTAGTAGTAGATATACCCACGGGAGTGGTAGAAGACCCTCCAGACGAAGATGTCGTAGGGTCGTTGAATATAATTATACCACTGCCGGTAGAAGAGGTTCCGGGCAGCACAGTTGAAGTTGAAATGGGAGTGGGAGTAGGAGTAGGAGTAGGAGCAGGAGTCGAAGTAGAAGTGGAAGTAGAAGTAGGAGTAGGAGTAGCTGTTGTAACACCGCCTCCACCGCTTCCCGCAGATGTCGTAGGGCCGTTGGGTGTAGTTATACCACTGCCGGTAGAAGAGGTTCCGGGCGGCACAGTTGAAGTAGAACTGGGAGTAGAAGTAGGAGTAGAAGTAGAAGTAGGAGTAGAAGTAGAAGTAGGAGTCGGAGTGGGAGTAGGAGTAGGAGTAGAAGTAGAAGTAGAAGTAGGAGTAGGAGTAGGAGTAGCCGTTGTAACACCGCCTCCACCGCTTCCGCCACCACCACCGGAGCCTACACTGGAACATTCATAAAGATTCGCTATGCACGTAGATCCAGTCGGGCAGCCTGAAAACATGTCAACATAGCTCATTTAATCGATAGAGAATAGAACACACATCCCCCGAGATAGTCATTGCAGCAGAAGGTGCCGAATGCACAGCAGGTGTCGTTGCATTGCTCTAGGGCGGGGTCAACATTTCGCCGTACTTGGTACGTAAATTCCCTTACGGTCTCCGGTAGGACAGACGTTTGCTCGAGCAATGAACTTCCCTCGCCGCGCCAAGAGAGCTGATAGTAGAGACTTAGTCACTAGTGATGACTTGGAGTGACTAGAAACTCGCGGGGAGGTAGGATCTGCAACAGCGAGCTGAAGGCATAAGAAAAGAGACAGCGCGATATACAGAAGACGCAACATTGCGATGTTGGGAATTACAGTCGGAGTGTTCGCACTTTTTATTGAGAAACTAGGCATTGATATTTTTGAGACAGACACTTAGCGAAGGGCAGGGAATACGTTTCTTGGCAAGGCACCAGAGTGTGGTCCATGGGGTGACGCTGTACCATTGACAGGTTATGATGCTTGTCAGATCAATAGATTGGCGTCCAACCGTATCTGAGTTTCATCGCGTCACTGTTGGTCTTGCGCCAGTGACACACGCCCGAGGACAACAGATGGTGACCCCAGGCTGCTCAAGGCAGTACGAGTCATGAGTGTTGCGGTACAGAGGGCTCACCAGAGGCAGCCAGAGGCCCGACTGCAGCACCTGAGTTTCCCGATAAGTAAGCCTTATTAGGCTGGGTTCGCACATTACGGCATGTGAGAGACCTCCGGGGTGACACCGGGCAGACAGGTGTGGTATGTTGGCTTGGTTTGAATGTGGTATGTCTGCCGCCGGTTGCCAGTGTCCGTGAGACGTTTGGTCACACCTCTGCCGGATGTTTAAAATATATCCGAGTTTGGGTCCAAGCAGCCACTGTAGAACCACAGGTTCCTGTCATATCAATGCAGCAAACAGGGCAACTGTAGCACACCAGTGGTGCATCACGATTCACTTGTGCATCACCCGATGCATCTTTGATGCATCCCACCACCACATTTTTTAGACTGTGGGAAATTTGTCACTACACCCAAAACATAGCCATTTCTGGTCATCTCATGGATCTCAACATTTCCCACACTCCTCCCCAGTAATTCCTGCCCACCACCATGCCATATCCATCCATCTACTGTAGAGAAGTATTAGTGTATGCTATGTACATATAATAGGCCACAATAGAACACTTTTTTGTTTGTTTTTGTCCCAATATAAGCTCCAGAGACCTGTGCAGATAATACAGGAAAAATGTATCAAAAACACATTCGCATTTTTGTCCCTTCAATGATAGTGTTGAGGCTTACAAGCCGAGAACACGTGCTTACAAAGCACAGGTAACGGACTTATTCTGAGTTTCAGAGAAAACATATGATATATAATGTATCTAGGAGATTTCCATAAAAATCATCATATTCCAATCTCCTATTACTTGTGTTCTGCTTCTATCAAAACACGCACCTAGTTCTAAACTTATAGCCTTGATCACATAAGGTTATGAGCCCTGTTGTGTGCAAATAAGATCATTGTTTTTTAATATCAAAGGAGATCTGTGTCATGAATGTTACCAACTGCATCTAAATTTCAATTATCGAACCCTAAGTCACCTTATCCGATAAGATTAGATTAGATAGATCCCTGATAAGATAAGATGGATAACCGATTAACGATCACTATCTTGAATTCACATCTATACTATATCAACGTCATCCATCTATATCTGTAACCCTAGACATCCGACACTCATCACATCCTTAGAAGTCCTACGATTAGGCAACGGGTTACATCATAAGCATCTACATGCCTCTATGATCAAACCATAACCGAGAGTCCTTTACGAGCTATCTCTCGAAGAGTCATCACTCCTTCACATCGCACATCTTCACTTCTCATGACATGTTAAGAGTTACCTCTGTCATTCACCGAATCCCTTACATAAGAACCTGTTGCACAGTCACAGCTAAACCCTGAACCCTTATCACAGAAGCATTGCTCATAGAGAAGCATGTTCATTACCGAAGACCCTGGAGAATCCCCTAGATCCGATCGTACCCGATACATCTCCAGATCCTATCTAGATCCTTAGATCTAGATCCTCAGATCCTATCTCTTATCGAGATCCTTAATTACTGCTCGAGACTTCTAGTCACAGAACTCTCTCACCCTTCTTCATCTCCGTCCACCCTGAATAGAAGCAGTCCCTGAGAACCCTGCTTAATCACCGATACCCTTGACCCTATGAACCCTTTCCCCTTTTCCCCTTGTAGTTGATTGGTTGATAAGACGCCCTATACCCAGGTGCAATGTTATGACCGTATATAGTTATATCACAACCTTTCATACTCAGCTATCTCCGCTTAGAGAGTAGTATATAGTTTAGGTCGTAGTCAGTAGTACTCCTTAGACTTAACCTCCTCGTTTCTACGTCATCGTAGGGCCTAGACGTTCCCTCTCAAATCCATCCTTGCTTTACCCTCTTCAGACTGAGTCCTGTGGTGTGATCCATACTCCAGACACCTACTAGTTAGGTTAAGGGACGCTGGTCATAACAATCTGACCAAAATCAAACCTGCAAAATGATGGACCAACCTACCGGTTCTTCACTGTTGTCGCTATACCGGATCGAGCACTTGAATGATGAAAATTGGTTGGGATGGAAGTGCCATGTCAAAGCCATCCTATTTGAAAAAAAGGACTCGAAGGATATGTTGAAGGTACTGTCCCTAAGCCAGAAAGAGGCCCAGCGCCTGTATCGGCTCAAAGGGAAGCAGACATTACCAAGTGGGAGACAAATGTTTGTAAAGCCCAGACTGTGATTGAGCTGTCAGTAGCTGACAGCCAAATGATTCACTTATCTGGAGCGAAAATGGCAAAAGAAATGTGGGATCAGCTTAAACTTGTGAAAGAATCACAAGGCAAACAAGCAATCACCACATGGTGGTGGAAGCTGTATAGAACTTTTGCTGATGATGATGATGACATCCCCACACATGTCAAAAATATGAGGGAGATCCAGGAAACCTTACATACGATGGGAAGTTTGGTGTTGGAAGATGATTTCTGCACCATATTGATCTCATCATTACCGAAATTTTGGGACACCTTTACCATGATGTACCAAAATAGGATTGGTGACACATCCGCAATCACTTTGCACAAATTAATCTCCCTTATTTTGGAGGAGAACACGCAAAGGAAAGAAAAACTCTGCAGAAAAGGACATGGAAAAGAGAATGCACTTACCATGAATGTAACGGGCACTAAACAAAGTAAGAGAGAATCACGGCAATGAGGCAATAGAGAGGCCAGATACTGGCGTTGATTCAACGAGGAACAATACAAAGCCCCGAGCACATATAAGTATCTGCTATGGTGATAATGTAAGGTGAAACCGTGAGCAGTATGAGTGTCAATAAGATAATGAATCCGTAATCGTCCGAACTGAGCTGGTCCATGCATGACAGAGTACATCGGCGCAATGTTTAGTAGAGTAAAGTGACCGTGATCTAAATAGAATGACCGTGAGCTACGTATAGTGACCATGACTGTGACATCATCCCCCTTCTAGGGCGAGTGAGGATGATGCTACAGGTCGAGCCTTTCAGCGGGGTGTGAAACGCGACCCCCACGGGTCGTCGTTTGCGTGGGAGGCACGTACTCAGATCTCAATCTTTGATGTACGGCAGTGGGCAACGGAGGACGGGCAGCAGCGGGAGGGACGGCAGCGAGGGCAGGTGCAGAGGGCTCGGAGGACGCGGCGGGCAGAGGGATCTGAAGAGAAGAAGGAGAAGAATTGTTAGTTACAGACAGAGGAGTATGGTAGTTTTTATTGATATCAAATAAATGGGGACGTGGGGAGCATGGATGATGATGATGGAAATGTTCGATGAGCTCATTGAACAAAGTAGGAATGTCAGAAAGGGGAAGCCAAGAATCTTCTGACTCAGGCAGCGATTTCCATCGCACGAGATATTCGTAGCGATGACCAGTCTTGCGACAGTCAAGGATTGATTTAATGTCATTAGCGGGATCGTCGGCGAGGTCGAAGGGAAGTGGCAGGTGAGTGCAAATGGAATTCAGAGGGGTCAACATATGGTTCAAGAAGTGAAACATTAAAAACGGGGTGAAGTTGAGATAAATAGGAGGGGAGTCGAAGAAGGTAAGCGGAAGAGCCGTTTTTGCGAATGATGGGGTATGGACCGAGTCGGCGATGGTCGAGTTTCAAGGATGGGCGTGTAGTCTTGATATTGCGACACAGCAACCAGACCAATTGGCCTGGTTTAAACTCTGGTGCAGGTAAGTTCTTTTTATTATAGTATTTGGCTTGGGTATGTTGTGCGAACTGTAGCTTGGTGCGAAGCTCTTCATGAATCGTGTCGAGTCGCGCAGCGAGGTCAGCAGCAGCAGGAATGGTTGAACGTTCGGTGATCTGTGGCTCGAAGGTTGGGTGATAGGCATAGTTAGTGAAAAATGGAGTCTGATGAATAGAGGAGTTCTCGAGATTGTTGAATGCGAATTCGGCGAGAGGGAGGTAATCAACCCAATCATCCTGTTGATACGAACAATAGGCGTGGAGATAAGTCTCCAATGTCTGGTTTGTGCGTTCCGTCAGACCATCAGTCTGCGGATGGTACACTGTTGATGTGCGAGTGTCTATTTTCAGTAATGAAGTAAGTTCAGACCAGAATTTGGATATAAAAATGGAGCCGCAGTCGGAGACAATGGAATCAGGTAAACCGTGCAAGTGAAAAATGCGATCGAGAAATAACCAGGCAAGGTCAGGAGCAGATAGGGTCTCCTGACATGGGATGAAGTGTGCGTAGCGTGTGAGGTGGTTGCAAACAACCCAGATTGAGTCATAATTGTGTGATGCTGGGAGTTTGATGATGAAGTCCATGGATATGGATTTCCATGGACGAGAAGGGATGTTGAGAGGTTGGAGTAAGCCGTAGGGCTTGTGGCGAGGCATTTTGATGTGAGCGCAGGTGTTGCAGGCTTCTACATAGTGTCAGACAAATGTTTGCATGCTGGGCCATGAGTAGTCCCTGGCGACAAGTCCGAATGTTTGATTACAACCTGGATGACCTGCGATGACAGCATCATGACGAGAGAACAGAGTGTCAGCATGTAACGGAGAGGGAACGAAGAGTTTTCCTTTGTGGAATACGAGACCGCCTTCGGATGTGAAGTCTGGATTCCCGCACATGAGGGCTTCTCTCCACTCAGTGTCTTCTCAAAACGCCGTTTTGAAATGTTCGAGGAGGGCCGAGTTGTTGATGGATAGGGTTGTGATAGCATTGAGGCTGGTCGGAGATAAGGATTCTGTGTGTTTGGTTGTTAGTATGATGTGATTTTGACCCAATAGGGTCTCATCCCCCTTCTGCGGGGAGAAATCAGGCTGATGAGAGGGAGCATCAGCAATATTGCCTTTGCCCGGGGCCCATGATAAGGAGAAATCAAAGTCAGAAAGGAACATCGCCCAATGCACCTGGCGGCGATTGAGGACATGGGATGACATAAAATACTCTAAGTTCTTGTGATTGGAAATGACGGAAATGGGGAAAGGTGAGCCGAGTAACCATGCTCACATGTCATGGAAGGTAT